AGTTGTTCTCCTGGAATTCATCTCCTTCTAACCACCTGATAACACCCTCGGGAATTTGTCGCAGCACTGAAAGAAGAATGTCGAGGCAGAAGTCAAGGTAGCGATTGACGGTGCTGGGAATGAGAGCAAAGATCTCCATTAAGCTAACGTCGCGCATTGTCGAATTGAGGTAGTGAAGGATCAGCCCCAAGCCTCCAGCAGGATCAAGGGATCGACTATTCACCCGAGGCGGGGCTGTCATAGGCTGATCAGGCCGGGGGATGGGTGTAGTGTTCCAAAGGAGAGCGAAACCAGATTGGAGGAGGTACTCAAATGTACTGACATCAATTCCCATAGTCGTAATAAATCCGCGATCACTTGAGCTGCTATGCAAGCGCTGCCATGGTGTTCCTTCTCGTGGATTTGGGAGCAGTTCATTTCGGATGAGGTAAAGGCGTTTGCGGTTCTCTGAGCGGTGCCGCCGATTTTCTTGTGCTTCCAAGTAGATTGCAGTCCCAGAGAGGCCTGCATTCTGCAGGCGATCATTTTCTTCATCCCAATATTCGTCCTCCTCGAGAGCGAGATGGCTGAGCAAGGTGTCAATGAGATCGCCCATGGGTGTAGTAGCGAGGCTTGCAGGAGGCCCGAAGCCATGCGATCTCTTATCTTATCAGCATAGCCACAGAATGCAGCAAACAACTTACGCCTGCATGCGAGTTCTAGATACAAAAGTGGTTACGGTTCTGTAAAGCACTCTGCTTGATTTCAAAACTCGGGCAATCCCGAAGAATTTGTGTTGGAAAAGGAGTTAGAAATTCCAGATCGTTAAGGAAAGTCATCCAGTGAAGTTGAGCAGTCGTTCCTGCATTAATTTTTGACCTGGAACCCTGCACAGCAAGCTGGAGGGTTATAGACGAATCAAATTTAACACGATCAACCTTAAGTTGATCAGCTAGCATCGAAGACATGAAATCTCCGAGAGATCCTGAGTCCAGGAGTGCTCGGGCAGGGTGTCCGTTAATCTGAACAGTTATTACAACTGCCTTAGGTATATTTCGACTTGTGTCTTTTACTCGAGATGAGTTTCGTTGGATTGCTGGTAGAGATCCTCGAGGGATTTGTACAGCAAAAGCAGGTATTCCAATGAGAATATTACGATCCGGGGGCTTGACAAGATGCTTTAATCGAAAAAACAGCTTGCTGATTGAGCTATTCTCGCCCTTCGCATCGCCCAAAGGGGTGGTCAAGCCTTCCTTTGATTCTTGAAGGCTTTTCTCCATAGGAAGGTCTGTGGACGAGTCAATTCCCCCTGGGGACTGAGGATCTTCAAAACGAACCGATTTTGGCTCCCAAACAAGGTCATCGAGGTCATCATACTCCCCTCTAGCCTCTCGGAGTCGTTCTCCTTGATAGAAACGACCTGCATCGAAGTTGGGGCTTTCCACATTATACCTATCAATCACTGTTATCCATCCAGTATGATTATTTCGAATCAAAAACTCGACCGAGTCTTCTGGATTCTTTTTCACACTGAAGGTAACAAGGTCTCGCTCTGAGAAAGGCACATCATTTAGAAAAGGACGGGCCTCTTGGAGAGCCCGAATCAGTCCCCATTCGAGGGTATTCTCCATAGGCTCATGGATCTGAGCATCCCATGAGGCAGGGACTTTGATCCCCTTCATCTGGGCACATCTTCGCCCATACTCGAGTCCGATCTGGAATTCTGGGTTCCGGAGATCTTCAGCATCAAAATAAGTAAGAGATTGATGAACTAAATCATCAACCGCCCATTTTTCGTCAAGCGCTCGCCGTACTTTGAAGCGAGGCTTCTCCAGCTTAATAGTACCCGGGTCTCCGGGGAACTCGTCATAGGCATTTAATATCTTGCTTACTCGGTTTCCGAGCAAGTCCCCTATGTCTTTCCAAGGGATTATACACTTTCCAGCGCATCCGAGTTCCCAATTAATCTCCTCTACCGATACATCACCAGAGGGAGAAGTTTCGGACAGCTCATCGTCTTCCTCCGAGTCGGAGTTTGAACTTGTGTCAGGCGCTTCGTGATGGGCGCTTATTTCGAGTGAGTGATGAGAGGCTTCGCTCTCGGACTCAGTGTAGATATCCAAGTCCGGGTTCTCGGTATACTCCGAGTCAATGTCACTGGGATCATCAGGTCCGTCGTCTACAATCGGGCGAGTATGATACCTATGGATTAGGTACCAATGCCCGAGATCAAAATATGGGTTTACGAGATAAGTTTTCGGGATCGTCAGGGGACGATCCTCAAAGTCGTCATCGTGAATATGATATGTGGTGTCTGAGGCAGACACCACAGTGAACCGTAAGTCATCATCCACGAGAGGGTCGCGAGTCTGGTAGAGAGTTTGGATCCCACTTCTCAGTACAAGCATCGCGTTGTAGGCATAAGCATCACCCATTGTGTGTAGATAAGTATAGGGCTTAGGGAACCCTGTAAGTACGGTAATCTGGGAGGCATACCAATCTGCCAACCGGAAATAGTGATCGGTGAGATAACGGATATTAGTTTCTGCTCGCAACAGGCGAAGTGTGTCAAAGACATAAAACTGTTGCCCAATTCCTCGAGTCACATAGAACCGAGTGGGTTCCGTTTGCCTCGAGACATAAGGGCTATCTCCTGGGTATGGCTGACATTCTGCCAGCACGTACTCTGCCATTCGGGCCAATGCATCTCCTAAGCGAGTACGACGAGGTTTGTTTGGGCGATATTCATCCCATTCAAGGTTATTCAACGTCCGTAAGGCTCCTCGAGGAAGCTCTTCGGGGTTGATCTTGATCATCCCAATCTCGAGATTATCGAGTACCTCGACCTCGTCACTGCTTGAGTCCGTCTCGGCTGTGATTTCAATGCTAAAATTAGATACGCCCGGAGGCTTCGAAGTAGAAGATCTCACGGTGGACTTCTTTGGACAATTTCGGGACATATGACCTGCTTCTCTACAGAAGAAGCATTTTCCTGCAGCTAGGAGCTCAGCCTTCTCCTTCTCGCTCAACGTGGGAGTTCGAGGCTTATCTGTTTGAGGAGCTTGTCCAAAGGGCTTGGAGCCCGAACCACGATTATTATTATAACGGTTGTTCGAAGGTTGGAATCTATTCCCATGAGCTGAGCGATTCTGACTGGACATATTCCGATGGAAGGATCGATTACCAGACGAGGATGACTGGTGAGGTCGGTTCTTTCCAGTGGAATTGCTGTTGTGAGAACTAGAGGGCTCACGGGAAGCAGATCCTTTGCCTCGAGCCGAAGAATCTTTCTTCGTGATGTTCTCTGAGATTTCAATAATCTCAGCTTGTGTAATTACATCATCCCAGAGGGATACCTCGGGATTCTTTCCATCCTGCCAGAGGCCCTGCTGAATGGACAGTCAAAGACCATTCCATAGCTTATTGACTTTTTCACGTTCATCAGCCATGCCAATCATATTATAGAGCTCTTCGAGCTCGTGGACGTAAGCGGATACTTTCTTGTCATTCTGGAAGCAGCGCCGCAATTTTGCACGCTGTTCCGAGCGATAATTAACTGGGAAACAATAGTTGAATAGTTCTTTGAAAAATTCATCGAGTGTCCACTCGTCGAAGTTCATAGACACCTTCTGAGTGTAGAAGTTGTAGGCAACCCCAGCAAGGTAGTATGATAGAACAAAGACACGACGGGACTTTCTGACCCGTCCATCCACCACGTAAGCAGTGCCTTCCGTGACGAAACGGTTGTAAGCCCGAGAATCCGGTGCTCCATTATATTCTTTGGGCGGAATCAGTTTAAGCGCTGACTTCTTACTTCGGCGCTTATGGATATGAGGGGGGTTAGACAGCTGGGTTGACCGGGATGGTGATCGAGGAGTTACCTCTCTTCCACCTCGATTTCCACCTGCACCGTCACCAGAACTCGAGCTCGAGTCTGAGCTCGAGTCATCACTCGGATCACCTTTTCGTGTTCCGAGTCGAGTGAGTCGAGCGAGTGTCTGTCCAATGAAGCTATTTGGGGCAATCTGATTAATCGGACGACTCTCCGCAGGACGTGTGTTCTTGTTCTGAACAGGGGGAGGATTACTCCGAGTACGATCCGGGTTGCCGTCCGGAGGTGGAGGAGTATCATTAATAACCTCATTCTGCTCAACAGGCTCAAAACGAGCATGAGTAGCTTGTTCTTTCTTCTTCTTATGTAATTCTTTCAGTTGATCAAGCGCCACTTGTTGCGCTTCGAGATCACGCTCTTCTTCTTCGAGGTTTAATCCACCCCATTCATGGGGATCAGTTCCTTTACCCTTATTGGTAGATGGTCCTTCACCCCGAGAATCTGGGGTTTCGGGCCGGTCAGGAGCATTCACAACTACCCGAGCGTTGCGACGATTAATGTGTTCGCGCTGCTCGGGGGTGAGGGCATTCACCGCGATATCAATAGTATCTGTTGATGCAACTTCTTTATTCTTATTCTTCTTCCCTTGAACAGGTACCCATGGATTCGGGTTCTTATCAACCCAATCATGCAAGCTTTCAGTCTCCCCGTGGTCTGGGGAGCTAAATACATTATTATTATTCTGCTTATCCGCAGACTGACTAGTACCTGCAGGACTTTCTTGGGTCCTGGGCGACTGCACCGCGTCACGATAGGATCGTGTGGGGGTCGAGGGCGGTTCCTCGGAAGGAACGGCCGAACGATTATGCTCCGACATCTGATTGATGCCGACTCCCATTTGGGAGTAATCGGGAAGAGTAGAATCCTGTGACTCACCTATACTGGTTGCGCAGTGCGTAGGTCCGGGCGTTCGACATGCCGTGAGAGAATTAAGAGATAGTGGGTCGGATAAGATAAGGAAAAGAGATAAGCAGATAGATGTCGCCTAGAAGCTGGATTGTCGGGTGATCAGGCCGAGGGTGTCCAATTGGAAGGCGTCGGTTTCGGAGTCGGTAGTCGATGTGTTGGATTTGTAGAGAACTTGTCAAAAAATATGTGACGTCGAGCTTTCGGCGATCCGTGGGAAAAGACCGAAGGCGAGGCGGCACACGAGAGATGAGACTTAGAGAGCGAAACTGACAGTTCAAGTTACTGTGCTATTCACTGAGGTAGTAGTACATTCGGGTCTCGTATTTATAGGATTTGGTGGGTTTAGGGGAGGTCATTCAAAGGTCTTGGAAACGAGTCAAAAAGTAAAGAAAAGACACAAACTGACTAGGTATTTACTGCGCCTATTTAGAATGACAAAGGCCAAGGTAAGTGATTATGAAGCAAGGGAAAAGGTCACGAGAAATAGTAGGATGAGACAGAGGAAGAGAGGAACGCACGAAAGAGCGTCTACGAGCGCTTAGGAAGTCGTGGGAAAGAGGGAGGGACGAGGAGCGAAGTCCCACGGTCGTTACACCATCGGTCGATCCCAGGATGCCATTCACGGCTATCTCGTATGATCTCTAACCTTCAATGTCGATTCGGCCCTGGGATAAGGAAGGAAAGTTGGCCAGTGGTCCCCAGACCTACCAGATGTGTTCCAAAACCCTGCATCCCCATTTCCTTCGACAGGGTGCATCCATCTCCCTCTCAGAAAAGCCACTTGAGTAAGCTACGTTAGAAAATCTTCTCGACAGCTGTACCCTCGTTCAGGATTTTAAAGTTAGCGCCCAGCCGCGACGAGAGCAAAAGACGCTTGGCGATTTTAGCTTCTCGTTCCCCAGGATAGCAATACATTGACCAGGAACATATAAAATGCGCCATCACGCTTAAATTCCTACTAAACGTTGCATTTCCGTCGTCAATTCTGAACTGTACGATTGGAATTAGTGGCCGGATATATCATCAAGAAACTCCTTACCCTCCCAATTACAATTGCAAGCCTGCGCTGCTTATGCTTCTCTTCGTCTCAGGCTCCTTTCCAACCTTGTCCACCTCGAGTGCTATCCTCTCACTTCTGACGACAATATTGCTACATCTTCACTAAACGGCCATCGTCTGGTTCTGCTTTTTTGACTCTCAATGAATAACTTGATGAACAATGCCTATACCTCGATAACTACATGAGGGTCTCGTAGGAGATAGGTTCCCTTTCCAAAGAGGCGCGAGATAAGGCGGTCATTTTCCGACCATGAAAATCGAAGTAAATTTTGCAAATTTCCCGGCAGAAAGTGCGTAATCTTCGATCTACATATATCTCACAGTCCTACGCTTCTTCTTTGCATCCGGAAAGTGTGCAGCCGCAAGGCCGTTCTCGACAAAAGCTGTGCGCTCCAGTCCCAGGCCCCCAATCCTATTTCTGGGGTCCCAGGCACAAGCGCCCATCTCACGGGAAAATCTTGCGACAATCTTCCTACGTGCCCCGCCGACAACTCCCGGGTAGAACTCCATAATCTAGTTGGTTCCACTCACAGAAGTTGTGACCACTCACGAGATGTTGTAGGCAAATGGAAGACCTTGAAAAGGGGCTTCTCCGACGATTGTCAATTTGTCATCGATTGTGAAGGCACCGCCAAGGTCAGGACCCGCAGGTCATACATAATGCGACTGACGAATGCGGAATAGAGCACAAGTCGGGCCTCCGTTTGCATCATCATGCTGCTGCAGGTCTCCTCAACATACTGCCAGTACTCCCTCTCGCAAGATCAGCTCTGCTCTGGTGCGTGTAGCAGTCGTTTTGCGTTGGAATCCTCTGACCAGAACATCCTGGTGAGTGCATGGATAAGATAGCACTTCTAATCTCGCTTAATCGCTCCGACGCTTGCCTGTGCTATCTAGTGACGACCTTGCTACTTTATCAATGACGAGAGCTTCGCTCGAAAACAATAATAACGAGCGTCTCGAAACGTCTTCAACAGGATCTGTTTCACCAACAGATTCATCCGAGCCCACCCATCATGCCACGACCGCCGATACCGTCATATCTGACAACTCAGTGGCAGGCCGTTCGACTTCCATCTACCCTCCTATTCCCGCATACACACCCTCATCAAGTTATGACCCGCCACTGCCTCCATCTGGGCCCATAACAATCCTTGATGAAGGTCTGTTGCGGTATAATTCGGCGTACGGGCACGATGGCATAGCAGTTGCGCCTCGTCCACCAGAGGCATTTCCGTCCGATCGCTTATCTTTCCGATCGAGCGAGCCGCCAGAAACGCTCCCAGCGTACGGCGACGACGAGCCTCCACGATACAGAAGACGAATCGAGAATGTGCACGGAGAGCCACAAACGCTGGCTTTCTTCTTCTTTAAATTCGGATTTTGTAAGTACATATCTCCGTTCGCATCCTCTTGGAGACTCACTCGAAGATCCGGCAGTCTTCCCCGCGTTCTGGGTATTCGGGACGCTGATGCTCATTCCGCCTTTTCGTTCGCCGAACCCTTTCGCTCATCACGCTTTCGAGTCGACCTGGCCGCCGAACAATGATTCCTTCATCGCCTGGTGCAACGAACGCGTACGCACCGAAGAGGAGAAGGAAGAGTATCTGCATTTAATGCGGAAATCGGAGCTGAAGTGGGCGAGACGGTGTCTGGTTGCACTGGGTATCATGTCTTGTTTTTGCGTCGGGTTTGGTGTTACGATATTTGTTGTCCTCAGGAAATCATCACCGAGTCGATCGTGAAACCTTTGGTCGTTGCCTATGGATCATGGATGAGATAGATAGAGTAGAATAGTTGCTGTGATAGTTGTATGATAGAGCGTTGAAGTCGACGTTGAACCTTGCTTATCTATTCACCCAGAATCGCCATCAACTTGATGATCCACGTCCAACTCCCCCGCTTCTCCCGCTCGAGTTGATCACCTTATGTTCGTGGCCATATCGAGCGCGATTGCACCATTCAAACTTTCCATATGTGGTGCGCCATGATTTACATCAACATATTGACCACGAAAAGGTGTGCCAAGCCCGGCTTTCTCCTCGTCTTTTGACTGTTCTGAGCTGGTCACTGTCGACTAGACTTTGATCATGCCGAAGCGTCGCCCCCTGCCACGGGCGCGGCGGGCCTTGGATCCTTCGCCGGCTCGGAAGAGATTGTCGAAACGCCGTCTTACCCGTGAAGTCCATATGTTACCTGATCATGCCCTTGTGCAACGCTCGACTCTCTTTCTCGTGCACCTCTGACGCCCTCACCGCCATTCAGGGAGTCCACTCAATTGTGGCTTGGCCACTGGCCGTATGTCGACTCTTACCATCGACGACAACGACGCGAGAATACAATACTCTGGGAGGGAGTGGGAGATATATAACACCCCGTCTAGCCAGTACCAATCGACAGCGCATGCGACATGGGGGTACGACGATAGAGCCGTCCTCACCTTTGAGGGTGAGTGTTCTCCCACTAATATTCATTAGATTTTGTACCATCTCAGCTGTTATTAGGTGTGGGCGTGAAGGTGTACGGTACGCTCCCTCCGGGGACTGGGACCGCTGCGGTAGACTTCAGCCTCGACGGACGTTCCGGCCTACGTGTATGGAAACCCTCTCAGCGCTCTCAATATGTCTTCAATGAACTCTGGTTCGACTCCGGGGTGCTTTCTGCTGGAACCCACACGATTACTATGGCAAACAAAGGCGAGGACAATGATATGGACTTTCGTTTGGATCGGGTCGTGGTGGAGCTTGTGGCACCGTCGGCATCCTCGACGACGACGCCGAATAATCCTCCAGGTGCGTGGGCAAGAATACATATCCTTGTGGCCTTGAAGTTTTACATTTCCTCGTGTATGCAGCGACTACAACACCCCAAGCTCAAGGCTCGTCCAGCACGACAGCCCCCCTACCATCAACCTCGGCGACGAACGGCAACCCCAATTTATCACCATCTTCAGGATCTAGCGTGAGTGGATCCTCAACCTCGAGCATACCGCCCTCCGTCGTGGTCACCACCGTCGGAAGCCAGACAATAATCAGCACCGTATTTCAGACACCGGCGACCTCCGTTCTGGGCTCCTCCGCAGACCCCACCAACATTTCGGCTGCCGCAGAGTCGAGCTCCAACTCGACGCCTACAATTGTCGGAGCAGTCGTCGGGGTTGTCGTGTTTCTTCTACTTGTTCTTGGTCTCTTGTTCTATTGGCGGAGAAGGAAAGCCGCCGCAAGGAGAGAATATTCCGATTCTGCAGGAGGTGAGGATCGAATTTACCCTGCCGGTGCTGGTTTTTCCTGATTTCGTTGTCATGTTCTATCAGAGTCAGGAATAGCCCGTCCAATGGCCCAGAACGGCGTAACACCCTTCACAGTTCCACCTCCCACCTCTGAGACTCATGCAGACAGCCTCACAAATTCCTACGGCAAATCACAAACTATATCTCAACGGAACCTCCTCCAAACCGCCCCACCACCTTCTTCTGGAAGGCAGCCATCCTCCCCTTCTGAATCTCAGTCATCTGCGCACTCGCAACTCGGGCATCCCATGAACGCTGAGATGCTTCCCGAGAAACATTCATACACCCTGCATAGGCAAGGTCTCATATCCCCTACATTCACCCATGATACCGACCCAACTCTCGTTTATGTCCGCGACGACAGGGCAGAGAGCGAAAGACCCCCTTCTTATTATCCCCGTCAATAGATAGGATACCCATCGTTCGTTTATTTTCTTACACTCGTTTGTCCTCTTACCCATGTTGCAGATGGCCAACATCCTCCTTCTCTAGGTATTTGTAATTTGCCGATATGTCATGACGAGAATAAACATGCGTTTTCCTCGCCATTGCACCCGTTCGAACGTGTACACGAGTTGAAAGTAGACATGTCTGGTGAACGACGTCGCGATGATTTCCCAGGTACGCATCGTCTGCAGTGCTATTCTTGCATTCTTGCACACATACAGAACATTCATCCACGCATTCTTTCATACCAAGTCAGGAGATCTCAGATACCAGAAAGAGAACAACGCACGAACTTAGTATTCTAGTTACACCATGCCCTCGCGCTCTGGAAAAGCTTGAACCACGGACCCATTCCACCCCACTCTTTCTTGAGAGACGGCGGATACCAGCTATTGCTTTCGAGAGCGACAACACGCTCAGGATGGGGCATCAACGCTAGGACACGTCCGTCGGGTGTCTGCACGCCCGTAATCCCACCAGGACTTCCGTTCGGGTTGAGCGGGTAAACCTCAGTCGCCTTGCCCTGTCCGTCAACATAACGAATGGCAACGAGCCCAGCAGCCTCCAGGCACTCCTTCTGCGAGGACAGATCAAACGACGCTCGCCCTTCCCCGTGTGCTACCGCTACAGGTAGCTTGGAACCGACCATGCCAGAAAGGAACATGGATTTTTGAGTTACTTCACTGTCCACGACCTCAACCACCGAGACTCTCCCTTCGAACCGCTCGCTTCGATTTGGCTTGAACTCAGGCCAGTCCTCAGTACCCGGAATGATCTCGCGCAGATGGCTGAGGAACTGGCACCCATTGCACACGCCCAACGCGAAGGTGTCCGGGCGAGCGAAGAAATCAGTGAATTCGCGTCTCGCGGTATCATTCAACAAGGCGGAGTTTGCCCAGCCCTTTCCAGCACCAAGGACGTCGCCGTAGGAGAACCCACCACACGCAGCGAGGCCACGGAAGGAGGAGAGGCTGACAGTGCCGCTGAGGATGTCGGACATGTGCACATCCAGAGCGTCGAACCCAGCTTCAGTGAACGCCCAGCCCATTTCTATCTGGCCATTGACACCTTGCTCTCGGAGAATGGCGACTTTGGGACGCACAGACAACGCGGTAGTTGGCGACGGGGTGAAAGAAAGGTCGTAGAAAAGGCCAGCGTGGCTTTTGTCGTTGATGAGATCGAATTCTTCCTGAGCCCCAGCGGGATCGTCTCGGAGAGCTTGCATCCTAAAAGAAGTCTCTGCCCACAATCGTTGGAGATCGGCCCGTTGCGCAGAATAAAGCAGGCCCGACTGGTGGATGATTGAAATATTCTCATCTCCTGGCGTGTTGACTCGACCAAGGACGTGGATAGAAGTGGATGGGAACCCGACGTTGTTAAAAGCGGCGACGAGTTCAGCGAGCTGGGTCTGGCGGACTTGGACTACAGCTCCGAGCTCTTCGTTGAACAGCGTAGAGATAGGGTTCTCCACGGAGTGGAGAGCGTCGAGCGAGATCTCCACACCGATATGGCCAGCGAAAGCCATCTCGACAATAGTCGTGAACAACCCTCCGTCTGAGCGGTCGTGATAGGCCAAGACGAGATTGGGGTGGCTCAACTTGATATCCTGGCATCCTTTCAGGAAAGTTTTGAGAACCAAAGGATCCTCAACATCGGGCGCTTGCGCCCCAATCTCCTTGAAGACTTGTGCAAGGGCCGACCCACCCATCCGTTCCTTCCCATTCGCCAGATCGAAGAAGATCAGACTTGTGGGCTCGTCCTCTGAACGTAGTTGAGGCGTCCAGGTCTTGCCCACGTCTTCCACAGGCGCGAATGCTGTGATGATCAAAGACAACGGTGCGCTGACCTCCTTCTGCTCCTCTCCTTCCCGCCAGCGCATCGACATCGACATCGAATCCTTGCCCACTGGGATGCCAACACCCAGGGCGGGGCACAGCTCCATACCCACCGCATGGACAGCGTCATAGAGCGCTGCACCCTCACCCTCGTTCGAGGCCGCGCACATCCAGTTCGCGCTAAGTTTCACACGAGACAGATCGCCGACGTGCGCCGCGGCGAGGTTGGTCAGCGACTCGGCGACGGCCATACGGGCAGAAGCAGCGGCGTCGAGTAGAGCGAGAGGTGTGCGTTCGCCCATGGCCATAGCTTCACCGCAGAGGACGTCAAATCCGTAAGAAGAACGAGTAACAGCGACGTCTGCAACGGGGACCTGCCATGGCCCAACCATCTGGTCGCGAGTGACGAGTCCCGTTATCGTCCTGTCGCCGATGGTGATAAGGAAGGACTTGGACCCGACGGAGGGTAGACGCAGGACGCGCTCGATTGCAGGTTGAAGGCGGTCCGCGATCTTCTGGATGAAAGGAAAGTGTTTGGTGAGAGAGGAGTCGAACTCTACCCTGTCAATCTTGCGCGTGGTGTCCTTCCTCGACATCTTGGGAGGTTTGCCGAAGAGAGTGGACATCTTTAGTCTGATAACGTCCTTGTTGAAGAGCCGATCCGTAACAATGAGCTCCTGCTCCTGGGTCGCGACGCCGACGACAGAGAAGGGGCATCGCTCGCGCTCTGCGATGGCTACAAAGGTGTCTAGCTTGTCCACCGATACAGCAAGGACGTAACGTTCCTGGCTCTCATTGCACCAGATCTCCATCGGAGACATCGAAGAGTCTGCTACGAGCACGTCCCGAATCTCGAAGATCGCGCCGAGCTCCGAGTCGTGCACTAACTCTGGAAGAGCGTTCGACAATCCGCCAGCACCAACATCGTGAATGCTCTCGATGGGGTTCCCATCTCCTATGCCGACACAGGCGTCGATGACCTGCTGACAACGCCGCTGCATCTCAGCGTTGTCACGTTGAACAGAGGCGAAGTCCAGCTCTGCAGAGCTGGCGCCTGAAACTTGACTAGAAGCAGCACCTCCACCCAACCCAATCAGCATACCCGGCCCTCCAAGGACGATGATCTTCGAGCCCGATGCGATGGGTTGCTTCTTCGCGAACTGAGGACGTACGTTCCCGTACCCGCCTGCGATCATTATGGGCTTGTGGTATCCGCGAACCTCGCTATGGCTGGTGTCGATAGAAAGTGGGATACGTTCGGAGAACGTACGGAAATACCCCGCTAGCGCCGGTCGCCCGAATTCGTTGTTGAAGGCACTTGCGCCAAGTGGGCCTTCGATCATGATATCCAACGCAGATGCAATGTGGCCAGGACGACCGAAATCCGTCTCCCAAGGCTGCTCGTAACCGGGGATGAGGAGATTGGAGACTGTAAATCCTGCCAACCCAGCTTTCGGCTTCGACCCTCTCCCAACCGCACCTTCATCACGAATCTCGCCACCAGACCCAGTGGCTGCACCTGGATATGGCGAAACGGCTGTCGGGTGATTGTGCGTCTCGACCTTGATCAGAATAGGCATGTCTTCCTCCTTCGTCTCGTACCGTTGTCCAGAGGTTACCCCAAAACGTGGGGCTGAATGCCCTTCAAGGACGGCGGCGTTATCGGAGTAGGCAGAGATTGTACCCTTGGCACTAATCTTCTCTGTATTTCGAATCATTTGGAAGAGGGATGAAGGTTGCACTTGATCATCGATAGTCCAGGATGCGTTGAAGATCTTGTGACGACAGTGCTCTGAATTGACCTGCGCGAACATGAAGAGTTCGGCGTCGGTTGGGTCGCGACCCATAGCGGACTCCCCCGAAACATAGGCATCGACGAGATATGCTATCTCATCAGGTGCCAATGCGAGGCCGAGCTCCTTGTTGGCGATGATTAGTTTCGCTTTCGCATCTTCAGACGAGGGCTGAGGTGTAAGCTCCACGATACGAAGGGGTTTCGGTTTCCCGTGGAGAAAGAGTTCGGATTGGTGTGGAGGGGAAAGGTCGATAACCTGGGTCATGCGATCATGTATTAGGTGGTCGAATGTGGCGATTTCTGCTTCGGTGATGGGATTGTGGTCGGTTGTGGTGAAAATGAACGCGTTGCCGCGTTCAAGACGCTCAACATGCTGGCCGAGATTGCAGAGAAGGGCAATATCGGTGGCTTTGGTGGACCAGGGAGAAATGGACCCCGATCTTGGTAGAATATATGCGACATTTTGGTGGGCCGTCAGCGCAGCCAAGGTCCCTTCAAGCGATATGATGTCACCGTAGGCGAGGAGTCTGTCGAGAAGAATTCTGAATGGAGATGAAGTCTTCGATAGTTCGACCTCGTGTTCCTGTGTTTTGCATTGGACAAGGTGGATCCAAACAGCATCGACAGAGGCGACCGTCGGGCATTTCTTCTTGACATCGCGCAATAGTGTCTCGCGTTTGGAATGCGAGATCGACGAAGAACCTGGCAGGATCAACATTGCTACAAGATTAGCATGAGTTTCAGGACTCACAAGAGATTCAACGAGGCTTACTGGTAAAAAGAGTGGAGCCCTTGCGAGATGTAGAGTTCTGAACTCGAGGTGGTCGATGCTCCAGACAGAAATGCAGAAAAATGAACGATAAGATTCGGATCTGACACTAGATCTAATCTTATCGCGACCACGGGACCGTTGCTGCTGGTGAACCAGGAGCGGCAGTAAAAGCACAGAAGCAGGGAGGTCATGAAGAAAGGACGAGAAAGAATCTTTCTTAAGCACGCTTCATATATGAGAATGAGAAAGCGCGTCAACATCTCGACGCACGGACCAGATACTATGACACGTGACATGCGATGAATGTCCGACATGCCCGACATGCTCTCTTCACCGCAACATTAATCTTTTCTTTCTAAGGAGAGCGCAGATAGTTGTACAATACTTTCGATAATAATAACACATACATATATACAAGAGACCAATGAAATGAAAAATGGATAGAAGTATGATATGGGATGAGCAGTCGATGATTGGTTGTACGTACACGAAAGATGCGTCTAGTCGAATTACAAGTGACTATGAAAAAATCCAAAGCAGGGAAAGTAACCCAAATAATATGCGAAGATGGTAGAGTGCGATATAGGAGAGATGCTAGCGACGTCGTAAAATGGACGCAATATACTCAATAGTCTCCTCGTCGAGGACGCCATCCTCGTTCAGAGCATCCAGCAGTGACTCGGAAGGGTTTTCAGAGGACTTCGACGATGGGAGTTGATACCGTTGGGCGATGGAGGCGATGGCGTTTTCAATGCGGAGAATGAGCGAATCGAGTACGCTCATCAGGTCGGAATCGGTAGAAAGGTCGGTTACAGGAGGAAGCAGGATGTTCGGATCGCCATAGAATATCGACGAAGAATCTTCCCGCTCTTCGAACTCCGGGTTTGACTGGATACTCCCTTTGCGATCTGGCAGTGCCTTGAAGATACGCCCAGATGAGAGTGCTTCGATGCGCAAGCACAGAACCCCCAGCTCTCGCATCTGGGCGCTACTGAACTGCACACGCGATCCCGAAGCCGTAGTGTCAGAAGGAACGTCCTTCAACTCGTGCCGCCCTTGCAACCCCGCAGGATAGATGGCTGAGAGAACTTCTGGCAGCTCAATGCCCTTGAGCTTCACTTCGCCTATAGGGATGATAACGGGGTCTAGTCTGCGGATGGCTTCGACAGCCTGAGGGCTCTGGAGCTTCGAATACTCGGTCTCTTCCTCAATCTCCTTCACCTTCGCGTTGATTTCGCGGATGATGTCGTTACTGCACATAATCTGGCCGCCCTGTGCGCAGCCGTTGATCCGGGCTGAGCGATTAACCATAGGTCCGAAGTAATCCATCCGACGGGTGATGACGTCCGTCTCGCATACTGGCATGCCGCTATGGATACCCATGCGGACAGAGAGACCACGGGCGATGAGACGGCCGTCTTCGTCGTAAATGGGCTTGCCATCTTCACACTCGAGGATTTCGAGAGGCCACTGCTCTTGAAGGAGTTCAACCTGAACAGAGAGGCACCACCAAACGGCGGCAAGCGCTGTCGGAAAAGAGCACATGAAGGCATCTCCTTCAGTTTTCACCTCGTATCCTCCACAAAACCGGAGCTGGCGTCGAAGCAGATGATTATGCAGGCGCATGGCTGTGGGCATTCCTGGGTTGACTTCCCAAAGGTGTGTCGAGTTTCGAATATCGGTGAAAGCGAGCGTGACATGCCCAATGGGTGGTGGCACTTCTCCATTAAGCCGGTTGATGATCTTATCCCGCACCTCATCCTTCCTTCTTGCACGATAGGCCTGGGGGTCGACGATGGAGTCGAGTGTTGGTTGGCGAGATCGACTGGCGTTAACACGATCGGCAACCCAAATAACCATGATCATCGTCGTGCCCTCGGACCCGTAGCTAATAGCGAAGTCGCGCAGTTTTTGGGCAGCCAACATAGGATCAGGTCGTTCTGTCCTCATAACCGTTCGTGCAATGTCGACCGCCGTCTGAAAAGGGACGAAATCCCACAGACCGCTATTCGCAACGATGACGAACTCGTCCATGTCGGTTAGGTCATAAACGAAAATGTCCGGGCGGGCGTTGATTGGAGGGAAGTGTTGGTAGTACCCGAAGGCCCGTGAGACATCTACATCGTCGTTGACCAACCCAGGTGGCGAGACAAATCCCTCCGCGGCACGTATTCGAGCGGTCTCCAAACGGTCGTAAGGGTCGTGCTTCCTCGAAATCTCGTGGCATACGCCCTGCCGTGAAACAACCGCCAGCGCATCACCGACGTTTGCCGCAAAAATGGTCTTTTCGAAGAAGTATAAGGCTATGCCAGAAACGCCCGTACGGGTATATTGTGCATCCGCACCCTGCTGGGTGGTGGTGCTCGCCTGAGAATTCTTCCTCGGAGCATGGTGCAGCGATTCACGGAGGTCTTGGTTGAGCTTGAGGAATGTCCAATGTAGTGCTTTGGGAATCCCTTCTCTCCGTAGTTCCTCCGGAACCCCTTCTCTTGCCTGCTTGTCATAGACCGCACCCAACTGAGTCATAAACACCCGCATGAAACTGCTGTGGATGTATTTCGCCAGTTTATTCGGGCTCGAGCCGGGCTTGATGTGCTTGGAGGGGTGCGTTCGACCGAACATGGCGAAGACGACCTCGCCCTCGCTCTTCTGCAAAGGAGGCTCATAGACGAGATCGAGCATCGTAAGATGGTCGTCCTTGCCTAAGGAATCGGCAATACCATACCCCATCCCGCAGATCGAAGACGACGAGGTCCTAACTCGACGATCGGCATTCTCGTCAGGGATGTCGACTGAGGCATCCTTGGCAGTGGTTGTAATCGTCACATCCATGAGACCGAGAACCTTCAGCTGCGTCAAATTGGTGAAGCCTGAGAGCATAGGTGTGGAAAGCTCGGGTCCATCTAGATAGCGGCTCATCCTCGAAGATGCAACCTCGTGTGGACGCTTTCCTTCCGCCTTGATTACCAGACGCTTGTTCCCTGATAGGTTAAGGTACTTCAAGTTCGTATTGAAGTTCCTGTATAGAGGTTATGTCATCGCTGTCGAAAGTAAGCAGCGACAACGTACCAATTCCAATCGAACTCCCAATTGTTGATATTATACTTCAAGACGTTGCTGCCTACATCCAAGATCGTCAAGTTGTAAACTTTGCCGAGCTCTTGTGGGAGGGTATGCAACTTGTTCCCATTGAGGTACAACGTTGTCAGTTTCGTCAGCCTTGGGAAGTCTTCAACAGGGATGCTCGTCAGCTTATTGCCACTAAGGTAAAGCTCTTCAAGTTGCGTCATGTTCCGGAAGAAGTTCGGGGGTAGGTCTTGAATTTCGTTGAACGACAAATTAAGCACTTTGAGCTCCTTGAAGATCATCAACGGATGAATGACGTTGTCCGTGAAGCAATTCTCTCCGAGGTAGAGCTTGTCGAGAGAATGCACGAGCGGCGGTAGGTTCCGAGTCGATGTGATCGAAGCTGTCGATGTCTTCCTACCCATGTCGATGAATGCGAGGTCGGTTTCAACAACTGGCGACTCCTGCATTGACATGACAGGAGGGTCGTGCCAGCCGCCGAGGAAGTTCGAAGTGACATTGATCTTCATCAGGCTGGCACAGTTCCACAATGATTGAGGTAGCTCTGTTAGGCTGTTGTTGTGCGCGTCGAGCACCTCCAGTCGCTGGAGATTGCCGATATTCGACGGCAGGGCGTCGAGTTTGTTGTCAGTACATGACAATGTTTCGAGCCACTTGAGCTCGCCAAGGCTCTCAGGTATCGAGCGAATTGAGTTGTGGTCGAGTTTGAGTGTACGCAGCGACGATAGCTGACTGAGGGCGAGATCGTCCAAAGACGACAGTTTGGCGTAGGAGAGGTCCAACGAGGTCAACGCGTATGGCAGCTTGCCCATAGGACCCGGCACAAGCGACAGTTGTGTAATGTCGTTGTGTGAAGCATCCAAAGTTGTCAAATGTGCTCCGAGCGATAGATCCAAGGCGTGCACCATGTTGTGGTCCGCGCTGAGACTGTTGAGCTGCGGTAGCATGCACACGGATGACAAGTCCGAGATCTGGTTGCGTCTGCAATCCAGCATTCGCAGACTAACCAAACCAGAACAGTCATCGGGGAACTTGGATATTTGATTTCCGACAAGAATAAACCGTTCGAGCGTCTTAAGGCGACCAATGTCGTCGGGCAGTTCTGTGATCATGTTGAACGAGATGTCGAGTTCGCGGAGGTTCTCCATGCTGATTAGGACGGAAGGAAATTTGCGGAACTTGTTGTTGGAGATGTTCAAAGTGACCAAGGATCGTAGACGAGGGAAGTGCCATGGTAACTTCTCGAGCCGATTGTTTTGCACAATGAGGGCGAGGAGACCTTGGATATGGTCCAGATAGGCTTCTTCAAGGTCTTTGATGCAATTGGAGGAAAGGTCAAGGCGGTGTAAGGTGGTGGAGTATCGAAGGCTTTGAGGCACTTTCTTCATGTACATGTGCGTTAGGCGGAGCTCGCGGAGAGTTGTACATGATTGAATGAAGTCGAGGGGAATTTCGAGCATGGGGTTTCGCGAAAGGCGGAGGGATATAATGGAATCGGCGTGTTGGTGTAGGATGACCGGTATTGTACGGAGTCCTCGGCCAGACAAATCCACGAAGGCAAAGGTGTCGAATGGGATTTGTTCCTCCTGTGTATAGTCAATCAAAGCCGCGGAAGGGACAAGACAAAATAGACGAACCCCTGCAAGAAGCTGGCTTTTATATACGAAGCGTAGCAAAATTCCTAAACTCTCTGCCCCTAGCAAATGTAGCCCATCCTCAAAGTCGTACCCAGCCTGTTCCATCCTCAGCTTGACGATCTGCGCTGGACATTCGTTCTGACCCAATATTCGCTCTGTTGCTGAGCATTAGCACGACGAATACGAAAGCCTTCAGCGGGACAGATTCAACACACCTCTTCCTTGTTCCTTCATGTACAAGTTGTGCTGGACGCGATCCTCTTCCGGCTTCAACTTCTTGCTCAACTTCTGACTGAACATAGCCACTGTCGTATCCAGGCCGATGGCGACTACGTGATAGGTGTTATTCTGCCGATGTATGCGCATCTTGTACGAGAAACCTGGAGGGGGCTGTTGAGGTAGCCCGCGTAATGATGGTCGTGACACCCTCTTAACCGTCATGGTCGACGATATTGACGAGAATGACGCTGACGCGGGGTCCTTGCTCTTGCCGTTCGGTCGGAGAGAGTCCTCTCTTCGCCGTCCTATCGGGATCAAGGCTCCTTCGTTGCTCAAATCTGAGTCGGAGTCGTGCACTTCGGAGACGTCTCCATTGGTCGTAGAGTTGTACGGGTCCTCTGTCCCCTTTTCCACTGCCCAACTCTCTGGGGCGACCCAAGTGGGACTTCCGGGACCGGACGACGTGGACGCAGTTGGCCGTGGAGGCATGGGTGTCTTTGGCGATACTCTGCGAAAATCAACTCCAGGCATGATGCCCTTACGTTTGTCTTGCAGTGAAGTGGTCGAGAAGGGGTCGCTAAACTCTGACGGCGGCAGAAAACTGTACGTGTGCTGGTGGTGCGAGCTGTGGTCGGAATAGCTGTGTGCTGAGTCGAATCCGCTGCTCGGTGAGCTTGGGTCCCGCGAGGGCCCTGACGTCGATGCCAGGTTCATGTTCACGATCCCGTCCATGTGTTCGAAGTCAAGGTCGATTTTGAATTCTTCTTCGCCCTTTGGGGGCGGGGTCGGTGGAACATGGCCATTGGATTTCTTCTTCCCTTTCTTGTCCTTCTTTCCTGGAGGCGCCGAAAGTGATGGTGATACGAAGGTATTCAGGAGGTTGTTCATCCCCCGTTCGGCTGGCAGAGGGGGTACAGGGGGAAGGAGAGATGGGTGCACTGCATCGTCCGAATCGTTGCGTAGATGTGCTTTGCTTGGCCGAGATTTAAGCTTGGAAAATATGGAAGATTTGGCCTTGCGGATTTCGCCAGAGTTAGTCGAAGAGCCGCTGTAGACAAGGGTTCTTGAGGAGTCGCCGTCATCGGCTGAGCGTCGTTTTGACTCGGGTAGGTGAAGGGTGCTTTGGGATTGTCCATTCCGCGAGCTGCTCTGCCCCAGCGACACCAATGATGCAAACGAAGCTTTCGGGCCGAAACCTAGTGTTTTCGACGAGCTGCTGAACTTGGAATGTGTGGCTGATTTCGGGGGAGGTGTAGGCTGGAACCGTGTTAGTACCGTGAAAGGTCGGTTTCAGAAAATCGCAGAAAAACAAGAAAATTCAAAGCATTAACAGACAAACTAGGACTCACCGGAAGATCCAGCCATGGTGCTATCGTCGAATCATCGTTTATGGTTCCCCAACCGCTGGCTTCGTACCTTGCGAGACCGTTTTGATCGACCGCGTCTTCTGAAAGTCGTATCGCAGAGTCTCTGCGTTCCATGTACGAAGTCATCGATTCACAGAATCCCTGACGGTGCGTGGTCGTCGTCGGCGACGTTGGCGGAGGAGTTTAAGATGTACCGCACAACGGACAGCCCGTTTGGGTTCGTTCATTTCCCACGCCCCTAATTGCCCCTGAGAGCTGTCGGGCAAAGAAAACCGAGGGGGAGGAGGCCTTGATCTTAATTATATTGTATATAAATTATCACCTTATGTCTACGTTGCATCTTCCTTTCGCGGCGCTCACAAGCATATTCTATGGGCAGCAGAAGTTCTATAGTAGGATACCGACAGGCTGTGATATGCACAATAATAAATTGCCGAAGTCATCTGTCCCTACTTACAAGGGACGGACAAACATCACTCTGAATATGAAATAGATTCCTTGTAATATGCCCGAGACTTAAAGTCCATTTCCCAGAAAAATCCTAGAGCGCAGAAAAAAAGTCCCTTCAAAGAAAGCTTTCCAAGACATAGCGAATACCGCATGGCCGTTCCTCAACAGCACTTCGTCGAATAAAGGTCTGCTCAAGGAATTGATGAAATAGTCGACCGTAGTCCATAAACAATTTCCAAGGCATTCAACGACGTTCGGAGGGCTGGAACACTGTTTAAACTCGGGTACATGTCAACTCAGAATAGGCACTCACGGTCACCCAACGGAATGTAAACGAGAGTGTCGTGGCCTTGCAGCGCCCATTGACGGTTCTCGATGTCGCTGAGGAGGAGAGGTGACCAACGTTCCAAGATCTTGTCAGCCCGACGTTGAAAGTGATATTTCTTATTTCCTGGAATATGCGACGGTCGATAACTCCTGAGGAGATCCAAAGTCAAATGAAGACGAGTGGTCTGCCAAGTGAGAGTGAGTCAAGTGGTTATCGACGACGAAAAGAGAAAGGCGTACATGAAGGTGCTGAACATTGGTTGGGTTGAAATGTTCGACTGAAGAGAACATCCTGTCGAGGAAGCGGAGCTGCCGCGCAGTCAAAGATCGCTTGCGCTCAACGGTTGCTTCGGCAATCCAAGGCATTGCATCTAAAATCTGTTGGCGCCAGTACCACAAGAGGTTCAGACACTCCTTATCGGCCGCTCCGTCCAGAATAGGACGAGGAACCTCCAGGTATTCCCTCTCCTCGCAATGGATCTGCGGCTCCCGAAAGGCAATGACGAACGAGCTGAGCAGCGTAGTTCGCTGTGGCGGCTTAATGTCGTACTCATTCCATAAATCATCGCCTTCCCACTCGCACCGCGTAAATGCAAGCGGACGAAGAATGGCGCTGCTCTCACGGACAGAATTTGCGACGAAGCGGAGTTTCTGAAGATTAGGGACCAGCTGGCTCTGTTCGGAGAAGTATATGAAATTGGTCAGGTCGTCAATGGGGGGCAAGCAGATGTTGAGTTCTTGCAGATGTGGTACGAGTTGGAGAAGCGATGTCAATTGGCCGGGTTTGTTGAATTCAGTGTGGAAGGTCAATTTCTGGAGGAGGATCGGAGACGGAGATCGGGATAGCATGGCGGTAAGGGGTAATACAGGAGTGCCGGCGTGGTCCTTGATGATTATTTCCTTCACGTTTGGTAGCACCAACCGTTCGAAGAAATCGCGATGAGAGAGGTAAAAGAAGGTGATATCGAGTTTGTCGAGGTCGTTAAGTGTCATAAGAGTGTCGTTAGAAGAATTAGGCGCCCGCCATGTCGTACGTAACTCCTTGATAGAGGTTAGGGACGCTATCACATCGCCGTGCCCTCCTTGAGCATCATCGTAGTGGGTCAACTGCGCCCATGGAAGGACGAACACCACGGGGCGTTCGCTGCGAATGCACACCTTGTGGAGGCTCGGCGCAAATTGAAACATGTCATAAACCACGCTTTCCGTAGCGTCAGAAGCAGCGCCCACCGTCAGCTCCAGGGTCTCCAAGCACTCCAGGCGTCCTCGTACTCCCCGCAACGTGCTGATCACGCCCACAGGAGCGTGCATTGCAGCTGTCCGCCATCGATTGGAATGGCGTACAAGGGTGTCGAGTGCGGGGTGCCTGGAGTCGGACACGGCAATCCAGACGACAAGCGGCGCGTTCTCTGAGCGAGCGAGGAGGGTGGAGAGGAAGGAGAGGAAACCTTTCGAACGTGAGGTCTTGCGCCGAAGGTCGAGGGAGATGTGGGTCCAGAGTGAGGGTATGGATAAAGAAACGGCCCGCCAAGGCCGACATACTTGGGATACGGCTGGTAATTGTGGGCTTGGATCGGTTGCGTAAATGAAGATGAGCAGCAGGGCGTCAGGCGACATATCCATTAGCTGGTAGGCCGAGGTCTCGCCACAGGTCCCTTCCGAGTACATCGTCCGTTGATGTTCCTGGCCCGTCTTCAAAGCTTCGTTCTCTAGAGTTACTGGAAATTGGGCCTTTTGTCTTGACATCTTCGAACTTGATGGCGCCGACTCCGACCACAATGGATGTGGTGCTGCGGGTGAACTGGTGTAGAGACCACCGAGCAAAAAATTGGATATCTTCCGCAAGAAACTTTTTGAAAAACTGGACAGCTGAACAGATATATTTCGAGTAAGCAACATGCAGCTGCACCAACAAAAAGTAAAGACTCACCCGCGAAGAAAGTCTTCTACTGCGAGGCATTATGAGCGATAATGGTTCTCAGCAGAGTGGAGGTCTCCGACCAGAAAATTAGACAGAGGACGAGCGGAATTAAATATGTCGGTGCCCGCGAGGCAAGGGTAAAGTCTTGATGTCGGCCTCGCAGTTATATAGAACGCCGGGATGCCCTCACAGGCGTGGTGAGCGCATTTTCGTTAGACGTTTGGGCCCTCCGCCAAGAATAACTCGTCCACATTGGACTTGTGGGTCGGGGAATATCATCCGTATGAGCTAGCCGTTCAACCGCAGTTTGAAGGGCGACCGCGTCGGAGGAATAAGTTCGTGCATGTAGACAACGTTCCCAAAGTACAGGTCGGCTAATACAGCACTGGATTTTGAAGGGTTGATGTTGCCTTTCACAATTCCGGGAATTAGGCGACAGTATAATAGACGGAGATAGGTCACCGCTACTTCCTGTCAGAAGCATTGTGAGATGCAAGCAGGTAATCGAGGTTGAACTTAGTGGTCAACTACGAACAAACTACTTACGAACGCCACATTAATAATTGTGCGCGAGGACACCGATTAGTCAGACAGGCTATCACCGAAACTTTCTCATCAGCCAACCTGAACTAAAGAGTCCTACCTTGATAAGTCTTGAACAATTCACATCCATTTTCTAACCCCACTGCAGCCTGTCCCTCCTTTTTACTCCTTCATTCAAAGAGTCCAACAGCAGAATGGCCAGAGGAAACGGAAGAGGGCGTGGCTTTCGTGGCGGTCGCGGTGTACCAAGTCCTCGAGGAAGAGGTCGAGGAGGGCCCCGAGGAGGCGCCATCGGCCCAAGTTTTATGCAAGAAGAGCTGGATTTCACACTGAGCATGTGTGCGGATGGTGCGTAACGTCTCAGAGGCAGTGGTTGGGATTTCAATGTGTTTGCAGCTCCTCCATCCCGAGGAAATGCTACGCCACGGGGACGTGGAAGAGGACGTGGAGGCCCGATGTCTGGTCCAAATTCTGGGGCGAGCACGCCTAGCAGAGGTCGTGGTCGCGGAGGGTACGATTTTTCTGGTGGTCGCGGCTCAAGAGGTCGCGATGGTATCGGTGCATCTCCACGAGGTGGTCGAGGTCGTGGGGCGCCTATGCCTGTGCCTATGCATCGGCAGCTAAACATAACGCTTTCTGGTCTTCTGTATCAAGAAAGACCTCTTCTGCGTCCGATCGTGTTCGTGCCATCGGTCCTTACGCGGGTTTTATTCCAGGAGGATGACTCGGAGTTGCTCAAGCCCGGTGTTGAGGACGTGGGTACGTTGTCCGTCCTTTGCTGAATTTTCACGGCGCTGATTATGGGCAGATGATACGGAGAGAAGCCATGTTCCAACTGCGGACAGCGTTTCTCGTGTTTTCAGTGGAGGTGATATTCCTCTCATGGAGTCCGATTCAGATGAGGACGAAGATGCAGAGGAGATAGAGGAAGTTGATTTCGGCGAAGTTGGAAAGCTATTTGACGATGCGGCCGAGACGAAGAAAACGACAGTACGGAAGAGCAAACTATCGGAGACAACGGTGATAGTGGAGCAAAAATTTACTGGGTTTTTTGTCGACACTCCGCCTGTCGCGGCCAATGCAGCGGCAGAGACGGACGTGAACGACCTCGCGAAAATGGTGGAGGAAACTCTATCAGCTACGGACGAACCTACCGACATTGCGATGGCCGACGAGACAGCTCCTTCTCATGAAAACCTCTTCTTCGTCGATACGACGCCAACACCTATCCCGGCCGAACTAGCCCCTACGGTCCATAACCCACCGACTACCCTTCTGGATGACGACGACGACATTATCGTCTATGTCGCCCCTCATCCTCGAAACACGTCCTACGAAGCCAAAGGAGACGGTCCAAAAGTTACAACACATCCTCAAGCCGATACCTCCTTTTTCTCTCCATATGTCCGTCCAGGACCCCTACCGTCCCAACCCGAGGCCTCATCATCGTCTTCGTCCAACCTACCGCCTCCTGTTCTTGAACCACCATCCCTGTCCTCAATCAAATTTCATTTCTCCGACACTTTAAAAACCGCCACCCCTGCTCGCCTAGCTACCCCACCCATATCCACTCCTCGTCAGGCGAAGGCATGGAAACGAAAACGCGAGCGCGGCTTTGCGAGAAAGAAGAAGGGCAAGTTGACGTCTTTCGGTGCCTTTGGAGCCATGCGAGAGGAGGCTTTGTTGCACAACCGTGACCCACAACAGGCAGAGCGGAGGAAAGGCGACTCAGATTTAGAATGGGGTGATACCGATGACAATGAGACGGCTGACGACGTGGATCAGGTGTTTGCTTCTCTTCGTGACATGAATGGCCAATCGAAGGCCGATACGAAGGGGAAGGGCAAGGCAAGAGATGACGGCAATTCTTTGCAGTGTGCAGAAGAGGAAGTACATGGCATGGATATCGATCCTGACATGCAGATGGATCTAACGGCGATGAAAAGTTTCGTGGGTGGTTTATTAGGCCCCAGCGCAGGGGAGCACACGACGATGGCCGATCTAATTGATGCAGAAGTTATGCGGATGGAAGACGAGGATGATGCCAATGAAGAGGAACGCGGGTCGAGTGGAGAGGAGGAAGAAAAGGAGGAAGATCTAATGAAGGCTGAGGAGGACATGATAATCGCCGAGGCTTTGCAGTTCAGTGACGAAGATGACGATGACGATGACGATGACGACGACGAAGACAAAGACCAGACACCTAGGACAAGCTTTCAAGCACGACTGGAACGCCTTAGGGAGAAGGCGAGGAGCAAGAAGCCGGAGGATGAATCATTGGAGTACTACATGGACGACGACGACGACGACGACTCGGACGACAGTTGGCCTGATTTTCCAGATCAGGCACGAACCGCAGCGGAGAGAGATGAGGCATTCATCCAGGAGATTCAGGTCCGTTGGTTCAATTCCAATTCCCTAGCATTTAGCTCTCGTTTTTCTGATGGTCTTCTTTGCCATAGGATATGCTGGATGAGAACGTGGACATCCTTGAAGGAAGAAATAAGAAGGGGAGAAAGAAGCTCTTCAAGTCTATACTCAATGGCTCCTTCGATGATGACGAAGGTTTCATTCCCGCCAGTGCGTATTCGGCCTCCTTGCTACTCCTCTATTGCTTATGGTCCTCTAGAGCGGAACAAAGACAAGGGCAGAGACCTTCTACCTGAACTACGTGCCCAATGGGAGAAGGATCGACAAAAGAAGGCAGAATACAAGAAAGCACGCGAACTTGCCCGTCTCGAAGCCGCCGCCGACCCTCTCAGCAAGAAGAAGGGCGGCAAGAAAGGTCGCAAGGCCATGCTAGCTGCTGCCGCCCTCGACCCAACGATAACAGTTATACCCAACCGTGTCGTCGACATGACGACTCTCGTGCAGCAGATCCGGCGGTTCATCGCAGACATTGGCGGCCCGAAGGAGATGGCTCTACCACCCACCAACAAGGAGACGCGGAAGAACATCCACGAGATGGCGATTGCGTTCAACTTGAAGAGCGTTAGCAAAGGCAAGGGCGACGCGAGGTACACGACGTTGACGAAGACGACAAGGTCGGGTGTGGGTGTGAACGAGCAAAAGGTGGCGAAGATTGTGAGGAGGAGTGGGGGTATGGGTGCTCGCGGCGATTCATTCATTTACGACAAGAAAGGCAGGAGTGGTAGTGGTCCGAAGATGCCTCGTCATCGAGATGGAGATGAGGTTGGCGGAGTAAGTCTTTGTTCCTTTTCTTTTTGTTTCTTTTCTAATATTTGCATGCTCAGACTGCGCCGAAGCTCAACGAATCAAATGTTGGTTTCCGGATGCTTGCTATGATGGGTTGGGCAGAGGGTATTCGTATAGGAGGTGCGACCGGCGGCCTGGATGTCCCTTTGACTGCCATTATCAAGAATTCGAAATTGGGATTGGGTGCGACGAAGTGATGTCCTTGATATCTGGTTGGACCTTGTAGCGTCCTCGTTTCCTGATTGACGTATGGAGCATGTAGTCGTGCACTTCTACAAGCAACGCGTATCCTGTTGGCTGGCCCAAAACCAACGAGGCAACATCTGCCTGAAGCATATCACGAAAGGCGTGGCCGTCGGCCCGTTCAACATCTCGTAAAACGTTCACTCGGTGAATCATTTAGGTTCATAGCATGTACAAGCCATGGTTGTCGGACAATGAGCGTGACAGGATTCTCTTATAGTCTAAGTTTGGGATGTACATGGATTCCTTCATCTCTGCAGCTGTTATCCCAGTCCCAGGAATCCTCTTTTCCTCGTCCCCCTGCTCCCAACGATCAAAACGGTCGTTTGTCAATGTTCTTGCCGTCACTGACTGATGACAGTCGCGAAACTAGTTCGGTTCATCCTGCCTAAAGAATTTAAGTCCGAGAACCATGGAGAAGATGGAGGACAACACACCACGTTTGCGACGAACCAGACGTATTCGACGCAAGACACTCAAGCGATGCGTGTTTCAAGACCGGCATGCAATGATTTTCGCTGCCAGTCTGAATTCATCGAAGTTGGCGAGGGAGATGGACCCGATTTCCGTTGATGTGCCTATAAATCGCTATACCATCTAAGACCTTCATCTGTCAGGTGCGGAGCCAACGAAAATGCGCAGATAAACCACCGCTGCGATGGTTCTCTGAACAATCTGTCTGTAGGGCAATCAGACACTGATCAGAAGTGCAGTGGAGGGAAGTGCTTACGTTGTCTAGCAAACAGTACGCTCTCCGCGAACGTCCACATGTTCATCCCACCGCTGGCACTGCTCTCCCAATCTTGCAAGACGGAACCCGTGGGATTATCCTCCAGCAGCACCAAACGTTCGTCGTCGATATCCGTAAAGATGCTGCAAAATTTGTCCGGATCGTTCACTTCTAAATCATACCAATCATCCCCCGCTTTGAAGACAACCAGCAGCTCAACGTGCTGACATTCTGAAAGGAGGCCCACGATGACTTCGTTCTCGACGGGACAGTTCACTGCGAGGTGCGTGAGCCTTGGAAGCAAAGTTACGTTCTTCCAGATATGCCAAGGTTGCCCTTTCCAGCCAACAGCGTCGAGATGAGTGACCCTTGAGAAGGCTGGCCCTGTCAAATCATCAAGGTCGAGGCTCGCGAGATCTGCAGACAATCGGAGAGGGCAGAGACGGTGAATATAGTGGATGAATTTCTTGAGCGGCACTTCCGACCAGATGCATAAATCGACAACATTCGTACTTGCTTCAAGGATTTGGCAAATCCCTTCCTCTTTGAGGGGTCCCCCCACAAGCAGATGCCGGGCGAAAGGACAGACGGAATCCAGCCGGGTATTGGAAGATGAAGGTGGCACATTCCTGTTGGGCAGAGTTTCATGATCCACAAACTGGATGATGATTCTGTACAACATGGGGCGGATCCTAGCGGGAGAAATGAGTCTTTATACACCGGAATGCAAATAATTCTCACCATTCGTGTACCTGTCGCGATATGAGCAATAATTTCGGTGCATAACGTCGCCCATGCTGGCAGACAACCGTTTCAAAAATCAACCGCTCCAACTCAGGGGGTAGAGAGACGGAAAAACTGGGAGTTGGTTCCTTTATCATGACACAAAGTCGGGTTTAAGAGGTGTTTTAATGCCCCAGAAGTTGGAACTTATCATGGTCGTAGAGAAAGGGTCGGGATTTCTAGTGTAACTGTAAGCACTGTGTTCAGTCTCCGACGCGTGACGCGACGTGCGACGTGCACGCCGCAACTTCCGTAACGCCCCAACAACGCGACTTCTCTTCGACGCGCACAACGCGAAAACCCCTCAGGTTTCACTTTCAAAACGGTAAATCCCCCGGTTTTAAAATGGGTTTCGAGTACAGCACAAAGCGTCGAAGGTCCAGCAAACAAAAGGAGAATACAGCAAGGGCATTGCAAATTGCTCAAGCACGGCGACGCGGTGGCCAAATTTCCCCAGAAGGTAGGAAAAAACCTTGGACGGCAGAAATACCCTCATTCTTTTTTAGCTACCAGTCAGAAACACTTCTCAGTAATATTATCGCCAGACCTGCTGCGCCAGATCTTGGAATTGGTCGTGGACGAGCACGGTAGAAAATACGGGCCAAAATTGCTGCTCGTGTCACGGAGTGCATATGAATGGTGAGTCCGAGGACTTAATACGTTACTGCATCTGACATTATATGTACAGGATTCGGCCCATGCTATACAGGGTTATCGTTCAATTCGTGAACCCGCATTTCGAATCCCCCACCGAAACGAACCTACCCCCTTCTTCTGTGGACGTGAAGTTAGAAGACGTGGGTAAATTCGCCGAACATCTCCTTGTTGGAGGCTCGCGAAATGCGGAGGAGGTTAACCGAATTCTGGAGGCAAGCCCAAACGTCTTCAACCTGGCCATCTGGAGTGAGAAGTCCCTCCGTCGATTTCTACCACACCTGCGGCGCCTCAGCCCCCGCCAGCTTTCCGCCAATATCGACTCCATGGACCCGGAAGATTTCCAAGGCCCTGCTTTCTCGAATCTCACTCACCTGGATGTCGTTGGGTGGAACGACGAGCCCTGGAGCACCTGGAAGCAGCTCGTAACCCTCCCAAAGCTTACCCATCTCTCGATTAATTGTCCAGTCGCCTCCCAAGTTGTACTCGACCTTCTTTCGGAGTGCAAACACCTACAGGTGCTAGTCATACTCAAGAGGGGAAGTGATTGGTTGGAAATGAAATGTCTGCAGCCCAATGCATACGAAAACGCCTACAAGACCATTGACGACCACCGATTGGTGTTGCTAGACCAAACTCCTGCTGGAGACGTTTCGCAAGATTGGATCAATGGTGCTCGTGGGGAGATGAATGTGTGGACCTTTGCGGAGAAGATCTCTTACGCTCGAAAACGTATTTCTTTCCAATACTTGCCTTCTGCGGACTTGAGTTAATTTGTCCTGCAGATAAGATGTTCAGTGATTGTTCACAGAGATCGTTCTCAGCGAAGCCCTGGGATTCAATGCAGGCCACGTTTGGGACTGGTCTTAGGATGATGTAAAATGGAGAGCAAACGCGAGTCGGACCCGCTCCGTTTTTGACACCTGCGCCTCTAGCATCTTGCCGCGACCACCCTTGTTCACTCTCAGCATTGCGTCCATCTTCTATATTGCCTCTCGTGCGCTACTCCTGATTGTGCCTATTTTTGTTCCCTGGGTATGAGGTATTTTTGGCTCTTTTCAAGGCCCTTACAGAATTGGACCGTCTCTTTTCTGCTGATTATTTCACGTCTTCACTTTGTTGCCTAATTTCTGCGCTCAGCCTTTAATTAATCCCTCAGCTGCTGCTTCTCAAAGGATGAAATTTCGTGCTGGAACTCTTGCGTGGCCATTTGTCGCGGTCCGTCGCGGTCCGTCTAAGAAACTAGTCCTGCAACCAACATCAACGCTCTCGAACTTGGAAGTCATCCATCCTCTCGCCTGGCGAAGACAACCAACATGTCAAAGCTGGCTAACGAGGGCTGTAGTGCGGTCCCACTTTCTCCGTTGGATGTTTCCCTTCCTACTTTGCAAGGCTTTCGTTTACTCATATACGTGCCAAGACCGTCGCGGCCCGTGACGTCCGTTTATAAACGAGTCAACGGTGTTCAACCGTGCACTGCTTGCAACCATCTCAGCCATTGAACGTGGTCAATATGTCAGAGACCATTCACGACTGCGGTTCCACCTCAATTCCTCTCAGATTGCCTCTCGAGCTTGAACGAGACATCTTCGAGATCGCTGCCTATAAAGACCTGGGTAGTGCATACCATTTTCTGCTCGTCGCAAAGAGGGTGTACCAATGGTAAGAGCAATGTTCGTCCCGTTTTAACAATCAATAACTCCCTTTGACTCTACGCTAGGATTGAGCCGATGGTTTACAGAGTGTTGCTGAGGTTCAACGCACGTCTGGGGCGAAAGTCGCGACCATATCCACTTCTTTACCAATTTGAAGAGCCCCGCCAAGAGCCTTCCCCCCGTCTAAAACAAGTCTCCGCCTACACCACCCACCTTCTTCTCCAAGATATTTGCGCTGATGTCGCCATTAGCATCCTTAAGCTGTACAACAACCTGGAAGACCTCGCTCTCTGGGCCATTTCAGGGCCATATCGACCTCTCGCACGCACATTGACCACACTCAAACTCCAGCGACTCTCAATTAGCCTCCACTTCCTCCTCCTTCAAGACAGTAGCTTCAAGTTTGATCCCACACTTTTTCCGCACCTGACACATCTGGAAATCGTCGACGCTGCTGGAGAGTTGGACAGAGTCTGGAGCAAACTCCACCTGCTGCCTCGTCTCTCCCACTTGGCCTTGAGTACACCATTCTTCGATATAATATCGGATATTAGGAATGCCGTCGACACCCTCCTCCATGACTCATTGACTCTAAAATTCTTGATACTCTGCTCTACGTTGGAGTTCGACTTTGGACGTGAGGACCCTCGCGTGGTGCTCTTCGACGCTTCTAGGTTGTCAATCGACGACTGGGAACATGGGGCCCGTGGTGGGCGAGATCTTTGGACGATAGCAGAGGGCCTGCAGCGCGAGCGACAGCAAAGTGAAAACGCAAGGTGCTGAACTCAACTATCCTCATCGATGGCGACGCAGTGAAGGCCAGTTCCTCGACGCCGTCCTTGGCGCGACTCCTACTAATATTGGAGCAATTCAACTTATTATACTGTAGGGGTATTAGAACTCTGGGTAGACGATTGATGTGCCGCCGTAGAGAAATCGCCGCGGAATCAGGAAATCAAAAATCATCGAAAAAAGAAAAAAGATTAGCAATTTGAGCGCTCCATATAGCGCCATTGCTACATTTGACTCTTACTTACAATATTTATCTGTTCTGAACGCTGAACAAGTAGCTGTCTTGATGCGCCTTCAAGTCGTTGCGGAAGTACTGTACCAGGTATCCCATATATGGTATGTTGTGACTTGTCTCTATAAATGTTGTGACTTGTCTCTATAAATGTTGTGACTTGTCTCTATAAATGGAATGTCTCCGGATCCGCTGACCACCGGATCGCCGCCGTCATCACCGGCTTCTTCTAGGTCCCAAATTCCCTTCGCTTGCAGAATACCTCGAAATCGACGGGTGAGTATGTATAGATGACGGCCTATATTGTGCAGGCCTATCTCCCTGGGATTGCCTAGAAGTTTCTTTAAAAAGCTGTTTGGGTGGTGGACGAATTACACAGCTCTCGGCCCCTATCTACTAATCCAACATAGCATCGGAGGACCGATACAGTGCAAACTTCCTGTTCTGTGGTGTCTCCGGTATGTGCTTTGAGTCACCAGTGATCATGGCATCGTAAAATGCCCTTGGTCTCTAATAAATTTGTGCAAATGCGAGTCAACGGCTCCGGAGTCGGCTCAATCGGTGCACAGCAGCGGTTGTTTGTTCAGGCAACATCCGCAGTCCAGACTGATCACGCGGAGTTTCAACGTGTTTGCTGACCTACCTTATCCTCCACCACGAATTGCTATAAACCAACGAGCCACAGTACACTGAATCAACCTTTCTCTTTTCCCGATGAAATTGTCTGCCATTGCTGCTGTCGTTGCGGGCGTCGGTGAGTGGTATCATGCCCGAATTGGCTGAAAAGTGCTAACAAAGCCTGCGATATTTGTCTCATAGCCTCAGCCAGCGCTGTCCCCCTCCGAGTCGTCGTAATCCCGGCGGCGGCGGCTAGCGACGTCCCTACCAGAGTCGGAGGTGTTCGCTTTGGCCATGCAGTCGGTCTTCCTCCAGCTGTCGCCTCCATCGTAGCCTCGGAGGAGGGCAGACCAGGCCATCCAGGCCAAGGCATGCGCCGCCCCTGTGGTGGCCGTGGTGGCGCCGCCAGCCGCTTCCGCGAGAAGGCAGTCGACATTTCCAACGCCTTCAGGCATGCCCTGGGCTTGCCCACCATCGACACCGACCACAAGCCCCACTTCATCTACAAGAGTGGTCCCCTCCCCCATATGAACCACCACGGCGGGGACCGTGACATGAATGAGTCGCCTCCTTTCACACAGGCCATTCCTGGCACCAAGAATGGGTGGATCACTGTCACCAGGGTCGGTCCCGACCATCCCCACTCACCGCCTCCAGGACCGCCTCCCCACCACCATCATCATCATGACCATCACCGCCCAGGACCCCATCCTTTCCGATTCGAGCGCCCGTCGTTCATGGCCCGCCTCCACTTCTCCTTGATGAATTTGGGTCCCTGGGAGGGCAGAGCCGTCGCCTTTGTTCTCGGTGAGTTGCCTGATCTCCTTTCTTTTTTTGTGGCACTGAAACTGTGTTTAGGATGCGGTATCGGTGTTCTCTTGAGGATGTTCTGGGTTCTCGCCCTCGTCACCTACCGCGCTGTCAAGAGCCGTCGTCAGGACGAGCACGAGTACACCCAGGTTGCCGTCATCGAAACCTTCGTTGAACCCATCGCCCTCCCGCCCACCTACGTCTACCCCATCGATGAGAAGGCCGCTCTCGAGCCCGAGCCCACCAAGGCTGCCGAAGAGTCCAAGTAGAAGCCTCCCCAGAGTTCGCATCCGTTTGATCGAATCACTTGTCTGATATGTTTTGATGTGGTTTCCTCTGGATCCCACTGCCACTCTTTAACTTAACTCGAAAATAGAGAAAACCCCACGTAATTGCCCTGTATCGCTGCTTAGGACGTAGTTCCTCTGGTATCTGAATAAACGGACAACGTTGCCCATAGTTTTTCCATTCAACTATCGCATCTGAATCTTAGAAAAGAGGCGCAGTAACTTGATGCATCAGCTCCGTTGCCGTCGCCCGAGTGGACACACCAGAGTGCGCCTTTGACTCTCCTGTAGTAGTAACTTTTGACTCACCGGATTATCTCTCCTCTACCTACGTTTTTGTCCGGGGGTCAACTTTCAAAGGCGAAGGTCTGGACAGTCCTGTGTCCTCGGTCATGGATCAAGTAAAGTATCGAGCTCTTATATTTTAGAGTTCTTCCATCGTTTGGACATCCCCTGTTCGACCATGATGCCTTGATTCGTTGAATTTTGAGCCCTCGGGCATTTCAGTTGGCTCACCGTCAGCGGCGGCTCTCAAGAGTTCCACCGGCAGCAGTCTACGAGCGCTCGGATTCAGAAGCTAGAAACTTTAAGTTGGAGAATTGACCTCGAGCTCCCAGGGGCTCGGATACCTCCAAAAGAAAGGAAAACTCGAAAGGAGAAAGGTGAGAGGTCTTGAGTAGAACAAAATAAAATATGCGGTAGGTTTGCTCTAACCCACAATGCTTAAACCAGCCGGAAGTCGCTCGGGACGACGGAGCGCCCCCGCGAGACGGGGGCAGAGGCGAGCAGCCTCAAACTCTTAAAATTCAAGTACAATTGTAGTTAACTTCAGTATGTACAGAGGTACATTTATTTTAAGCTCAAATGTTGTCTCTACGACGATTTTTCTGACTCTCGATCCATGAAATGGGTCAAGTTGCACGAGCAAAATTCTTCATTGTAGTCATTTTGGCTGTGACCGCGAAATCCCGCGGGGATACTGCCTAGAGCCACAAGTTACAAAAACTCTACGTTATACTAGGAGTACATGGAGTCTACCAGCATTTCATGTTCAGTGCCTCTAGGATGGCTTGGGCTTTTGACAGGCGCTTGCTTGCTGCCATCGCGATGTGGTAGGTCAAGTTCTTGATACCAGTGAACGCAATTGAGTCTTGACAAATTGCCATTGATAAAGACGCAATCTCGGCTAGATAGCCCTGGACGACATATGATGGGGTCCACGCGGGCCGCGACCGCGCAGGCTTCGGCTAACATCTGAAAATAGACTGTACTTGGCTTTTGCCTTCCAACCTCCATGACCACGCCAGCCGATATACCTTCAACGCCACCTCCAACACTTCCAGATGTCCCAGAAAGCGTAATCTCAGACCCACCACCACCCTACCCGTCTAGGGAACGGCGCACAAGGACACCAAGGACACACCGCACGCACGGGCGAACACCAGGATCGCAACACACGCAGACGTCCTCTGGGGACACGCAATCGGATGATGGGAGGGTCGTTCCTTACACTGACGACGATGTTGGCGAGCCCACCGAGAGGACACCGTTCTTGAGCCCCAGGATACGCCACACGCGACCACGGTCGCTGTCACATACCAGCACAACGTCAGCGGCTCCATCGCTAGCCCAAACTGTGTTTTCGCTGTTCCAAACGGAGGATGAGGTGTGCTTTGGGGAGGTTTTGGACGACGTACAGCCGTTGTCCTCTGGAGAGGATGCGGTGTCTGTGGTATCATCGAGACGCGGGACCGGGTTCTTCTCGCGCGCAGCATGGCGACGATATTTCCGCCCGGTGACCCGTAGAGCGTACTACAGGGCCCTACTCCACCTCGCAGTGCTCAATTTCCCCTACGCGTTGGTGGCTTGGGTGTATCTCTTCGTATTTACGGTGGTACGTGTCTCACTCCGCTCGACAGATCAACGCCACAGCTCACGATGTCCTTATTACAGACGGGAACAACTCTACTGGTTGCTCTCCCTCTCGGGGCAGTTCTCTGCTTCTTCGACCTTCTCGGAGCTCGTGCGTTCTCTCGCGGAGAGCTAGCTCTCCAAACTCGCTTCCATTCTCCTCTTCTCGCCCACCCGCCGCCCTACCCTCCCCGAGCCATCTTCACGCGCTATCGCGAACCAACCACGGAAGAAATCGAGTCGGGACAAGTACAGCTGTCCAGAAACGGTCTCGTGCGCGAGAAGTCATTTTACAAAAACACCTACGCAATGGTAAGTACAAGTATTGAAGTACAAGTCGACATTTATGCTCACATTCGACGCAGTTTACAGATCCTACTTCATATCAAGCGTTATTTTACTTCCTCGTCATCAAGCCCGCTATCACCCTGCTCATCTCCATCGGCATCATTGCTGTTGGTTTGCCTCTTATCATTCTCGTGCTTCCCGCTCCTGCAGTGCTTCGAGCGATTCGCAAAATCGGCATCTGGCAGGCCAACGTCGCCGTCGAAGGATTGTATTTTGCTGTTCGCTGAATTGTATCTTTTGTACTACTTCGCCTACAATATCCCTGTCTTGCTAATTCAACACTGCTACTCCGATTCAATCCTGAAACCTCGCATTTTCCGTTTTCTGTCGCTCGCGCTGCATGTCCTCCGCCATAACCCAAAGGTCTCGTCCGCCACGGGCTCCATGTTCCCACCCTTTCATCGTTGAAATGAATGAGTCAAATACTACCACACGAGGGTCCTCATAATTGAAGTCGGTATATCTGAGCGGGTTAATTATCAAGAGTTTTAGAGTCAATGACTTGCGAAGGATGGCATCGATACAATCCCTGAAGTGCGATCCGTTACCGAATGGTGCCGTGCTCAAGGCCAAGTGAGAAAGGCGGGGCAAGAGGTGGAACTTGTCCCATTGATCGATCCCTAAGGTGCTCAGATCCGCAGACCACCAGGTGTGTCAAGTATGGGAAAAGTGTGGGATCGAACTGGAGATTATGGCCTAGAAGCCCTTGGGGATCTACTGAGAGCCGCCGGAGTTTGAGCATAGCTATTGTACGCAGCAGATGTCCATATTCCCCTCTAGTGAAGATTGCGAGGTCGTGGACATTGCTGTGCAGCTTGAGGTTTTCATTTGCGACATCAGCGCGTACATCGTGGAGTAGAAGATGGGTGTTGTAGGAGGAGTTTTGTTTTGGACGGGGGAAAGGTTCTTGGCCAACTTTAAATTGGTTGAGGAAGTGATCAAGTTCTGGTGGTGAGTAACAGAATCATGCAGTTTGCCAGACGTCGACAGACCACGTTGGAACGTGTCGGACCGTGATAGTCAGCGAAATTTTTCAGTTGGTTCAAGTTGGGCGAACAGAAGCAAAGTACGGAGTTTGGCCTTGTAAAAACACTACCACGGAAACTCCGTCGTTTGGGGAATCAACAGCTGATTGAATTGATTAGATACCTAGCAAGGAACGACGTGAATACAGGGCACGTCCAAAACGACTGAGATTCGAGAAGGACGAGTGGCCATGTACATGGCTGATATACAGCGGTGTTGTCTCCATAAAACAATGGAAAAGAACTAGAAAAACACGCCAACATGGGATTGGACACCAGGGGAGTAAAACGAGGAAAAGTTTAAGAATGAACAAGAGACAATGCGATACAAGCGGTGAAGGAAAGAAACAAATGATGTACATGCTCGCGGCGGGATGTCAGCGATAGAGGCGCCGGCGACCAAAGTGGAGCAGGCTCGGGTCGGGGTCGGGGAAATCATCAGGTAGGAGTCGCGCCGACTCGACGGTGTCGAGACGAAGCAAGCCAGACGATAAACCATCAAGAAGACTTCCAAATTCCGCGTAATGTGAGTCGCTGCGGAAGGACCGAGTTCCGTCCTTTGCTGTATGATATTTATTTCGCCTAAGAGATGCCTGCGTTCAGCACTAGCAATGGTGCACCATGTTATTCCTGAGGAACACAACCGGCCTTGACTGCATCACCACAAGTCGGAAGATGACCGGTTTCAGTACCCTGTGCTTTCCTTTCTCTGTCGCTCGCGCTGGATGCCCTCCGCCACAATCCAAATATCATGCCCGCCACGGGCTCCGCATTCCCAGTCGTCAATCCTGAACGAGGGAGAGATCAGGACCACCACACGAGGGTCCTCACATTTGAACTCGTCCAGCATCACCGAGCGTATTATCAATAGTCGTAAAGCCAAGGACTTCCAAAGGAAAGTGTCGATGGAGTTCATAGTATCCGATCACACCTTGCAAGGCCAAATGAGAAAGGCGAGGTAGCAGGTGGAGCTTACTCCCAATTCTATCCCAAATCTCTCCAGCAACTTTGAAAAGGTCCAGGTGCGTAAGATATGGAAATAGGGCGGGATCAAACTCGGCACCAACGTCTTCGGTGAGAAGCAAGCAAGGGCTAGTAATCGAGAGCCACTGGAGTTTGAGCTTGCTTAAGGTGTGTGCTAGGTGTCCGTAATGCCATCCATCGATATCAATGATCCAGAGTGCGAGGTGTTGTGCAGCTGGAGGATATCGATGGCAACACCACGGTGTGTGTGTACCCAGTCGATGAGCAGAAGATGGGTGGTGTAGGAAGAAACTTGTTTTAGACGCAGGGAGGGTTTCTGGCCGGCTTCAAATTGTTCGAGAGGTGGATATGGTCTCCGTCGTCGAACTTGCCCATGAAAACACGTCAGGGTGGACCTCCGAAACAGCACTCTGTAAACCATCGGCTCAACCCTAGCATAGATTAGAAGGGAGCTATTAATCGTCAAGACGGGAAGAGGAATTTCTCACCATTGGTAAACTCTCTTTGCTACGAACAGAAGCTGATATGCATTGCCCAGGTCTTGGTAGCCAGCTTGCTCGAAGATCTCTCGCTCAAGCTCGGGAGGCAGTCTTGGAGATATGGGGATGGAACCGCGATCCTGAATGGTCTCTGCCATGTTGGCATTCCCCGATGTGCGAGATGATGGACGGAATCCAGGTTTGTACGTCGTGTTGCGCTGAGATTGTCTCGGACTGTCCGACTCAGAATTGGTTCTCCGACGGTCCGTGACGGTCCGCCACGATCTTGGCAAAGTGTAAGCTGGAGAAAGTTCTGAGAGCCTGCTACGATAAACCAACTGATCCAACCCCACTGTTGGTCCCAATGCAAAAAATTTTGGATGTTGACACGCTGTGAATTTTGATACGCCGCTGTAATAGACAGGAAGAGCATCAGACAACGCCTATGAACGTGGGCTATGAACGTGGGTTAGCGTACCGTCCTGCCAGTTGCACGCCTATCCGTTTCTAAAGAAGTTTCTGGGCTACCCCCTTCTCCACAATTTTCAGGGGGCTCGCAGAATCGCGCGTTCGCAGGGGTTCTTGCGAGTGCCGGAACTCGCGGGCCGTCTGCTTGTGTGGCGTATCTCTCACAGGCACACCGCCACCGGGTCTTCGTGAAGAATATCTGCCGCCACGAGATTCATCGACCTACGACGTAGAGTATTTTGGGAATGTTTTACTTGCTGCGTGGGATTCCAGGTGGCAGGCTGGCAGAATATCCGCACAACACCTGGAAGGATCCTCTACTGGCAGGCTGTCATCTGTGGGATTCTGGGATTCCACGCTTGTAGGTATTCAGAAATATGCAAATGCCCCCGCCTTGTACCGTCGGTACGCCCAAGAGATGGGAGAGGCCGAAGAAACTATTCTTTCAACTCTTATATGTAGGAACTGCCGAAGGGCGAGCTCGTAGATGTGGGGCCAGGCATTCATGGAGGTACAAGCAAGTGGCCAGATTAATATATTCTCCGTGTTCGTGGACCGACGCTGGACGCCAGTATAATTCTTATCTCACACCTGACAGTCATTCTCATGATTTCGGAGCAAGGAAAAGCAAGACCGAGTGCTAACCGCCAAAGACTTAAAGCGCCTTGATACAAAGTCTGGACATACGCTGCTCAACTGACCATTGCCATCTCAAGAATTTAGACAACGGCAAGCCTCGAGGATGAAGATATAGTTAATAATATGCTTGGACCGTCATGTGACGGTTAGATCACCTATTGAGCGCGCGCTGGTGCATTTACGCCGTTAAATCTGACAGTATGGCGTTTTGAAAATGCACTAGCGTGACTTCCATGCAATCACGTCGGCCAACGGTGAAGGGTAACAGCTGCTGAGAAAAGGTGGAGTCTTATGTAGAAAAGTCGTCCGGGTCATTTGATCGAGGACGGGATCTCACGTTTAGGTAGACTTCGGATAAGTAGAGGAGAAATACATGGGATAATATGTCCAGACAGAGCGGACACGTTTTCGGAGGCCTGTTAGACGCCGTACTGATTCCGATTCCCGACAGCCTTGACCGGCCCAGAGAAACCCAGAATACAGAAATTCGACAGTAAACTGCTTGTCAGCGAACGTCGGAAGATAAATAAGCGTGAAGGGTAAGCTTTTGATTCAGAGGTCGAGCGCGAGGATGATGGACGGTGTGTTTCAGTCTAGGAATACGGCTTTCTCCCGTTCAGACCACTAAACCGTTGAAGAAGATCTCGAAACCCAGGATTCCATGGGACAGAAGAAACGAATCGAGGTGTGTGCCTGACGCTTTGCGTAAGCGATGGTACTGCTTATAATAGTCAGGCGGAAGTTAGTACCGAGTCTTAAGGACTGACTAGTAGCCCAAATCGTCGCAATGTTGGTAATATGCGTCCGTTCGCCACGCTTCGGGTCATCGAGTATTGTAAGTGCGTAAGATGCTTGAAGGCGAATAGTCGTCGGGCGATGGGAGGCGAGGATAAAGATAATAGATGGTGCTATTCCCCCAGACATCAGAATCGACGAGCTTAATTGCCCTCCTATGCGGTCCGACAGCCATCCCAAGCCACGAGGCAGGGTACATCTCGTTCGGAGCCAGAAACGAAAGGGAGAAAACGATTGGAATCGCCGCAAGAGGACAAACGCGCGTGTATCGATCAACTGTAATTTCATGAAGCCCATCCCATTTTGTGTCATCTTCGTAAATTCACGGAGTCCACAAATGAAATCGGGAGACGTTTAATGCATCAAGATAATCGATTGCGAGATACACTCGTTGTCCTCGAGATATCTGCCGTTGAGCTCGACGCGTGATATCTGTGTGGCTATCTCCTGTCATCTTCGAGATTGCGTGAAAGGACAAAGAGAGCCCAGGATCTTAGAATGACAGAGTGGAGATTGCTGAGAGAGAACTCCCGAAGCTGTGGGGTACCCCAGAACATGCTGAGTCCCGAGTCAAGCCATCAAGGACGGAATACGATCATGTATGTGCTGACAGCGGAAGGGACTTATCGAAGTGTACGAACTTCGAAGCTTCACCGTCTGAGATGACGGACTCCGCGAAGGGTGGTCGAGATTGGGAGCAAGTAACCTTGCCTTTCTTCCGAGATATTTTCGTCCGCATACGGAAGCTCAGAGGCCTTGGATCCAAGAAGAACGGTGGATTAGGCTGACACTGTGAATAGTCAGTTGGATATCCAGAACTTCATGATCTCCGCCGTTCTGTGGGTCCGGGATTCAGCGTTCCGGATTCGGCAAGCGATTCCATTAACCTTTCGATAGCGAGAAATTATGGCAAGAGTGCATCGCCCTGGGAGTAACGTTATTTCGCCTCAAGGCGAGCTTCGACCTTCCGGATGTCCTGAGGGTCTAAGAAATGACGCATGACTGACATCACTGCGTGCCATTAGCTTTTTATGACCTCGTCTTCACGGAACGCAGATGTTGTCGGCCCGCCAGATAGGTGGGAGAACGACATAACAATCAATGCCTATCCCCGACCCGCCTCTGTAACAGCGCCCTGGGACACGAACATTGGTGACGACATCTCGACGAAGGCAATCCAAGCCGATCCTAGACGGAAGTGGAGAAGAACAACGAGAATCAAAGATAGGCCATCCAAGGCTCAAGAAGTTGTGAGATCATATCAAGAGCCTCGTTCTATATCGCGACCGATTGACGTACACGAGGGCTGGTGGAAGAAGTTCTTCCATAAAATTTGCAGTCCTGGTCGTGGTAGTCGTATGATATCCTCCAGCTTCGCAGAGATATGCAGTAGACAGTAAAAAGGACGAACGTGCTATGCGAAAAGAGAACGACAGCAACGAGAGACGCTGTGACAAACTAGAGCTGACCAAGCCACTTGCGTTTCGTCTTTTTAGACATGTTTGGAAGACGTAGGGCAGCGGAACGACACAAAATTCTGGCAAAATTGTAGACGCGATAAACGGATGTCGTGGCAGCAGTTGAGTGGTGATAAGATAGAACTTCAAAACTTGAGAACGCATGTTCGACGAGATAGCTCGCCATCCGGTCCAATGTTCTACAGGAGGCATTATAAGTGAGAAAAGACGACTGCATGAGAGCTTTTCTTATCCTGAGAAGCCCTTCTAGCTGGATAGAAAGCTCTATGAGAATATAACCACGCCTGAGAAACGCGCATGAGTCGTGAAAGTTGAGGACGAGAAAGTGGCAAAGGAGTTTGACTCCCGCCAATTCTCCGCCGCCGACCGGAGTTTGCCGATGGGCATTGCCGACTGAGACGCGTGAATAGGCGGACGCGTGCGCCACTCAGAATGCTAATTGCTTACGCTTGAGCTTGGGATAAGGGTTTGTTGGGATGCCCTAAGTAAAGCTATTTCTCTCTGGACTAAATTTTTACTGTGTTTCTGCAGCTTATGAAACTCTCAGCACTATCTTGTTAAATTTGGACCAGCGTCACGCCCACCTGCGCTTAGGACTCGCGCCCATCTCGTGTTAGAACAAAGCTAGTATCGTCGCTGAAAATTTCCGTGAGACTTGGGAGAGAAGGTCTTCTATCCCAAACGCCATCACGATCGTCGTGGTTCTTGAACCTTGACTCTATCCATTTGCGTCCAATCGGAAAAGGACAAGTTGTTTGGGTTCTCGACGCCTCTATCGTCGGCACTCAGGAGGACATCAAACGCGAGCATCGTGGAACGCAGATACGTGGCTCAACGCCCGTTTTAATTACATTACAGATAGTACAGCATCGAATACACCTCTTTCTAGCATCGCAACTCCAGCACTTACCAGTAGGATTTGCGTACGGCATGCCGCCGGGCCACAGAACATAAATCGAGTGGAGTGGAAGGAATCCTTACCCAACATCGCTATTCCATTCAGTGCAATATAACCCGGTAGTTGGCGCAAGTCGAACTATTCACACCTTGATGTTTCCCAGTGAGAGATCGTTTGTATTCCCCCGCTGACCTTCGCGAAGTGTGGAGAATGGAATCGGACCGTTCTACAATATCACCGTCCTTGTATTCTACACTCTACTCGGGGACTTCGAAGACGGTATGTTTGATGGAGTGTCAGGAAGACGGGGTGTCAGTAGCACGAGCCTCACAGGACCGGTATCAGCGCTCTATGGGCGTTCAAAGTGGGGTTGTTGTCTGTGCCTAAATTGCGAACTTGGACGGTGAGGTCAAGCTGGATTTAGCAGGAACCTGACATTAGTTCGTTCTGGTTTAAGGAGAGGATTGAAGACACGGTGGACAATTAAAAAGCGGGGTTCAATACTGCATAAGAGGCACTGGCACGATACGTTGGCGCGATCGCAGACCACCCCACCGTACGCCACAAGAATCGAACGTCTTCGGTGTCCCAGAACCCTCGACGCGAAGCGGCGAACACTTGTCTCAACGGCAGATTTCGCTCAGAGATAACACATCCAGAGACTCAAGCACCACCAGCGCCTATATGCCTTACTCCCAGCCGTGCTCGAGCGTATAGCGAATTAACCTCCTGATAAGATTACAATTCGTGGAGCGCAACCGAAACTGCTCCTAGTAACTTTCCCTATCTCGCTTTTGGACGATCCGGCTAATTGTGCGTTGTGAAGGTGAAACATGCGTCCGAGAAGTCTCCGGATCCGTTACACCAAACACCCTGGAATGCGCACGAACCCACCGCATGAGAGCTTCCATAATTAACGATTTCCCTTATTCTGCAACCACTAGTAACCGTCCTCTCGGATCCTGCCGCCCGACGCCATCGTCTTCGAAGTTCGAAATATGGACCTTTATGGAGGTAATATGGACTGGTTCATGAAAAGGGGAATGCACCCCAGAATGGACCCTGCACAGCTCGCACAGGCCTTTTGTTTGTCAGGACTTCAGGGAAGGATGAGAGACGGAGGAAATCGGGCGTAGGGACTTGGCCATGGGAGGAACTGGGAGGAATTAATTCGGTACGGTATGGTGCGTGGTGGGTGATCACACGATAGTCGTACAGGTGCATTTGGCCGTCCCAATGACGTGTACACAGCTGCACCTCTCATCTACGGCCATTCTGACACCGCCCGTCAATATTCAATATTCAATGGCCGTGTACTTGAAAATGACCGGGCCTTTGGCCTAGGCCGGCGTCCTGATCCTGATTCCTGAACAGCGTTTTATTCGCGAGCTCTAAACAGTCCGAGGGTACTTAGTTCTCGAGGTCTCGATTCTTGATTTCTCCCCCTATCGCGAGCGAGATGAATGTCAGCTGCAGTCAGAAGCAGTGCCTAGAGAGATCCCTCAGGCTAAGTCCGAAAGCTTCGACGACGTCTCCTCATGCTCGCTCCATACTCTTGCTCCAAAGAAGACAGTGTGGCGCACACCTACCTGTCATTCTTCCTGACAGCTCAGTCTTGAAATTCTACCTATGAAGTTTCAATGTGACTAGAGAGCGGGCTATGACTGTGTAAGCCCCATACTCTTGCTCGAAAAAAGACAGTGTGGCGCACTCCTAGTCTCATAAGCTTAAACTTCATACCGCCTGTCATTCGTTGAAAGGTCCACAATTCCTCCCAAAAATCTTAGTTCTAGCGTTTAACGTCAATCACAATGGGGTTCTTTCAGTGGACCATACGTAGGGCGTACTTACAACGAGAGGACGTCCCCCTGGGCCAAGAAGCCCGAAAGCTTCAACGACGTCTACTTACTTGTGTTCGCTCCATACCTTGAGTCCAAAAGTATACTGTGGCGCACTCCATTCCGCCTGTCAGGTCCTGAATCAATTCTTCCCCAAAAATCCTAACCTAATTCCAACATTCTAACGATTGACGATTGACGATTCAGTATATTCTTTATTCAATTCAGATCCAGACAAACTGTAAGTATATATGTACAAAGCGATTCAAGTTTCGAAAAATTCTACCTATGAAATTTCAACGATGACCACGACAAGGAACAGGAACGTAATTTTCGAGTTGTATAATTATAAATGAGGCAATGGAGGACGTGGATAGGTGGATAGGAGAGGACCAAACGAGTGTGATAGTTAATATATATGTGCTGGTTGCATGGCTGATGCGACGACGCCACCTGTGTCGAGAGAAGGGATAACAAGAGGTGGAACCAAGGAAAAGAAAGTCCATTAAACAGCGTCTATAGGGGGTTTCGATTATGGTGTACCGTAGTGTGCGTGTGTGTGTTTCTTGGTTGTTAATTGATCATTGGTGTATAGGGCGGGGCGGCGTCGCTCGGTGTGGTATGGGACGAGTGCCTTGAATGAATCTCGAGAGCCCACTGGACGATATCGATGAGCGGTTGACGACCGGGCTCGATGCTCAATCGAGATGAGAGGCCGAGCGGAGACAGGAGAGTTCGGCGAGGAGCAAAGGAGTGGATAGGGAGAGAGCAGAGGAGGAACTTGAAGGGAGGATTAAAGGAGCGTAGGTATGTGGGATGTATGTACTTCGAATCCAAAATTATGTATATGAGTATATCCAGAGATGGCTGGCTGGCTGGTTATGCGCCGACTGTCGGTCGGTCGGTCGGTTGGGGATACAAAGATGCAAAACGCGAACGCAAACGCGGACGGACGAAATTCAGATGGATACAAATGCAGAAGCAGAAGGCATAGAGGTGTAGAGCTGGATGGAACATGGGATACGGGATGTGGGATGCGGGATGTGGAATCATACAGCCAAAGAGATGAAGAAGAAAAAGAAAAAAATAAAGAGGTAAACACAAAATCGAGGAGAGATAAGGAAAAGGAACCAAAAAGAAACCCAATGACGATGACGATGCTTCAGATCTTCAGATAGCGAAAAAATACACACAGAAATTCTTCTTTCTCTCTTTACTTTCTTTGCTTTCCTTCTTTCTTTCTTCTTTCTTGAAACTTGCACTTCCTTCTTCTTACCTCCTCACTCTACACAACAACACCACTCTCCTTCTGTCCCCCTCCCACCCCTTCCGCCGCCGCACCACCACCAACCGCAACGCCCAACAACTTCCTCCACCCCCCACCCCACGCAGCAGCCAGTACCCCAGCCGCACTTCTCCCACTTTGGTCCTCAGCCCCATCCGGGCTGTCGACAGGCGACATCGGGTCCGCAGGCGGCTCGCCCAGCCCCTCCACGCTCGCGAAGCTCACGTACCCGTCCATGGCGCGGCACTGCTCGGAGGCTTTGCGCGCGTTGAAGGGGGGGCGGATGGGCGTGTTCATGGTCCCATTCGCGTTGGGTAGGGGCATGTTGAGATGGGAGGGGTGGGCAGGGGGCGATAGAGGGAGGGGTGGAATGGCGGTCAAGGGATCGGCGATGGCGTACGTCGAGGACGGGAAGGAGCGTGAGGATGAGGATGTCAGCTCTGACGACGACGCTGAGTCGGGGTCGGGGTCGGAGGAGGAGTATTGGCCGCCTAGGGGGGCGTGCGCCGGTCTCCTCGTTATACCACCTACGCCGAGTCCGAGTCCGCTGCCGTTCCCGAGTCCGCTATGCAAAGGCACCCTCCGGGTCGTAGCATACGCACTTGGATGTGGGAGGTCATGCCGCGTCTTGTACGGGCTCGGACAGTATCCTTCCCCCCCTCCTGCTCCTGCTCTGGCGCTGCTGACGTACGAAAAGAGCCTCGTTTGGTGCGGCGGCGTCGGTGGTGGGGTTAACAACTTCAGCTCTCCATCGCCATCCTCTCCGTCTCCTTCCTTGTCGCACTCTCCAGAGCCTGCGCCGGAGGCCACCAAGGGCGGGGTCGTGCCCGTATGCTGCAGGTCCTTAGGCTTCGACGCTGTCGTCGGAGTAGAAAGCATCGGCACCGTCCCGCCCCTACGCGGTGTCAGCGCTGGTGTGGCTGCGACACCGACACTGGCGCTGGGGGTGGTGGTTGAAGGGACAGGGTACGTCTGCGACCGAGACCTGCTATGCACCTGTGCTTGAGCTGAGTGTTGAGCGTGTGGCTTCGACGACCGCGAGCTGCTGCTCCCACTCCCGCTCTGAGACGAGTTGAGCGGGCTCGAAACTCCCTAAAGTCCATAGGGTTCAACGGTCAATATATGCGTTAAGAAACGGCAGTTAGCACGACGCACCGAAGTCTCCATCCTGTCCCTCTCGCCCTGCCTCTCCCTTTCTCGCGCGCGCCACGGCCACCCACCCTCCTCATCCCTCACCTCGTTCGTCCAACTCGTCCTGCTCCCGCTCGCACTCCTCCCAGTACTCTCACTGGTCCTGGTCCTGCTCCCACTAGCACTCCTCCGAGTACTTATCCTCGTATGACTCTCCCCCTCCATCTGCAACTGCGTCTGAGACCCCTCAACGACCCTTCCCGTCAACAACACCCTCTCCAACCGCGCTTTCAGGACTTGGCCTTGTGGTGTCTCTACTAACGGTTCTCCTCCTGACGCCGCACTGTAGGGCGTCTGTTCAAGCGAGATAGGAGCCGGTCTCTGCCTGCCGCTGTCCCTCTCCTTGCTGGGGCTCTTCTCTACACGTTGTGCCTGTCGTTGGTGTTGGTGTGCCTGGCGGGCCCCGTGCGCAGCGGGATGATGGGCATCGTCGAGGACATCGTCGAGGACTAAAGGCGACGGGCGCTGCAGCTGTAACGAGCCCGGGCGTCGACGGCGGTGTGTAGGCATGGGCGAGGGCGAGGGGCTGCGCTCGTCTGACCGCGACTGGGACTGTATAGAGCGGGGGCGGGGGCGGCGCGAGGACGATGTCGGCTGTTGTTGGTGGTGATGGACACGACTAGGCGTGCTAGGCACCGACCCCTCCGCCTCCGCATCACCCCCATAGAACGGTATTGGTGCCTCGGGCCCGTGCGGCGACGGGTTGCTCATCGGCGTGCGGAAGAGGAACGAGCCGCGTGTGTAGGTGTATTCCTCGTCCACTCTTGCTGACCCCAAACCCGTTGCAGCCATACTCCTTGTCGTTGCGGCGGCGGTGGAGGTGGGCACATGCGAGTGCCGCCTCCTATGCGTCGGCCTCGCTGGGGACGAGGAGGGGGAGGACGGCAGGGGCAGGGGCAGGTAGGACGACACCAGCGGTGACGAAGGCAGCTGAGCGTTGTTGAGGTTATTGCGCTCCTTCTCGTCCCGCTGGAGAGCGTCCCGTAAGAGGCGCTCTGAGCGGCTGGGGGTGGTTGGGCGCTGGTTGCCTATGGCCGTGGTCATGGGCGACTGTGGGTGCTGTGGCGTTGGGTGGTGCAGCGCCATGTTACTGTCGTTGTCGGTAGTGGTGTTAACGTTAAACACGAACGTCGACGTCGACGGTGTAGGCGTAGGCGTAGGGATAGGAGAGGCTGGCGTAGAGTCCGACCTGGGCGAGCCGGCGAAGGGAAGAAGTAGGCGGAAGAAGGGGCTGGCGCGTGCGCGGGGGGTGCTGGGTGAAAGGGGGCGTTGGTGTTGGGCTGGTGCGGGTGTCTTTGGTGTGGGTGTATGTGTATGGGGGGTGGTGGTGCCAGGCAGCAATACTGCTGTTCGTGCCTGCGGCGATGACGACCCTGGTACTCCTGATGCCGGTGCTGGTGCTCCGGTCAACGATGAAGCGAGCGAAGCCGCAGAGGCGCTGCGCAGTGGAGTGTGCGTATGCGTGTGCGGCGTGCGAGGGGCGTGGTAGGGGTACAGTGGGGTGCGTGCCGGAGAGAGCGAGGCGGAGGAGGCAGAGAGGGAGAGCGAGGAGGCAGATGCGTTAGGACTGGGCAGCCCGAGGCTGTTGGTGTGTCGGTGGTGCTGGTGCTGGTAGCGCAGTGGTGTAGGTGCGCGCTTGGTGTGGGCTTCGTTGTCTGTCAATGCTGTTGCTGTTGCTGCGGGCAGGGGTGAGCGGGGGACAAAGGGGCCCACTAGAACCGACTCACCTTGTTCAGCAGCTAACGGGGCAGGACGACGACGACGCTTGGTTGACTCGTAGTCGGAATGAGGAACAGACAGAGATCGAGAGGACGACATCATGAGCGGATCCCGGGGAACGTCGAATTATAATCCAGAGCGAAAAATAAATCAAAGCGAGCGAAAATGCGTAATCCGCAAACGGGTCTTTCCTGCTTTGACCCCCTTGACCGTCAATGGAAATCCTCCCTTTCGCTGGCCTCGCCTTGCCGTGTGTATCTGGATGTGCGGTGGGTGATCGTATCTAGATCCTGCGCAACGAACGGATGGCTGGGCCGATCGAGAATCGAGATGGGTGGTCCTGTCTGTGCGTGATTGAGCTGAGGTTTGGGATTTTGGGGTTGGGGAGGAAACCACCTGACCAACACGCAACCCCGGATCTCAGATTCAGAATGGGGAATCTCGGATTGGCCGGATGGATGTGTGGATGCTTACTCACCGGACTCGAGTGTTCGAAATATTTCGCTACGTGGTCAGCGCGAGGTGCGTCTGTTGCAACTTGCCAATGCTAGTTCCGGGCGTGGGGTAGGTCGGACGCGTGATGTTGTGCACGCTGCTTGTCTTGTGGGACTTGAAGTACGCTTGCGGTGGGGAGATGGAATGCGGACCTGCTGCCTGCCTGACCTCTCGCTCGCTCGCTCGATATCCCGCAATTCCAAGCCTGCTATCGTCCTATCACTTCCTAAGCCCTCAAACTTCAACTTCAGCTTCAGCTCCGGAGGTATCCCGTATCACGAGGGTCGACGGTCGACTGTCGGTCGGACGGAACGACGGATCGTACACGGATGGGTGAAAGCTTGACGGGAATATCAGACACGCCGTCTGCACGAGGCTGAACGGCCGGATGGCGGTACCGTGGTGAAAGGGATTTATAACTGATAACTGGCAGCTGACGGTGATTCGAGAGTCGAGTGCGTGGCCCTGGAACGGTAGATGGCGAGTGACGCGACCCTTCGGTGACTTGGGTGAATTGCGGGGATGGACGCGGGGATGGGATGGGTAGGTGGGCGGATGATGGTAGACGCGGGGTGAACTTGAAGATAGACGCGGGGGTGAGGTATCGAAGGGATATGGGATGTGGTGGGACGTAGACACGAAGGGGGAGTAGTACACCTGGTACGTGTCCTCGACTCTTTCTGTCTTGTCTCTGTGCTGTGCGACGTCGAGGGCGCGTGGCGGGATGTGGATGTGGTGGTTGGGTCGGAAGTGGTCTATGCTGGAGAAGGAGGTGGAGATGGTGGTGGGTGCTGAGAAACGTGTACTCTAAGCGACGGCGGCCTCGAAGGCTCGAACGGTTGTTACTCAATTGACGAAAATGAATAAAATTAACCCCGCTCCCCGGACGACGGACGGACGGGATCAAACATCCCAAATAAAAATCGTTGATTGGGTCGAGAATATGCATGTTTTAGAGTTTCACCACCCGAAATGGACGAAGGCGTTCAAATAGAATACGAATGTGGGGGATTTGTAATATTCTCCTCATCCTAATAAGGAATACCAAAAAGAGAAAATGAAAAAAAATTGAGGAGGTATCTTGGTTACGAGAGCTAGGTAAGCCGGTTGCATATGGCATTGGAAAAGGGGCTCGAGAACCGGACCCACCGACAAGGGTAATGGCGCGTTGTAGACGCCTGTGGAGCGCAACAAAAGTGCTCGGATTTGAAAAGGTCTCACTCTATATCTCTTCCATCCTTATTTTTTTTTCGTGCGCCTATCCTCAGTCTGACGACAATAATACCGGCGGCCAATTGTCTATGCGCGCAAGACGCGATCATCCTCCAAAGATGATCACCGAATGGACTAAGTAAGCACATCGCATTCACAACAGTTGGTGCTGAATGAGAATGACAATCACAATCATGATCAGCTTCTCTTGTCAGGTCTAGAGTCGTCTTTTGGTTTGGAATCGGGATGACCACAAACACGGCCTGTCAGCGACGGAGGCCCGTTATCCCTCGTGCGTGGCAAATGCCATCTGAATTTCATGAATTTCGCGATAAACCAGTACGGATGTACAAAATGGGGGACCCATGGCCACATCTGAATGGTAACGGCGCTTGACGCCTGTGGAGCGCGGAAAGGTCTCGGTATTGTGTATTATGATAGTATATTTTCCGTTCATAATTAATTGTTCCGCACGCCTATCCTCAGTCTGACGACAACTACGCGTCGGGCAATTGCCAATGCGCGCCGCGGCAAGCGTCGAGGAGATCAGAAGATGGACTACGTCAATCCGGATCCGTTTACAACTTTAAACAGCTGGTGCTGGCGCTGAATATTTGAATCCCAATCATGATCACCTTCTCAGGTCTAGTCTGGTACCGTCCTGGTCCGTGGATGACCACAAAGCGTGGACGACGACGACGACGACGGAAGCCCGTGCTTCCTTCCCTCCTGAATTTCGCGATATCGATAAACCAGTACGAACGTACGAAATAGTCGATTATTCGTTCACTGGTATGTATCCACGATAATCTTCCGTCACAGTACGCGTCCATCCACGTCCGACGTCCGTATGTCGCGCTTCCGAAATTCCTGGACGTACTCCATATGTCATCTATATATGACCTGACAAAAAAAGAACAACAATAATTCTCCGCACTTTCACCTCGCGACGCGCTGCCATCCCCCCACGCACACGCTCCCAATTCCCCACTTCCAACACCGAAACTCGAACCTCAAGCGACCCGAGTGACAGATTCAGTCCAAATTCGCTCAGTATCTGTCACACGTCCTCCCATAAAAGGCCTCCCCGAATCCCGCCTTGGCGCCGGGCGGGCACTGCCACTACTTAGAAGATGGGCAATTCTATTTATCAGCCGTTTCCCCAAGAGCGTGGAAAAGCCGCCGGTAGCTATGTCCTTATGGGAATACTGAAGAGAGCTTGAACCCCAGAATTACTTGCTGATGCCGAGGTTGAGGTCGAGGCCTGAGTACGGTTTGTCTTTTGTTGCCGGAAGCCGGACAGAAGGGAAGGAGGGATGGGGGCTTCGGGGAATGAGGCGCTGGAAAGTGAGGATGAAGTAGCTGGTAGTTGGAGTTATGGGAGGGACGGTATTAGATAGCTGACGCGCCCGAAAGAGATATTTTCAGCAATGCTAGGCTCTACTTGACCAGACGAACGGAAATTACTTTCAACTGCTTTACGATACCATACACTTCGACTACTGGAGACTGGAGACTGGAGACTGGGGGCGTAACGAAAACGGCACGAATGAATGGTTCACCCGCCATACATTCGGGGAGGCACCTATCAAACATGCTGCAGGCAACCATCGAACGTCGAACGAAATAACTGCCCATGGGCTTGCCACTACCTGGAATTGTGCTCATGAATGACACCTTGGCCCCACTTATCGTTGACGAGTTGCGTATGTCGCTCCACTTCAATTAAGGCCACGCTCTCGGGGAGCACCAAAGAAGGGAAGTTTGCCGGGTTTTGAGAGGCTTCGATGGGGACGCGCTAGGCGGGCTTGGGATAAATAAATGTCTTCGGTCAGTTCCACGATTGCTTTTGGTAAGTAGATCTCGTGAGGTAAAACTCGACCTTGCAGAGCTGAGAGTTGGAGGAGAATCCTATGAATTCGAGGTTTGAAATCGTTGTGGTTGATCGTACGCATGGATCTTCTTGCTTCGGAATATTGAAGTAAGCGCCCCGCAAAACACCGAACGCGCTTTCCGAGAACGAGCGCGAAGTTGGACAGAATTTGCCAGGGCTCTGGCGACACTCTAAATTCTTTCCACTGCTCGATCAATATCCCAGGACGAGGGGTACATATGTACATACTTGTGGGATGTCCTAGGCCGCGGATTCAAATGAATGCGAGTCGCAATCCTTCCAGGATCCGGCGTAAAAGACGCGGATATCATGAGGGGTCAGCTGCTTGTAGCGTCATCAGGACCCGTCAGTTTCAAGCTTGCATTAGAGTTCATTACGAAATGCATTTCCCCAACATTTTCGCCCTCGTGATCGAGTACGTACGTATTGCGGGGTAGAAAAACAGCGGGACGTGGGGAAAGAGCACGGGTTTTAGGGATTCGCATTTTGTATTTATGGGACGAGTTTCTTTACCACTGCGTTAACGTTGTTGCGGTCCAGGAGGCATACAGTTGGCTAGTGTGAAAGAGGCTCGGAAGGATCTTGAGTCGCGAACACCTCCGTGGACTCAGCGTGGAAGACAGACATTTAGACCAGGGTGGATGCTCCGTGAAAGACGGTGGAAGGAATGACCAGACCACGAGTCGATAACTCTGACTTCTGACTGAACTGTGTCACGTACAATATGTCGGTAATTATTGTGGATAGCTTGAACTTCGATCCAACTGGTGTCCACACATCATAAGAGCAAAAATAGAGCACGCTTTCCTTTGCACGTCATTTAATGCTCTGGGGCTTCCCCGACTCGAGCTTCAAAATATAATGTAGAGGTGTTACGCCGAATACGCCGAATACCTTGGCTTCATTTTCGAAGACGCCAAACAAACCGAAAGAACCGGTCGATGCGTATCTTGACTTTGTTCCACCTCGACGAAACACAGCCTAACGGCTCAATCCTGCGATTAGAACTCGCTCCGCGCCTTCGAATTCTTGCCCTGCCGACTTCCTACAGCGAGCAAGAAGATATTGATGTTCTTGTTAACTCAACTTTGAAACAGCTGGTTCAGACTCCTCGACGCCTCTCATCACCGGGTATTAGGAAGCACCTTCATGCCCCAGACCAGGTTTCTCATGGGTTCATAAGTCAATCCCAGATGCTATTCGATCTAAATCGTGCCTTGCCCCTGTCTACGGACCGCATTGCAATGGTGCTCGCGTTCTGCCATGTCGAAAGGTTATCTAGAGAGCCTTACAAGTCGCACCCTCGGCCCCAATCCTCCCGACGGAAGGGCTTTCATGTCCGGGGCCGAACGTCCTGAACGACGAAACGCATGTATAGACGACAACGCCACTCGTTCGTTCTGCGTCCGAATCTTCGCCCGCATCTCTCTGCGAACCCATCACTCCGCCACTCAGGTGCTGCACGCGACCGGTGGAGAGGTCTCCCCAGATCGTGCTTCGCTGCCCCACGGAATCTTCTCTCGACGCTCTAAATCTGAACCTTTGCGTCTCTGACTCTGCTGGGGGTGATGCGGGATTTTCGCGCTTCGCGGTCCTTTTGGTTGGCTCATTTATGGAGGACTCTTCTCTCCGTGTCGATATTGATATCGCTATGCGGAAGCCTATCTTGAGAGCTCGGTGACGTCCTAGTGCTTCGTTTCTGTTCCTTTAACCGTTGCTTCTTGCCCCGCTTTGCACCTGAGAACGTGGCGGCGTGGTCTATGGCAAAATCCTCGCTGTGGATGACGCCGGCGAGGCTAAAATCCCTCCTGGCCCCTCCCTTGCACCTCTTGCCTTCTGCCCATTCCCTATCTCTCTGTTCTCATCCTCAGATTGTAATCCATCTTTTCCAGGACCCTCAAGAATCCTTTCTATAAATCTTGACCGCCTTCTCATCTACGCGGGGTAATTGGGTCAATCCGACTCAAACGGAGGTCGTCTTGCAAGCTTGACCAACGCACGCATGGCTGGTCGAATGTTCCGAAAGCTTCAGTTTTATAGCTGTCTCTGACTAGGTTGAGCAATGCAGCTGGTCATCGTCGACGAGAAAAAACCGTCATCGGACCTGCTCTTGTGCATTTCCCCGTCAACAACCATCAGCTAAAGTCATTTCTTCGGAAGGTCGGACCACCTGTGTAGTCTCCTTCAGCTTCAAACCGCTGTGCTCACTTTTGGCTGTTCAAGCTAAGGTTCGAATTCTCTGACACCCTGCTCTGCTGACCTGGGTTAGACCTTGATACAATTATTTGCTCGTGGATGACTGTAGATTCGGCACCTCTACGCACAATCCAAAGCTCCGGTAGGTAACCTGCAGCCATTGGGTCAGAGTAGAAAGCAGCCATTAGTGTCTCTGGGGGTGAATTGTTATTATTAGCACTGTACCCTCCTGGCTTCCACCAAGAATCGACAGTGTTTACACAGCTTATAACGACAACGTGAGAGGGTCGTGTACCCTCTAGAATGAATACCAGTGGATCCCAAATTACTGACAAGACTACTGAATAAATATGTTTGAGCGCTAGGTGCCTGGTAAATGTGAAGGACGTAATCCTAATAAAAATAGACGAAAAAAAAACTTAGATATTAGAACCAACGAGGGCTCGTAGCCGGCGTTGGAGGTAAGGAATTTCGTTGGAGTTGTTCTTTCATGACCTGCGCGTAGGCAGAGGGCAAAGCAGCAGTCTGAGCAACGAGCTGGCGGAGGACAGCCTCCATAGTATCGAAGCGTAGCTCAGAATTCGCCTCGAACGTCGCCAGGCGCTGTTCGATCCGGTGTTTGAGATTGGCGAGGCGGTCTTCGACTTTGGCGTCAATGGCGGCGAGGCTGGATGTCAATTTGTGCTCCATTGATACGAGACGCTGCTGGAGGATGGCGAGGCGCTCCTCTGTGGTGGCGTCTGCACCGGCGATGGAGGCATCGCGGACCTTGATCAAGGGGTGATTGAGTTTGTGGCCTGGAGAAGGGCCGTTCGGGATGCTTTTGAGCCTGCGCACATCACAGTCGATGCAAACAAAGGTGTCGCGCTCTGGGTAAGAGATTTCAATCAACAACTGTTCTAAGAGTAGCTGAAACGACTTACGACAAATCACGCAAGCCCAACAAGGGGTGCTCACACGCCTGTTGCAGCACGCGCAGGTCGGTTCGTGTCTGGTGTCCTCGACGAGCGAAGCTCTTTTCACGAGAGCATGCTCTGCATCTAGGGAAGTTGAAGACTCGATGGTTCGGAAAATTCCCTTGATGCGGTTGATAGTGGCATGTGCGGACTCGACAACCTGCGCGAAATGAAAGTCGTGTAGGGTTTCTTCGACCTTCACCATATCGTGCGAGATATCGTGCGTGAATCCACGCTTCGACGGCGACTTATCCAGGCAAACGGCACAGAGGTTGATGTTGTCGGAGAGGTCCTCGGCCATGCACTGGATACAAAGCACACGGCATTTCGTTATCCGTCGCTCGCACCAATCGCAGCCCCAGGCACTACGGTTAATTAATCATCAGTGAGTGAGATTGGTGAGAACGGGCACTCAATAGCTTACGGATGCCAGGGCAATTTTTGGATCTCGAACTCGCAGAGAGCTTGATAAAAACGAGCCTCGGAGGGATTCAAATCACGCCGGAGGTGCTCGAGTTCGCCGTTCTCAGCAGAAGTGAGTGGCTTTTGAGGAGTAAGACCCATGGTGACGATGAGGCACCTTGTGCTAAGCTCGACGAAGCGCTTTCGCTCCATAAACCTTGCCTTGAAGAATCGTCTTGACCAGAGCTTCTCCTGGGCTTGATGCAAGGCCGCGTTGCCAGCAAAAGCCCATCGTGCCCTCACTGGGTCTTCCAAGAACCGCTGTGGCGTATATCGATACCTCAACAGCGAAGGCGGCGTCTTTCGCATTTGAATGGGCCGGTAGTATGGTTCCTCGGGGTTCTCTTTTTGTCGCCGATCGCTCCAACTCAAGTTGATAGTATTCGTCGAGGTGTCCAGATGACCGGAGGCGGTCCTCGACAGTTCATCATCGTCCACTAACACAAATTCGAAATTATACCCCGTCCTCGTGCGACTGACTCGACCCGTGAGACTGAAGGTGTTGCCGAAATCTTCACCTTTCCCGATGATCTGTTTCTGGTCCGCTGACAGGTGCAGTGAAATCTGGAGAACGTAGGTGGTGACCTCGCTGCCCTCAGTTCGCGAGCAATGACTGGTCCATGTGCCCTGGATCGGGTGAGAACACCATTGGAGACGGTCCGGTTCAAATTCAAAGTAATCCATTGACTGGAAGCTGTCTCAAATACCATATTTGAGGATAGCTAATGGAATACGTGATATCTTTGTCTTAATCGACAGGGGTGTGATGACTTCTTTGGTTGTGTTCTCGTCTTCGTCCACCCAGGTGGCGAATGAGTTTTGGATTGGCACGCGCTTGATGTCGCCATAAGAGAGTTGAAACTGGATGCTAACATAAGCACAGCGTCCGGAGCTCATACACAGAAGAACTGACAATACCAAAAGCGAAGTTGCTGAGGCAAGCTTGAACATCCAAGTGAGTCTGTTTGAAAACAGCTGGAAAGAGTGAGCTTTGGTGTAGATTTCAAACCGGCCAATGCATACCCTCAAGATTCTGGACGCAATAATCAACGAGGAGGAGCACAGAAACAAGAGATTCATTGAGAGTAGCGAGTTCTTCCGTATCCAGGACATGCTTGCACCCCAGCATCATGACCTTGAGATGTCGGCGAAGGAGCAAGTAGATCAGCGGGAAGACATACTGAATAGAAAGCACATTAGAAAAGAAAGTAGAAAAGATTAACAGCGGTATACTTACGCGTTCAATTCGACCTTCTCCTGTTATCAGGGAGACAGTAGCAGTTGTGTCCAGTTCATAATTGACATCTTGCAGGGTCATATCCAACCTCTCTTCCTCTACTACAGTGTACATCTCCGTTATCCTTGCCAAGTCCGGATCTGACAAGATCTTAGAGCTTGACGATTGTGTCGACCGCAACAGGAGTTCGATGTGCCAAAACGAGGGATGAAAGAGATATTCGTCAACTACACGTCTGTTTGAGGGAAGGATGTGTTCGAGAGTCTGGAACATCGTTTGGACGAGGCCATAGATTTTGTTTTTGTAGAGGGAGATACTTGCTTGCCAGCCTGTGCGAGAGACGATAAGGTAAGACAAACGACATCGGAAAGGAAGATAGCTAGACATGCCGACAGCCCAATATGCAATCCAGGTAGGCAGGCTGCGTAGCAATAACCTTCAGATGAATGGCTTGGAAGATAAGCCAGTTTGCTCACCTCCATCCTTCTGGTCGGGAAGCAACGAACGTGTTCACCTCCTTAACGCTGACAAAGCCCGTACCATCGTCGTCCACCGCCTCGAGAATCGGTTGGATGTAAGCAGCGTTAATATAAGCTAGTGCCCACTTGTCGTCTTGACGCTTCATGTTAGACACTGCTGACTGAGCCGATCTAGGTTGACAAGGAGGCGGCGGCATGACCACTAGCGATCTGCGGTCGACGGTGGGCGGATCAGAATTATGTTTGCTCAACTTATCAGTATAGTAGTCGTGCAACGCGAGGACGAAATGTCTAGCTTTGACGCTGCCTTTCCAACCCTGGGAAATATAAGGCTACGTCGAAGAGGAAACTGAGTGCCGTACCATATCTTTCCATATCTTTTGAAGGTCCTGTTGGGCGCTGTCAATGAAAATTTGAGGAGTGAAGACAAGAAGCGCATACGGGGTCAATGATTTGGTCATGAGCACCAGACAGAAGGGTGCTAATGATATGGTCTGACTCAGACTGGATTGTCTCTGTAAGCGGCTTGCTCTGCATGTTGAGCTTCCTCTCGAACAGGACCATATTCCGTGCGAATGTTTTGTCGACATCCTCCATCAGCTCTTTAGCAGCCGCTTGCAAATGCTCGGGAGGTCGTTTGACCTCTTGGACGCATCACGACCAGCTATGCGAGAAAATGACTCTCCGGTCTTCACGATCAGCTCTTCCAGGAGCTCATCGTTATTCAAACATGCCTTGACTCTGCCGTGCTCTTTGATGAACTTTTGTATCTCCCTCTCTCGTGGGGTGTCAAGCTTGCGGAAGAGGGCGATCATGTTGAGCTTCTCTTTGATGGACTGGAGAGCAGCGCCATGTCAATCGAGTTTTACATTGGCGGCGTCGACGCCGAGAGTTGTGTGCAAAGCAAAGGCCATCTCCAGCTTCTGTCGGTGGTCCGAGAACGTTGTCACGAAGTCGGAGAGGCGCGCTTCATACTTGGCAGCTTTGACGGTTTTGGCTAAGGTTAGTACCTCATTAGCAAGAGAACACAATAGAACGGAATGTAAGATCCACCCAATAGGTTCTTCTTGAGGTAGGCATCACAAGCCAACCCACATGCTTTTACGTCTTTCGCAATCATTATCATAAGACCTCCAAGCTGGTCTGCTATCATCAAGCCATCGGGGGCAGCTTCCTGGGAATTGTGGACATGGCGGAGCCTGATCCTATAGTTAAGGAAGAAAGTCTTGATTTCAAACATGAGAACATACTCAAAAAATACAGTCATGAGGTCTTGCATTTGAAGCCTGATGGCATGAACTTTACGATCATTGTCCCGTCGACTCAAGTCTAGAGTGATGATGACTACAAAAGCACCAACAGCCACTAATGATAAAAAAAGATAATATCGAGGTATTGAAGCAAAGAGGGGGCTACTCACCTGTTATGAATGGATGTAACTGGGAGAGAGCCTGGAGTCCTTTCACGACCGCCTGCGCTGATTCGGTGTACCCATTGACGGAGTCCTCCACGCTCTTAATATCACTGAAGTCTCGAGGTGGAGGACATAACAGGTTGGCGTTGGCCTCATAAAATTCATTAATAAACTTGAACGGATTCGTGGATTCCGACACTGATCCTGCCTCCAGGCGTTCTACGAAATGCATTAATAAAATAGGTCACCCAGAATATAATAAAGTAGCTGACCGAAATTTCCTGCTTGACCTGCATTACAAGGGTTGGTGAAGGCAGCACAGTGTGCAGCTTCGATCATGCCAGACGAGTTGTCCCTTGCGTAGGGATTGAAATGCCCGTTTTCGAGTCTTGTGGCCATGCAACTGCCTGTGAAGTGGTAGCGGACTCAGAAAGGGGGGGACGCTTCATAGGTTCACCAAAGATCAGAGCAAAAATTGCATTGACAGTTCGCAGGGTTGGGCGCTGGACAATTACACACGCTGCATGATGTTAATCAAATATCCTTCTCCCCACTCAGCCCTTTGTTTGGAAACAGATGAAAGCATCTGCTTACCTATGGTGTGTGCGTACATACATATACCCAACTACATCTGAATCACAATCTCACGTGAACACGGTGGTAAAAATCAGCGATCGACATTTGCCCCAAAGATTCGATGCTTCTATGGCCAGTGTGTGCAGTAATAGGACATTGAAGTCACGTTGAAGTTGTTTTAAGCATGCATGGGCCTTCGAGAGGTTGAGGAAAGTCAATTTGCGCCATGTTGTCTTCGCAAAAGAAGTTTTGTTAAACTGAAGAAATTTTGGAAATCCATTGCGGGCCGTTTCCCATGGAATTTCTGTGATTATGTAAAATAACGAAGGCATGCCAGTACGCAGTGCCCTCACAGGGGGAAGCACTCGGTTTTTTTGGCAAAATGCATGGGAAAACACAAGTGAATCTGTCAAATTTTAATATTCACTTTGGTGTTTCAAATCTTAGGTAAAAACTTTAACAAGTAGCTGGCTCCAGCAATTAGAATGGGAACCTAGGTTTGGGAAAGGCTGAAAGGGCAGAAAACAGGAATATGTTGGTGGGTGTTTCTGGGACCTGTCCGAGAAACACATTTCCTGTTTTCCGCCCTTTTGCCCTTTCAAAAACCTAGATCTCCATTTAAACTGATGGTGCTGACTAATAGTTAAAGTATTTGTCTGGAATTCGGAAAGCCAAAATGAATATTAACACTTGATGGATTTACATGCATTCTCCTGCGCATTTCGCCAAAACAAAAGAGGGCTGCCCCCTGTGCCTGTATTCAATTCATTCAATCAGCTGTTGACATTGAATGTTGAACGTTGAATCCCAGTGGAAAGGTCGCATTTCTATATCCAGCAAGATGCAACAAAATCAAGAAATAAATATTTTGTTTTACGATCCGGTCATTGCTAGATTTTGATTGACAGTATATCAATCCATTTCATGTCCAATACAACCGGATGAAACCATTAATACAATCATTTATAACCACGTACAACATTTGTATACAACTATTATGGAGGCGAGCACAACCACATCGAGCAAAAATCAACCCAGGTAAACAGTAGCTTCCAACCCAATCCAACCAGAGCCAATTGGACAGAACATGCAGCACAGAGCTGAAATTAACTAAATCCTGACGCTATGCAAAAAGAAGGGAGGGACTCACCAAAGGATGGCTATGGCGAATAGGCCAAACAAGACACAATGGACTTGGAAAGGGTTGATGTTGGACTTGACAGCCAGAAGATGAAGGAACCGAGCGAAATCAAGAAGCAAGGGACTTTGAGCACAAGGAGTCGAGTGAGGTTATGAGACACAAGGCAGAAAGAGCAAGAAGTCGGGTGAGATTAGGATTTGAGATGCTGAGAGAGTGAGGAGACGAGCGAGATCAAAAATAGAGAGCACGAGAAAGGCAGCAGATGCAAAGGGCAGTGAGAGAAAACGAGGCAGTGAAGCAGCAATGAGACAAGGCAGACATAAAGCAGGAGAGCAATGAGACAAGGCAAAATAAAGCAGGAGAGCAACAATACGAGGCAGATGTGAAGCAGGAGGACAACGAGGGGGTGCGCACATGCCTTGGTTGCCAACAATAGCTCAAGTGATAAGCACGGCACATGCTTTTGTGGTGCAGAGAGCAGAACCAAATTGGGTCATTGTTACTGACCACAGATAAACTGGATTAGGACTTGGTGGCATTGGTCAAGACTAAAAACATGCATGGTCAAGGCCACAGTGCAACTCCTATCCACTGTATACCACATGGTGCAAGGCTTGGATATGACTCATTTGTACCTGATACCTCTATCTCTTGATGTATTTAAGAATCTGTTAGTTTAGTCTCTAGGTTTTAAGCAATTTACACCCCACATGTTGGACCTAAAATCCAGTGCGAGTGATATATTTGACTTTGTGTGATCAGACCCAATAAAGTGAACTAAGCATCAGTGGAGTGAGAACAACATTTTAAGTGACCAAGTGAGCAATTGTGAAGTCAGTGAGAGTGCCATTGCATCTAAAGTCAAGTAAGCCAATTGGGCTAAGTTAAGGATCCTTTGGTAGAATCGGAGTGTATCTGAGGTGACTTGGTGTTTGCGCTAGATCCTCAATGTCTTGATTTAGAATCGAGTGGTTAAGAAAGCCAATAGAACAAGAGCATGCACTAGTTTTGAAACAAAGTCATTGAGCAATATTGAAGCATAGTAAAATTGTATTGAGTTAAAGTCCACATTAAATTCATGAGTTCAAAAGACCCTACAACCCCTTCTGTTACACCCTATATCTCTTCATTCATTGTTGAGGTCTTGGATAAGAAGATCCATTGCCTAGTGTATCAATAACTAGCACAAGTGTATTGTGTGCGGCATTAGGCGCCTGTCCTTTGAATTAGTCTACATCACTCTCTCATAACTGTAAATACTCAGTCCCCCTTTGGACAAACATTATTGATTGAGTGGTCAATAAGGAGTGTTTTAGTTAGTGGTTAGAGATAACCACTTTGTAGACTCATTCCCACAGCAACCATCTCACTGGAAGAGCATGGCTTGTTCCCAGATGTCTTGAGAGCCAGATCATCAGGCTGGGAGCTGGGTATGGCTCATGACAACAATGAACAATAGAACAACAGGACAGTAGGCTCAGGAATGGGATGTGACATCATGTGGAAGCAGATTCCAGGGGGTAGATTGAAATTAAAAAGAATAAGAGGCCATGCAGTGTTTTCATGGTGTTTGAATGGTGCAAAACCATCTGTTGAGAGCCTGAGGGCAATGTCATGATTATCTGAAAAATATGTGTGACTGAGGTCCTTGCTGTTGATCTTGACCATCTGGGTGAACAGATCTCAATAAGCACTGCCATCAAAAACATCTGTTGTCTTCCCTGGTTCATGGATGTGGTTTGCATGATATTGCATCTCTTCTGCATGCTTCTTGTTGCTAAACAAGGCAATAAGGCATGGAATGATAGAGATATATGTGAAATAATGTCAAGGAGTACCATTGGCTTGAAAGCATGGCTTCTTGCAGTGAGGACAAAATTTAAGGGATTCTTGGGGCCCAGTGTAGCAGCAGCACAAGTTTGGGCAACAGTTGTAATGTTTGGGCTTGAAGCCAGCAAGGAAGGCAACATAGGCACACAAAGAATCAATCTTGGGAAGTGGTGGGTTGCATTGGAAAGCCAGTGGTGCTTTTGCATAACCTTTATCTGTAAGATGAGTTTGTAACTTGAAGGAAAATGCCTGGCATATTGCTCAGTCATAGGCACTCAATTTTTTGGCTGTACAAGATATCAGTTTCTGAGTCAATAATCAAATAAATGACAGAATCATACCAATGGATGCTACCTCCCTCTTGTAGCCTTCACTGAACATATCCCATGCTGATAACCCACCCTCTTGTTATGACCTGTGCTGAGCCAGAGTGAGCTGGGGTTGGATGTGTCGGATGAGCTTTGGTAGTGAGAATCAGATGTGGACCATGGCTTCAATGTGCGTGCGTTGCGCCCTTGAGATAGTCTTGGTCCGATTTCAAAGTATAGGCTTAGGCCAGTGTCAGATGTCGAGTGGATGCGAACAGTTGAGAACAGATGAGAATGAGAGTAGGAGATTAGAAGTCAAGTACAGTCATCCTGCAGTCCCTTATATACTACAACAGATAATGGACTACAGTACATGTTCTCATATTGCATAACGTCGGTTCTGGGGTAAAAGTGATGCATTATTAGATTTATGCAGAACGACAATGTGTGACTAATGTGACTACTGTGACTTTGGCTGTGCGCGTGACATCAGTTCGGCTTGAACCAGTTGGTCAGTGTTGTCTGCTTCGCTCCCATTGCCTCCCGCCTCCTAAGATGTATTCTGAAGCATCTAAGCCCATGGAGAAAGTCAAGAGAGGTCTCCGGATCGTTCTCACTGATGCATGTGCACTCAAGCTGGGTGCAAAGGTCCATGATCTCGCGGGTTGACAGTCGAGGGTGATCGTCATCCTCTTCATCTTCGGAATCCAGCTCAATGACCTCTCCTCTAGCCACAGCTTGTTCATGACGAACCCTGGCCACGATCTCATCATCATCCTCAAAATGAAACTCCCTTTCTCCGATCTCGTCACCGCCAACCGGGTTCAGCATCTCCTCCAACGTGAGAGGAGCCCCAATGATCCTCCTTTGTGCCTTCAAATCTTGAACGACTTTCATCAAGTCTTCTTCTGCGGATTGGAGTTGGGGAAGAGGTGGACGACCTTCTGCAGCTTACGCGGTTTGTAGGGGGCATGCTCGGTTCAGACTTTCCGTTTGCGCTCGTCTGTGTTACGTTTGGCAGGCATGGGAAGACAGAATGTGGGTGGTGGGTTCCCCCGGCGGTTTTGTTGGATGCGCGGTGCTTTTTAGAATATTCTCGAACACGATCGCATAGATATGTAGTGTGGATTAGATGAAAACGACCCTACTGATAATGCATAACTTGGCCCGAGCCTTCATGCATTATGCATTATGCAATTTTCCCCCTGTACGGAGTCAGTTCTAGTCAAAAGTCCATGCACTATTAGAATTATGCAACATGAGGTCATGCATTATGAGAACATGTACTGTACCTATGACAATGAGCCATCGGCTGTACAACTCGTGTAGGGAATGTGTATGCTAGTGACAATAAGATAATGAGGCACATGTACGCTAAGAAATCAAAGACAAATAGCAAACAAAGGAACAATATAATCAAAGAGCTGAAACAGCTATGAACAGATGTCTCTTGGCTCCTGATCGGATGTCATCGGCCTGGAACGGGTCGTGACAGTACCTCCCCCTTAAGGCCGAGCCCCTGAGGCCTTTACTGTGGCTGATGTTTGGTCTTGTGTGCACCATGTTGAACTTTGCTATTGGGTGTTGTTTACGTTTCGGAAAAATTTCTCTTCCGCTCCATCACCTCGCCCCCACAACCCCAACCCCACAATGTCTAACCACAGCACATCTGAGACCCAGCACCAACTTGAGCAACAAAGGAGGTTGGCAGAGCAGAAGGCATGGGAGAGGCAGGAGAGAGCACAGCAGAGGCAGATGGAGGAGGAGAGGGAGAGGGCAGAGGAGGAGGAGTTGGAAAGGGAGGTCACAGAGGTGGAGCAAGCAGCAGAAGAGGAGCAGCTGCAAAACAAAGCAGCAGCTGTGAGGTGGCTCCAAGAGGAGGATGAGCAGAGGCAAAGGGCAGAGGCTGAGAGGAGGGCCAAGGAGCAGAGGTGAGAGGAGGAGAGACGGAGAGCCAAAGAAGAGTGGGCGGCCGAAGCGGCACGGCAGAAGGCTGTCATGTACCTGAGCTTGGATGAGGAGGATGAGGAGGAGGTTGTGGCTAGGGCCCAGCATAAGGGCAAGAAGAGGGCCGTCATGCCATCCTCCAGTGAGTAATGGGTTTCAGATGCTGGAAGTGACTAATGGCTGTCATAGGTGAGAGCAGTTCAGGAAGCGAGAGCGAGAGCAATGAGGGAACAGACAGGGAGAAGGAAAATGGGGAGGAAAAGGGCAAGAGGAGGAAGAAGAAGGAGAAGACAAAGACAAAGAGGGAGAGCCAGAGCTGGAGGTGGTGCCAAAGGCAAAGGCAACGACAACACGAGCCAGGAAGTCGGAGGAGGAGAAGAAGGAGATCCAGGACTGGTGGATCACAAGGGCTGAGCAGGACTGGCCAGTAGCAGCTGAGCTGTGCTCACATTGCCTCTCGGCTGGCTATGTGTGCTGATGGGACCCCATTGCCATGGCGAAGTGGCACAAGGCCATCAAAAGTGGCAGGGGAACAAGGCAGGCCCCACCCAGGGTCTCATGCCCAGCCTGCATGTGCGCCAAGATCTCATGCATGCTGCCGGCTACAAAGTGGATGCACGACCAGCTGGATAAGAACAATGAGGGCAAGAGGAAGCAGGAGGAGGGCAAAGGGGACTTCGAGCCTGAGGAGAGAGCGAAGAAGCCAAGGGTGGAAGAAGGAGGGGAAGCGCTGTGAGCCGGACTGAGCTATGAGAGGCCACATTGGGCAGCGGCTGTTGGGGTGGATCGGGTGTGGAGGAGGCAGAGGAGGGAGCAGGCGGAAGCATTGGACGACCCAATGATCCACCTTGCGTGGTCCATTGAGTCAATGCAGAGGCAACAGGTGACCATGAACCAGGCCATCCTCGAGCAGCTCGAGATGGCCAACTGCCTCCTAGAGTGGTTTGTGAAAGCCTATGAGAAGGCCAACGGAGTGGAGGAGCCAGAAGGCAGAGCAGGAGAGGGATCCGGAGGCAGAGCAGAAGGCGGCAGCATGGCCCAGTAGGTACAGAACAGTACGGCTGCGAAAAAAATGTACATACAAAAATTTCTTGATCTTGTTAATGGAGGCTTTGAGTTTTTTGAAATGAAAAATGAATGTAGTAAGAAGGAACAGGAGTGGATGGCAAAATGGAAGCAAACAGAAGATGACCGGAAGGGAGATGGACTTAGAAAAAATAAGGAGTGCAAAAGGGGCAGATGAAGAGAAATGGAAGTCAAACCAGCAAGGGGCCCTGCTTGTTGGGATATGCCTTGTGGAATTCTTTGACTAGTTCTTGAGCATTCAGAAGTTCATCGGCCGGCTGCCAGGAGAACTCCTCATCCGTGTTCTCATAGCCATACCATCGAATATAGTAAAGGAGCTTGCACTTGCGCCATTGATTGATTTTGGAATCGACTATCTCAGTGACCTTGTACTCGAGCTCGCCTTCGATTTCAACAGGTGCTGGTGGCTCGACAGTTCAGTTCGGAATAGTACTTGGCTTGAATGGCTTGAGCATGGAAACATGGAACACTAGATGGACTAGTCGCATAGACTGGGGAAGGCAGAGGGTGAAGGAATGAGATCCTACTTTGGCTATGATCTTGTAGGGGCCAAGGAACTTCTCAGCAAGCTTCTTGGATGGGTGGGTGGTTTGGAAGAATTGAGCCTTGACAAAAACTTGATCGCTGACCTTGAAATCGGGAGCCGGAAGACGTCAGTTGTCAGCTGCCTTCTGGTAGCACTTTTGAGATTTGCGGATGTTTTCCTTAAGGAACTTGTGGAGTTCTCCAAGGTCAATGGCAAACTCTCAAGCACAGCTGGAGGCAATGTCACATTCTGGATGCACAGCTAAGTTCAGATGATAGCCCTTGTTGGCAAAGAAGGGCGATACGCTGATAGCATCGTGTGGAGTGTTGTTGTAGGCAAATTCGGCAAGTGGGAGGAGAGTGACCCAGTTGTCTTGTTGGTAGTTGCAGTAGGTTCAGATGTATTGTTCCAAGGTTTGGTTGGTGCATTCCGTCTGGCCATCACCTTCTGGATGGTAGCCAGAGGTGAAATGCAGTTCCATGTTGAGAGCCTTACCCAGGCCTCAGAAGAAGTGTGAGACGAACTTGGAGCTGCAATCGGAAGTGATGTGAGAGGGGACACCGTGCTTGGAGAATACATTGAGGATGAACAGTTTGGCCAACTTGACGGCTGTGAGATCGGAATGGGTCGGAATGAACAGGGATTGCTTTGTGAGTCTATCAACAGTGACTAGGATGTCAGTGAAACCAGCGGAAGGCAGAAGCTTCTCAATGAGGTCCATGGATATGGAATCCCAAGGATGCTCAGGAACTGGAAGCTGCTTGAGGAGCCCATAAGGCTCGTGGCAGTGTGGCTTGACTCGGTTGCAAACAACACAAGAATTGACATAGTCTTTGATGAAGTTGCGCATACCAGGCCATGCATACTCTCGTCGGACCAACTTGAGAGTCTTGTTCTGGCTGAAGTGACCAGCTAATGGATGATCGTGCTTGGTTTGCAAAATGTGGATCCATAGGTTGTTATTGTCTGGAACGAAGATGCGGTCGTTGAGTAGTAGTAGGCTGTTGGGGGACAGGGTGAACTTGGGGTCAGTGGGTGCCGGAAGTTGAGTGGCTGAGATCGGATTGTTTGGAAGGGTGGCTCAGATGTCGGCATGAAGCTTTTCCATGTCGAGGGTGATAGCTCCACGCAGTGAGGGTGTGATCAGAGTTGATGCTTGGAGGGATGTAGCCAACTGTTCCTGGGTGAATACTGGATGGAGGTTGTGAGGGTTGACAGTGGCATAGTCGCTACCTCCCTCTTTTAGGTAGATGTCCCATTGTCTAGTAAGGGCATCCAGTTTGGCACCAAGCTTGCCGGACCAGAAGCAAATGATGAGGTTGAACTGACTTAGGTACTCGGACCAACATGCTTGTTGACGGTTCAGGAGTTTTGTGGTAATGAAATACTCAAGGTTTTTGTGGTCGGTTACAACATTGATGGGTGTGCCAGAGCCTTCCAGGTAGTGTCACCAGATCCAGAATGATTCATAGATGGCAAAAAGTTCCTTGTTGTGGACGTCGTAGTTCAGTTTGGTCAGATTGAACGTTCGGGAGTGGAAAGCAACCAGATGGATTTCTCCATTAGTCAGCTCGATAGAGAGGATGGCAGCAAGAGCATAGTCAGAAGCATCAGTTTCAAGGATGATGGGCTGATCTGGGACCCATTGGGTGAGGATGGGAGCCATGGTGAAGGCTTTCTTGAGGTAGTTGAACGATTCCCAGGCTTTGTCAGAGAACTTGAAGGGAACACCCTTTTGAGTGAGCTGGGTGAGGGGAACGCAGATGTCGGAGTAATTGTAAATGAACCATCTATAAAAATTGGCAAAGCTGAGGAAGGACTGAATGTCCTTGACTTTCCGTGGCTCAGGCCAGTCCTGGATGATCTTGACCTTGTCAGCTGCCATGGAGAGACTGTCAGCTGAAAGAATGTAGCCGAGGTACTCAACACGGTCGGCGTGCCATTTGCACTTGTCAGGCTGGGCATAAAGTCTGTGCTTCCAAAGTCGTCAGAGCACTTCCTTGACATGTTCCTTGTGCAAGGCAAGATCCAAAGAGTATATGAGAATGTCGTCCAGGTAGATGATAACTGAGACATCGATGAGATCTGAGAATATGTCGTTCATGAATCACTGGAAGGCGGCTGGAGCGTTGGATAAGCCGAACAGCATAACCATCCATTTGAACGAGCCATAGCGGGTCTGGAATGTGGTTTTACATTCGTCACCATCTGCAATTCTGACAAGGTGGTAGGCATGCCAAAGATCAATTTTGGTGAAGACCTTGGCTTTGCCGGGAGCATCCAATAGGTCGGAGATGAGCAGGAGGGGATAGCGGTCCTTCTTGGTGACTTTGTTAAGGCTGCGGTAGTCTACACAGAGCCAAAGCAAGCCGTCCTTCTTCCAAACAAAGAGGATGGGGGCTCCGTGAGACGAGTTGGATGGTCAGATGAATTTGGATCAAGTATTCTCTTCCAAGAACTCTCGCAGGGCTTGAAGTTCAGTAGTGGAGAGAGAATACATCCGGCCGAGGGGTGGCTCAGCACCTTCCTCAAGGTCAATCTTGAGATCATAGGGACGATGAGGAGCGAGGGTGTTGGCCTTGGATTTGCTGAACACATCTGGGAAGTCATGGTAGTCTTCCAGGACGGATGAGAGGTCAACCGGTTCTGGGTTATCAGTAGCTGAAGAGCGAGCCAAGACAGAACCGTCTTTGGATAGGGCCAGTTGGAATGAGACTGACCCTGGGAGGTGGCAGGAAAAAGCAAAAGCGACTGCATTGATGAGGGAGACATGAGGTAAGGGAGTGGATGATGTGGGAGAGGGTTCATAAGGAGGTGCAGGAGGATCAGGAGGGACTGGAGGTGACTCGGCAATGACTGGAGTAGCTGGCAAGGCAGAAGCTGAGTGGCCAGATAGACTTGGAAGAGCCTCAGATCGCAGAAGACATTGGAAAGAATGTAAAAGGCCTGCGGACCAGTCAATCAACAGATTGTAATTACGCAGCCAATTGTATCCAAAGACTAAGGCACATGAAGAATCCAGTTTAGTGACATGGAAAGTCAAGAAAAGAATGTCGCCGGTCGGATATCGGATAGGGACATCGACAGCTTGGGTTATCCAAGAGTTAACAGTCCCATCAAGGAGGCATAATGCTAAAGGAGGTATATCATAAGTAGGGAAACTATTAGTGGATATGAAGGTAGTGTTGATGAAGCAGTGAGTGGAGCCAGAATCAACCAGGCCAGTGGCCAAGACCGTGAGTGGTGAGTGTAATGTAACAGGGAGCATGAGGGAGTCAGGATTGGATAGTGCTGTGGCATTAAGGCGAACTTCTTTGGGGACATCGTGAGAGCAACTGCAACCCTCTGGCAATGCCAAATGTGGAGGGCTGCTTACTCTTTTGCTGTTCTGGACTTAGTGTCCTTCACAGCCGAAGCAGCAGATGCGGAAGCGGTGGGAGCTGGAGCAGCTGGGGTGGCTGTGGTAGACGAGGTGCGACCTTTGGCGGCATTACGCTTTTGGCAGTTGGAAGCAATGTGGCCAGGTTTTCCACAAAAGAGGCAAAGGCCTCCCTTGAGCTGGTGTTCTCGTTCCTTGGGCTTGAGCTTTCCGTCGGAACCCAACTTGTCAGCCAGGGGATTCAGCTTGTCCGAGGACGAGCCTTTGGACTTGGATTTGTCCTTATCCTTGCTGTTGTTGTTGTTGTTGGAGCCAGACTTGAAGTTTGAGAAGCCAGAGCTGGACCCAGAAGACGATCCAGCTGGGTTGCCCTTGGAATTGGATGAGCCGGAACTGGGGCCGTTGTTGTTGCTGGTGCCAGACTTGTTGTTGGTGTTGTCCTTGCACTTTTTGCGATTGATCTTGTTTTAGTGCTCCCAATAGCAATGGTCAAGGTCCTGGGTGGATTGCTGCAGATCAATGAGGGTGGTTGGCTTGCCTGTACAAGGGAATTTGTCCTTGATCTGGTTTGGAAGTCCTTTGTAGTACTGATGGTAGAGGGCGTGTTTGTTCCATCCTGTGCGGCCCACATGCTGGTTGAATTCCAATGTGTATCACATAGCTTTGCCGGAGTCTCGGAAGGTGAGATTCTCAAGGTCTTGTGGGCCGAAAAGTTGTTTGAGCTCCTCAATGAAGAGTAAAACATCTGAGAGCCATAGGATGGTCTGGGCCATTCCAGTTTTGAGGGTGGCAGTGATTTGCAATTGGAACCAGTTGTAGGGGGAGCTGGACAGATACAATAACATGAAGCCGACCTTGGAGTCTTTGGTGGTGAACTCGTGGGGCTGGAGCACAATGTACATCATGCATTGGACAAGGAAAGGGTCTAGTTTCTGTGTGCTTGTGCCATTGAACACATCCGGAGCCTTCAACTTGGGCTGAGGAGTTGGCTCTTGATGCAGCTGCATCATTGGCATATTCGACATATTCCTGGCCATGAGGTGGATGGCTGTGGTGAGCTGCGTTTGGTTCCAGAGGAAATGAACCTCAGTAGGCTCACTTCCCAAGTGGTCCATGCTTTCTGATTCCATCTGTTCGAGAACGGTTGGAAGAGCTGGAGAGATGGGAGCCAGAGTATGGAAGCCTGTTGGATGGTACGTTCCGGTCCTCAGATAAGTGCTTTCGGCTGGTAGGAATCAGCCGGACGTGTGCAGAGGACTAAGCGGACCTTGTGGGTCGGGTGCCCAAGGGTTTGGGATGTACAGCATAGCAATGGAAGCTGAGGCGTGAGTTGGAATTTCCGGGTAGAGTTGGGCCGAGGGAGTGAGATAAGGAGTGAAGGGGTTTTGTGGAGAGGGTTGAAGAGGTTGTTGAACTGTCAGAACTGTTGGACGATGATGACGGGTGAAGGAAAGCATGATTTCTTGAATACCAGCTTGTTGGGCAGTCCTTGTGTGACTGTCACAACCCGTTCCGTGCCGAAGACATCCGAGAGACATCCGTTCATAGCCGTTTCGGTTCTTCAATTATATTGTTCTTTTGTTTGTTATTTGTCTTTGATTTTCCTAGCGTACACGTGCCTCATTATTCTATTGTCATTAGCGTACACGCTCCCTCCACGAGTTAGACAGCCGACGGCTCATTGTCATAGGTAGTCCATTATTCGTTGTAGTATTTAAGGGACTGCAGGACGACCGAGTCCGGCAGTCTGAATATCATACTCGACTTCTAATCTCCTCCTCTCGTTCTCATCCGTTCTCATCCGCTCGCATCCGTTCGACATCCGACACCGGCCTAAAAGCCTATACTCTGAAATCGGACTTAGACTATCTCGAGGGCGCAACGCACGAACGTTGAAGCCAAAAGTCCACATCCGAAATCTCTTCCAAAGCACATCCGAACGCACCCGGTCTCCGGCACACCTCGGCTCAGCACAGGTCGTAACAGTGACGACCTGTAGCCATGTAGACAGACTATTCAAGCTTGTAGTCTGAATATACTGTTATGACCTGTGCTGAGCCAGAGTGAGCCAGAGTGAGCTGGGGGTTGGATGTGTTGGATGAGCTTTGGTAGTGAGAGTCAGATGTGGACCATGGCTTCAACGTACGTGCGTTGCGCCCTTGAGATAGTCTTGGTCTGATTTCAAAGTATAGGCTTAGGCCAGTGTCAGATGTCGAGTGGATGCAAACAGTTGAGAACGGATGAGAACAAGAGTAGGAGATTAGAAGTCAAGTATGATATTCAGACTGCCAGACTTGGTCATCCTGCAGTCCCTTATATACTACAACAGATAATGGACTACCTATGACAATGAGCTGTCGGCTGTACAACTCGTGTAGGGAATGTGTACGCTAGTGACAATAAGATAATGAGGCACATGTACACTAAGAAATCAAAGACAAATAGCAAACAAAGGAACAATATAATCAAAGAGCTGAAACAGCTATGAACGGATGTCTCTCAGCCCCTGATCGGATGTCGTCAGCCCAGAATGGGTCGTGACACCTTTCCATATTCAAACTTATCCCAATCCAGGTAGCAGTCATTGTCATCATTATCAATTAAATCCTCCTCAGGCACAGGATGCACATTTCCCAGCCCATTGTCCTCTTGCTCCAAATCTGAACTATGGTCCATGGACATATCATCTATGGAAAATGCTGATTGATTTTGCCAGAACAATAGGGTGGTCCTCTGGGTGTTTTCCTTGGACTCCTCATGCAACATCTTGAGTGCTGCAGTGAGGTTGATTTCATCTGCCTCAGGGGGATCCATATTGACATTTGGACCTGCTTGCTTATGTTGGACAGAGGGTAAAAAGGGTTCTGCCACCTCTGAGTCAGTGCTGTCATGACCATCTTCAGAGGAATTGTCATCTGAGATTGAGATGATAGCTGCCAGATGTCTGGATTTTCTGGCTGGGGTTTGAGATTGGGCTGAATATGGGGTTTTGAGCAGGAGACAATGAGAACACTCTTGGTCATGGGTCATCCAAGTATCACAGCAGGCACAGAGGACATCACCATTGTGAGGCATAGTTGAGGGGGTAGAGTAAACCAGACAAAAAGCTACTGAAGCAGGATGGTCTGAGCATACAAGATTCTATTGCAAATAAAAGGCATGATATTTCCCAAACTCACACTTCACTATGTATCAAACCCTCCACCTCCAACCTACAAACACACTTGTCAGCTCATACCATCACTCAAGGTAAAATGGCTGCACATACCTCCACCCCAGGCTCAAAGACTATTAGCAGACATAAGTCAGCTGGAACTACAGCCAGAACTCAAACTCAGAGGACTGGTGCTTTGCTGGCAGAAAAAGAGAATGGTCAAGTTGTTATCCCTCATGCCAGGTAGGCTCCTGGTAGTCCCTTGAGGGAACATCAGTTGAACAGGTCCTCAGGAGCATCAGCAGCCATCACTGGTGCAGACCCTTTATCAGTAATGGGTGCTGTCATGCTGCATATCAAGGAAATGGAAGGTAAGTGCATGTCAAACCCCCAGGACTGGCACTTACTCTTCTGCAGATGAGCTTGTATGTGAGTGCAAGGCCAAGAAGCATCTTGAGGAGCAGGTTCAGGACTTTTTACATAAGGAGAACAAGGTTGATACAGCCAAGGAAGCCACTGAGCAGGCTAAATAGGAGAAAAAGTATGAGGAATTACAAATTAAGCTACACACCTGTGATATGAGGGGACTTACAGAATGTGTGGCAGAAACAATGGAGAAAGACTGACAGCTCATTACAGACCTTCAAGGGCGGTTCCTGAATGTTGATATCTCCAATTTTGGTCCCAATGCCAACAACATCCTTGAAACTATGGTGGCTTGTCCCAGAGGTACTGCTGGTAAAGACTTCAGTATCCAAATCTCCATGGGCCTTGCAGGTTCAACAAAGAAGGGTGCAAAATACACAGCAATCCTGGTAAGTGAGGATATGTGTCTCAAGTGAAGTCATTGCTCACATGAAGGGCTAGCACTCCCTCTGTGACCTTGTCCTCCAGTCATGCATCAACTGGGAGCTTCCCTGGGCTCAGATCCCCACCAGCAAGAAGGCAAAGCTATTCCAGGTTGTGATTTTCCTTGCCACATCATTATTGATTCTTGTTCACTCACAATTTTCTTGCCAGGCTTGAGAGCATCATCCTGTACTCAAGGGGTATATGAATGACTGGGCTACTGAAGGGCTCATGAAATGCTACATGAAAAATAAGCAGGCACACCATTATGCCAGTGGCTGGCTCAAGGTACCAGCCAAATATGACTATCTCAAGGAGAATGCCAGGAAGCATGACCCCAACAGGTCTCGAGTCTCCTGTTCAAAGGCTGAGTTAGCTGCAAAGAAGAGCCACAAGAGGGTGTGCATAGCCAAAAAGAGGGGTCACAGGACAACAAGGGAGGAGGACATTGATGAGGACAATATGGTAAAATTTTGTTAAAATAGATCCTTTTCCTACTAAAATTCAGATTTAAAGCTTTTGGTATTTACCTCCTTTTTTATAAATTTGCTTTTTTGTTCCTTAATAACCCCTTTAAATTACTGTATATTTATATTATTATATGATTTTTATTTATTAATGTTAAAACTAAATCGTCATCGATACTTTTATGAAAAATATACTGACACAGCAAGGACAATGTTGACATGAACTGAGTCTTCTCAGATGTCATGTGAAGCCTTTGTGAGGTTCTTTCACCACATTGTCTGCCCATCTTCCTGTGCTGTCAGATGTATGTACATGATGTCGATGCTGCGCTTCTATATCCTGTAATGTCAATTCTTGTGGTTTATTTCCATTGTGCCATTTGGCAAATTTAATAGTAAGAATCAACTACCTATTAGCCAGGCTGTCACCTTCCATTGGTTGACCAAATGACCAAAGGTTGCAGGATTGTCAGCGGTAGTGGCCTGACAAACCATAAATGGAAAGTGAGGATTTTTGGTTGGAAATCAACCAAATTTAGACTGTCTAAGGTCTGGGTTAGGGCCAGCCCTCACCTATTTTGCTGGCCCTGACCCTGGCCCTCAGGGCCAGAGCCAAGTTTTTCTGGCCAGGCCAGGGCTGACCCAGGGCTGGCCCTCAAAAAGCACCTATTTTTTAATTTGTTTTTGCAATTAAATAAGAATATTTATTTTATACATACTATACAGAAGGTATTCTACAAGGTGACAGTGAGACGAGGGCAGGGTGAGATGAGGGCAATGGCAGTGACAAGGCGATGGTGAGACAAGGGCGGGTGCGAGCAGCGAGGCAACAGTGACACAAGGGCGAGCAACGGCGAGTGACGGCGAGTGAGGCTGGTGACGGTGTGAGACGAGGGCCACGGTGTGAGACGAGGGCCACGGTGTGAGACGAGGGCCATGGTGTGAGACGAGGGTGACAGTACGAGGCGAGGGCAGGTGCGAAACAAGGGCGATGGTGTGAGGGTGTGAGGCAAGTGAGGGTGGGGGCGAGAGTGAGCGACAGCGAGTGAGGGTGAGGGCAGGGGCAATGGTAATGGTGATGGCAATGGTGCGAGCAGCAAGGCGAAGGCAAGGGGATGGCAATGCCAGCGAGGCAAGGGGGAGGCAATGGCGGAGGTGAGACAACAGCGAGACAACAGCAAGCAATGGCAACGGTGCAAGGTGATGGCGACAGTGTGAGATGAAGGGCAAGGAAGGGCGGGGGCAACGGTGATGGCGATGGTGCGAGCAGCGAGGCGAAGGCAAACGGTGCGAGACAGTGGTGGGTCAACGATGTAGGAGACGGAAGATTGGAGGTGGGAGGGAGACAACGGAGGTGGGATGATGTGGCCTTCCACAATGGGGCCAAACCGGGTTGGTCCTGGTTCGACCTGAGGTCCAAGGGCCAACCAACCCTTGGCCCTGGCCAGGGCCGACCCAGGGCCAGAGGGCCCCAGACCAGACCATAGACAGTCTAACCAAATTTGGGTGACCAAATGAAGACTGATCGTCAACCTACCACCACTGAAAATCTACCTATGTGCAACTGATAAACAACCTAGTGTAAGTTGTTTCCTTAGGTTAAATGTCAACCTAAGCCACCTTCACAGTTTTCCTAGAAAGCCCTGGCAAGCTCACCTGACAGCTGGACAGAACATTGTTGAATTCATGACCAGTGCATTTTGCTTCGTCATGCGCTTCTCTCAGCAGAAGGACGGTGCCATCACGTGGCTTAGCGCAAGAGCTGACGCGTCACTCTCATGCACAGTTCGACCTGTCACGGAACGGTTGCCTTCCCAAATAGGAAGGCGTGAGGGCTCTCAGCCCCAGGGCCTGTCACCTTGCTTTGCCTCTGTTTTGTTCAGCTGCCATCGCTCTCTGGGCAGTGCTCACTGTTTTGGTTGCTATCTCCCTGCTCACTGAACCACAATGCTAATTGACTTATTTCAGCTCCGTTGTTGATCCCCTTCCGCCCTGGCCCACGGATGGCACCCCGAGACTGCTGGCAGTGATCGAGGCTCATCTGCCATGCTCGGCTGCTCTTGGGGGCACCAGTCTCAGCTCCAGCAGCAGCAACCACAACCTTGTTGCTCAACACCTCATTCATATCGTCATCACTGCCACTGCTGCCCTTGTCCTCGTCCTGCTGTTTCGCCATTGTCTTGGAGGGCCCATCATGGATGTTGACATGTTCGACAATGAAACCACCAGCAAGGAGATGGTTGTCGACCTGCAGGAGACGGCTGCATCACCGCCCAGCAACTGCAATAACGGAAGGCTATCCTTGCCTGCCCAGCTCTCCGATAGCCAGCCAACGGTTCAGTTCTACGATATGTGAGTAATGCCATGTCCTTTCTGCTGCGATTACTGACTCAGTCAACAAAAATGCAGCGACTCAATGTGGCATGTTCAATTGAGTGACCCATGTTGAACCTACAAGCTCCCCCACTCCGGAACGATCCCAAAGCTGAAGGAACGTCTGCAGAAGTTTAGTCGAGACCCACAGGCTGTAGACAGGTGAGTTTGGGATTTATTTTGGTATCTATATTGGCTTGATGCCCCTTTGACAGCAGGAAACCCTACGCACGCCATTTGCACCTTGGACCAAGGACCAGCAAAGCCTCAGCTCAAAAAAAGAAATCTACTCAACGACATGAAGCCCTCTTCAAGAACACCCCTCCACCCAGTGCCACACTCGGTCTGCCTGTTATCGTGTCGACCGCAGTTTCCCTGAAGCAGAGAGAGCGCGATCTCGCATGGGTAGGTGCTGATCAGTTGCTATCCTAAATGGAAACTGATCAATCCTGTAGGCTTCGAGTATCGTTCAGAGATATCCATACCGTACAAAAGAGATGCGCCTCAAGATTGCTCAGGAAAGGCTTGCAGCAAGGGTGTATCCTCGGGGTTTTGATGTGAGTAGTGACCTTGATTTGTACTGCCTCAATTCTTTATCACCAATATTTTCTGATGCAGAGCAGTGTTGAATGTGCCACCGACCAGTCTATTAGAAAAGGACTCGACAACACCAACGCCAGTCTTATGAAGCTGCTCGACTACATCGTGACTACCTCACCCACCAATTGCAAAGCAAACACCACCACCAACACTGGGACATTACACCTTCACAACCCCGCCACCAACTATCAACAGCTTCCAGACCCCGTATCCATGCTCTACCTGCCTGCTGCCCCCTCACCACCAACGACTGAAGGCTTTGCAACACCAGCTGCAACAAGAACAATTGTTCTTTGTAGCAGGCTTAGCCTGATGTTTGCAGAAGCCGAGGTTCCACCACCACCAGCCATCTCCTTTGCAAAGAACCTGCCCTCCCTCAATCAGATGTGGGATGACCACTCCGAACACTGGAATCACCAGTCGGTTCTCGTAATCAAAGGAATCCCAATCCCGATATGTTACTGGAAGGATGTCTACACATCGAAAGGGTCACCCAAGGGACATCCATGGAAGCAGAATCAGTGGAAGGGGCTCAAACATCGGTGGTTTGAATGGAAGGTATGTTCTTTCATGAACTGGGCATGTGGACACTTTGCTGACACAATCCAGGTGCTCATCAAGGAGTGGCGTCGAGGCAGCCCAGATGAATTCTGGGTGCAGTTCACAGTTGATGGGAAGCCCCTCAGATATAAGGCCATTCTGGACAAATTGGCAGAGCAGCAAGGCATGGAGAATGACAAGCTATGTGAGAGTGCAAAGCTGGAATATGGTGAGCAGTTCTCCTCTGTTTTCTCCTATACTAAAAATGGCAGAAAGTTTGTGAAGACCAAGGCTTCTGACATTGCCAAGCAGTACTGCGAGCTTCAGGGAATCCAGGAGGATGACAACGACGATGAGTAATTTAATTCATGCAATAGGTAGCTCCTATGTTACATCCCTCCATAAATTTTCATACATGACAGTTACTGCTACATATGCTACAAATAATCTAGTTTATTTAATTGTTGCCAGTGCTATGCACAATGACAGCTTCTTCCACAGTGATAGCACTTTGTGGCAGGTGGTCGTGATGGATTGAATAAGTCTTCACGATGCTCGGTGGGGTTGTCATTCCAGGAGATCAGATAGCGGACAATGGTCATGTTTGAAAACTTGAGGCTCCAGCCACCCCAGCTACAGATTTGACAGATTGTCCACCAGCGCTGTGATGCCAAATACTGGCACCCACCACACCGGAAAGAGTGTGTTCCATAAGGGTAGGGATCAACATTGATATCAAGCAGATTGTTTCGGAACATCTCAAGGAATTGCTCAGAAGTCTTTTGGATGAAAATTAGAACACAACTAGAGGACATTAAAAACATCAGATGGACATACCATTGGTATATCCTGAGCTGACGGCCTGTCATCCATTACAATCTTTCGAAAGATGTAACCTGAGGTTATTTTACTAGCATCGATCCATTCAGCTAGTGCACGGACAGGGCACAAGTGCGCCTCCTCTTCATGAAGGGCATGCAGAACAAATGGCTCAATGCCTATTATCAGCAAAATAAGATATTTCTCTTGCAGAATGATGAAGAGATCTCACCACCATCCTGGTGTGTCTTACGGAAAGGCAGTGTAAGTGTCATGCCATCCTTGTGGAACTCAACATGCTTGCAGCATATTTTAAGAACCTCATTGGAACGAAGAAGGCACAAGAAGGCGACAGTATAAATGGCTCCAAGGGCACGACAGGCAAGAGGCCCACCCCACTGGTGCAAGGAAGGCCGCTCGGAGTGTGATCCTGGTACATAGGCTTTCAGATCCCAATTTTCAGGATGGTGGTTAAAGTCATAAAGGTCTTCAAGTATTTCCTGAGAAGCAGGTCAGGCGATGGAGGCCAACCCGAACTAGAAGCTTGAGAAGAAACCTACAGAGGTGATTGCTCATGCACTTGTTGATGTTTCACCTGCATGCACCTTTTTAAATTATTCAAACAAGAGTATAGGATGGAACGTGAGCAAGCAGTGAGTGGACTTACTTTTTGTGTTCGTAAGCTTGTCATGTAGATCGCCACTGTCTCAGATACTGACGGGTTGCCAACCATTTGCCCTGTGACTTCGCTCTTCTGCCATGGCCGTGATCCGAGTCCAAATAACCTCCCAAACACATAGGTCATGGCTTCGCATTTTCTGAGCATAGGAATATGTGTTGCGTGGATCATTTGGGCCTTTCTTGTTCCCGTCGAGGTCAATTTCGTCACATCTGTTGCAGCATCTCATTTATACTAGTACATGGGGCAGGAAGAACAAATTGAATGGCAAGTGCATACTGGTTCATAATCCATGCAACAATGTATAGTGGTGCATTTTCCGGGGGATTGGGGCAGAAGAAGTTGGCAGAATTTTGAATGAGCTTGTGCGAAATCAAGAACTCGACACATTGCTTCATCAACCTACAAAGCTGCACAATCAGTGATCCAGCTACAAGATCTTGAAGCAGGTATGCACCAATGATACTCAGATTCTGTTTTGTCAGTAACCCCCTTTGATGCACCTGTTACTGTGGTCCTCCATTGAGAAACAGTCTCTAACTCTGCATCTGTTCTGATAAGGTCTTCAGGCACTAAATCTGGAAGCGTCTCCTTCTCACCCTCAATATCATCTTTGATGTCTTCCTGCTCATGCTTCCAGGCTTGCTCAGATAGGACTTGATGGATTCCAGCATAGTTTAGAATGGCCATATCGAATTTCAGGGGGCTAGAGACAGAGGAGATGCAGAGCTGTACTGTACATGTAGGTAGAACGAGACAAGACTTAAGTAGGTTGACAATTGGAATGACGTTGAGGATTGTGAGTCAAGATACAGAAATGATCGGAAAATGTTGCTGCTCAAAACATGTGGCAGAGTAGAGACAAGAAGGGGGGGCTACAAATTAACTGGACGTACAAAAAGCTGATGTTAGAACATGGCATGCCATATATGACAATCAAAAAAAAAAACGTACGAGGAGAGAGTAGGGCTGGCCAGGTAACCCTGACCATCTCAAGTGGCGCCCATGCTTTGACCTTAGCACGCTCTTCCTTCATCCATTTCTCAAGGGCTGTGACCTGAGAGGCACTATTGCAGCCATCAAGGTTACGTACGATGTGGTTGACGTATTTGGAACTGAGGTAGAGAGTGAGGCGGACTTCTTGGTGGCGGGGGCACTTGGCTGAGGCACTGGGTCCTCGCAAACTGATGACATGCGAAATTGGGGTCTGACTCTGAGCACTGAACCCAAGGTCATGGGCCTGTGCAGCTGCCATGAGGGATTGGGTGGCAAGCCCAGGGAAAACAGCATCAGAGAAGTGCTTGAGGATTCCAACAGGATCACCCCAAATGAAGCAATGTTCAGCGAAACTTGCAAGCATTGAAGGGTCTGGCTATTTCATGAAGAGGGTGGGTGGAACTTTATTGGATACAAGAGGTTTTGCATAAAGATTGAGGGACATGACAGTTGGGAAGTTGGCCGGAATGCTCCTGGCAAGGTGCGGATATTTGTGTGGAAGAAGCCCAGATTTGTTGGTGGCAGCCTCAAGGATTAATGACTGGCACCACGAAGAAAGAAACGCACACAAGTTGTGCCCCTGGTAATGCTCTACACCCTCAAGAAGTGTCCGGCCAAGGCCGGTCTTTGCAAGTTGGAATGCTGTATCTATGCCACAGTTTGGGATCCCTTGCTAAAGTAAAATGTAAGAGCTGCATCTCGTGCTAGGGATTTAAGAAGAACTTACACCATAGTCACCACCTGCAGCCAGAGCAATGAAAATAAAATCTGCATGCTCAAGGCGGAGGTCAGGATGCGCTTTTGTATTGTCAGCACAATAGAGAACAACCTCCTCATCATTGGATGTGTTCAGATCACTAAGAATATTCAGCATATGTATGCTGCGACAGAACAGATAGATGACGTACAATCGCATGATGGCTGGACCCCCAAAAACAAAGCAGTCTGAGTCTTCTGAGAGCACGATGTTCAGACGATCGGCAGTCACAAGAGAAGCAAGCTCAGCCTCAGCTTCTCCTGGGGCCTAGTGCAAAGAGAGGTCAGCAATTGATGAAAGGAGAAGGGGTTCAACACACCTCAATCCACATAAACCCAGCAATGCCTTGAAGTCAGACTCTAGCCACAAGCAGCTTCCCCAACCCTTCCTTCCTCACTTGCTTTTTGGTCTCCCAGGGCCATCAAACACGAACAGAGGGTGTATCGGTAACTTGAACAGGCAAGCGCATTGAGCAAATAGAGTTGCAAGCTCGGGGTTCTTGGTCCAGCCATGACAGTACATGGCCCAATAAATCCATGCACTAAGGCAAGGTGAGAAGGGCACAAAGAGATAATAGGATGCCAAGTGTCAATCCCAACATGGAGACTGTGCGTTCCACCAGGTCCTGGATGGGCGAGGAAACCTTTCTCAACAGCCAAATGCTGCAATGCCATTTTTTTCCCCCACAGGTTCGAGGAGCTGATGATTATTGTGAATCTGACAAAATACATAGATAAAGTTGGCAGCAGACACTTACTGGCCACAGTCCATTTATTCCCATTGTGCTTGAAGGGAGGGTGTTGGTGGTTGTTTTGAGAGAAAGATAGACCAGTGAGACAGACATCTGGCAACAACGGAACAAATTAACTAAATGTCTCATATGATATATTTGGGAGGACTTACCATCATATTTTGTCAGCACTTTGTTCCAATAGCTTTTGTGCCCATCGACGCAGACATAGCAGGTTTTCCTGTAGGGTTGACAGAAGGTTGGGGGACAAAACATGGGTGTCGTTGATCAAGCCAGCATCTTCTCTGAATTTCCCACACAAGTCCCAATGTGATGAATGTAAGCAGTTGATTATGTAATGTTAATTTCATATAAAAAATGTTTGGAGAGAGGAAAAGAAAAGCAGCCATGTATGCTAGAAATCTGTATCAAACACTGTATTTAAACAGGGTATACTCACATGTCAGGACTGTGATTAAGCAGTCCACCCACGGAGAGGCCATTGCTGTGCATGCCGGGGCTCAGTGCTGTGGGCGGGACCTGTCAACACGAGCAAACAACGCAGGAAACAATGCCCGAGCATTGTTCCTCGTCGTTTTCGGTGTTCCCGCCCCCGTTTTCGACGGGGAAAAGCCGCCAACGACGAGGAAATATGTTTCCTCGTCGTTGTGCACCATTTCCCCCATTGTCGGGGGGCGGGAATGGGTGGATTGGCCCAGGTGCATTTGGATGACGCGGCCTTTTTGCGGGGCCTGTAGCTATTTTTAGATTATGCTGTAATTACGATGACACATCCCTTGTAATGCTCTCGCCGGCGTCTGTCCCGACGTCTGGCGAGCTCGGGGTATCTTGCAACACTCGGAAAATTAGCAGAAAAAATTCGTGTTAAATTGCAAGAAAATATATGCACAATGCAGGCGGCTCTACCAGCCACCCACTATGACATATGGCAGAAACGACGTGTCGCGGCGCGTCGTTTCTGCTGTGGTCCTGGTCCCTGCCCTTTTGGAGCAAAAAAATTGCAAAAAAAAGTCATATTATATTGTAACAAAATGAATACATGCTGCAGGTGGCTCTACTAGCCACCTGCCATGAAATACAGATCAAACGAGCAGAAACGGCGCACTATGATGCGCTGTTTCTGCTCAGGGGGACAGGTGGTCCCCCTCTGCCCCCTCCTCTGCTCAGCGGGGTACACCCTGCACCTCCGGTGCTCGTTCGGCGCCGACTGTACCCCTCGGCGCCATCCGTGCTCTCCATTCGCCTCTCACGGGACCCTCCTCCACTCCCTCTGCCCCTCCTCCACCCCCTCCTCTGCTCATTGGGACCGTTCGTCGGTCATTGTCGATCGTTGGGTTCGGTTGTAGCTCGTGGAGCTCGGTCGGCGGTCATTGGGTTCGGTCGTCGTTCGCTGGGCTCGGTTGTTGCTCGTTGGGCTCGGTTGTTGCTCGTTGGGCTAGGGGGTCGGTTGTTGGGCTCGCTGGTCAATCGTTGGGCTTGGTCGTCACTCGTTCGCTCGTTCATTGCCCGTTGGGCCTGTTCGAGTGCTCGTACTCCCCCCTCCTCATGCTCTCCCTTGTGCTTGAGCTGCTGGCAGTGGGTGCTGAGCAGGAGGCAAAGGGCGAGGGTGAAGGCTGAGGGGGGGGGCCGAAGGGCGAGGGAGGAAGGCCGGGATGAGAAAGGCAAACAGCGGATGGGGGCAAATGACGGCGGGCAACGGTAACAGCGGACAGGGGCAAACGACGGGGCAAGGGCAAACGGCGGGCAAGAACAAATGGCGGGCCAAACGTGTGCCCGCCCCTGTCATGTTTGCTGCCCCCGTGTTCGCCCTGTCGTCGTCATGCTCGCCTTGCCCCCATCACCGTCGACCCCGTCGTGTTTGCCCCGCCATCGTGTTTGCCCCGCCGTCGTGTTTGCCCCACCACTATGTTTGCCCCACCGCCATGTTTGCCCCGCCATCGTGTTCGCCCTGCCGCCGTGTTCGCCCTGCCGTCGTGATTCTCCCTCGTTCACTCCCGTTGTGGTGCTCGCTCCCAGTCGAGCGAGTGGCAGCGAGCGTTGATGGTCCAGACAAAGGAAACCCACATCGCTGTTGAAGGGGAGGGGTGGCGATGGGTAGCACAGGGTTGATGGTGCAAGAGTGGGGGGGGAGATGGACAGCGGATCGGAGCGGGGTGAAGTAGCCAGGGGGGCAAATCCCGCCTTGCCCACATCCCTATGGCAGGGGAGGGGCACAAGAATCGAAGACAACGAGCATCAACTTAAAGTTGATGCTCGTTCACCTAATTGTACAAAAATGTATGTTAGAGTATATAGTTGTAAAGATAAACATAGTGCTCACCTTTTTTGATGCCCTGGGGGGTTATTTGAAGTGAGGGAGGACGAGGGGAGAGGCCAGGTGGTAGTTGAAGATGAGGATCAACGACTCTTGTCGTCGTTGATGGCTTATCCGGCATATGCCGCAAACGATGTGATTGGCTGGCACAGGCGGTCCGGCCAGCCCGCGTTCCGCTTATCGACCTCGGAATCGCCTATTTGCTCGAAATATGATAAAAATTGCGTGAATAAGCATCGGTAATTAATTAAACTACTGTATTCTATGTATGTATAGATGTCCGAATATTATCTGAGAGCAAGAGCGAGCTAAGAGCCCGAATTACGCGTTCTGCGTGGTGATTTACGTTCTCCCGACGTTCGAACATGCCGAATACCACTCGTTCGACACGCTGAACAGTCAAAAAAACTTTGCATTTTAAATCCTTGAGGGAGTAGGTGTAACATACCAAAAATTTAGGCTGTATTTCCAATGTGGATTTTACAATACAAGCCAGTGTCCGAAATTTGACACATCTTGAGTTAGATTTTGCTTCGGAATTCACATCATCCTACCGAAGTTCTCCCTATCTCTCATTCTCGTCCTTGGCCTTCCAACTTCGAGGTCTGCAGGTCTGCGCGCAAACGTCAGGGATAAGGCCACCTCGCTGGAAATATCTCCAGCGCAGCGTCATGGCTTGGACTCTGAACGGTATAAATGCTCCTCAAAGGGAGAGAGACAGTCGGCATCCGACAGAGATTTACCCATCCCAATCGTACGTGCTCACAACTCCATATCAATCACGAGCCAGTATTGGCTAACGCTTGTGCATCTAGGTCGTTTTCTACCAGTCGTCTTATTCTTGAAGTACGCCCCGCCCTATGATTAACCCGTTCCGTGCTGGTCTCGAGATGATGTTGGCTAAAGTCGACCGTAGATGCAGCGCTTCCTCGCCGGAGTCACCGAGGCCATTGTCGGCGGTCATGGGTGGAAGAAATTCGTGAACCCTACCGTCAACCTCAATTTGACTGCCTGGCCCCGCGACTCGGGCGAGCAGGAGAAATACGGCGTTCGCTATGACTATGACGGGCAGCAGGAGATCGATGGCACCGTCTACCACAAGTTCCAGATGCAGGCGAACTCCGGCAACAAGATCCCGTCCACTATCAAGAACTGGCGCTCGAAGGCGGATCGCGGCATGCACGACGTCATGGCGGACGTGTTCGTCCCCAAGGGTGGAGACAAGGACGACGTCGAGGCCGCTCTCAACAAGGCCCACGAGGGAGTTAAGGGTGCTTAGTCGTCCTCTCCATGTACACAGCGCTCGCGCAAATGCCGTTTGTTGATTACGTCGAAAATGTACTTGTATCTCGCTTGTCTCTGCATCGTTGTTTGAATGTAACCTCCGAATGCTGTCACGGTGGCTGACAACCTGGCTTGTGCCGTGAAGGAACAATTTTGAACCTGGTCTTGGGCCAGGGCTTCTTCGTTTGTCGCCCATTGAGGTTGTGGATCTCGGCGGCCCGACCAACCCGCTACAGAAAGGCTGTGTGGGCGTTTTCGCTTATAAGCGGGGCACGCTGGTTGGTTGTTGCTTGCCTTCTTTTCCCCCACCGCGACTTCACCGCGACCTCACCGCGACCTCACCGTGACCTCACCGCAGCCTACTTTGGCATGCTTCGCCTTGGAAGGGTGAGTTCCGTCGTCTTCAGAAAGCTCAAAGCTCCCGCCTCTCTGCGACCGTTCTCCATCTCCACAACACGTTCGCTGCCACGTCGCACCTTGTCCTCCATGACCGAGTCTCAAAACGACCTCTATGACTACACTTCAGGGCGTTGGGTGTAAGCTTCATCAGCGTTGTTCTAGCGCATAGATATCTGTTTAGTCATCTCTATCGTTCAGCTACAACGACGCTCTTCACCACAAGGAGCAGAAGGTCGCTTTCGATGTCGACGGGTTGCGTCGACTTGCAGCCGAGTCCGTCAATCAAAGTCCTATGGATGTCGTCAGTATATCCAAGCTCGCTGAGGGCGGTTTCAACCGCACCTTCGTCGTCGCTCTGCGCGACGGTCGGCAGGTGGTCGCCCGGGTTCCCTACCCCATGACGGTCCCTAACTACTACGCCGTCGCCAGCGAGGTGGCTACTATCGAGTACCAGCGGTCCTGCGGGATCCCTGTCCCTGAGATATACGGGTACTCGGCCGACTCGGACAACGTCGCTGGAACCCCGTATATTCTTATGGAATTCGTTCACGGCCCAAAGCTCAGCGACGTCTGGCCCAGCCTCGGGGACGAGGAAGTCATCTCCGTCCTCCGCCAGCTCACTCAGCTCGAATCACGCATGATGTCTCAGCCATTCCCCGCTGGCGGAAGCCTGTATTTCACCAAAGACCTCGAGAAGGTCGCCTCAGGGCTGGGCGTGCCTCTGGAGGACAAGCGTTTCTGCGTCGGCCCGGACACGAAGCTGGCGTTGTGGTATGGGAGAAGGGCAGGGCTCGATGTAAATCGAGGACCATGTATGCAGCTCTCCACCTCTTTATTATTACGCCCTCAAACTAACTGGCATCTATAGATCATAGCGCCGAAGCAGCTCTCGCGGCCGCGGCGCAGAAGGAGATCGCCTATCTGAAGCACTTCGGAAAACCGCTCCTGCCGCTGCGGCGCGAAAGGAGGCCCAGTTATAAGTACCAGCAGCAGTCGCCGTTGGACCACGTCGAGAACTTGGAGCGGTACCTCAGCATCACGTCGTCGCTCGTTCCTAGGGACCCCGCTTTAAGTCGTTTCTACATCCGCCATCCAGACCTCCAGCCGAACAACATCTTCGTGTCGTGGTCGCCCGGCTCCGACTGCAAAATCGTCAGCCTGTTTGACTGGCAACACACGTCTATCCTGCCCATGTTTCTCCTCGCCGGTATTCCCCAACGCCTCCAGAACCACGCAGACGGCACGTCGCAGTCCATGACGCCGCCCTCTCGACCGGAGAACCTCGACGAGATGGGCGAAGCTCAGCGAGACGGCGAGGAGTATCGCTACCGTTGTCGCCTCGTTCACTACCACTACGTCATCAGCACAATGGAGTGCAACCCGCTCCACTACGCCGCCTTTACGGACCGCCTGTACGCGCTCCGTGGCCGACTCTTCCTGCACGCTGGTGGCCCGTGGGAGGGTGAGACCTCCGACCTGAAGGCTGCGCTTATTCAAGCCACGAACAAGTGGGAGGAGCTTACGGGCGGAGGCGTGCCGTGTCCCCTCGAGTTCGACGCCAAGGACCTAGACGAGACGGCGGTGCTGGATAAAGAACTGAGCGAAGCGACCCAGGGCTTCGAGTTCTTACAGTCCAGGTGCGGCGTCGGGGAGGAGGGCTGGGTACCGGCTGAGGACTACGAGGGTGCCGTGGCTTTCTTCAAGAAGTGGAAGGAGAAGGCGTTGATGGGGGCTGAGTCAGCGAAGGAACGGGAGGAGATTAAGGCTCACTGGCCGTGGGACGACATGGACGAGGAGATGTATATTAACGATTGGTGCTAGATACTTTGCCCTGCTGTATCTCATCTGGAATTTGTATATATGGGCCAGCCGGCCTTGTTTGTCCAACTGTGGCTGCAGGAAACACCTTGCAGAGGAGGAATGCAGAGTGTCATAGGGGCAGCACAAGTTATTTTGTGCAAAATGCAGGTGAATCTGTCAAATGTTAGTACATGTTTCTGAGATTAGAATAGGGTATTTCAAAGTTGGCAAAGCAGCTGATTCAAAACAGGGATGCAAAATAAACAAATTGCTCCCATGCTACAGAAATTCAGGAGAGGATCATTCAAGGATAGCGATTCGTTTTGACATGTCCATAGGGGATGCCATGCCCCCAGCAGAGCTTGAATACAATGATCCCACCTGTTGTGGGGCAGTCAAGCAAATGCCCCTCCTCTCTGTGACATCTATTCCTTTCTTTTATACCCTACTCTACATACTTCCTCAGACATAATGCATAACAGCACCCCACCCCCCTCTCAGGCTGACATCTTGGCTACTCAACTTCTTCTAGCTAAGGCAAAAAAGAAGCCCAACTCAAAGGCTCAGAGCACGAACCGTTGTGGTGAAGCCTCCTCAAAACCCATAATCAGTGCTCCAGAACCAAGCTCAGACCAAGAGAATGAGGCAGCAAAGGTCACGACACGCATCAGTGTGGGGAGGGACATTCAAACTCCAACTCTCATCAAACCCAATGCAGACACTTCAGTTCTTTGGACAGGATGGGGGCATCTGCCCTGTCAAAGTTGAATCGCAACACTTGGCAGAACCGGCCATCAAATCGGTTACTTTGCATCAGCCGCTTTGCCAACTTTGAAATACCCTAATCACAGACAAATATTTTCACTGATAGCCAGCTCATGGTCACAACATGTTGTTACCTGTTGTGTAGCTGAGAACAAGCAGAAGTTAGGAATCTATGATTCAAACTATTCAATGCATGCCATATTCTACAGCAAATAGCTAAGGCATTTTCTGAATAATCTGAACAGAGAACAAAGTATCTGTTTGCAGGAGATCAATTTGGAACCTGCAAACAGGCAACACATTTCCTGTTTTCTGCCTGTTTGCAGGTTCCAAATTGAGGTCACCATTCAACCTGATGGCGTAGAAATTATGTTACCTATTCTTCTGTGCTTAGCCAGGATCAACACTTTAATATCCCTTCTTGATAACTTTCTTTATTCATGTCCTCTGAGAAATGCCTGCCCTCAAGTTAGCTCTTGTTATATGCAACAGCATTCCTTTTTGCATGAGTTTCTGCTCTGTCAATATGCTGGTCATGAAACTATATTGTTCTCCTGCAAACAGATACTTTGTTCTCTGTTCAGATTATTCAGAAAATGCCTTAGCTATTTGCTGTAGAATATGGCATGCATTGAATAGTTTGAATCATAGATTCCTAACTTCTGCTTGTTCTCAGCTACACAACAGGTAACAACATGTTGTGACCATGAGCTGGCTATCAGTGAAAATATTTGTCTGTGATTCTAATCTCAGAAACATGTACTAATATTTGACAGATTCACCTGCATTTTTGTGTGCATTTTGCACAAAATAACTTGTGCTGCCCCCTGTGTGTGTTACATGCTGTCATGCTGATCTTGGCACATGGTAGCCTAGCCTGGTGGGTTGCTGAAGCTGTGCAGGAGGCCATGGAAATGGGGTTGGTTAGCTCATCTTTATGATAGACATCTCTGATGCCTTGTTGAAGCAGCACATGTTCAGGCCCCTTGCAACTGTTTTTATTGTATGTATACCTTTCATGGCATATAGGCATGAGCCTGACTACTTGTGATTTAGTGCTTTCTCTATTGACAATCATTTGTCTATGCTACCATTGTCACTCTTGAATCTTGACTGTGTTTCTGCTATCCATGCTCTCTCTAGAGTTTGCACCTTGTGTTCAAGCCAGATTGTTTTTATTATCATCTTTTATATCTGCAATGGCATGTCCCCTCATGATGACATAAGCCATGTATGTGCCAATGTGCCAAGTAGAGAAAATATGGTTTCCTAAATCAGCTAAGCCTAGTGTCTGGGTTATTGTCTGTCTCTAAGATGTGAGGACAATGAAGCTTTTGCATCTTGAGTTGAATTCCTATATAAAGGCATACATATAGTCAGACCATAAGGGAATAAGAGAGCATCATTGAGTCAGTCAAAGCATTATTGGAGAACTCAAAGAGTTGAGATCCAGTGGCAAGGTGGGCAGTAGGGTGTGTCTTAGCAGACTGGTCTGTATTATGCTATTATAATATCTCCTTGAGCTTGGGACCTTGCAAGACAAGTGCCTTGGATCATGGTCATACACCTACATACAAGACTGGTATGGAGAAGGGACTGGTGCTCTAGGCATATGGACTGGTATGGAGAATGGGACTGGTCTGTCATATCATGTTTTCTGAAATAATATTATGCAGTAGGTGTAATTATGGACTGGACTGACTGGTACAGCTGACTATTCCTTAGTAGGGTGTTTCAAAGAGGCTCTTGATGTGTTCAAATGGTGTACCAGTACTGTCTAAGAAGTAGCAACCTGGTAGGCTTGGATAGATAGATATACATGATGAACAAGTACACTACATGTCTAGCAGAGGTCATGGTATTGGTCACTGCTGAACCACCAGCAATATTTACAAGTCTGGCCACCATGCTAAGATGGAAACATATGAAAGAGAGCTACTGTCATGACCAGAGACCAAGAATGTTGTGCTTACTGGACTCCCTGTGGCATGTAGCTGAGTAAGTCTTCTGGGTAAGTCTCAGGAGCAAGTAGAATCCTGAGATAAGTCTGAACATCAACAGTCTCCTTGCTCTTTTCCAGTCCAACAAGATGAGGAAGTGGCAATGGTTATCTTCACTTTGAAGAACATGGTGCTGGCTGCTCTTTTACCCAAGTTGTATTCTTGCCAACATAGCCATCCAGTCTTGAGTGGTCAAAATAGAAACTCTCTTATGCAGCTGTGGTTTGAAAAGAGGCACAGCAAGCTTTCAGATTTGTTAACCTGCATGTAATTGCTGGCCAATTTTGCTGCAGTCAGGTTCTACCTGAACAGAGCTGGCTTCTGCTCAAGGTACAGAAGGCTGTCACAATGACTTAATGTGTAAAAGTGTTCTTGCTGGTGCTATCTCATGTTTTCAGTAAGGTGCCAGCCCAAAAGGCAAGTCACTGACCTCCTCTGCAGCCATGGACTGGATGGGAGGCTGCACCTATGGGTAGCAGTTCTGGGCTGTGGTATGTATCTATCTACATTGTTGGTACAGGCTGTGGTAGCTCAGAATGAAGTCCACCTTCCTGTCCAGGGTGCAGGATGTTGCCTCAGTGCCAGCATGATCCAGGCTCTCCAACAGTGCCATCATGACTTAATGTGTAAATGCCCATATATGCAAGAAGTCCAACCTATTGCATCAAGGCATCCCTCACTACTGCCAACACCTGATGCTGATATATCAGGATTGGGCATGCAGGATAGAAGAGACCTTCTCCCCCAAGCATATCCTTGTGAGATATCAATTGGAGGTTCATATCTCTACCCTCTCTAGACACCATCAAGTGATGAGAAAGCATAACAATGGCTCAGCTCAGAAACAAATGTACAAGATGCTGCCTGTTGTGCCCCAGGTTGATCATCATGCACCCCTCCCCTGCTCCTCTTTGTCTCTAGGTACTTGAGGAACATGAATATAGTGACAAGGCTTCAAAGCAGAACCAGCAACATACCAGATATCTCCCCCATCCAAGCTCTGCATCCTTCAACATCAAGATATGGCTCCTATATTGTCATTAGGAAGTTGGGTACAGCCTGATGAGTGAGAGATGTATGGGTTACCAGGCTAGAGTGGAGGCAAGCATGATGCTGCAATATCTGACCTGGTCATCATCAGTCAGTGTTCCAGTCATGCTCAAAGTCTCATACATGTACCCTCCTCCTCTGTCCTCCAGCCTCCACATTGGCCAACTTGCTAGCATCCATGGCATATGGACAAGACTAATGGCCCAACACCTCAAAGAGCAGGTTGCTTGTCACATCCTGTGCCCCAAGTCACAAGTGTGCATTACATCAGGAAAAAGCCCTATACCAGAAGTGTGACTAAAGTGTTACTTTGTTTGACTTTGGGCACATAAGGCAAATTGGATGATCTGTACACTAAATGTCGCTTTGACACAAGTCCTCTTGCTAGCAAAACACTTTTGAACACTTTTGAAACAAAAAGTGTTGGAAATGTATCATTTTTAGAGCACATAATCTTGGTGATATTCCTCAAAGCATAAGCTCATGTTATTTGAGAGGCTGAAATCTGATATATTTATATCTAATAGTAAATTAAATATATGATGTGCAGCCAGTTGTAGTTATATGAAGCTGTAGACAGTCATGGTCATATTGATATTTGTAGTCTTGCATGAAAGAGGGATGAGCTGGTGATGGTCAGTGAGGCGAGTTGGCAATGGTTGAGGGAGTGAGCTGGTGATGGTTGAGGAAGCATACTGGTGATGGTCAGTGGGGCAAGCAGGTGATGGTTGAGGAAGTGAGTTGGCAGTGGTTGAGGGGGCAAGCTGGTGATGGTCAAGAGAGCATGCTGGTGATGGTTCTGGGGTTTATCTGATGAATCCAAACCTAAGTGAATAAACAAGTGATTAGAGCTGAATGAGACACATACTTTTGCGAGACAAAGGGCAAGGCAAGAGTGCCTGGAGAGTCGATTCAGCCACAGGATAGTAATCGCACTGTATGGTCATTCAAAATGAGAGAGTACAGAAAGACAGGAAGTGACATATGGGGGCAATGTCTTCCGAGATGCCTGCAGGGATGAAGCGGGACCACTTGGCATATGAGGGGTGGTTGGCCTGCACAAGTTCAAAAAGAGGGACGAGACAACGCCGGATGCGAGTTGCATCTGGGTGTGCATCAAGCCCCCCTTTTAGCCTTGCATGAAAGGCTTTCTTTGGGGAAAGTCAGTGATAGTGAGCACAGATAGTAAAGGTGTATGACGTACCAGGTCATTATAGCACCCTCCAAACATCTTCCCAACCTCCTTGGCTGTGACATTTTGGGGACACGTCAACCAATGGTGGAAGATTGGACAGATGTGCTGCCAGGCATCCAAGAGTTCGAAAAAGATTGGGTCAAGCAGGTTGGGCAAGCCTGAGCTGCTCCAGTCGGAATTGTTGGACATGGTGGAGACGCAATCAGGACAGGTGGAGAGAGTCGAAGGCACGGCTGTGGCGGTCAGAAGTCAAAAAGTTAAAAGTCAACTATTTGTACACCAACTTCAACCAAGTTGGTACCCAAATAGACACTTATGAAAGAGACACGCACATGCGACAAGTCCAATGGACATAGCTGAGTTAGGCACTGATAACCTTTGGGCCAGGCCCAAGTGCACAGCATCACATAAGCTGGCATCATCCAGACTGCACAGCTTTGTGGACTTAGAGGAATTGGAGGCAGTGCGAAGTGAATGTGCTCCATGTGAATATTATGTGAGACAAACGTGACTGGGGCATATTCCTGAGTGGCCCGTTAGAAGGCCAGTAACTGAGACACTTTGACAATTGTGAAGTCAGAGGCCGTGCTATAGAAATAATTAATGAAGTCCATTGACTATTCTATAAGCTCGCGAAGTCTATAGAAAGATAAGTGATTGCTGGGAGGTGATAATTGACACAACATGCACCCAGATTGACCAGGGGCGGTCAAGATTCAAGTGGGGGGGAGATGATAAGGCTGCCCATGGCTAGCCTTAGAATTTTGTGATTTCCCTAGAATAGTGAACCCACATGCGCTATACAAAGTGTTATTAATGATGACTATAGACTTGGTCTTCATTACAGCACCTAGTCTTCAAAGTGAACTCAATCGGTTAATAGACATGAGTGTGACCATATTCAATGGCACGCACTAGGTCGTTTGTATTGAGGACACTACAAATCATCCTGAGACTAGTAAAAACAAACCACAGAGTCGCATACCAAAGCACGGTTAATTAGAATCTACTAGCTAGGACTGATCCTATACTAGTCTAGTGAGGCAAAGTGAAGTCAACAGTGACCATCGAGTGATAGCGCGGGCGTGCTTCAAGTGTGGGCGTGCTTCAAGCGCGCCGTACTAAGCAGTGAAGTGTCTTAATACAGTGATTACCAAATACAAAGTGGAAGTGAAGGCATCCATAGGATTCGGGTCTGGAACAAGGTGTCACCATTGGATCACGGGGACGGTTCTGAACGGCATGTCTGATACCGGTCCAAGGCCAAGTGGGTGGATCACTGAGACCGTTCTGAACGGGATGTCTGCTAAAGTCGACGAGGCACTACAATCCAGTTGAAGTCCCGAGGTTAGTAGAAGTGCTTAGTCTCTCAGGACTAAGATGACCAGTTCATAGGGGGTGCACACATGCCTTGGTTGCTAACAATAGCTCAAGTGATAAGCACGGCACATGTTTTTGTGGCGCAGCAAGCGGAACCAAATTGGGTCATTGTTACTGACCACAGATAAACCAGATTAGGACTTGGTGGCATTGGTCAAGACTAAAAACATGCATGGTCAAGGCCACAGTGCAACTCCTATCCACTGTATACCACATGGTGCAAGGCTTGGATATGACTCATTTGTACCTGATACCCCTATCTCTCGATGTATTTAAGAATCTGATAGTTTAGTCTCTAAGTTTTAAGCAATTTACACCCCACATTTTGGACCTAAAATCCAGTGCGAGTGATATTTGACTTTGTGTGATCAGACCCGATAAAGTGAACTAGCATCAGTGGAGTGAGAGCAACATTTTAAGTGACCAAGTGAGCAATTGTGAAGTTGGCAAGAGCGCCATCGCATCTAAGTCAAGTAAGCCAATTGGGCTAAGTTAAGGATCCTTTGGTAGGATCGGAGTGTATCTGAGGCGACTTGGCGTTCGTGCTAGATCCTTCAGAGTGTATCTGAGGCAACTTGGAGTTCATGCTAGATCCTCAACACCTTGATTAGAAATGAGTGGTTAAGAAAGCCAATAGAACAAGAGCACGCACTAGTTTTGAAACGAAGTCATCGAGCAATATTGAAGCCTAGTAAAATCATATCGAGTTAAAGTCCACATTTTAAAATCACGAATTCAAAGACCCTACAACCCCTTCTATTACGTCCCACATCTCCTCGTTCATCATCAAGGTCTTGGATAAGAAGATCCATTGTCTAGCATGTCAATAATCAGCACAAGCATATAGCATGCGACATTAGGTGCCTGTCCCTCAAGCTAGTCTACATCACTCTCTCATAACTGTAAATACTTAGTCCCCCTTTGGACGAACATTATTGATCGAGTGGTCAATAAGGAGTGTTTTAGTTGGTGGTTAGAGATAACCACTTTGTAGACTCATTCCTGCAGCAACCATCTCAGCAGGCTTCATGGAAATATGGTTGATTGATACATGCATGTTTGTCCTCTTGCAGTGATACCAATTGTTTCACCCCTGCTATCATTTCTGGCTCCAAAAGAGATGTACCCTGTCTTGTGGCTTTGGATGACTGTTGGTCTGCAATGGAGGGAAATAAAGCTCATAGATTCTGATGTTTGCAGCAATGATAAAGATAATTGATGATGCCATTCACCTGCTCAATGACTACTATTCATTTCTTCTGTCCTATGGAATCCCAGGTTATGAGATCCTCCACGCTTTAGTCATCTAGATGGGGAGAAAGCTGTATTTCTTTGTGAACACACCATCCATCATCCTCATGCTCAACCTCTGAATCAAAACCTTACCCTTCAGGCTTATTTATCTTCCAATGTTCACTGATGAGCAGTTTACTGTTGACTTTCTGCACTCTGGGTTTCTCTGGGCCAGTCAAGAATCAGAATCAGTACAGTGTCTAACAGACCTCTGAAAATGTGTTTGCTCTGTGTTCATGTAGAGTAATTTGTCTTGACATATTACTGCATACAATTCTCCTCTAAATGAAGTCTACCTCAACATGAGATCCTGTCCTTGGTCAAATGACCAGGTTGACTTCTCTTCACAAGAACTTTGCCCAAAATTAAGTTTTCTAGCAGCTGTTGCACCCCGCCATTCTCTGACATGATTGCATGGGGGTCATGCTAGTGTGTTCAAAGCTCTGTACTGTCAGATTTGACAGTACTCAAAGCTCCAGTGTGCACTCAATAGGTAATCTATCTATTACATGATGATCTAAAACTCTATGGACGTCATCCTCAAGGTTTGTTGTGATCTAAATTCTTGGGACAATACCATCAGTCTTGGCAGACTACATGCCATACCCCCATAGTTGGGTGTGCAATGCCTGCATGGGCTGCTGACAGTTCCCCTGACAACTTTATTGCCTATCTGGCCTCAGGGTTCTATGTGCTAGTCTTCATTCAATTCCCTGACTTGATGACAAAGGGATGCCTACTGAACAACAACACAATTGTTCAAATTGGTCTTGACTTGGTTGATGGCTGCTGGAACATGTATGCCTGCACATTTTCTTTGCATATTGAAGAGCAAAAGCCTGGCTTGCATAAGGGCAAGAGAAATGATGTGTGGTGCATTCCAGCTTTGCATCTTACATATCTTATCTCAATGGTCAGTTGGGCAGTGAACACCTAGAATTTGTTATCTAGGTGCTTTAAATCTTTGGTGGTTACTGTATGCTTTTCCTTGTTCCACTATCACAAGAGAACTTCTCAGATGGGAGATAAGAATTATACATTCATGAGCACTGTCAGAAAATCTGGCCATTTGCACCTTCATGTATCTCTTGTCCTTGCTAACATTTACATGGTTGCACCTTTGGGCATTCCTATGGGCATTAGGAGAATAGTTTGTTCTGCTGTTTCACTTCATGATCATGCCAACAATACAAGGCAGGGTAAACTGCCTATTTGTTAATGCCTGGTAGGATGTGGAATCCCACAAACGATGGCCTGGGGAAACCCTGCAGGTGTTTTGCAGATACACTGCCAGCCTGCCACCTGATTGGGATCCCAAGATACTCTAACATAGGAGGTTGATGAATCTCATAGTGCCCTCCATGATGTTAGTCACAAAGACTCAGTGGTGGTAAGGCTGTGAGATATGCCACACAAATCCATGGCCCGAGAGTTCCAGCACTTGGAAGAACTCCTGCAAATGTGCAATGCTATGAGCCCCCCTGAATATTCTGGATGAGTTTAGCATAGAAACCTCTTCCAGAACAGATCTGATAGTGGTAGTGCGGCTGGCAGCATGATATGCCTATCAGTAATTACCCCAGGGACTTCCCACCCAAGCTCAAAAGCTCAACATTCTGCTACTAGTTCTACTAGATGTGTGCCACATGGATCAGATTTAATCAACAGGGGCTTGTCTCTACAAGGCATAAGCAGTTTATAATGGAAGCATTTTATAGAGATGGCAGGTATATTGCAAGACCAACCAGTCACCAACAGCATATCAAACTTGTTGCACCAGTGTAGCTAAGGGTAATTCCTATGGGGTCCAGTAGCTTGGATCCTGTATTATGATGTGGGCAGGAGTTCAAAAATCCAATATGAGTACTGAAGCTTACTGTTGTGCAAGCAAATGTATATCAACATATTGATGTGTAGTATTTGGCATCCTTGAGGAGAAGAGGTTTCTATTTCTCAAGAATGCCAAAGGCTTGAGAGTGGAGGTGGTAACGCTCATCACATGGGATGTCAGAGGCACTCATTTATGACATGGAATAAAAAGTGTATCTGTGATGCCTGGGAAGCATTGTAAGCTTTATGAGAGATTATGTATGATTGAATACGTACACAAAGATATGCGCTCGACAGCACATCATAGCTCTCAATTGTTGAGAAGGGTTGGTCCAATTCCTTCCCATGTTGTTGGTCCAGGTAAGATGAATAATAAGTTGAAACCCATGGGATAACATTGCATATGTTTGCACCCCAAGCCTTCATGATATTTTTGTCCAGTTCCTCATTGGGAAGATCCTCCTGGAGCATTGTGCTGGCTGCTGGTTGGAGTGTGTTCCACACCAGCAAAAATTAAAATAAGCGAGTCCATGCATTTGATACTCTGGAAAGGTTGTTGTGGATGAGTGGATGTCTGTACTTTGTGTTTTCAATATCTCGAGCAAGTCTGAATTGGTGGGAGAGGTATAACGAGTTTCTCAAGAAGAGGAGTGAGATGAAGGAGGATAGACAACTCTCCAGACTCAAGGGAGATGGCCACACTAAGGCTTAGCATTGTAAGGTTAGAACTTGTGGAAGAGCTCAGCTGGCCTATGAGGGTGGTGAACCTTGGAATAAAGTCAGGAATTTTGCCATGGAATGCCGCTTCACAAAGCAAAGGGAGGATTAGTCACTTGAAGAACCCTCCATGAGCATGGGGCCAGAAGCCAACAAAAAGTGTTTGGAGGTTGGGAAACTAAATTGGCACTCCATGGCAACAGATTGACAATGCCTGAGCATGAGCAATTTTTGGAAATCAAACACAGAACTTTCTCCTGGTTGAATTTGTTGTAGACCAAGTCTTCATATACCTTGAGCTGCAACCAAGGGGTGCTTATCTGGAAGGTGCTCACATGTCAACCTATGTCCCCACATAACATCACATCTTGAAGTCTAGGTGCTCCAGCAAACAAGTCGAGGTCATTTGCAACCCTGGCTTCAGAAGTTTTGAAATCAAGGACAACCTGTGACAGAAGGGGATTGTGCCCCTTGATCAAGGATAGCTTTGCAATGGTTTCAGGCCTGGCTTGCGCAAATAAAAGTTGCCACTGCTCACAGCATGCCATCAGGACAGCTAGGAGGGAGGCATCATTGTCGTGAGGTGAATCAGACTTGTAGATGCAAGTGCAGGTTTCAGCATTTTGAGATCAGTCAAGAATGAGTGCAATACACTCTCTGAACAATGGTGTCTGCCTCGAGGGGAGGGTTAAGTTGGCAACAACGATATTCCAAAAACGAGGGCTCAATATCATGATGCGCCTCCATTCTTGACAAACATGACTTAATCCCCAGGAGTATCAAAAGCAGCAGGAAGGGGAGGGAACCTCTCGACTGGCTTCAAGCAATATCTTCTCTACTAGTTCAGGAGGGAGGATGCTGACAGGGGAAACAACGAGGCAGTATATTCTCCCAAAGTGATGGGCAAATCACTTTATTCCCAGACTGATGCTTTGCCAAGATTCCTTTCAAGCCAAGAAATCCTTTTCTTGAGGGCAGAAACTGATTGCTTGCTTTTGGTTTGTTGACAAATGGCAATTGCCAACCTTGGGAACCCAACTACTGTGACTGACTCAGAGCGTACTGGCCTTGCTGGCTCACCTATTGAGCAGAACCAAAATGATTCATATAAACCAGAGGAAGCAGAGATATGGGATACATACCAGTAGTGAAGAATGGATGAAAGTCTGAGCTCTCTATGACACATGTGACATGAAGTGCTGGGCCATTCCCATCATGTGACTGTTGAACGTTGACTTGAGGTTATCTCGGGCTTTCACCAATAGGGTTGTGGGAAAAACTAGGGGGTTTTATACCAAGTGTAAGTTACTATGTAATTTACTATGTAAATTACCTATTTTATACATCAGCCTAGGTCACACTGGTATAAAATGTAAAAAATGTCCTCCTCATAACCATGATCCTATGCATGATCCTCCCCAAGTGCGGTGGTATGTGGTCTCCCCAGTCCCCAGTAGAAAAAAATGGCTGGGTTTAAAGTGACAGTTGAACTTGCTGCGTCCATCAACCCAGTTCCAGCACTGCCTGCGTCGACCCCATCAAATGTAATGGCTCTTCCTACCGCGCCTGACAATCCGGCATGGCGAAATCATGGCCACACCTTCGATTCCCTTCCCGCGAATGTCAAAGCTTATGTCTGCAGGCAATTGGAAATACCCAAAGAATATGAACGTACACTTTTTCCTAACCCTCAACTCTCTATTATCGACTTCGTCTACACCTTTACCCCTCCACCTGCATGCCCAGATCAGAAACAAAATATGTACCAACTTCCCACTGGCCACTCATTTTTTCAGACAGGTTTACCAGACCTAGGAGACGTTTTGGCCCTCATTCGGGTCATGGTTCCTCCAAAAAGGATCATTGCAGAGCTTCTCAAAGAGGCAAAACAGAAATGGTTGGATGGCCATTCTTCGCTCTCTGTCCTGGGAGAAGCACTCCTTATCCCCTTGTGGGTCCTTTCCTTTTGGACACACATTCTCTTTGACATCCTTCCTGTCCACCGTGATTGGCAAATATCTCTCGAGTGGCTTCGACATGATGAGTTCAAGCTATTTCAAGGCCAAGTTCAGGATGCCATCCATGCTCTTTCAGCCCTTCCCTGGTCAGGCTACCTTTCCCCCATGTCATCCAGCACCTCCAGCATGAGCCTTCTCAAATCCACCCTGTCACTGTTCCTGTCATGCAAATGGCTATCCAACAAAAACACTGACCAAATGACACACTTGCTCCAGAAGGGAGTCGAAGGGTCCAAATCCCATTCGAACATCATCTTCTTGAGCAACCAGATGGGGCGTACAATCATCAATCTCTATCTCAACGAGAAAAGTGGGAAATCAAAGTACAACCCAGATGGAGGGGAACACTTTCAGCGCTTTGGTGCAAGACTCTCAGGAAGTAGCCGTATCGCAGGAATCATCCATGTTAATGGGAACCATTGGGTTGCTGTCATCGTTGACGTGGGAGAAGAGAAGTTCTGGTATGGCGATCCAGCACGCAGGTCTCCGGATGTGAATGTTCGGGCTGCATTATTGTGGTTCCTCTTGAAACATGTTATCCTGGTGGAGACTGCTGATTTCAAAGATGTCACCTTGCCCACTCCCATGCAGGATTTCTCACTGGATTGGTTTAATTGCGGTATCTTTAGCTATAATGCACTATCACATCATTTCCTTCATGAGCCTCTCCTTCGCAATACACACAACCCCATCTATGGTGATCTGGGTCGTATTGGCGTGTTCTGCAAATTAGTCGATGACTATAAGCTAAATGTAGGTCTCATGGTTGGCTGTCCTTCATATGATTGCTGATTTGCTTTTTGCAGTGCCCCCCGGAAGAGGCTGCTCTTGCTATTACATTTGACGCCAAATCATACTTTGGTTTGAAGGAGTACCAACGCGACTTGGACCACAGCCCCAGCCCACCCATCACTCCTCGACCTGCCACTCCGCCACCTCATGAAGACGCTCTTGTATTATCAAAAGCTCTCAAACAGATGTCCGTTTCACCAAAGAAACCAAAGGCGAAGAAGAAGAAGACTGCGACAGCTGACCCAAAGAGTGCTCGGTCAGTCGTAGCACCTATTTTCCAGATTCCAACAGGCAGGACAAGCTCAAAGGTTTCCAAGAAGCGGGTATGTTTCTTGTAGCTTCAGCTGCGATTCAACAAGTGACATTCCCTCTCAAATTTTCAGAGACGGGAGGAGAGCGACAATGAGGAAAACTTGAAGGCTCGACCACCAAAGCACACTGGCTCTGAGGACTCTGACACCTCTGATTCCCCAATTGCACGTAATCCAGGTTGTCCCCGGATTGGTCTCCTCGATAAATTTACAGTAGCACTCAACACTTGGCGAGGGGAGGTGCAAGCACATCGCTGTATTGGCAAAGGCTGCCCAAAGGTTCATAAGCCACAATCCTGTATCCGAGTACTCAACCATGCGAAACGATGCCTGAAACTCACCTCTGACCAACACAAGATGGCCTCAGCAGCCAGTTCAAAGGATGCCCCCAGCGCAGTGGTGGAGAACAGCCTCAAGACCCTGCCCTTTGGCTCATCCACTTCCCAATCCTGTGCCCCCAACCAGGAAGCCCCACAGCCAGCAAGCTACCAGGGCGAGCCACAGGGAAGTGTCATTGTTGTTTGCTCTTCCACCCCTTTAACTCCATCAACACCCCCCATAACTGACAAGCTTGCATTCTTTGGTCCACGAGGGCATCGTGTCCACCATCAGGCTTTGAACGCTGCTGTCCTTAAATTCATCTGTGCAGCTCGTGTTGCTCCTGCGGTCGTGGATCTTGATGAGTGGAAGGCTATGTTTCTCTTGCAAACTCCCAGCTACTCACCGGCGTCGCGAACAACTCTGATGGAGAACCATATTATGTCAGAGCAGGAGTATGTTCGGGGAAAACAGATTGAGCTCCTCAAAACTAAGTGCAATCTCAGCCTCTTGTTTGATGGCGGTTCGATCCGGAGTGGCAACTTGTTGTATACTGTCCATGCCACAACAGAGGAGCATCGTGTCATGCTGATTGAGGGGCAAGAATGCACGAACATTTCTCACACTGGTCGATGGATTGCAGACTTAGTTCTGAGTGTATGTTCAATCTTACCTATCTCTCCCTTCCCGACACTTATTGTCATCAATTTGCAGGTGATGGACTTAGTAGGACGCAACCACTTTATAGCCGTTTCTTCCGATAACACAGGGAATACACAAGTCGTGCGAGATATTCTCTCGAATGAGGTGCCACTCCTCCTCAACCTTCCAGATCCAGCACATCATCTTAACAACACATGGAAGGATATCGCAAACCTGCCCTATTTCAAAGAGGTGTGTTGCTGTAGGATTATTTCTTATCTGTGCTTGACCTTTGGGACCTTGGCTAGCTCATCAAACAAATTCGGACAATAATAAAGTACTTCAAGCATGCGAATTTTGCGAAGGCTCTTCTCAAGGAACTTCGAGAGAAGATGAACCTTGGGCCTGGTCTCGAAAGCATTGGGAAAACCCGGTTTTCAACATTGCTTTGGTCTGCAGAATCCCTCAAGCATTCCCTCATTGCAATCCTAGAGTTAGTTCAGGCTCAGAGGATAGAAATTCCGGTGGGTATCTTTGATTCTTGAAGACCGTCGTATCTGATGCAAGTGTCCAACTGCAGAAAGCCAATCACATATTTCTCAATGAGAACGCGCGCCTCCGCTTCGAGATTCTACTGGTGCAATTCATCGAAGTCGGAAGCGGCATTGCGCGGGCAATCGAGTGCCTGGAAGCCGAGTCTGCAACTCCTGCCGATGTCTACTTGTACTGGCTCGCCATCCTCGCATCTATGAAGCAGGCTCTCGAGGGTTCCTTCCTGCCCGACGACGTGAAAGGAGAGATCCGTGGTATCATGAATGCACGATGGCGCGAGTTCTTCGTCGAAGGTCCTACCAATGCCCATCTGGTAGCTTTCTATCTGAATCCAAGTAAGTAACGGACTAACAGTCAAGGCGTCGTCATTGGCTCACCGCGCTGCCTACAGGTTATGCTCGCTCGTCAATCTTCAAACGCCCCAACCCACTTGCATTCAACATTATCCTTCCGGGACGAGGGATGCCACAGGTTCCACCTGGTATCAACAACCCGAGAACATTCCTGCAAGTCGGCGATTATCTCTTCCACCTCCTCACAATTGAGATCCAGAAAGGCACCGACCCGTTCCTGACAGCCTGGAAGGGAAAAGCACGTCAGTTTGACGTCGCCTTTAGAGCCCAATTCACAGCATATGCCCAGGGTGCTCACCCATTCACGACACCTTTGGGTTTCGGGGAAAACCCATACAACTGGTGGCAAGCCTTCATTGGCACCTCGAACGGCGGGATTCTTGCGGTATGTGCCTTTCCTGTCGAGTTGGCGCGTAACTGACAATTTTCGGGGAATCACAGGCTATAGCAGTGAAATTATACGCTGCTGTTCCACATTCAATGGCCGATGAACGCACCATGTCATCAATAACTCTCCTGAACACAGCTCAGCGCAATCGCCAGCAGGTGCCAACTGTAATTGCAATGGCTCAGATAAACGGATATTATAAAGGAGAAAAACCGAGGAAGGTACATACCATTCATATCCAGCACGCTCCGTTTCCTTGCTGATCCTCATATCAGCTTCGGAAGCCCTCGCGTCCTAATCCTCTCCTCAAATTCTTCGACATCAATCGCCTACTTCGCAGTATCGAGAACGACGACGACGATGGGAAAGCTGCACCCGACTACGATGAATCTGAAGATGAGGAAGATGTCGTATTGAGAGGCAAGGACGAAGACCCGAACGCACCGTTACGCCCACCACCCTCTTCCGACTCGTTACTTTTTGATTCGTCCGACGATGAGATCGAGATGGAGTCAGAGGAGCTGGAGGAGATCCTCGCCGATGCACCAGCTTTCAGGAGGATAAAGAAGGACAGATTTGCGCCTGTGGTTGAGGAGGTGGTTGAGGATGGAGGCGAATTCAAGCTCGGCCCGTGGGTACAGGGCGTTGGGAAGTACTCACGTGCAACTGGTTAAAAATAGGTAATTTACTATGTAATATATGTTATTTACCAGCGAAAAATCTGGCGTTTGTAAGTTACATATTTACATGCACCGAGGGGAGTTTTTCCCGCAACACTATTCACCAATCAGTGAGTTAAGTTCGCAGAAGTGTTGTTTTACTTTCGTATTAACGTTAAATAGGTGCCCGATCGAAATAAATGAAACTCTCAACAGTTTTCCTTAACGCGAAACATTTGTTTCCAGATCTCCTACGTTCAAATAACTGCCCCACTGGTGCGCAAGAAGCCAGGGTGCGCGAAGTTATTGAACAGGCAGAGATAGAAAGAGCCAATCTCCAGGATACTACACACAACAGTTGGGGATTTATGACCCAACGAAAGATACATTGTCTGGACAAACTCATAGGTCAACACCAAAAAATCCTGGCACCTATTCGACGCCTCCCTTCCGAGATCCTTTCAGAAATCTTCAGTCATGTCACCAATGAGCCAATACGAGGACATGGAAAGGAAGCTCTACGAGACTGCTGGAGTGTGTCTCACGTTTGCAGATCCTGGAGGAGCATCGCTCTGTCTTCGCCGACATTGTGGAATCGGCCGCCTCCTATCGACATCGTTTCCAGAGGCAGTCGCAAGGTCAGACGCTCGAGAGGGGAGGCCTCACAGCTTCTTTATCTTGAGGAGGTTCTGCGTCGATCCATCACTGCGCCTCTCACCCTGATAATTAATGTAGGGCCCCGGTCAAATCCTCAGGCTCTTGACCTCATCTCACACCACGCAGAACGATGGGAATCGGTCGATATCGTGACGCAGTTCAAGCATCTCCCCATTCTTCAGCGAGTCAAGGGCCGACTCTGTCTTCTCAAGAAGCTCTCTCTCGTCGTCCTCAATGTCACAGAGGTCGGCCAGGTCTTTACCATGTTCGCTGACGCCCCACAGCTCATCGATATTTCTCTCCGCGCGATGTATCATGTTGAAATGAAATTCCCGTATGATCAGTTCACAAGATACAAGGACGCCACCTGCATTCCTTCCAGAGTATGCAGTGTCCTCACCCTCTCCCACTCGTTGACGACTCTCTCCTTGCTATCGCTCGCAGATCCTCCCCAATTCCCAGCTGCCACATTCCCCTTCCTCAAGACCCTGCAAGTCGTGTTTACTTGTTGCCCGACTGGACCGCACGCGCTCAACGGCCTGACGATTCCTGCAATCGAGTCGATCCAGATGGCCGCACAGTCCGGAAACACTGTCGCATCTCTGATTACCATCATCTCAAACGGCCCAACGCCGTCTCCACTGAGGCGCCTGGCTTTTCGAAGCGAGATCATGCGTCCCGAACAGTTGACCACCCTCCTCAAGTCGACGCCGAGCTTGCTGCATCTTGATGCATCACTCCCTCACGAGGTCGACGTCTTCGCGTTGGCGAATGGGTCCGACGGCGTTCCGGTCGCCCCTCAGTTGCAGACCTGCAAGTTTTATTTTAACAGCCCGTTTCGGGACCGCCTCGAGGCCATCGAACGCCTCGTCGATGCTCGTTGCGAACTTCTAGAAGCAGACGGAGCGTTCATCCTCCCTGGCGAGCTTCGTCGGTTGAAGTCGCTCTCGCTCTATTTTGAAGATCATGGAGCTGGGTGGACGCAGCAGACATACCTCCACGGCCTCCATCCTTCGAGAATCTCGAAGCAGCTCGAGCAGTTAAGGAGAGAACTAGCGCTCGGGAGTGCATATCTAGATGCAGCGCTCATCCAGCGGATCAACTCAATTATGTCGCAAGTCGAGGAACCCGAGGTGGACTGTGGCGATCCCTCAAATGTTCAGGTATGCTCTCTTCCTTTTTACTTCATTTGCAGAGCGCCTTATGCTTTGTCACCCTTTGAATAGGCCCAGGTATTGTATCTAACACTCCACAATATCAGCCGATGGCCTTTAACGACTCTCGGCGGCAAGTTCTATGCGAAGGAGGCCACCAATACTATAAAGCGATGGGATGAAGTCTTCAATCGAGCGCTGGTAGAACCCCGCTGGGTCTTCGAAGGGACTTATACCCTGAAATATCTTCCCCGCGACAAATCTGAGAGTAAGCGCTTGCTTTCAGCCTTCAGAAATAGACTCAGAGAGGAATATTTTTCAGTCTCATCTCCCTCGGTATCCCTTTCTCCGTCAGATGAGCTCATGCCTGTTCGGTGGCCTCAGAATCTTAACAATTGGACGTGGTGCCCATAATGACTTCCCTTCCTCCGGTTTCGAGACCTAGGTAGCAAGGATGGTGTTAGGGAATTGACAATTCTTGCACGTTATAAGTATTTATAGGTACAGCATAGAAACGAACCGAGCTCTTGCCGAGAGATAACCTCTGGTCTTCTCGGTCGTGTCACCGCCAGAATGTTTGAACCCCAAAAATTGGGGTCCACCGACCATGTCTAGACGATCCATCAAGCCTCAAGTTCTAACCATCAGACGCACGCCAAACTATCCCATTTCAGTATCCTATAATCCAAGGTTCTATTAAACTTTTATATCGAAGGTACACGGTCATGAAAGCGAGCAGGCTAACCGATCGTTAAAGGCAGTAACTAGGACAGCTCTCTCGTGACGTATTGCCAGATGTAATGCGACCATCCCTCGAGGACGCCAGCGCCAGACATGATATGCAGGCAATCCCCTGAAGCGTGCTAGAAGAGCGAAGATTAAGTGACGTCCGCTGAAGATGACAGCAAAGAGAACGTACAGCATCAGGTCGTAGGCGGGCCGGCCGGTCAATACCAAGGTAGTGGATGTCTGGGTACTTCTTGTTGTCAGACGTGAGTTTCTGGTGATGACAGTCAGCATGGAAAGAGAAGTGGAGCGCACAGCCCAGAACTCACATCGAACACGTCGTTGAACTCCCAGATATCGGCCCAGTTGAACCATCTGTTGTTCCACGGCTGGATCTTCTTCCATGGGTCGCGGTGGTCATGACAGTTCTCGTGGCCGGGAAGATACGCGCGGACGACAACGCGCGGCCTCTTCCTTTGAGAAGCACCCATCTTCGCGCTCCGTAGCTTGTGACTCTGCCAGAGCGCCATTTGCACCTCATCCATCCAGTGCTTCATTGCCTCGCGGAACAGATTAATCACGCCCTCGATCCCAGGAGGTGAAGTTTTGGCGAAGAGATTCGTTGTCCAGTGGCCGGCGGTACTAACGATCATCGTCCCATAGTTGCCTTCTGGGAGTGGAGCGTTGAACTCGGCGAGATACTCGGACGGAGGCATGGTCCATACAGCTTCATCGCTGAACAGGCTGGCATCCTCCAGCACCGTATCAGAAGGTTGGATGGAGTTGTGAATACCAATGAGCTGCTCCTGCGACAGAAGGATGTCGATCCGCCTGAATTTGACGAGAGGTGTTGTTGAAATGTTGAAGCCTTCGGGGAACTTGATGTAAGGAATCATCGGAGAATCTGGCTTGAGATAGAGGTATTGTGGCCAGGCGCGATCGAACCCGCCGAGTGTCCAATCTGGCTCGGCCCTAACGTGGGGGTAGAGGATACATGACAGCGAGAAGAAGTGGTTCTCGCTGACAGAGTCTGATGTACTAGAGTCAGCTGAGAACGTGTACAATGGTCACCACACGTACCTCCGACCAGATACCACCCGCCATCCTCCACCATATCCTTGACCATGGCGGCGGGGTCCAACGAACGCATGTCCTCACACCCTCGACCTGGCACCCACTGCCAAGACTGGGCTTTAGGGAATCGATCCCATTGGTCCTCCCTGTCAGACGCCAGATGCCAGAAGTATTCTCTTGAGCTGGCACACGCCTCGAATCCCGAGAACGCGTGAGCGTCTTTTGGGTCTGTCATCTTCGTGGCATTCGTTCGCGGGTGGTACACCCAAGTGCCGTCCGAGTATGCTTGTGGTGTGCACGTTTTCTGTGACCATGGCGTCTGGAAGCTGGTAAACCGCAGTGGTGTCCCTGTGCTGTAGGAGTAGAGTGCGAGAACTCCAGTCGCGAGGACTGCAACCCCAATAAGCTTCCGCACAGTAGGTGCGCGGAAGTGTATAGCGGACATCGTGTTATGGAAGGGCCCTAGAAATCGTCAGGAATGAATCCCTTCAATTTCCCTCAACAAAGAGCTCACTTACAGCCAAAAGAGAGTGAGTGTAGGGGGCCCAGTGACGGCGTGGTGGTGGTAGAGATCAAATAGATTTTAGCACATGTACACGGAGTTCGAACCTTCGGCATCTCTAAAAGTTCCGCCGATCAATGACTATGGAATGATCACCTCCATTTAGGCGCGCCCATCGACGATGTAAGTACGACGACAACGATTATACGTTGAGATAGAAAGGCTTCAGGCAGCTGAAATACTGTACATACTTCAGTACATCCAGTTCGGCCAGTTGACGTTACCAAAATCAGATTCCTTCCTAAATCCATAGACCAAATGAAAGTGAGGTAAGGTCGCCCGAGCCATCCGGTCAACTGAAACAGCACCCCAAAAATCAGCAACTGCCGAGGAGGAACAGACACGCGCACCATAAAATAGGATAGTCTCGCCAGCCGGTGACCAGCGGACATCCGGTAGTTCCCCTTGGAATAAAGGCTCCCATTTCTCCATGATTCGACGAGCGCGGGCTGGGAAGCCGCGTTTGACAGATATTTCCTCCGACGCAATTCGTTGCAAGGTAGGATGAATTCTTGAAGCCTAAAGGGTGTTGTTCGGAATTCAGAAAATCGAGTATCAACGGAAAGTGGGGCGTAATAGATCTTACGTATATGTCCCGTACATCTTGAACCTCTAGATTCTCCAGGGCAGCAAAGCATTGCTCTAGCCTGTCCGACCTGTTGAAGCCGAATTGCCGTATCATCGTCGAACGAGGCACGACAGTATGCGTGGCATTGAGTCGCGTCTGTACATCGAATAGGACATTTGAATTCGCATTTGGCTTCCAGCCACAAAGACGGGCCTGCTGGCAAGGTCCCCAAAGCGACTGGCCAAAATAGATAGCGAGCTCGTGGATAATGGCGTTCTGATCATTGTCTTCCTCGGTATATTCACAACGCGAAGCTGCAAGCGCATTAAGCGCCCGGGATGTGAGGATGTCGATCAATTGTTCTGCGAAGAATCGACACACTTGTAAGCGCGGGACGAGATTTTCTGCACTTCGCCCAGCCATATCGAGGATATCTGAGACTGCGACGGGAAGGTTAGCATCCAAGTAGACGAGGTTGGGGACTAGCCGGAGCAGAACAGACAAGGCTGTCGTCTCCTCGAAAATTGTACGGCAGGAGAGATATTTTAATTGAGAAGGTGCGCTAAGGTAGAGGCCATCAGGAACCAGCTAGCTTATGTAATCCAAAAACCTTTGCAATGTCGCCTCGAATTGCAGCCTCAACACTGAATTAATTCCCCATCATAGTGCTAAGACTTGTAAAATACATTCCAAAGAAGAGATCCCTGGAAAAAATAATTTGAATTTTTGCTTAGGGGCCAAGAAATAAGGGTCCAAAAATTTGACCATGAAAAGTGTAGTAAATGCAATAAAACCCATTTTCGTAAAGGCAATATTCTTTTTGAAAATGCGACACAGTGGATTTTGCCGCTTACATAATGCATACATGTGACTTAGGGGGAGGAGGAAAGGCCACAAACTGCCACAAAATGGCGACGAAATAACCATTCTCTGCACATTCAGACAGACATGGGCCGACACTCCAAAGCAACTACTGCACGTCTTGGGAACCTCAACCACCCTAGAAGGTCCTATAAACCCACTGTAGAAGATGTGAGTGAGTCAGAAGATGAAGATTACATCCCTACCAGCAACAGGCAGCCACTCCTCAAAGAAGGCTTCTTTTTTCTGGATGAAGACTTGGATTCAGACTCGGACTGGGACCCCAGAGGATGAGGAGGAGGTGGAGGTTGGTGAGGAAGAACTAGAGGGGCTGAAGAATGAGAGCGACATTCATCAGTTCGCAGCTGTTCTCTGTGAAGCTCAAGCTCTTGCTGTAAAGGCTGAATGTGAAGCAGCAGCTGATAAGCCCAACCGCCCAAAGCACTACACTGGGAACTTGAAACGAAGCCAGCGGCTCCATGCCTTCAATCGGAAGAAGTTAGCAGCAGCTGGACAACAATTTATTAATTCCTGGTTCACAGTAGCCAAAAAGACGGTCTCCGAGGATGAATCTGGTTCAGACTCAGACTCATCACCTGAAGACCCACCCACCAAAGATGTTGAGGCAAGCATGGGCCAGCTCTTCCCTGAAAGAGATGAATTGAGCAATGAAGTCAGTCCAGATGCACGTCAAAAGCTTAATCGAGGACTAACCAACAAGACTAGATGAACCCAGGGCCATTGCATGACACTACAGGCACCCAGAGTGACACACGAGCAAGATCTGCAAAGGAGGAAGTCAAAGAGCTCCTGAAGCAGTTGCGGAATGGATGTCGCCCTTCAGATGACAGCCCTGAGACAAGGACTGATGTCCTGTTGAATGGATTATGCTACAAGGACTTTCCTATGCTGCGTCGTGCACTCGCAAAACTCACCATCAAGAGCAAAGACAAGAAGCTTGATGTGTTCTTCCAAAGCCGAATTACAGGGATGGTTGCGACATTGAATCTTTATCTCGATTCACAGCTCTCATATACGTGGCGGGAGGCTTCCCTGATTGCGGCGAAAGCTGCAGGACGAGGACCCAATCACGCACGCAACCTATGAAAGTGGATCTGTCAGTTTTTGAAATCTGGGAAACTGCCCCTTCACCGATATGGCTCCTACAACTCCTCAATCCTCAATGATGAAGACTTCGCCCGGGATATCCAGCTACACTTGACAGGAAAGGCAAAAGATGGCTACATCCGGGCACAGGACATTGTTGACTACATTGCCACAAAGGATGTCCAGGAGCGGCTTGGGGTGAAGGCACGAGGAATCACCGTTCGAACAGCTCGACACTGGTTGAAGAAGCTGAACTGGTGATATACCCGCAAACGGAATGGCATGTACATTGATGGCCATGAAAGGGAGGATGTGGTTGCTTATCGGAAAGCATTCGTGTCACACTGGCAGGAATATGAGAAGCATTTCATTATTTATGACAACGATGGCAACGTACTCTCTAAACCAGCTGGCTTCCCTGTCCCTCAAATTGGCCGCTTCCACTTGATCCTGGTCACACACGATGAATCAACGTTCTACGAAAATGATAGACACAAGACAAAGTGGACCCACTTCCAAGAAAAGGCGACAACGGAGAGAAAAGGAGAGGGGCCATTGATCATGGTGTCCGAATTCTTAACACCTGATTGGGGGTGGCTAAAAGACGGAGATGAGTGAGTAACATTCAAATGATTATCCACCACTCAAGGCTGACCATCGAGTGAAAAAAGCGAGGCACGTATCCTCTTCAGAGCGGGGAAGAATCGGGATGGTTACTTCGACAATGACGATCTGATCAGTCAAGTGGATCATGCTATTGACATTTTTGAGGGACTCACCAATGGCTTTGCAACTGGTCTTTTCCTGTTTGACAATGCACCGAGTCACCAAAAGGGGGCAATGGATGCCCTCTCTGCTCGTAAAATGCCCAAAAATCCCCATGCAACATGGACACATCACAAAGATGGCCCAAAGATGAGGACCACCTGCTTCGGTGAGCACAGCACTATCCAAGACTTCTATTACCCAGATGATCACCCCACCATGCCGGGCTGGTTTAAAGGGATGGAGAATATTATCCGGGAGCGCAGTCTGTGGCCACAGCGGGGGCTCAACGCGCAGTGTGAGGGGTTCAAGTGTGAGCCTGGGAAGACGGACTGCTGCTGTCGACGGCTTCTATTCACACAGCCCGATTTCGTAAATCAGAAGTCTCGCCTTGAAGAGTTAATCACTTCCTGTGGTCACATTTGTGACTTCTACCCAAAATATCACTGTGAACTCAATTTCATTGAGCAGTATTGGGGGGCAGCAAAGCTTCGGTATCAGAATAGCCCCAAGACAACTGATATAAAGGAGATGGAGAGGAATGTACTTGCCTGCCTCGACAATGTTCCTGATGTTTCAATCAAACAGTGAGTGTTTATTTTCACTTCCATCAATAAATGGATCTAACGCGCTGATTAGGTATGCCAATTGTGCTGCTCGATTTATCAATGGGTACTTCCAGGGACTTACAGGCCCCGAGGCAGCATGGGCAAACAGGAAATATCACGGCCATCGCACACTTCCTGCGTCTGTTGTTGCTAAACTTAAGGAGGAGTTCTTAAAGAGGTTTGGGGGGTCCAAGTAAATATTCTACTGTACTCTGACTTGTATTCCGAGGGTCAAAATTTTTGAAAATTTTCGAGAGCGAGATTTTGCCACCCTTGGCGCTTATATAATACAATTATATAAGCTAGCTGGTTCCTGATGGCCTCTACCTTATTTGAGATCATTCCAACAAGGGCACCGATAAGATCACCTCCCACGGATGTGATAGATATTCTTTGGATAGATGGAAGGGTGAGATTGTTGAAAAATCCGGCTATGAGGGGCGTGCGGAAGCTGATCTGGAGGGAAACTGGATGTGATATTGTTGTGTGCGGTATGGGCGTTATGCGGAAGATGTCCAGGAGGGTGAGGGATGTCAGCAGAGAGTTGGAACTAGATTCATGGACGGCTGCTGAAAAATTGTCCAATGAAATTATTTCTTTGAAGTCGGCAAGCTGAGAATGAGGAAGGGGCATCTGCTGAAGCACACCATCGAGGTACACTTTGCATAGGTGAGGAGCGATGTCGAACATGTCAGGCACAGCATGAAGGGTATTAATGGGACGCAGACCGAGATGGAGTGTGTGGAGAAGTGGAATTCGGCCTCTGATTCTACGAAATGCAGACAGAAGAGTATCAGGTATGTGGAAAGAGAGAGCTTCCCATCGGTCACAATGTTGGATAACGATGTCGAGGAGGGGGTGCGAATCTTCTTCGCAATCTCGCCCGTTGATGAATACGGACAGAGGGGCCGTTCTGGTGCGTCGAAGTACCTCCGTGATGCAATCCATCTGGAGGGAGATGTCTCTTGGTGGGGCATTTAAATATATCTCAGGCAAGGAGCTCCAAAGAGAGGGAATATCAAGAGCCATCGATCGCCACGCGCGACACGTCTGGGAAATCGCCCATGGAACGTCGCGATAGCCCTTCCAGCGCAAAGTAGACTGTCTAGTGCTGACGTGAAGGAAGATCTGTTCGAATAGCTCAGGAGGAATACGTCGAATGGGGGATAGAATAGTCCGATGTCTATGAATGAAGTTATCTGCACGAGCGATTTCCTGTGTGGCGTTCTCGTTCCAGGCTGCATTACCCTTTCGTGTTGCGAGTCTCAAGCAGAGCTTGGTCTTGAGAGTGAGCTTCTTCCCTTTCACCTCGTCGATTGCCTGGAGTATTAATGCTGTTTCTGAGTCTGAGGGTCGCACGTTGGAGTGGACGAGATGAGGCAGAGGGTCTTTAGGGAGATCGAGCACCGGGGTGCTCGAAGAAAAGAGGAGAACGGTGCGTCGCGTAGAGAGGCCCAGGCGTTTCGAAATATCAACTACGCCTTTTTTGAGCGCATATAGCTTCTTTTTTGTCTTCAAAGTGACCTTGCTTGCTGTACTTTCGACCCGACTCTGGGCTTCGCTCCAGCCGTTCTGTTTTGCATTGAAATAGTAAGCATTAGTGAACACGTCCATGAAATGGACTCATTCAAACCTTGAGAGTATCAATTGCGCGCATATACGACCTCGAAAAACCTGGATGGTGCTCTAAGGAAATTTAGAGGGAACACCACAGCCGAGATCAGCCGAATTATAAGAGGGCGGAGTTTGAAGCTCGCAAGTGTTGTGAATCGATAACCCCTGTTTCCTAGTTCTACGGACAAAGTCTTTCAGCAACAGCTCCAAAAACTCAGTTAATGATGAGATCGAAGGTGGCGGAAGCATTGTCCCAGGAGGTACAGTTTTTGAGCTATAGTTACTCATAGAGATTGTTCTCTTACTTTCTTTTAGTCAACCGACTCTTCTGGCTTGAACGAGGACAGAGCCTTCCAGCAACAGCTCGCAAAAACACCGTCGATGCTGAGAGCGAAGTGGGCTGAAATATAGGTGTGGGGTTTGAGTTGTAGTTACTCGAAGGGGCTGTTTTATTACCTTCTTTTAGTCAATCGAATCCTCTGAGGGCGATCTGAACGCCTGGCAAAGTCCACTGCGATCGGCGAGGAAGGGCGTTGGTGCTCGGAGCACTTAAACGGCCATTTGAAACTGCTGTAAAATCACTTTTCACGGACGGTAAATGAATTGGTTTCGTCTAGATTTCGAGGCTTCTAACCTCCTAGAAAGATAGGTGCTCGTCGATGGATTAAGGCATTTTATTCCGCGTGGACGCCATACAACTGCCCAGTGAACAGCATCTGACAACTGAGTCAGAAAGACAACAGCATCCGATTTAAACAATACAGCCATGACTAGCATGACGGCAGAAAAGCATTATGACAGCAACAAGCAAGTGAAAGCGTGAAGACGTGACGATGAGAATAAGTAGGAAATATGTATGATGCGAGATGCAATACTAGAGAGCAGCGACGAAAGCAAGGGCTTGGAAACATCGAGGACAATGCAAGCGACAGCAGAGTTAACAACGGGGTGTAAACGGCATGTTGGAAGAGCATAAATGGGCCTGATAGGGAGGGGGAGCTTCTAGGAATGGATCCGAATGGTTCTCCACGGCATAGGAAGGTGAGCTTATCTGGGCAGAAGACTGTGGGTTTGAGGCAGCATGATGCGTGGAGAGTGAAGCGGCATATAATAACGCAGCAGGGTTCGTCAGCGATCCTCTCCTCGAGGTGGATTTGGGCTGCGTATTATCGAAAGGACCTAGCAGATTTTTGATGTCGCGGTTCGACAGGGAAGTGGTTGCGAAAGCTGCTGAAGAGACAATGGGCAGGGGTTCTACCAAAAACGGTCGAGGCACTTAATACAAAGAATTAATACATAAGATGGAGCTACAGAGTAAGGACCAACCTTCAGATCCGTCAGCTAGAGAGGTGGTACTTTTACGCCGAGGCCGCCGACGGAGAACAACGGCAACAGCCCCACAGGCCCGGCCTACGATAAGCGCCAGGTTTGTTTTCTTTGTTTCAGGCCCTGCGTTGCTCACAGTCGTGTTCGCGCCATTCAAGGTGTCCGTGGTGCTTGTCGGATTGGCCGTAGATGGTGATACAGTGGCCAAAACAGTTTGTATCAATGTAGAGACGTTCGGTGCTGCTGAAAACGGTATTAATTAACGTGTACCCTCCAAGATAAATAGTAATTTACATGTCGCTGTTTGTAAGTTACTTGACGAAACCATAGTGCTGGAGCTGGGAAGTGCGACCATTGATGTTGGGTCACCGACTTTGTTCATCACTATCGAGGTGATAGCTGGGACTGAAACAGGATCTTGTGGACTAAGCATGAATCAGGAGGCAGATTAACAGGATGAAAGCAACACTGACGTACGCCGATGAATTAACCCTCGGCGCGTGACTATCCGTCGGGTCGTAGTCGACGCGATTCACGCGAAGGTACATGTTGGGACCCGCATGGGTGATCGTCAAGAGGTGGTTTCCCATTGGCAGCGGCCCAGAGTCCCAGAATATCTTCTCAAATTGTACTGACGGAGTTGATGCATGCGACACGAAAGTCGGTGGTCCGTCGTCAATCGTGAAATTAGCTGATACGGGCCGGCCGTCTCCAGTGGGTATGGTGCAAATGACAGCAACGACTGACCCTATACAATATTAGAAGACTCGTCAAAGATCATGAAGAATGACTCACCAGTGAACTGGATCCTAGCAAATGCTCCCGTCTTGTCTGTAGAATGCATCGTTCCAGTCCACAACCCGTCCTTCGTGATAAGCTCCCATCCGGGCGAATAGAAAAAAGCGGGATCGTTGTCGTCGATGGATGCAGGATAAATAGACATGCTTGGAGGATGCCGGCCTCTTCGTGTATGCTGTCAGGAGAAAATGGGCGCGATCGTGAAGCAGAAAGAACGTCAGAAAATGAAGAGAAAGAAGAAGAAAACGGGACGAGAGCAGCTTGTCCAACAAGTGACATCCACCTCCTGTACCACTCGGTTGAACTCTCAGGCACATTTCGTAAGTGGCGTATTTCCACACTTATTCCATGCAGGCTCCAAAAACAATGTAACTGCGTTGCTAGCTCCGCCACGACAATTGGGAGCTGGTGCAGACAAAGGCAAGCAGTCGCGCCCACAGTTGACGTTGACAGGTTGTATACGACAGTGACAGAAGTATCCATGATTTTCTTTTCGTAACATTGAATAAACCAGCACCGTGTTGCTGGCAAAATGAAATCCTAGGCCGCCAAGAAAGGAACAAGGGCTGTGGAGCTTCCGCATCGGAAACGTGACAACTTTGAAGTGAGATTGTCCTTCCGAGAGCATGGTAGTCGAACAAAGAATTGAGGAACGAGGCAGAGCTCGAGGTAGCTCAGAGTCAAAGAGTCAGCCTGACAGTAGGAGTAGGGGCGAAATACAGCCACGAAGGGCACGAATTTCTCTTCAAGTTGGCCTATCATCAAGGAGACATCCGTGTCGATGACGGGGTCCTTCTCGCTGCCAGAGTCGCGCTCCAGGACAACTCGGAGTACACCGCTAGCATGAGGGTGGTGAAGAAGAAGTAAAACACTGGAAGTCGACATCAAAGGGGAAGAAAGGAAGGAAGGAAGGTGAGACAAATAAGAAAAACAGAAAACGCAGGCGTAAAGGGCGGGGAGCATGAGGCCGTGGCGCGCTTGTTGTGGTACAAACAAAGGCGGAGGTTAGACTCGTCCCGATATGGTGCAGAGCTGCTTAGCCCCTCTTCATCAATTAACCCCACAACGATGGTCAAGGAGCCTTCGGAATTGCAGATTGCCTATGAACGTCTGTCCGGCATTCACAAGAAGCTTGCCGCTCAGAAGGGGGGTGACAACGCAGACAAAGTCCTCCAGCAACAGCTCCAGAAAACTCTGTCGATGGTGAGATCGAAGATGGCGGAAACCCGGGCCCAGGTATGGGGTTCGCGTTGTACTTACTCGTAGAGATGTCCTTCTTAACCCCTTTAGTCAACCAACTCCTCTGACGTGAACGAAGACAAAGCCTTCCAGCAACAGCTCGCAAAAACACAGTTGATGCTGAGGGCGAAATGGGAAGAAATCCAGGTGTGGGGTTTGCGTTGGTTACTCGTAGAGATCATTTTCTAACCTTCTCTTAGTTGGCCGAGTCATCTGGCATGAACGAAGAGGATCTGAACATCCATTCGAGCGGCGTCCTCGGTGTGAGGAAGGACTACGAAGAACGCCTAGCAAAGTCCACTGGGATCAGCGAGGAAGAGCTTTGGTCCTCGGAGAACTTGTATCGTCATTTGAAACTGCTGGAAAATCGTTTTTCACGAACGGTAAAGGGATGCGTTTCGTCTGGATTTCGAGGCTTCTGATATCCTAGAAAGATAGGCGCCCGTCCGTGGATTGAGGCATTATTGTTCCGCGTGCATGCCATACTTCCGAGTGGGGAGTATATGGTCATTAACATGGACCATGACGTTTCATTGACCCCAGAAAATACGAGCGCGCTGCCGACCCCTGATGATTTCGTGGTTCACAGCGTCATAGTTGTGAACGATGAATGCCACGCCAGTAGGTCTACCGTGACATCTTATTTCAATCGTTCGGCTTACTGTTTCGAAAGGGCGATTCTTGTCCTTTCCGTCTTTGGCACGGATCCGGGTTCATAACCCATCGACGTTTTTCATCCTGGAGACGAAGTTCTTAGATCCGTTATGCCATGTCCCTCAGGCGGCAGACGAACTGTACGAGTGCGCAAAGCGCCTCGAGTAAGCCTCCCTATCGCTTTCAGCGAGCCCGTCTCTCATTCACCGCGTTTCCAGCAAAAAGATCATACGCGGCGCTCTGACAAGCGGAGAGGATTGGATCTTCTTGCATCTCAAGATGAACGACGACGGGAACGGAGCCTCGTATCATTATTCTGAACGACTTCGGCTCTACAAGGCTCAGACTAACCTTGCCGCCGATGTGGAGATCAGTCGCCCGTGGCCTGATTTAATTGCTGCCATTTTGTCTTCTTGGGTAGGTCGACTCTCTCTCTCTGGATGATTGAACTTTACTCACTGAGATGGTAGATCGAGAATAGCCATTCAGAGATTACAGATGACGATTGGTTCGAAGCGATGTGATGTACATTCACGTCCCTTTCGTTGCAAATTCCGTTCCCTTCCTATTGCTTTTGTCGTATTCAAAAAACAAAATAAGAAGTCGAATCCAGTACTAAGACTGTTCTATGATAAGTAGTATTCAAGTTCAAAACAAATCAAAAACTAAGTAAAGAAAGAAGAATTTAAGGGAACTGGGATTCGACAGGAAGAAAAAAGGGGCTAGACGTAAAAGTGAAAGAAAAGTGGGATATAATATGTAATGAACAAGGTAATGCCTATGTAGTCCAATTTGCGGTAGCCAGCCATTTTAGTGCTAGCCGTTCACGATCAGCCTGTCTGCGTGCAGGTCTAATTTTAATTTAAGTGTTAGGATGCTCCGCGAGGGGATGCAATACGATCATGTGGTCCAAGTCTGTGATATGCGAGATTTAGGAGTGATGTGCGGTGGGATGAGCACGACCGACGAGGGAGGAATGGAGGTTCGGAGGAGGAAGGGGAGAGGGGCGGTTAGGTGGATCCGGAGTGTTCGTCGGCGTTGTTGGGCGGATAAAGAAGACGGGCACAGACGAGGGTATGCGGAGAGAGAGAGATTTATATGTGTACGGGTATGTATATGCATAAGTCGTGAATAGAAAAAGAAAGACGCAGAAAGAGGAAATATAGAGGACAGGAGCGAGGGGTAGGATGGTGATGACGATGACGATGACGATGATGGCGATGGGCCGACAAAGTGAGGGTGGTAATCACAATGACGAAGTCGATATGAATGATGATGATGAAGGTGTCGGTGTCGTCGCAGAGCCGATGCAGGAGAAAGGGATGTATGTACAAGGAAAAAGGGAGATAAGTCCATGAGATGATTGCCCGGAAGCCATCACAGTCGGCGAACAAAGGAAAGATCACGGTGGTCAACGTCGACGGCGGAAGACGAACCATCCACCGTCATCGCGCTGGCACCAAGAAGGCGAAACGAGGGTGTTGGGACAAGAGAATGACCAGCAAACGAGCGAGGGGTGTGTGTGCGGTGGGTCATGGGAAATAAATAGGTCAAGGAAGAGATCCAAGAAACAAGAGGAAATGGAAAAGGGGGTTCCAAATGCAAAATAAAATCCAGTATGCACAAAAATTCGAAAGGAAGGTCAGGTCAAGCAAGTTTGGGAAACGAACCGCCGAAAGTCTCTATCCTTCTCTCCAAGATCCTCGCCCCTAACGTGCACCCAAAAGCCGGTCTTCTGCCTCTTGCTCCTCGTGTCGATATCCGCAGTCGTCCTTCTTGAAGCCAAACCAACACCTCTTCCAACAGGCAAGAACCGAGTTGATCAAAGTGTCTCCTGATCATCAACCTTCCACTCCAGCACCGACCAGGCGAGCGAAACCGACCACTTTTGCAGACTCCACCTTCCACAACACCACCATCATCACCTTTCCGCCCTCAGTCGCCGCCACCGCCGCCACCGCCCCACCTTCATCACCCGCCCGCTCCTCACCGCGCATACCCCACCTGCATCTCCACGCTCTCATCCTCCTTGATCCCCGCTGCCTGCCGCCGTCTACTCAGCGAATTCGTGCGGACATGCGAGCGCTGGCTATACACTGGCGTCGCACTCGTCGGCGTCTGCGCTAACTCGTCCTGGTCGTCGTGGTACGGCGAGGGCTGGTCGCGGAACGGGGACGCGTCATATGAGCTGTTCGCGTTGTGGTTGTGCCCTGCGGCTGGGTTATGGTTGTGGTGCTGGTGGTGGTTGGGCGGTTGGGAGGAGGGCGGCCCGCTTTCTGATTTCTCGGAATTCATCTTGTCCATCGCTGCTGTGGCCGCGGAGGCGTCGCCGATGCCTGCGCGTGTGCCCCACCCGGTCTATAAAAAGTGAGGTAAGGTGATCAGCGATAGGCTCAGGACGAGGAAAGGCCAAGGCCAAGGAAAGAAGGGAAGCACAGCGGAGCGAAAGGCAAGGCAAAGCGAAGCAAAAGAAAGCAAAAAGGAAATGACGCGCACCTCGTGTAACGTGCAAAGGGCGTAAATTTTCATGATAGCAAAGTAGTATCCGAAAAGAATGAATGCGGGTACGTAGATGATGTGTTCGGGTTGGTTCCAGAGATGGGGCAGGAGCTTGAGCGTACGCGTTGCAGAGAGCCACACGAAGTACGACAGGAGGATGTTCCTGATGCGGGCGCAAGGGTGGATGAGCCCCTGTTGTCGTTGTCTGAAGTTAAATAAAGTGTGCTTACCACCATGGGAGATGGTAACCTCCTTGGTCGACTGGAATGGTGCTCTTGTACATAAGGTACGACACGAGACATGGTCCGACGAGGAGCGTGAGAGGATTAAAGATCTTGTCCACCTGAGGCGCAGCAAAAGGGTCAGAAATGAGGTAATGAATGCGGTCCTGTAAGGGCTGCTTACCATAGTGTAAGCAACGTAAGGGTGCGATGTCCAGATATGCCGTTCCATGAAAAGACTTCGGAGATCCGACCGCCAGGTATTTCGAGTCCACCGGAGGACCTGCTTCAAGAAGCGCCAGTTGGGCTTCATCGTCGAGAGCAGCTCCGCCTCCTTGCAGCACTGCACGTACGTGGCCCAGCCGTGGCTGACCATCCAGCGTGTCAAGAACTTGTCGTCACCTGAGTTGAGCTGGTACTTCCCCAACCAGTAGTCGTGCGTGAAACCGTGCAAGAACTCGGGGTCCTTGAGGATGACGGTCCTATATGCGGCCGTCCGACCGGAGAGACAGGGCAGGCCGCCGTCGATGTGGGTCGAGGAGGCGATTTCGATGTTTCGGATGGTGAGGCGGAAGGCGGCGAGGACTTCCCAAACGGTCATCTTCTTGCCCACTGACTGGACCCGCTGGCTCGTGCCCACACCCCCGACCTTCTGGTCCTCGAAACACGCCAACACGTACGGCAGCAGCGTGGGCGGCCAAATAGCGTCATCGTCAGCAAACACGATGATGTCGGTTGTGGTGTTCTTGATGCCGTGGCTCATCTGGAGGCGCTTGTTGGCGAAGGGGACGGTGAGGACTCGTATCCGCTCGGGGTCGACCTGGTTGGCGAGGTCCTGCAGAGGGCCGAGCATTTTTTCCTCTGTAATGATGAGAATTTCCTTGGGTTTGCCAACGAGCCAGCTATTGGCGGCCTCTTTGAACTCCTCCCCTGCGTCGATTGTGGGCACGATGATGGTAACGTCCTCGGAGGCGATGTATGTTGGGTTTTCGGGAAGGGGGACTGGGCGGTATGTAGCCGCTGCCGCTAGACGTATTAGGTACCATAGGTAGCGGTAGAATCTGTCGCATGGTGTCAGCCTGGATCCCGCCCAACGCCTCGCTGCCCTCGCTCACCCAATGACACCGAATGGTACGACTAGAACGCCAGCAGTGGTCAGCAGCGATGCCTGGAGAGACACTGGGCGGCTCACATATTGGAAAGTCATCAGACGTTAGGTAGAGCATCTGGGTGTGGCTTGACGGGTATAAAGGAGTGAATTACGACGCCAAAGACGAAGAAGAGATCTATGAGCCCGTCACAGCCGGGGCGCGGAAGAAAGTCCAAAATTAGGGAGATATGGTGGGGGGAGGACGTGGAGGAGGATAACAAGGACCACCGCCAATTTCGCACAAGCCGACAACCAACGCCGAGCGGACTTTCAATTTTCCTTCCCGTCTTCGTCCCTTTCGGGCGATCCGCATTCCCAGTCTGTCTTGTAAGTTTTCCTCTACTCAGCCAAGTGCATAATTCCTGTCAAGTAAATACTAATCGCTTTACTAGCCGGTTTTTTACTTCTTCGCTGGCACAATGCTTTCAAAAAACTCGAACCGTCGGCGCATCAAGGACAGATCGCTGGTCCTGCCAAGAGAATTCCCTCTGACATCCGCTGTACCTGCAAGGCCGGCGACCTTCATTTGGGAAGGTTGCTAGGGAATCGCGCTTGGCTACCTCCAATCATCCTCTTCTCCACTCAAATCGTACACATTCCTCACTAAAACACCTTCTTTGGCCAGGTAGAGAAGGACGGAGATCAACTCGACGTCATAGTACCCCTCGTTCCTGTGAGTTCTTCCAGTCAACCCCCCGAATTCTCTTCTTCAGTTCACTCGACTCTCAGGCTGCATCTATAGGTCCATAACGTCGGCCTTGATCTAAGTTCCTATGCGCAGTAGAGGCTCGACGGCTCCGAGAAAAATATTAGTCTCGTCTAGGGCTCTATTTTGCGTAGGTTCGCAAATGCGCAGCATCAGAGCCTGGAGGAGTGCGCCGCCATCATATTCTTTTTTTGGCACACGTCCTTCCAAACGAACGTGAATCTATAGCGGTTGCAATGTGGGCCTCAATGTGGACCGTCTGGAACGCCTCTGGGAGTGTTGCACGGACACCCACCTCCACCTCCAACGCCAACGACGGGCCGGAATGTTATCACGTTGTGCCCGGCTGCCGGATTTCTCGCTGGGCCTCCAGGATGCTTTCTCCCGTTGATTCTTGTTCAACAAAATCTCTGCGATCACAAATCTACCAACAAAACTTACTTGTCACCCACTACATCTTGACGGTCAGACGTGATCAACTTCTCATGAGAATGATACTTACTGCTCAAACGCATTGACGTAGATGACAAATACTTGGATTGATCCCCACTTTCTTAGGTGTTTTTGTAAGGGCCCCGAGCTCCTTGTGTACATGTACAGCTCATTTCTTACCAGCGATTTCTCCTATGCCGAGTGCCCAAGGACTTACCGCGTCTATGCCGATCTCCTGCGCGCCAAGACGCGCCAAGCGCCCACCCAACCTTCACTTCCTGACTTACAGCTCCAGCTCCAGGCAGTCCCTCGGGAGTCGGCCTCAAGCAATCTGCCAACCTAACTCGCCAACCCTCGTTGGCGTTTTCTCGTCAGGTTCTTTCTCTGCCGCATCTTTACTTGACCCCGGCATCCTCGCGAATGGTCTTTCGTCAGTCGCATCACCATCACATTCCGAACAAAAAATTCATGCTTGAAAGTTTATACAACTGTTGCACAATGCAAAGCGCCAACTCGCACTTTTCATTTGACCGCGTACCCTACAACGGATTGAATGCCAGGCGTCACCTGCACCACCTCCGGACCCCCGGTATTCTTGAACGGCTGCGCAGTCTGGCCACAGGCTATTTCTAATATCTACCCTTGGCCATGCACAAGCTATACTTATCTGACCCGTCCCATTCATCCTGTTCTATCCTATTCTTGTCCTGATCCAAGTTCATCTCTGTCTTTCACCCCGTTCCTGTTCCCATCTTCCTGCCCGCTTTGCCCCTCCTCTCAGGTTTCGATCACCTTCGGAAATATCAGAGTAAGTACGGCTGAACCCATATAACTCGAGCCTTCCGTTTATTTTTGTTGTTCACTCCACCTTCCAACCTACGCTCGTCCCCGCCCCATTCGATATTATGATCCATCTACTGATCCATGATCCTCGATCCAGGTGCAGTCCCTCACGCGGTACCCATACCCAACCTCCAGCGGGTCAACTGGTGGGTGCCGAACGACGGTGGGGATCCCACACGTTCAATATTCACATTCTATTATGCCCTATTCACCGCCCTAATACTATGCAACCGTCGTTTCTGTCGGGCTTCTGTCTGGGGCGACTACAAGTTGGAGCTTGTTCCCATTCCACCGATCTCATCCCAATACTCTATCTGATTACCTTTGGCATCTTCGACGCACGGCTGGACCCAGACAACTCGAGCGTTCAGTTTATTTTTATTCCTCCATTCAATGATCCAGACGCCAGCTCTACCTCTGCTTGCAAGTGACTAGTACTCAACGAGTAGTAGTGGCTCGGGCTCCCTCTGGATCGATATCACTACTTACCGGTATACAGGGGAACGGTCAGCATCCTACGCATTCGATATTCACCTTCTATTATGTTCTATTCACCATTCCATGCCGTGTCCCTTCAGGAAAAATCCCCTCGTCGCTCGAGGGCGACTTGGAGCTCGTTCCCATCCCACCGACCCCATCCCAGCTCGACGACACAGCATCTCAACGCCTCGCCTCAATTTTTGCGATATCTTTCTCAGAGGCACCCACAGGCATCTCCGTGGTTGTTCCTTTTCGCGACCAAGGCCTAGGATGTCTCTTGAACCTGCTTACGACCTTAGAAATGAGTCGTCACCGCGACTCTACTTATTTGCGACGTCCGCTCCGCACCGACCGTCCGACGACCTCAATGCATTGACGTCCTCGAAATATTGGCAATGTTCTCTTAGCTCTACTTCAAACGCCAACACACAGCGCATCTGCATCTGCATCTGCTTGGCGTTTCCGCGAAAGGATTTGAAGGCTTCGCCCCATCGGGCATGCTTTGGCGGCGGCAAGTTAGAGGCGACTCAGGCGAGCAGATTCTTACTTCTTCTTGGTCATGACGAGGTACCTACGCGCGCCTCATGCGGGTTGAAATTCCTCTAGCATACCCACTGACAGAGACTTGAACAGAGTGAACGCCTACATAATTGTGCGCCGGACCGTATGCTCTACTTCGCTTCAAATTCGCTTCGGGCGCCTCCTTGGTTTCTTAGACGCCGTCGGCAATGACCCTCATCGCGATCGCCCTTCTCCCGTCTCACGAAATTGAAGCGCTCGCTGTCTCCCACCGTTAAGGTCTGACGAGTGCTCCATCGGCAACCGACTTCGGACTTGAGTCTTGCGCTCGCTTGTTTTCAAAAATTCTACCAAAGGCCTGCTAGGTCTCTGTGGAGACTATAGGCAGCTGTTGAGGTAAGTAATCGACAGAGAAGAAATCAGTTCTGTTTCTCCCGATGTTCGCAACCAACAAAGTCATCGCACTCAGTCGGATTTTCCACGTTGTATCTTCAGAAGTCTGTTCGAGGTACGCAGTTATGGAATCAAAGCGGCCGGAGGTTGCAAGGAATTATACTTACTATGAATGTGTAGGGAAGATGACTACTCCAAAGCGCGAAAGCCGCCCGTCCATCATCCGAAGGACGCGTACCACAATTTCCCTTCATCGTTCAGGTGGTCTTCCAGATTGAAAAGGCTCGAAATCCAACCCCGAGTTGAACCCAATGTGCTCTCGAGTTTTGCTTTATGAATGATGGTCAATACTGCGCCAGGAAAATGAAGTATTCTGACAGGGGAGAACTCACCCCGACGAGCAAAAGAAATCTGCTCCGCATATCGCCAGAAGTCCCCCTTGCCCCTCGCGCCCAATCTCCAGTCCATTAAGTTGTCACACGCAGGGGTATCTTCCAGCAAGACCAGGCGGTCATCTCGGATGCCAGCGAGTTCCTGGGCGTCAGAAAAGCTCCAATTAACAGTGTTGGCGAGAAGGACCAATGATTTCAGATGTCGGCATTCTGAGAGAAGATTGTGAATGACCTGAAGCTCGACGATGGAGTTGACCGCAATATGCGTTAGTCGGGGCAAGGTGGCGAGGACGTTCCAATCCTCCCAGCAGTGTCCCCTCATACGGACAACGTCGATGTACTCCAGATTACAGAAGGGCGGTTCCAACCACTCGTCATCTGAGAGCGTCCTGAAATTGGCGGATAAGCGCCGAAGGGGTAGTAGCCGCAATTGGGGTAGGAAATCGACTATAGGTTCAGTCGACCAGATAGCGAGGTTGTAGACATTCGGGCACGCTGTCAGAAAGCGACTGATTTCGTCGCTGGTGCGAGAGCCGCCGATGATCAGATGGTATGCGAACCGGCCAACATCATCGAGATTCATATCTGGACGAGGAAAGGTGTCCATCTCTCTGTCCGATACTTGTGTGAAGATTCGGTAAAGTTCCGGGCGCACCCTGCACGTTTTGTGAGCCTCCATGTCCAGCATGTTTCGTGACAGTTCAGATTGCAATTGTGAGACGCACCAGTCGCAAACACATTTGGCGACAAGCATCAAGTGCATTACTACTTGATCCCCACCTTCTCGAGCTGCCATCTCGAAGATCATGCGCTCGAGATCATAAGGCAGGGGCGTAATGGACGGGTTCGACCTGCTGGGCTCTCCCAATGCCTCTTCCACTGGCAGCTAAACGTTGAATAAACTCATCAGTGAAATCAGGTATAGAGAAGCCCTGACCGGATGTCTGAATGCACGAAACATAACGAGGTAATTCTGTCGGTACGATATAAAAGAAGGTGAAGCCTTGAAAAATGATTGAGGATAAGAATACCCAGTTACTCATCTGCACGCGACCCTTGCGATCGTGCGACCTCGTCGGAAAGTATTTCCGGCAGTCCCGGCCCGGAATTGCAGTTGCCGTATTGGGCTTCCACATTCCGGTCTCAATTCCGCCCACAGAGAGGATGCCCAGGAATAGTGAGGGCTTTCCGCGTTGTAAAACGGGATTACCTCGTTGGAACAATCGGGTCAGGCCCGATGAGACCGATGTCACCGCACAGGGCATTGCAGGACCAGGCCTGCGGACCGACCTGCACCCCAAAAGACGAAGTATCCATAGCCAATTGTTCATTGCACTTTGATGTTTCATAGCAATCATTGGTCAGTTCACACAGAAGGCTTCGTCGGCCACATATCGGAGAAATTGGCGTTGCGTTGACTCGTCTAAAACCTCGAGGATTATACAATCATCGTTCAGGTACGGGCGCTTAATTGTTGGTTTGGGTAAATATTTACTTTTACCTCTTGCCCGCGTTCGTGGCATTCGTCCAAGGTGAGGGGGTAACTCATCCAGGGGCTGTATATAGTGAAGAATGGTGGAATAAAGGTTGTCTGGTTACTAGTACGCGTATGAAAGAGATAAGGCAAGCCTGTCAAGCTGGGTAATAAGGTTAATGGGAACTTCCGAAAGAACTGAATACGACATGACATGGGTACGTGCCTAAGAATAGTCCTTCCTGGAGGATATATATCGTCAGTGTTGTTGATGCCTCATTTATTTTTGCAGCTAGTTTCGCCCTTCTTCGACCATTTCCTGAGAATTGTTATGGCCGCTGTAAGTCAAAATTTAGCTCTTCTTTTTGTTCTGCAGTGACAAACGGCGCTCAAGGTGAATCCTGACCCATGGTATTGCGGACATCCATGGTGTCACCCTGTCCCTCACCCAAAGCCCCTTAAGCACTGGGAAGAATGCCATGACCTGGTTCTGAAGCACGACGAAAAAATGTTTCGGGCGAACAAAGGCGCCATTGACAACCTCTTGATCTTCGTGAGAGTCTTCATCTTCGAGAGATATAAAACACTTAACATGGACTTCTGATAAGGCGGGTTTATTCTCTGCGACCGTGACGTCCTTTACCATCGAATCCTACAAATGGCTCGAGACCGAGTCCGGCCATCCCACTCGAGCAGAAGTACGCATCAACGTGTTCTGGTTCTCTAGCCTCACGCTCAGCATGGCTACGGTCCTCATTGGGATCGTGTGCATGCAGTGGCTGCGGGAGTACCGGCGCGACGCGACGCGCTCGCACAAGGACGCCTTAGCGATGCGCCAAATGCGCTATGAAGGCCTGGTGGCGTGGAAGGTCCCCGTTGTCCTGTCCCTCCTCCCCCTCCTACTTCTACTGGCGTTCGTTCTTTTCTTTGCAGGGATACTCGAATTGCTGTGGGCGAAGCACCGTGGGGTGGCCGCCGCCGTTACCGTCAACGTTGGGCTCGTGTGCTGGTTCCTCATCATGACCACGGTCCTCCCGGCTCTACAATCGCTGTCGACAAGCAACAAAGACCTTAATAACGTCAATCAATGCCCATACAAGTCCCCGCAATCCTGGGCCTTCTATCGGCTGTGCATTTTAGTTGCTCATGGCTATCGCCTTGCCGTTCACGTCCTTGGCCAAATGTCCTTCGCAATTATCAAGCTAATGCGAAAAGGAGTCCCCGGTGAATTAATGGAGCTTGTAGAACGTGGAATAAGACACAACGACGAATCGTACGCCAGGTCAGAGCCACCCCAGTTCGAGAGATACTCCGACAAGAATTGGATCGAACACGACGTCAGGTGGCGAGCCTTGCGAGACGCTCAGTACGCGGATGACGCCACAGAACAACCATTCAATGCCCCTCAAGACGGAGTCGATCTCGTCAAAAGCCTGCAATGGGTGAACAGAACCTTCTCAGAAGACATCAGCGCCGTTCACCTCATTTTCCATTGCCTCACTGACTTGAATTGTTCCACCGCCGCCCAGCTCGTTGGTGGCCTGGATGAGAGCGCAGCATATTTACCCGGACTTCTCTTTCCCTCCAGATCCGAGGATTCGACAATTCCCAGGTCACCGCGCGTCGATATTTCTCCTTCGCACCCGATGCATTTGCCTGCAGACAGGCAAACACAAGAACACATCTTTGCCGCGTTTCTGGCTACCCACAAGGAGAATCACCCGTCGTTGAACGACTCGTACCTGGAGTGTGCGATTCGTCTCATGAACGAGGCTGGTCAATACATCCCACACTTGCCTGTTCGTCCTTCCGACTCAGGTGACGTTTTCCAAGTGATCTCTCCTGGTAATATTTTCTTTCGATCTCTTAACAGATCAGTGTCTCATTTCTTTGAAATAGAAACGGTCCTCCAGCTCTTTTCGTGCCTCAAAAAATTGGTTGCACGCCAGGTCATCTCGACGGAAAATGCGTCTGAGATATTTTCGCTTCTCAGAGACCTCTACAGGCAAGACCCCGACATGCGCGACCCCCTCCTCACGTTGACCCTCGATTTCTTTGAATGCTTCCACGCGTGGGTATTCTCTCCCATTATTCCACACATCGAGTGCACGGAGCGTGTCAAAGTGTGCACCCTGGGCATCATTCTACTTTTTGGTTCGATGACTGTCGACCAAGTCTTCGCCTTGCGCAAGACAGAGTCGTTCGTCAAGTTGGAACATTTCGCTCTTGGCCTTGACCATTTCTACAGCACCAGGCTGCAGCCGAGGGAGTCACCCGTTCTGGACGGCTTGAGGGTACGCAGGTGGCCTGATGTCATGAGCAAGATCTTCTCTACAAGTGTCTCCGGTCCACCGACGGGAGACTCGATGAATGTTCACGATCATGCAGTCAATTGATCACGTTCGACGACTTCATCAACGCGAAATGGGGAAATTTCCCATATTCTGCTTGGGACCTGGGTAGGTGGATTAGTCCATATCCAGGAACCGGCGTCTGTACATTACCAGAGTTATATCCCTCTACTTTTCCTTCTCTCGCCGACGAGCTTGTCTTCGTTCTTGATTTTTTGGATAATGGTAGCTTGAGTATTCTCCTTTTTCTCCTTTATCCGTTGTATCATCAACTCTTGAGCTTATCGGTATGATTTCTGGTTTTTAATAGCCGCACTACCCCCTTGTATCAGGTTCTCAATAGCATCCCAATTGGAGGTTCTTGGAACCACCATACTCCGACAGTCCGCGTCCTTACCCCGCACCGAGGAAAGGGGGGCGTGGCCGAATAGAGAGCATCCAATTCTTCCAATATGTCGAAATTTCGCCAAGTTGAGCACCTCCTCGAGTCTCGTCGTTCCAAATAGCCCCTTTTCCCTTGATTATTCGCGCTTGCGAGCCGGGCCTTGTAGCCGGAGACCCGCCTCATGTTCTCCATATGTGTAATCGATCCTATCGATCAATCAAGCCTTGAGTACGCCGCACCATACGTTAATATACATACCTGACCTAGCCTGACCTTCTCGGAATTACTTCCCCACCTCTGCTTATGCCCACCACGGTCCTCGAGCGGTCCACGACTGTCCTCCCGGTGAGTGCTGCGTTTTTCGTCATGCCGACGTGGAGTATCTGATCTTCCTTATCACTGTCTTCACAGATCTCCACGCCAAATGCCCCCGTTCCGACGTCCTATCTGCTTTCCGAACCTACCGCGGTCAAGGAGACCTACTCTCCAGCTCGTCTTCCACAAGAGCTAGTCGACCATATCATCGACCACCTGCACGACGACCAGCTGGCGTTGAGGCATTGCGCCCTCGTGGCCCGCGCGTGGCTGGCGCCTAGCAGGTTCCATCTATTTTCAAAAATCAGCCTGAAAGCAACCTCACCTCATAACGGCCCCGCCATCCCCCAAGAGCGTTGTAGACGTCTGCATGCCCTGTTGGTACGCACGCCAGAGATTATCAGCAACATACGGGAGTTGGAGATATGCGAGGGGTCACCACTTCACCATCCTTATCCGGACGTGCAATGCTCGACAACGTGGGTCACCACGGAGCGCACGCTAACGGCTCTCTTCAAGATGCTCACCCATGTGAAGCGGTTCGACTTCTCGTCCACCTCGATCCTCTACTGGACGCTATTCCCTCCGACATTCCAAGCGGCGCTCTGCACACTCTTCTCCCTCCCAACTCTCACCTACGTTCGGATCCACTCGTGGCTTTTCCCAAGCTTCGCCGCGCTCACCTCGCTGTTATGCCACTGCCAGAACCTTAAGGGATTCGCTCTTTCGTCCACGACAATCTCCAGCGATAACGGCCCGGAACCAGATCAAGCGCTCGTGCCTGAAGGTACCATCGAGCAGGAGGACGAGACGTCGAAGGCGTTAGAGGTTCTGACTCTCGACTATGTCAACTTTCCTTACCTGGAGTACTGGATCCTCGGCCATAATCACTCGCTCGTGAACATCAGATCGCTCCGAGAGCTCCGCGTCGCTCACTTTCTTGGTCCTGGAATCGTCGAGAAGCTCTTGCTGGTCGTGGGAGGGTCTCTGGAGCACTTCCATCTCAAGCCTGGTTCCTGGAGCGGTAAATACTGCTTTCACGATTCTCCGTGCTGAAATGTTTTGCTTACTCACGTTTTATTCTAGTTCATCCCTTCAACCTGTCACACAACGTCGGCTTGCGTTGCATTCGCCTCACATTGGACGACCCCGACACCGCCATGACATGGGTCACAACCTTGCTTTCGAGCATCACGGCCAACAACCAGGTGTTAGAGAGCGTCGGGCTGGAGTTTTACGCTGATCCGAAGAAGATTGAAGGGTGGAGCGAGCTCGACTCACTATTCGTGCAGCCCGAGCTGGCGTTTCTCAAGCAGGTCGAGATAGGCCTCTTCGCGATGCCGACGCACGCGGACTTCATCAAGGTACGCGAGGAGATGAGCGGGCTAGCGGGAAGGCAGATAGGGAGGTTCTACCAGCTCGGAATTAAGAGCCAGCGTTCGAGTCGGCAATTGACGCCTCGGATAAGCAGATACGAGTCTTGAGCTCAATGCCTTCGTTTTCATTTCTGGGTCGATTGGCTTCTGGGACTATTTTTCTTTCGGATCGGGTAGGCGGAGGAGGGTTCGATTTGATATAGTATGATGATACATTCGCATCGAAACATGCCTATGGCGTCGGGGGACACTCATGCCAGTCCAACCTCGGCGATATGCTTTCTTACAATTGCTTCACCCACTAGATACCCAGCAGAGGCGTGCGTTCGCGTTCGTATTTGCATGCATTTTGTTTCGCAGTTTCCGTCAGTAAGACAATAACTCTATGGTCATGATGCATTATGCTACTCACCGCTCGATATGATGCTTTGTGTCGCTTTGACGTCCTATAGTAATTTTGTTAGTATTTACATCATACTTTAATCGATCCACCAGGTGGTGGAGGCACATCATACCAGCATTGACGTAAAGTGCTGATCATTCAGGCAGTGAGAATGAGGGTAACGCAAAGCAGGTCTGGCACCACTCACAACATAGAGCGGTCTATTAGATAAGTCCTTCCGTCGATGGACCTGCAGGAAATGCGACCGAAAGTAGTCCGAGACCGTCTCGAAGTTATTAGGTCGTTCCCCGAAGCTCGTAATACTATTTCAGGAGGAAATCAACACAACGGAGAGAAACACAAACATCATCACCGCAGGACGCACTATTTTCGGACTCTGGTCCCCTGATCCAGCTTTTCCCTCAGTATGTCTATCTGTCCGTGCATGAGGGCCATCATGAGGACTGATAATGATATAGAACACTGGAGGGAGAACCGTTTCTCACCTTATTCAGCAGAAGCACTAGGTGTGCGTCCTTCAGAAGTTTGTTCGAGCAGATGGCCGTCCAGAGCTGCAGCGAGTCATCGATCCGGTTGGTTTTAGGATCTTCTTCTAAGTACTATAGCCAGACGACGGCCGTTGTGCGATCGCGGATGGATGATGGGTGCGTAGAAGGGCGCGACGTCGTATGTGAGTTGGGCACGAGGCAGGTATTCACAACATAAAAAGACATACTTGGTCAAATGCACTGATGGGTGCTGGAAAACGAGGTCTTAGCTTGCGCTCCAATGTGACGGGAAAGGGTAGAAAGTTCAATGTACCTAAGAATATAATCGCCGTAGCTGAATCCATCAGTTAGTCTCTCAAGTCTAGTCGGTACCTTTCAGGTTTACTCACCGTCGTCGAAGTAAGGCACCCAGGCATGTCGCTTTAGAGAAGACCAGATACCATGAGACATGTTCAATTGTGTTTAATATCGGTGCTGCCCACCTGCCCTCGCTGTGACCATAAAAATAACGTGTGAGAGATTTAAATCAGTGTGAAGAGGTACGGGAAAACCCTCACCGCTCCGCCGACGTCGTACAGTTTCCAATCGTATGTCCTTCCTGACAGCGTAATAGGGAAGGAATGCTCCATTACCCCAAGGGTTTGTAGCCGGACATGGAGTATATCGTCTAGAGCAGTAGTCGGTTCCTGAGTGACAAGCGTTTCAATTCATGGGGCCTACGAAACGCACCATTAGTTGGACTGTACTCGGGTTCACCTATTCGCTGAATATTATCCAGGAAGCTTACAAAATGCATTAGCTCCGGCCCCACTTGTCGCGAGACATACGAAGAGACTCACAATGCAGCACAGTCGTCCAGGCGGATCGTTCGGCGTTGGATGTAGTACCTAATTGTTTCGTGTGTCCAGAGTGTATCGATGTCGTCCACGGCGAACGTCAATGTGCGAGCGACGAGCGTCGTCACCTCGCGCGTCCGGTTCGGCGCCTCGGGCTTCTTTAAGTCGGGGCCTATCGTCCAGGTGGGTGCCACTAATGCTTGCCAGCCGGAGCGAACGTAGGCTCCCGTTCTCCCACCGGATAGCGTGATCCCACCACTGAGTTCCGAGGCAAGAGTGCTCTCCAATGCCAGCAGAGGCAGGAGTCGGATTCGTATGGAGTTGAGATCTTGCTGAACCTCGGGCAGGGAGAGCGGTTCATTGGGGATATGCAGTGAGGATTCGTGATCTACTTCGGCGAGTATCATGCGAATGGCCTTGATGATGTTGAAATAAACCACTGGCACCCAAGAAAGACGCTCAACGTCAAGAGACCGCGATGCGTAGAACAACTGAAACTGCTTTTGCAGCGTTGACTTTCCTGTGCGCCTCGCATGAGTAATGAAAGGTGCGTGCCTGTAAGTTTGCGCTTACCGGACTCCGCTTGCCCGAGGAGCATGACTGCTGCGGATGAGCATCTTGGTATTTCACCATGGAAATGATTATTGACCTTTCACTTCCCGCTTTCGAGCCTCCTTCTGACGCGACAGATCCTTCTGCTCGACGTCTCAGTACGCGGAATCTGGCTGAGCCATGCAACACTCACCTTGATTTCTTCGTCAATCCTCCCGCTGACTTTGGCCGGGTCTTCCCCAGACATCCTCGCCACTGACTCGGAAGCAGACTTGCGATGGCCGCGAGCTGGTGCTGACTGTGGTCGTTTGTGAGAGAGAGTTGCCATGGGGGTCGCAATCGTCGCTGGGCAATTAAGAGGAGTGTGCTCTGTGGCGAGCCGATCGCGGACTCTGGTGAAAGTCGGTGGGGTGAATGATGGTTCACCGAGTGACGCTTATGAAGGGGACAGGCCGTACGTCAGGATACGCAAAATCTGCCCTTCCCTTTCCCATTCGGGTGCGTTTTGGCTGTGCCTGTCAAGTCAGAAGACCGAAAGCGTATCAAAATCTATTTTCACTCTCGTGTCCCAGGCTTCTGCAGATCTAGGGACAATAGCCCCAATGGCCTACCTCTAAACGGGAGATAACCGGCAGCATCCTCCCAGATTCGCGGAGGCAGTTGTCGCCTGCCGATACGGTGTCGTCAGTATCGTGTACGTTGAGAGCCACGTCGATGACGAGGAGATGAGAATTTTTTTTTGTCCGCTGGCGTAGAAGTGGTGTAATGATTGATACTAGAACCTGGTACCTTCGGGCGATCAGCCAGCTATTTATGATAGAGATCGTTACTTACCAGAGAAGCCTTCTCTCCAAAATTCATTGAGGGCTAGCGTGAGAGGGCTCAGATATGGCTTTGTGAATTCTCAAAAACGAGGCAGAGTTGATCACTTGTTGGCAGGAGCCATGTGTTTGCCATCTGGTACAATAGTTGAGGCCGTGCGGGAGTTGAACGAGCTTTTCCTCCTTCGGCTGGTCTGGATCAGAGCATGAACAGCACGTCGTCCTCGGGCATGCCAGGAACCATGACAACGGACTGAACATCTTCAGCAGTAACAGCAAAGAAGCCAAGAAATGGCGAAACGCAAGTCAAGAACCTGGCAGGAGGTGGATGTCAAGGCCCGAATGCAGAATGTAGTGCTCCAGAGAGATCGGCTCGAGAGTAATGGCAGAGAGTACAGCCAACCAGCTGGCAAGATCTCCGGACGAGAGACGATCTCCGAGTGTAAGCGTCGCCTTCCACTGTAGCGTGGCCAGCCGCCAAGTGCTAGGCTGTCATTGTCTGCGGCTCCGGGATGTGCATAAAACTGTCTCCAAAGACCTCAGATAAATGGTGAGGTATGCTAAAAGTTCTCTGTGTATGAAAATAGTGAGTTGCATACCAGTATGTTACGATTTTGTTTAGGCAGATCTGACCTTCAGGCAAGAAACCATGACACCCTCTACTGTCAACACCAGCCAAAGTGAGATCTCTTTTCGCGTCACACCATGTGTCCACATGCGAAGACAAATAAGATCAATAAAGGGACAATGGTAAGCAGAAAGTGGTGGGGGGAAGAAAGAAGGGAAAACCGACGCGTCAACGCGTCGTGATTCACACCACGTCCCGTGACTCTTTCCAGGAATGGAAAAATAAAATTCCCAGGCTACCTAAAGAAACGGGGCGGCTGGACCGACTAATGGACCGCCAATATTACACCAACTTCGAGGCCTCCCAGCTTAAGTACACCACAAATTAGTGCTCTGTACTCTTACATACTTATTTCCTATGGTAAATTCATCCCGTAGCCTGCATCCTGCAAGTTATACTCCATAACTGTGCTCGGGTAGCCATCTGTGAATGACGCCCAGATAAAGGATGACGAGTTTCCTACAAAAGGTTCTGTACGCAGCTGCGGCGTCTACAGCTGAGCGATGTCGATGAACAACAGACCGAACTGCAACTCGAACAGCGGTGGAGGAGATTCCCAAACGCAACAGCTACATTCAAAAGAGCAGCGTCTAGTCGCTGTAGTCAGGAAGGTCAGGCAGCTGAGAGGGGGATTCAATGTAGATGCATATACATTAGAAGAGAGCACTCGCGGATGAGGGATTGTGTCGAAATTCGCTACTGCCCTCATACTGACGCACCCCAGGAGAGAACAACAGAGAAGATCGTGTCAGAAGGGATTCCCAAGAAACTAGAACCAGGCATAGACAACTCAGATCAAAAGAGAAGATCCCAGTCCCAAGTGACCGTATAGAATTACGAGGTACAAATCAAGGCCGTTCAGTATCCGGGTCTGGGTCTTCAACCCCGATGGAGGAGACATATTTCTGTATGTTCTCTTCTGCAGTTTCATCCCAGCTCGTGCCTTCCATATGCAGGAGATAACATCGGACATTGCTGGCACGATCGTCTTGAGGGGGTGTAACCCACGGACACGCATTTCGTGAATGATTATGGAAAGCGGGACTGATCTGCTCAAAGTTTGGTCGTCCAATCCTCGGCAACGATGATGGCCGACACGTTAGCAAGCTGCAAATATGAAATTATCAATTTCCCTTCTTCCCTTCCGCGTTCAAGGTCCATAGTACGTTTAATTAGGCGACATGGCCCGTGCGTATTCTCGAGCCCGTTGTGTTGTTGCCTCGGGCCAATGAGTGAGTCCGAATTGAAGAAATGTTGAGTAATCTGAGGACGGAAGGTTACCGAGCCCTCAATTGTAGAAAAATTGCAAGGCTTCATGAAGTCTGATGGGCATTTCATCAAAATTTCTTATAGAACGAGCGAGAAGTGTCCAGTATTTTTGCTTCCCAAAGCTAAAGCCTCGTAGCTCTGATCCACGTGTATGACTCCACTGAGCCACCAGTGATTCCAGTAATCTCACGCCAGCCTAGGAGAAGTATCCGAGTCGCGTGTTAATAGAATTCCTGTTCTCTTTCTACAAAAAAAATGGAGGTTAATTCTGTGTCCATACATAGAAGAAGTAAATCTGTTCATTCGTAAGTGCCATACACAGTGGCATTGTTGACGTGCCTACGATGTAATAATCGGGTGCATCGAGGGAATGAAAAAACATGCTCAGACCTTGGAGTGAGCAGCTCTGAGGTGCCCAGTCATGTTCTGTTATGCGGCTCTAATTTATGAGCGAGTGCTATTTAGAGGTGCGGAATGATGGCATATGACTTGGGGAAAGGTGCAACTAATGAGGGCGCTTAATTACTGCGCAAAGGACGACGAGCTGCAAAAGATTCGGTCAATGAGCCTCCAAGTTGATGTCAATACGGGGACAAGAAATAAGAGACAAGAAATGGGATCAAGGTGAGGTGGAGAGAATGGCACGTCGTGCCGCTCGTGCGCCTCCGGACTCAGTGCTCATTGTCATGGATCTGTGCATTGGCATAGTGGGTTGTTGGAATAACCTAGAGTAGTTGTAGCTTGTATCTCTAAGTACATCACGGGTCGGTCGTTCCTCATTGGGACCTCGCCAGTAATCCAACCTTCCTTCCTTCCTTACACCAGCCTCACTGGACCTAGTATCCACCGAGCCATCGCAACAATATTAATGGCGAATTTCTCTATTGCCCGAAGTTGACAAGCTCGAAGACCATAAGGTCGCATGTCGGAGCCGTACAGTATCATAAACCATAAATAATGATGCGCCCCAAGTGACTCAATGCGCCGGGGGCACTCTAAGCATGCGTGGCCATCTCGCAGACCTTCCTGAATATTTTCACACCTTGTTGCTCAGACCCAGATCCTCAAAGTCACCAGTAGAGCGACGTATACTATCTTCAGAGGATGCGCACGGGCCATTTCTAGCCGATTAAACGTACTCCCTTCGTTATTTCATGGACCAAGGGAAGAAGGGAAATTGATAATTTCATATTTGCAGCTTGCTAACGTGTCGGCCATCATCGTTGCCGAGGTTTGGATGACCAAACTTTGAGCAGATCAGTCCCGCTTTCCATAGATGATGCTGGGAATGGCGCATAGCGATCCGTGGGATCAAAAACAACGGATTTGCCGTGGAAATTAACGAATACAAACCTGCGACTCAGATTCTGGCGAGTGTTGGTCCTTAGAGAAATGAATGAACTCACATCGGGGAGGAAGCGAATAAAGAAATTAACGAATCGAAATACCCTTGATGATTTGCACACATGAGCAGGCCCTTGCATGGCTCGTGTTCAGGACACTCTTTGGCATGCGACGGCGTCCTCGGTTCTTGAGGTCTATCCACTTTGCCTCATTTCAGTCACCAGGAGTCCTAACCAACTTTCGACTTACAGTTCCGAGTTCTGATACCAGGATTATCTGGCAATGCTCGAGACCAGAGCCCTGGATATGGCCCTCGTCCCCACAAACGGCGCAGCGAGTCTGTCTGAGGAATATGTCTTGATCTATTCCGGTTCGGAATGCAGTGGTCGACGACAAGGAAAATATATCTCGTGCTTCCCACTCGTATCCAGGAGGTGGGTTCCTTTGCAGGAGAGGAAGTGGGATGGTGAGTAGAGGTGCTACTATGAGAGTGTTTCGAAAGTGGGTGAGATAGGGGTATCTGAGTATCGGACTTTGGAAAATGAAGCGCCGACTGACACGACGGCCGGACCGCTTCTGACAGTGCACGACGACGACGACGACCCAAGTACCATGGAATACAGACATGAGCCCCAGCACGACGAGGTCAATCTGATACGCCTACTACGAAGATTGGAGAAGTCGGTGGCCGATCCAGAAGAATGGCGATCAAACGCTCTGCAAACGGAGGCGGAGGTCTGGCTAAAGAGCCAGAAGACTTCCCAGGCGAGTGGTTGTACTTTGTGTGATTTTCGCCATTCACTGACGTGCTTGCTTGTAGAAAGTTAAATATGCGCGAAAGCTGATCAAGAACATCGGATTCGACGACCTGGAGCCATCGCCGTAGGCTCCCTCTCACCACTGCAGAATGGAACGCTCATTGCATGTTGCAGGAATCGTATAAAGAAATTGAACGACATGAAGATCAGACTGGACCGCGTAGATACCTTTCTGAAAGAGGTGCAAAAGGTACGTGGATATGTTTGCCATACATTACGATGTCTGACGGGTTTCCTCAGTCATCTAAACCCTCCCCACCCAAACGGACGTCTCTTCTTGCCAGTCTTCCCATACCAGAGCCACCGGAAGAGAAGGAAACTGCACCTGCACATCGACCGCCTCCTGACACACAATCCTCACCGACAGAACCGTCCATTTCAACTGCAGGCCTGACCATCACCCCTCCAGACCCCGAAGGGATATCACCAAGCCTCATCACCGCCGCCCTCCCCTCTCTACTTCCTCTGAGCGCCGCAGAAGCAGCCTCCACCTCCGCTTTCTCTCGTGGCTTCGGCCCAACACCCACCGCGCGCAAGGTGACAGGCGGTGGCGGCGGCGGTGCGACGTCGATGGTGATCCAGGAGGAGCTATCGTCGCAGCTCGAGCTCATGGCGCAGCAGCTCAAGCGGAACGCGATCCACTTCTCCACGTCACTCGCGAATGATAAGGCAGTGGTGGAGGCCGCGCAGGAGAAGCTTGAGAGCAACTACGACGCGATGCAGAGCCAGCGGACGAAGCTGAAGAGCCACAGCTCGAAGAGCAGTTCGACGACGTGGCTTGTGACTGGGATCATCCTCGTGGTGGTGCTGCTGTTTATGCTCATGGTCTCCGTGATCAGGTTCTCGTAGCCCGTGTGCGTGTATATTGTTACGGTCGCTATTTACTTTTTTTCCAGACTCTCGTACCGTTTTGAAGCAAAATCAGGCGATAATACAGCGAGCACAGCAGCCAGAGACTTCCTCGTGCTCATCTTGCTGCGGTTCCTCCTGAAGGTCAATGCATATTGAAGACGCCACAATACCGTGGACTCCACGAACCTTGCTATACTTGCGGATTTCCCGCACAATTTGGCTGAAAGCTTCATCAACATTGATGCCTTCCTTTGCGGAAGTCTCGAAGAACTGGCATCCAAGCTTTCTAGCCAGCGAAACGCCCTCTGCAAAGACGCAAGTACAACGGTCATCATGGGAGGATTGATATGGCGTTAGAACCCACATACCATCCATGCTGATTTGATGCTTGTTTTCTGGCAAATCAGCCTTGTTTCCTACGAGAATAATGGGGAAAGAGTCCGTGTCCTTGACGCGCAGGATTCGCTGGTGGAGGGAATTGATTGCGTCGAAGGAGCGGCGCGATCCTACAGAGAAGGCGAGCATTCGAAAGTTCAGCCCAGGAAAGAATCGGAATAGTCCCCATTCTCACCGTTGCTCTAGATATATACCGCAAGATATTCCTCATAGATAAGAAGGATGCATTGATCAGCATCTATGACAGCCCAGACAGTGACGGGGGCGGGATAGTGTGCGTGTTTCCAAGTCTCGTCTTCTGCGATGCCTTAGATTATGATGCCCTCGTTCCCAACAAATGGGACATAGAAGGATTCTCCTCGAATTGATTTTGAACTGTCAGCGTCTTAACTTCCATTCACTGACTTTCGTATTTGTCCTCAGGGGCCTGACAGACACCGCAATCCGCGAGGCAGAGGGTTTCCTCCTTTCGACCCACCTTCTATAGTAGGATCCCATATCTCGAAAAATTGACGTTCAGTGAATCGAAGAGTCAAAGCGCTCTTCCCAACACCTGATTGTATGTTTCAGCAGGAATGTGACAGAGAATACGCCCAGAGAGACTTGGGTCGCCCGCAACCAGTATTTTATACTCTCTCAAGTTGATCTCTGCCTGGAGGTGCTTATTTAATACGATGAAAGTCGACTCGGAACGTGTGAACATGCCTTCTGAGTCATTGTAACGGCTTTCAATGAGACAAATACCAGGTAGAATGAGAAAGTGGGGGAAAATACGCCCACAGGAGGCACAAATGGCTGTCACCGCTAAACCCGTGCACTACCTAAGTATAAGTATAACCAAGAGAGACACCAAACACGGTCAATCATCCTGTCCCACCTACGAGTTGGGTTCTTCAGGAAATGTTTGCATTATTCTGATCCATACAGAGGGTGTGATGGAGCTCCATTTACGAGCCTTGAATGCTTAATCGCTGGATAAGGGCAACGGCGTCGGTAAAACGGTGTCCCGGTGGTCTCGAAATCATGGACTGAGGTTCATAATCCCCAACTCCATCTCTTTTGATTCAACTGTAAATAAATTTAAAGATACAACACGTTTTTACTGGTTGCCCGCTCTCTACATCCGTCGCCATCCCTTACCATAAGCGGCACAACTTGAAGAACTTCTCCCGGGGGTTGAGAACCATTACGGATCGTTTGTACGGGAAGTCGATTATCTGCGCAGCAGAATGAGATCCTCGAAGAGATTGGACGAATAGGTTTCATTACCGTTTGGATATGGAAGCCCGAATTCAGGGCGACCTTGATGATGGCGGTGTTTTCATGGTCAGGTTCACCGAGAACACGGTCGGTTCGTGGATCGGCGAGGAAGATGTAATGGACGAGGGAACGGATCCAGATTTCCGCTATTAAGAGTTTAAGGAATAAGATAGGCGGGTCATTTATCTAGCCGAGCGAAGGAAGATAAAAATACAGAAGCACTCACATCGACCACCACCCAAGAACTTGCTCTCCCCCACTAGGACGTGGATTCCCCTCTCCCAGTCGCCCGGAACGACGTCGACAGGATAGTGCTGCGCCGTGTGGTCCTCCTTCGTATATACGATCTCGACGTACCCCATGAGCTCGCCGTCCCAGCTGAGCATGCACGGCCATGCGTGCGGGTCCGCGAGCAATCCTTCGACATACTCGCGGTGGGTCTCGAGGCTGCCCCGCTCGCCCCAAGCGGTATTTACACGCTCGTCGTTGTGCCACCGGTGGAACGCCGCCATGTGCCGCGAGAGCCCGCCTCCGAGAGCCGCGCTTCCGTCGTGCACGCCCTCGAGGTCGAAATACGCGATCTCGAGCATCTGACCGACGACGCCGCACCAGCGTCGGTACAGAACTTCTCCGGGTTCGGGCTTCGTGGGTCTGAGAGGGTGCATGGCGATGACTTTCTCCGTGCGGGTGTACGTCGTTAGGCTCGGGAAGGCTGGCTGAGGGTTGAGGAGCCAGCTGCGTCGGTGGAAACCCGTCGTGCCCGCACCCTGCCAGAAGGCAGCGCGAGACAGGAAGTAGACGTCCGGCGGTACTGGGGCTTTCTTAAGCCGCAACTCTGATGTCGGGTACGTTCGCACCAGGCCGGTGGTGAGGAGGTAATTTTTGATCTCGTCTTCATTCGGGAAGAAGAAGACGATCGGGATGTGTTCTTGGTCGCGGTAGAGCATGAAGAGGGCGTAGATAGCGACCCAAAAGTCGGGGATGGAGACGTCCTTTGAGCGTGGGTTGGCTGCTTGTTTCGGCGCTGTCACGGTGAGCAGACTGTATTTTGGGATGTGGGACGTCGCGCCTTGGTAGCGCGTCCCGACGGAGGAGATATCGAGAGCATACTGTGTCGCGGAGATCGTGTAGGACAGAACAAGAGAGCCGTTGAGGAAGATGTCGTTGGGCTCCTCTTGACCCTGGCCCAGCGAAGCAGTGACTTTCCCCCCGTCCGGTAAAACTACGAGGAAATTCTCCCCTTCTTTTAAAGAAGCCGTCTGGCTCGCGACGGCTTGGAGGCGCCGCGTTGGAGCGCCAGCGGATTCCATCTCCAAGGCCTGCTTCTTCTTCTGCTGCGAAGTGAAAACTTTTAATGCGATCTGCAACGGGAGTGGGGCGGAGGAGGAGGAGGGAGACATCGTACCAAAAGCGCACACTCGGTAATCTGATTAGATTTTCAAATACACATGCCAGAGATCTTCTTGATGAACCTTATCAGATAAATAGCGTGCTCGTCGCTTGGCGCAAGGCGTCAGACCGCGACAATGCTCCTCCGTTTCTATGAAGAACCCTCCTCCGCCACATGCAGCCGGCGATAGTGAGTACTCGAGACAGGAATCGTTGGGGCTTGCAGGGTCTAGACATGGGCCCATTGGTCGTCGACAAATTGCTGGAACTTCCCGATGCTCCGATAGAGTGACTATAGGCAGTTAGAGCTTGCAATTTCGCGCCGAAAAATCCGACATCAGGGCATTGGTCGTGCCACCGCCAGCCAGAATAAGAGTTATCGGGTAGTTATCCGAGGCCTTAGCCAATTGGGATGAAATCGAAGCCGCCAACTTGTCGGCTAAAGTGACCTGAACGCGAAGCAATATTTGAGGAATCAGTTGCTCCGAAAGTGTTCTATAAAAACAACAAAAACCTGACGTGTTACGACTTGTTGAAACGTGGACGCTGCATGGTGGTGGCATGTTCCAAGTTTCGAAGTTCAGCCTCACTAGATCCATGTCAGACGCTCTTGCCAAACATACTTACACATCTGGTTGCTTTGGAGTGACGTCTCTCTCCGAGTCTGGTCATCTTGCCATTTGCCCTCAAACTCGTCCATTCGAAAGGTATTTCTGTTAAATGTCTCTATTCTACGGTATGTAACGCTGAATTTAATAGTCCACGCAGACAGCATGCAGAATTTCATCGAAAATGTCTTCTCAGGAAGACGAGCAACGGACAAACAGGGGAATCCGTTCTCTCATCTTCTGACCTCCAATGCGCCTCCTTCACACGAAGAGGCGACTCAAATTCGAGAATTCATCATTATTCTCGAGGAAAATGTCGCGCTCCTGGAAGGTCAATTTGACGAGGAGTCCAACAAAACCAGAGCCAACTTGTCGAAGACAATCTCCGAGTACAGGGCGGTACTATCCCCAATACGAACACTTCCTCCTGAGATCCTCGAAAAGATACTTCTTGAAGATCGAGACTACCCTTTCCCCCAGCGCCAGGTCCACTATCCTTGGGGTCTAAGTCACGTCTGTCGTTTCTGGCGAGGCGTCGTCATATCTAGCCCCCATTTCTGGAATATCATCGCCCTCGACTTGAGCTTCAAGCCAAAGCGAATGCGGTCGTTTGAAACGTGCATGGATGTCGTCCTCGAGCGATCACGGAACGTAGGACTCTATGTTGCGATTTATGGCTCGCACGATGACGACGACAACCCTTCCCGTCTGCTGTCCATCCTGGCCAGCCATTCCGAGCGCTGGGCGAACTTATTTATCATGTCTGGACCCGAAACGCTCATGAAACTCTCATCTGTCAAGGGACGTCTCTCTCTTCTGTCCCGTATCGGCATCACTTTTCTGAGCATTTTTGGGACCCAAGGAAAATACGACCTCGACATGTTCGCGGTGGCCCCGAAACTTCGATATGCCCTGGTGGCGGGGTCCTTGGGGCCGCATTTGGACACTCTCCACCTCCCTCTCCCGTGGTCCCATCTCAGGGCATACGAAGACCACATCGGCAATCGAGCAGATCAAGAGAGTCTCATCTACTCGCTCTCACCCCGCATCGAGATACTCAAGCTATGCCAGCATCGTCCTACCACCCGTGACGATGCGTTGCACTTCAACCGCCTCCAAAGGCTCACAATTACCTTTATGCACAATAACAATACTCACGACGGCTTTTTTGAGAGGTTGACGCTCCCTTCATTGCGAGAAGCTTCTTTCAAAGGCCGAATTGGCAATTTCACCCCCAGATTCACTGCCCTAATTAGTCGCTCCAGCACCTCTTCACCTTGCTACCTCACCGTGCTGAGCTTCCGCGGGACCACGTCATTCCAACCCGGTGAACTCACTCGTTTGCTCCTTCACACGTCTCGACTCCAGAAACTCACTACACCTCTCCCTCCCACTTACGACATCCTCGAGCTTGCGAAAACCCGGCGCCACGATAGTATCACTCCTAAGCTCCGGGAACTCCACATATCCGTCGACGACCTCTTGTCAGAAGATTATCGAGACCCCATTCGTCAGCTCGCTTCCGCGCGATGTGGGTTCATGCGCCAAAACACCACGGACTTCAAGCAGCACCGTGACGTCCCGAAGGATATACGTCGCGTTGATTCGCTTGTGTTCTCATTCACTTCCGAAGTTGCCACCCGCCTGGGATATTCGGTCCTTCAGGAAGATTTTCCACAAGAAAGGCTGGACGAAAAAATAGTGAAGACGATGACGGCGTGGAAAGTACAGATTTGGGACTCCATCCCATGGTTGAAAGGCCGTCCTGCGCCTCGAACGTCCTTTCTCACCGGCTCGCGTTTGAAGAAGCTCGATCAGCTTTTTTCGACCATCGAGGGCTATGAAGTACCTTCGAGTGCCTATCTCCGGGTACGTGATATTTCCTTGTCGTGCATACCTTGAGGACATTTTGCTAACCCGGATTAACAGGCGTCTTCAATGCATTTCCTGATGTACATTCTCTGCCATCAGACAAAGGACGGCGACATTCCAGGTGATGGACGCTATCACTTCCGTACACGGGCTTCCACAATCCTCCAAAATTGGAAACCTCTTCTGCTGAAGGACCTTCCTCATTATCTGTGGAGAATCAAAGGCCGGACGCTGATTTATACTCCGTGGCACGATGGTGAGCTTTTGGGCTTTTCGAGTATAAATGATATAGTTTGATTGTTTTGCCCATTTGTCCAGACATACGATCAAAGGCAGCAGGGATGGAACTTATATACGGAGGTGTGAGTAAAAGCGCGATGTTTTGGTGAACTCGGCGGCAAAGATCCAGGGTCAGCAACGGACAGGACGACTTGCATATACCTCACTTACCTATCTGACAAACCCAACATTTGGACCCTATTCTGTACTTCTACTACCCCGTAAATCCAAAGGGCAAGGAAGAAGGAAGAGGTTGAAGCAAGAGCCCCGATCCTCGCCCACCAAAACGCGGTCACGTGAGTGTTGAATTTCACCGACGGTCCGGGCGTGGTTGGCATTCCACCCTCAACTTGGTCTTCGACAGTCAAGAACATTTCAAGGGAACCTCCGTGCCTCAGAATGCTCAGCTCCAGGCCAATCCAACTCAACACAGACGCTACGTACTTCCCAACGAAAACGCCAGGTCGCGCAGGCAAGAACCGCGCGGAAAATGCACATGCCGGCATTGGTGTGCCACCGACGATTGGGAAGGGAAAGAACGTACCTAAGACCCCGTTTCAATCTCGTGAGTCGTGTCAATCGCTCTTTTTATACAAAAAAATTACGAAATCTCTCTCCAGAATCTCGCCTGAAGGATGGGAAGATCATTTTGAACACCGTATCTCGGCCTTTGGGCGACAAGACACCACTTCCGAACCGTCTCGCGACCACGCTCTTCCAAACGCCCTTGCCACAGAAGAGCAAGTTGTCTCAAGTATCCGTTGTCGGAGGAGGAGGAGAGCAGAATGACGACGGAGAGGGGAACACGCCAGAGTCGGGCCAACGTCCAAGCTCAATGCGCAAGCACATCAAGCATCCCCGCCTTTCGGGGAAGAACTTCCAGACACCTATGAACAGGGGCAATCACTGGGAAATTAGCGATGATGAGGGTATTGTTCTCGATACCCAGCCTATGCAGGAGACGATCGTGGAGGATGAGGATGATTTCGACGAAGTGGAGTATGGCCCGCCGAATACGCTGGGTGAGTAGCGACCCTTTATGTGCGGAGTATTTTTGCTTAAGCTTGGAACTGCTAGACCTTCCGTATCAACCCCCATTCGATTTTGAACTCCCGGACTACAAAGAAGTCGGGAAAGCACTGCGGCAGCTCGCCTTCTCCGTCCCATGCGATGATATCCCTGCTTTCCCTGAGCCCGAGATCCCTGTTTCCGAGCTGGAAATTCAAACATGGGATCTAATCCCTCTTCCCGCCCTCGGTATGCAGTTCTAGGAGCCTTTTCTTTCTTCCTTTTCTTATAGCACTTCCCAGAATCCGACGATCCGTTCGACTTGGCCCGACTAGAAGCCTCAAACACCTCTATGGTCACCACACCTGCAGCAGCAGCACAGACCTCTCGTCGATTCGCACCGACGAAAATTGCCAATGCCGCTGTCTCGAAGGCTCGTCCTCAGTCGTCTCTCGCGCGGCTTGGTACCGCGACAAAACCTACATTTGGCCGTCCTGACACTCGCGCCGCTCCATCTGCCCCGCGAGCAGCGAGGCCTCTGACCACTATTGCGAAGACTCCCTTCGGGAAAGTCCCTTCTCGAGCCACGCCTGCTGGGTCGACCTCTACTACTGCCACCAGCAGTAGTAAACCTCGCTCAGGATCTGTCGCGAAGAAACCTCTCGCACCTGCGCCCGCCTCGAAGGTTCCCCACGATTGGCTGTTCGCCCGCATACGGCCTTGGCTGTGGGCACTCGCGGTGTGAAGCCCGCGCCAAAAGGACCTTTGAATGCGAAACCAGTTAATGTGAGGAAAGAAGTTGGTGATGATGCTGGAATTTTCATCAAGCCTGTTGTGGAGGAACAAGAGGATTTCTTGTTCGATGTCTAGGGTGATTCTCCATTGGCCCATGTGTTGTCACGAATTCACGAGTATTTCAGGTAGGAAGGTAGTTATGGCATGAGTTCAATCAGCCATGTATTCCAATCGTCTGTAAGCTGTATTTTTACCAATTACTCGCTGTACGTAGAACCTCTATGAAGAAGGTCCATGAATCTTCTCGAAGAGGGGTGATTGAATACCATACAGCGCGTTCAGGTTCCTCGCAGGATCAATCGGATTTCCTCTCCAAGTGGGGTCCGCACAAGAAGTATATAGAGACCGTAACAATTCATACACGCACAAGAACTACGAGAACCTGATCACGGAGACCATGAGCATAAACAACAGCACCACCACGAGGATGATCCCTGTCACGAGCCACGTCGTCGAGCTACTCTTCGAGCTGTGGCTCTTCAGCTTCGTCCGCTGGCTCTGCATCGCGTCGTAGTTGCTCTCAAGCTTCTCCTGCGCGGCCTCCACCACTGCCTTATCATTCGCGAGTGACGTGGAGAAGTGGATCGCGTTCCGCTTGAGCTGCTGCGCCATGAGCTCGAGCTGCGACGATAGCTCCTCCTGGATCACCATCGACGTCGCACCGCCGCCGCCACCGCCTGTCACCTTGCGCGCGGTGGGTGTTGGGCCGAAGCCACGAGAGAAAGCGGAGGTGGAGGCTGCTTCTGCGGCGCTCAGAGGAAGTAGAGAGGGGAGGGCGGCGGTGATGAGGCTTGGTGATATCCCTTCGGGGTCTGGAGGGGTGATGGTCAGGCCTGCAGTTGAAATGGACGGTTCTGTCGGTGAGGATTGTGTGTCAGGAGGCGGTCGATGTGCAGGTGCAGTTTCCTTCTCTTCCGGTGGCTCTGGTATGGGAAGACTGGCAAGAAGAGACGTCCGTTTGGGTGGGGAGGGTTTAGATGACTGAGGAAACCCGTCAGACATCGTAATGTATGGCAAACATATCCACGTACCTTTTGCACCTCTTTCAGAAAGGTATCTACGCGGTCCAGTCTGATCTTCATGTCGTTCAATTTCTTTATACGATTCCTGCAACATGCAATGAGCGTTCCATTCTGCAGTGGTGAGAGGGAGCCTACGGCGATGGCTCCAGGTCGTCGAATCCGATGTTCTTGATCAGCTTTCGCGCATATTTAACTTTCTACAAGCAAGCACGTCAGTGAATGGCGAAAATCACACAAAGTACAACCACTCGCCTGGGAAGTCTTCTGGCTCTTTAGCCAGACCTCCGCCTCCGTTTGCAGAGCGTTTGATCGCCATTCTTCTGGATCGGCCGCCGACTTTTCCAATCTTCGTAGTAGGCGTATCAGATTGACCTCGTCATGCTCTGGTTCATGTCTGTATTCCATGGTATGTACTTGCGTCGTGGGGTCGTGGTCGTGGTCGTTGCGCATGAGTAGTAAGCGGTCCGTCCGTCCGTCGCGTGAGTCGGCGCTTAGATTATTCCAAGTCCGATTGTCAGTGATTAATTGATTAGGCGCCCCTGTCTCACTCAGCCCGACACTACTTCCTCAATGACGTCTCTGCCTCCGATTCCACTGCCTCTCCCGCCAAGGAACCCTCCTCCCGGATACGAATGGGAAGAACGAGATGTATCCGCCTTCTCGACGACCACTGCATTCAACACCGGAATAGATCAACGGGACGTTCTCCTCGGACGGCCGCGATGCATCGTCTGTGGGATGAGTGTACGGACGATTCTACAGCACTGCCGTATCATCCCGGTATCGGAGGAGGAAACTGCAAGTTGAAGTTTTTATCTAAACTCCTGTCGACTCAAATGGAAGCATAGTGGCTCGACCTCAAGAGACGACGTTGGCTGCCGTCGCAGGCCAAAGATCGTCCCAGACATGAACCCCGCGACGGCATGCTCATGTGCCGAAACTGTCACAGTTCTTTCAATTCATACCATTTCTTTATCCGCTTTCTCCCCGATGTGAGTTGATTCTTGTTCTACAAGGACCGACCACTCACCGGAAATAGAGTCGCAAGTTTGTATTCGTTAACTACTCCGAGGAAGGATATTTTCAGCCTTTCCACGGCAAAGCTGTCGCCCTTGACCTCAAGGATCGCTATGCGCCATTCCCAGCACTGTTCATCATCCACGAAATGCGTGTCCGTGGGTTCCACCCCTTCAAACCGACCGCGCCAACCATGCCCGATATCATCTCCTGGCAAGACTGGATTCTGTCGGGCGGCGTGTACGACAGCGTCTCAGATTCTTTTAGACGTGACCCCCCGTCCAGGAACGATGTTGATGATGTGCAGCCACTGCCTCAGCTTCAATCTACGATGTCTGCAGGGAACACGGGCAGCGAGTCGTCTGGTGGACACACCCTAGCGCTGAATGAAGATGTCATTTCTCAAATTCTCGAGGCGACGTGGGCCTCTCCATCGTGGAAGGCCTGTCAGATGGAAGGCACGAGCTGGGATGGGACTGCAGAAGAGAACATACAGAATTATGTCTCCTCCATCGGCGTAGAAGACCCGGACTCGAATCGTGAACAGCCTTGATTTTTTCTGCCCCGTTCTATGCATCTGCTCGTAATTAGGACCTTCATCCTCGATCTGAGGAAGCCGGGCTAGGGGAGGGCGTCCTGACGCCCTCCCCTCTAGTGAATCCTCGCCTCTTCTCTTCCCGGTCCCGGTTTCCTGGGGTTGCCTCCAACAAGACGCTCTTTGCGATGTCTTTCGGGGTATGCGAGGCGTCAATATTGAATCGCACTCTCGGCTGCTTGACTTTCCTGACTACGGCGACTAGACGCTGCTCTCCGTGAGCATAGCTGTTGTATTTGGAAATATTTCCTCTACTTCCATCCGCTCGCTCAGTGCGGCCGCATCGAAAGTTGCCCCTCGACGCCCTGTTCGGCAACATTAGACTTTGCCCTGAGCACCGGGGTGCGAATCCTGCGCCAAAAGGACCTCTGAATGCGAAACCAGCCAATTTGAGGAAAGAGGCCTGTCATGATAATATTGAAATGAGCAAATGGACTTCTTGTTCGACATGCTCTTCGATTGCTCTTCTACCCAGCGTTACCAATTTACGAACATTTTAGGTATGTCCCTAGTCATTATGCAAGATATTTTCCGATTTTCTGTAGTATGTCCGACCACAAATTCGACCTGTCAAGCGCTTTTCACTGTTGTTCGTTTAGAGCATCCAAAAAGTCTTGATCTTCCTTAACTTCCCCTCCTTCAATGTACAATCCGCCATCCAACGCCAACTTCAACCTTTCCCTGGTCATGACCACACCGCTCCTTAAAAACTGCCCAATCACGCCTTCGTCAATCCTCTGCTTCTCGGTGCACTGCATAGCGTTATCATACGCAACGTAGAAATCGGATCGGAGATGCTGCAACCGCCCTCCCTGCGTGCTCGCAAACACGCACGTTTCATCCTTCACACTGCGCTGGTCGAGGACGATGAAGCAGTACGGCATGCACGACTTTGACTTTGTGGGCACCCTCTTGTTGGTGATGTTGAGGGTGAACCAATCGCGGAGCTCTTCGACTGTCTTTCCAAGGAAAGGAGATTGGAAGGTCTTCATTGGCAGTGTGGAAGGCTGGGCGGAGGCGATGTTGTCGGATGTAAGGATCAGGACGCAATCTTCGGCCTTCTCGTCAGCGCAGAAGGAATATTCTCTCTTCAAATGTTCTACTGTGCGCCGTAGAAATGAGTTCAAGATCTGGACACCTGTGGTAAGCTTCGAACAGATGCGAGAATGATAGCGATGGACTCACATAAGCGGGAATATCCGTGGTGCAGAATACTACACACAACGACATGGCGGATGAAAGATGGGAGACAAAACGTAAAGCTCGAGGATTTTATGCTGGAATGTCCGCCCCTTTGTGGGCGCCTGCCAACATGTGCCAAGTGGGGTTTGGCGTCCATTTCTGTAGCTTCAACGCCAAGGCTCACGAAGTTGTGGTCAGATCGGTACAACCCCGTGACAACTAAGTTCTACGCCCGAACTTAGCTCTCGAGGCTCGAAATTTCTATATTGAATATTCCTCCATAAGATCTTTAAACTCCTGATCCACCTTCACCTCCCCACCTTCGATATACAGCCCTCCGTCCAACGCCAATTTCTTGAGCTCCCTGGTCATAACCATCCCACTCCTTAGGAAGAAGCCTATGTAATCTTCCTCGATGGTTTGTGTTTCGGTACACTGAATCGCGACATGGTACGCCACATAAAAGTCGCAGCGGATCGACTTGAACGGCGCATCCTCGACGTCCGTGCTGACAAAGAGGCATGTTTCGTCGGTGACGCTGCGCTCGTCGAGCACGACGAAGCAGTATGGCATGTAAACTATTTCGAAGTCTTCGTCCTGTGTGATGTTGAGGTCGAACCAGTCTCGGATGTCTTCCACAGTCTGGTCGAGGAAAGGGGACTTGAATGAGTGAATGGGGAGGGGAGCGCCTTCGTCGGGGATGTCCTCAGTTGATGTGAGGATTACAAGATGGTCTTCGACCCTTGTGTCATGGAAAAAAGGATATTCTCCTCTGAGGAATTGTTCGCTACGTTCCACGAACGCGTTGAGGACCTAGAGAAAGCAGGATAAGGTTGGTAAGCGCTACTGGTTAGTGATCAATCGTCTATGGAAGGTCGTAGACTCCTACATGACTGGGTATGTCAGCGATGCAGAAGACAGCACAGAGCGACATAGGGTAGTTGGCGATGTGTTGTTGGAATCCTGATATTCGACTGTGGGTCCATAACGCCTCGAGGATTCAGGCTCGCAGGGACCCACACTTCAAGCATGTTAGCATCCACAAGGTTAAAAAATGGTTCGAGTCGAGGGGAAATTCTTGGTCTTAAAAATATGGACACATTGTGTTCAGTTCTCGAGGAACTCCTTCCACTCCTCGTCCTCCTTAACTTCTCCCCCTTCGATGTACAACCCGCCATGCATAGCCATGTGCAAACCGTGCCAGGTCATGACCCGTCCGCTTCTCATAAAGCGCCCCATGATGCCACGTTCAATGTTCTCCTTCACGGAGCATTGCGTTGCGTTGTCGAATGGGACATAGAAATCGCATCGGATGGATTGAGGCGAGCCGTTTTGAGTGGAAACGAATAGACATGTATGGTCTTGCACGCTACGCTCGTCGAGCACCAAGAAAGATTCCAGGAAGAGGTCTCCATCGCAAGGGTCCTGCTGCGTGATGTTGAGGTCAAACCACTCATAAAGCTCTTGAAGAGTTTTTCCGAGGAAGGGGGAGGCGAAAGCTTCCATAGGCCGAGATGCCTCCCGCAGGGAGTTGACGTCGTCGGAGGACATGAAATAAAATGACACTTCTGGCGACATGTCAGCATACTCCTCCTTCACATATTCTTCGTTTGATTCGATGAAGAGGTCAAGGATCTTTTCAATCAAGTGATTAGCGCAGAAGAACTGAGAACAGAAGGAACGGCCCACATCTGCAGGAATATCGGCCATCAAAAATACTGCGCAAGACGCCATTGCGGCGGTTCTAGTATGAGATTGAGAGACAGAGAGGGGCGAACGTTGAAATGACTGATCGGGACATTCGCAGGGACAATACCACGGTCTTGCTCAGAAAGCGCGTCATCCAGTGTCAATCAAGAGGCACAGCAGAAATCATAAGGTGCCTTTACCCGTCCCATAACCCGTATAGAGACATTGAAGCTAGGATGAGGAGTGGGATGGGAGAACAAGCGAACGGTCTCTATCCGCGGCATTATGTAACATATGTTGTCATTTAAGGAATGTTATTCGCACGAGCTTGACGGCCCAGTGCCCACTCCATCCTACTTACTTAATAGAGTCTCTGATTATTTATGGAAGGAAGTTCCCACAGATTTGATGGCTCCGTTTAATCGCTGACCACTGTTCTCGACCTACTTACACTGTACAGTTGCTGCGGGTGGAATCTTGACTCACAAGTTGATACTGTGCTTTCTCTTAGCATTGGAACCCCCCTATTCAATGCCACGTCTAATTTTTACGCCTCTGCACAACAACTCGGAAGCGCAGTACAACTGGAATGACCGTCAGCGTAAGATGCTCGTAAGCTGACACGTATGTCTTGTCTCGTCTGCGGTTCGCTGCTAAGTGACTTAAATACTTGTACAACGAACAACAGCGTCAGATTTGTGACGAACACGAACTTGCCACTATGAGCTCCATCGTCCAACGCCTCATCGGCCGCTTCTTCCCCAAAAATCAAGGTCCAACAGTCACCATTCTCGGTTTGGATTCCAGTGGGAAGACTACCCTCCTATATCTCCTCAAACTTGGCGAGATCGTCACGACGATCTCTACCATTGGTTTCAACGTCGAGACTGTCGACGTCGCCCTTCCTTCTGGACAGCGCTTTCGGATGAACGCATGGGACATCGGCGGATGTGGGCGTTCTTCTCTCTTCAGCATGATCCTTTTTTATGTGGAAAATGCCGATGGACTAATTTGGCTCGTCGATTGCAACGACCGTGAACGCTTCGAGGAAAGTGTCGAAGAGCTCAACAGGATTTTATCACGGATGAATCACTCTGGAGGAGCCAAGAAGAAAACAGTTCCAACCCTCATGTAGGTCGCATGTGTTGATCTGCTTCGTTTCCCTCCTAATCACACTTACTAGACTTGCCAATAAATCCGACCTCCCCGGTGCTATGACCCTCGACGAAGTCCGGCTCGGATTTGCGAAAGCCATTTCTGGGCAACTCGTCTCCGTCTTCAAGACAACCCTCGTCAACCCCTCTCCCGAGCTTAAGTCAACCGGCCTACTTGAAGCGTTCGATTGGTTTAAACTCGCCCTCGAGATCTCAAAGAGCGGCCCAACGTCCCCTATTCCCTCTGCCAAGCTCGCTAAGTTTGAAGTTCATGACCCACGCGAGGCAAGCTCACTCGCACAGAAACTTGGATTGTGGCTGGAGAGGGCCGAAACAGATGTATCATCCGAAGAGTTCCTCGAGAAGTTCCGTTCGTTCTCGTTGCCGTCATGGGACCATTACACGCATATCCGGATCGCCTACGTCATTCTGGCGAAGTATGGGCGTAAAGAAGGCATGTGCCGTTCTCCGCGTCCCATTTGGAGGAAACTCAATGATTTTCTCCGAATAGGCAAGGATATGATCTTCAAAGGTCTCGAGGAATACATCAAGAACAGCACTCAAACTCGCGGCCGCACATTTCACGTCTCCATGACCTACTTCTGGATCCAAATCGTCCACTTTGGGATTTCCAACATGCCCCCCTCGACCAAATCTTCAGTCGATTCTCTACCAAACCCTGGTGATGACTTTGCTCATTTCCTTCTCATCAACCCGCACGTCGTCGATGGGAATTTTTGGGCCGACTACTACACCAAGGAAGTATTGATGAGCCAGAAGGCGAAAGAAGAGATGGTGCTGCCGGACAAGAAGCTGCTTCCTAGTCTCATCATCAGAGATGCTATAAAGAACTTTGGGGCATAACAGCGTTCTATTGACGTAGTAGCATTATAGAGAAAACGGCATATGAAAGATCTTATACACTAATTTTGAGAGGGATACATGGCTTGTCATCGTTCGTAGACATCCGAGTCAGGTAGACTAGAAACACAGTATCAAGATTTCGAAAACAGAGGCGGAATTGGGCTTCGTATATTCAGAAAGCGACGAGAACAAGTAGATGTAGGAAAGGAAAACCAATTACTTTTTGAACCCCGTAGGGCGTTGCGGAACCAAAGCAAGACAACGAGAACACAGTCCAGATGGCAGATATTTGCTGAGAAGATTTGCAAGAAGATGTTTTGAGATTAAGCAGTCGTTGAGAGATCTCGTTGAGATGCGAAAAGGAAATAAACCAAGAAAGTCGTGAATCGGTTCGTCCAAGCTTGTTTGTGTTGCTTGACTTGTCAGAGAACGAAGGCGATCAAGGGCGAGGAGGCGGCATCCCGTACCCTCGATCCCTCGAGTCTCCTCGTCCATACCCACCACGATTATAGGGCGGCGCTCGTCCACCAGGCGCGCCAGGCGACCTCGGACGATCATACGACCCCGCATCATAGCTCATCCTATAGCCGCGATCACCAGGTGGAGGTCCGCCTGGCGGTCCACCACCAGATGGCGGAGGCGGCGCCCAGCTCGACGCCGAGCCGGAAGGAGGAAGTCCCGGACTTCCAGTACGGGGCGGAGGGCCAGGGTAATCGGATGGGGGTCCGCGTCGCGGAGGAACGTCGCGGCCTCCGCCTCCGCCCCCGGGTGGGTAATAGTCCAGGTAATCTTCGCGTTGGCGTTTCATTGGCGGGCGCCCGTCGTCGATGGGTGGCGGGCCAGAGCCGCGCCGGAGAGGGCTTGGGCTGCGCGGCGGACGCGGTTATATGGGGCGTTGTTGTACCCACCAGGGGGTGGAGGACGTTCACGATCAGCAGCATCGCGAATGGGGTAGCGGTCGTCTGGAGGGCCAGGGGGGTAGGCATCTTCAGAAGAAAAATAACATAGAAAGGAAGAAAGAAGACAAAATCGTTCAGATGAGCAAGACATGAAACACAGTGGACAAGACAAACCTCGTCCAAAGTCGCGATCTCTCGAATCCCATCTTGGCGGAGGATACTCATAGGTTCTATCTCCAGCTACAGGAGGAACGTTCTCATAATACCGTTTGTTATAATATGGGTCGTCGTCTGCCGGGGCCCAATCGCGACGTGGGCCGTATCCATAGCCCCAGTCTTTCGGCGGCTCAGGCCCACCCGTGGGCGGCCCACGTCCGCCCGAGGAAGGCGGCGGCGAGTACGGACGACCAGCACGATCTGGCGGCGGGGGCGAATAATCTCTGAACGGCGGCCTGCCGTCTCCGTAACGTGGGTCATCATAATCCGGTCTGTACGATGTTCCGCCAGGACCAGGACGATCTCGGGACAGATCTCGTGGAGGAGGCGGACCACCACCTCCACGGTAATCACGTCCACGAGCGCCGCTGGGTGACGGAGGACCTTTGTTTCGACCGTCGAGAGAAGGAGAGCGAGGACGGTATGATCTGCTACCGGGGCCCGGGCCGCCACCAGGGCGGTAGTTCTGCCTATCTCCAGTTCGAGGAGGAGCACCACCGTCCTTATTGAACCGTTTCTTGTTGCGAGGCTGATGCCCACCACTACCACCACCGTAGGAATTGCCTGTAGGGGGCGGAGGACCAGGGAGATGATGCTCTATGTGTGCTCCAACAGTCGTTTCACTGGGCTGGCGAGATGGTGGATTCATACGGTCTTTCAGGGAAGGAGGATTCGTTTGGCCAGCGACGGAAGGCGGAAGGCTGTCAACAGGTGTGGCATTCTCAGACGAGGCAGATGCGGGCGGGGCGGAACCAAGAGAGACAGCAGAATTGTCTACGGGTCGGACCGAGGAGGCTCTGGACGACTTCACATCTTCGTTATCAGTAGGCATTTGGCGCGGAGGGCCGCGAGGATCCACACGAGCATCGCTCATGGGCGGCCGATTAGGACTAGGTGGGACGGGTTCAGTTACAAGGGCGTGGCCTGGCTGCTGTTTGCGCGAGGCAACATCAAGTGGTGGGCGAGCAGGGTCTGATGGACGACGAGCATCCCCAGAGGACTCCTCTGGTGGTCTTCGGACAGGAGGAGGGTGCTGGTCCGTGTCGTACGGATGCTGCTGTTCTGAAGCAGCGGAAAGTCTACGTTGAGGAGCATCAGTCGGCCGCCTATCGCGGTCGCGATCTTGAGCAGGGTAACGATCTCGCTCGTTCTGAGCGCCCCAGCTACGCCGATCGCGGTCGTAGGCATCAGGAGGACCAGCTTCGTGGTCAGGGCCTCCAGAAGGACGAGGATCAACAGAATCGGAGGCCGGAATACCTTCATTCTCGGGACGACGCCCGGCGTAGCGCGAATAATTTGTGGCCCAGTCGTCGGGGAGGTTGCCCCAGGTTATCGGGCGGGAATCATCATAACCGTTTCTCCAGGTGGTCGTACCATCCATAGGGTCATCTGCCGGTCCAGGAGCTCTGTTATCACGGTCATTCAGGTTAGCATCATCAGCACCAGGTTCAGTTTTCACTGGAGGACCACGAGGGCGATTCTCAGCTGCTTTTCTGTCATTTGAAACGTTGTAGCCCCTTGAATGCGATTGAGAATCAGCAGAACGAGGGTCAGACTGGGGGCTAGCTGTCAGAGGCCCAGGAGCAATCTTGCCTGTCTTGAGGCTCGCAAGATTGAGGTTTGACAGGAGATTACTACCGCCAGAGTTATTGGTACGATGCCCTTGAGCGTGCTGTATAATTTCACGACACGTCAGAGGGTCCACAGAATGGAGAGTTGAGCACGACTCACCGAGCTGTTTTGATTCCCGCCACCGTTTGTGGGCCCAGTGTTCCTCCTATCTTTGCCTTGCCCGTTCCGCTGCTGCCGTCTGCCATTCTCAGGTCCAGAATCACCAGAATCGTTCCGAAATTCCGTAGACGCCTGCTCCGTTCGACGCTGGGGCTGAGACTGCGAGGTAAGAGGGCCCTTGTAGAGACTTGCGAGAGTTGCTGGCTGAGGAACAGCACGAAAGAAGGGATGCTGGTTCTCGATAATGAGCTTCTTGAGGTTCTGCAGTATCTCGAGGTCGTTCTTGCCAGGTGGCAGCTGAGGTTTCGTCTGCTGATTCGGGCTCTGAAACTGGGTGTTCTGCTCGGGTTGCTGGTGTGCTGGCGGCTGCTGGGGCGAGAAGAAGGCCTGGTTCTGCTGTGGCTGCTGGTGCATGGTCATAGGAGGAGGGTACGGCCCATATCCGAACCCAAAACTGCTGGGCATTTGGTAAGCCTGTGGGCCCATCGTGACGTTGTGCAGTTTTCCGCCGTTGGTGCCTGGAAAAGAGGCGGGCATGTGTGTGCCTGCTGGCTCCTCGCTGGGGGTCGGGACGAGGTACGGCGTGTTCGGGTCCTCTGTGAGCGTCGTGACGGTCCGCTCGCGGTTGTTGGCGTTGTTGCGCCCTTTGCGCTGTTTCTTGTTTTGCCTGGTTGACATCGGTAGGCCTACTGGTAGCGAAGACCCTGATTTGTCAGTGCACACTAGCGCCTAAGCGACCAGATAGCAGCCTCCAGCGACACTCACCGCGATATCTGTGCGGCGACGATGACGGGACCACGAACGGCGAAGGGACTTGGTGGTGGTACGAAGCAAAGTCGCCGGACGCGAAAAACTCCGATTCCCCATCTCGAACCATGCTTTGCTTCATATCTTATGTTATGCTCTGCAATCCACACATCCACTGATCCGACCTTTATATCTCATCGAATTCCCCATGATGCCTCACAACCAGTCAGCGATAAAATCATCGCCTTTCTTTCATCGGTTGAAAGACCGTAAGCTCCTCTTTTTGTCGCAAGATCACGCAGGAGCACCTCTCAGCGCATCTCCAATTCTGCGATTAGTGTCTATCCGGTGCCATCGCAGCGCCAGTGCGATGCTATACGCATTCGTAGCCGCGCTCTGCCATGGGACTGCCACGTACGTTCCATTTCCAGATTCCTGTTTCTTTTTTTCCTATTCCAGCTGAGCGGCTTCTCTCGCTTACCAGGTCTTCAGAGACCGTCTTCCGAGTCAGAGAACAGAACAGTCTATTTGCCGTTCACGGTGATTTATGGCCAGCAGCCTGTTTGAGGTAACGCGGCCCATCGATGTGCACTGTGAGCAAAAGATCACAGCCTCGCTTCGCCGACGTACATGGCAAACCACTCTGGCGTGCCGAACCCTGAGCCAGAAACATCTGATGATATGGTCCTTTACGTTGGTAAATTTTCCTATTTTTCCGACCGCTATGTCTTTTCTTAGAATTATTCCCAGGTCAGCCTACATAAGACCCTCAAGATGAACGCTTCTAGTTTGGAGAACCCATGATACTTATCGCTCGAAAAGACTTCTCTTTCCTGCCATGATACGAGGCGTGAAGAATCTCCCGGAATCTGAGCGTCACAAGGGCCTATCAAATCCCATGCCTTACGGCGGCGTATTTATTTAACTCCCAACAGCTCACGCCTCCAAGTATCTGACTCCTTTTCCCTCCCATGGTTAGTCAACATCCTCTTCGACAGCGTGGTATCCTCGACAACCCATATGATCCCCCATACCCATCTCCTTAGGCTCAGCTGCGGCCAGCATGAGTCACAGTTTCGGCGTATTTTCTCACCACAAGATTAGCCGCGCGTTCAAGTAAGCCTGCTATGTTAGGTCTTCTGAATATCAGGCTCAGCGTGGAATCCTACGATCCGGTCTCTGAATCGAAACCCTCCCCCCGAAATTGTGGAGACGACATGCAATCCCTAACCTTTGATTCCAAAACGCATCTGGCACCCCGTCATCTCCACACCTCGACCGCTTTCACCAATTCACGTTGGGGTTTCTGTCTCCCCCCGATTCCAAATAATTTCAACACTTCCTACCCCACTTCACCCCTGCTCGACTTGACCGATCGATTCCAGGAAACTAGGGTGCGCACGTTCTTCCATTTTACTGTTCTTTTTCCTCTCGGGAATCAGCGTCACTCAAGGGCGGAGAAATTTAGAATAGAGACGAGAAGAGCAATTCTTTCCCTGCAGGTTGGTCGATTTTATTCCATCGGCGACAAGCGCCGATGGGCCCAATAGGTACCTGAGGTTCGCCTTTCCTGTGATCAAACTATCCAACCCATCAGAGGTGTTCTCCATGAACCCCCGCACCACGATCCCAGAAATCTGCGACCTAAGACTGTTCCCCTCCCCCGACTCTCCGAACCATATAGATTACTGCCATCTCCGAGTCGGACTGACGAATTACACACCACACCCCGGAGAACCCCAAACTTTCTTGGTACTGCGATCTTGGGGTAACTTCAATCTGGCAACGGCCGTCTGTATGTATATCTGTCTGTCCACTTCAAAGTTCATGATGGCTCTCGCCGTCCGACTTCGGAGGATGACGAGATTCCAAGGATCCCCTGTACGGCAATACTCATTTATCCACGAGTGCTGTGAAGGGCCTGGACTTCCCGCCGCCACTTGCCTGCGAACTCTGCCTTCGCCCTATTCTGAGCGTACTCAGAGCACGAGACGTGTATGGCCAAGAACCCTCTGATTTAGTTTGTCTCAACCTGAAAAAATCTCCCTAGCTCGTGGCTTGGCAAAGCACTCCCAGGCGAGGACGCAAAAGCTGAGGAATATTTTACCTTCGTACATGACAGAGCAGAAATTTGCCGTGACGCCTGAAAGGCCTGGGGCGTACTCAACGATCCAGCTTACGCTGATCATTCCTCCGAGTTGGGGAGGCATCTTAACTACGCAAATTATTTGAATGAAATTAACCGCCAGCGGAGCGGAAAAGTGGAAATCTGCTTCGAAATTTTCAGGTGACTCTAGTAGTGGGGCGCCTGGTGGATTGCACGGGATATTGGAATAAGTTACTTATTGAACTTATGCCACCCAGGGAGCACTTATTTCGCCCCAGGACATGAACCGGGGGTGTTTGGGCAGTCCATGGGTCTTTTCTCTCATTCTCAATGTATTTGACATGTTTAATTGATGATAATACATAATATTTACATGTGTCAAGGCCAGAAAGACCCCAGGGCACGTCCGAGGGGAGGGGACGGCCGCTGAGCGACGCGGGGGGAGGCGCACGGCGCTAGCGCCCAAGCGCGAACACGCGTCGAGTCGTGTCAAGGGGGGCTGTGAGACCGCCGGCGGAGCCCGAGAAACGTGCCCAAACTGAGGAAACTTGACCGATTTGGAAGGAGCCTGATCCGTGGCTGATCCGCCGCCAAGCGAGCGCCGGCATCTCGGCACCCGCCAACGATCGGTAAATCCGTCGGCATAAGTTCAGTTGCTGGCTTGCGGAATCAATCTAAGAATGAGTATAGAGAATGAAAATAGATCTCTGTATGGGCTATGCATCGCTTCCAAGCCATTATTTGACGAGTCGTGCCGATCTTTACCCTGAAAAGCCTATCTGCACCGAATGACCTTCCCGAAAAAGGGAATTGCCGACCCCGACTCCCGAATCATTCCCTCTTTTGGAAGACGGATGTCCTGCGCCGCATAAATTGTTCTCGCCTCGTTTCACCATTCCCCGATCCAAAATATTTATTTTCGGGCATATCGAGGGAAAGGGAGTGCAATAAAAGGCGACGACTGAAGCTATGATATGAAAACAATACATCTTACGAGTTTTCCAGCTTCTTCTTCACTGCAACACGTCGACATCAGGGTACATAGAAGCCCAAGGGAATTCAACGACCGTTGGAACTCGTAAAGCAGTGGAACGTTCAAAGCATGTTCATGCCCCTTCACTGCACACCTCCTGGGCGTCTTTTCGAATTTCTTGGCTCTCATTCGACCATTTTGAGCCGGCGGAATCTTGTGGAAAACTCTGGAACAATCCAAATCGGGAACGGCTAAATACGACGCCCAAAATCTTCTTCATCACAACCTACATACCTGCTGCTTGCCCTCTACTAGATCATCATGGCCGTCGTTGGAATTGACTTTGGCACATTGCATTCAAAGGTGCGTCCTAGACCCGTTCTTTAAAGCGCGAGCTGACATCGGTCCAGATTGGTGTCGCCAGACATCGCGGCATCGATATTATCGTTAACGAAGTTTCAAATCGTGCGACCCCGTAAGCCTCTTTTTCGAAACTTTTGAAAGAAAACGGTCTTTCTGACCCACGTACAAGATCGTTGGTCGCTTTCGGTCCAAAACAACGTGCAATCGGTGAGGCTGCGAAGACGCAGGAGACCTCCAACTTCAAAAACACCATCGGCTCGCTCAAACGCCTCATCGGACGAACTCTGAACGATCCTCAGGTGCATGACGTGGAGAAAAAGTTCATCAACGCGAAGCTCGTTGATGTAAATGGGTCTGTTGGATCTGAGGTGCGTTGCAGCGTCTCCAAAAGTTTTTCGTATCTCACTTTTTCGGCAGGTGACATACCGTGGCGAGAAGCACACCTACTCGTGGACGCAGATCACCGCCATGTATCTGGGCAAACTGCGCGAAATCGCCGCTGCTGAGCTTAAGACCGGTGTCAGCGATGTCGTCATCTCTGTGCCAGGATGGTTCACTGATATCCAGCGCCGTGCCGTCATCGACGCTGCCTCGATCGCCGGTCTCAACGTCCTCAGACTCATCAACGACACCACCGCCACTGCCCTCGGATACGGTATCACCAAATCCGATCTCCCAGATCCCGAGAATCCGCGGCACGTCGTCTTTGTCGATGTAGGGCACGGCGACCTCTCCGTCGCGGTAGTCGCCTTCTCCAAGGGCCAGCTGATAGTCAAGAGCACCGCGTATGAGCCCAATCTCGGTGGCCGCGACATCGATTACGCGCTCGTAGAGCACTTTGCACACGAGTTTAAGACCAAGTACAAGATCGACGTGATGAGCAACCCCAAGGCCATGTTCCGGCTGACCGCGGGCTGCGAGAAGCTGAAGAAGATCCTGTCCGCCAACACCGAGGCGCCGCTGAACGTCGAATCCATTATGAATGACGTCGACGCCTCGTCGAAACTCACCCGCGAGGAGCTCGAAGGTCTCATCAAGCACGTTCTGGATGGCATTCCGGCACCTCTGCAACGTGCCGTCGCCGACTCAGGCCTCACCCTCGACCAGATCGACTCGATCGAGCTTGTGGGTGGATCGACGCGCGTACCGTCTGTGCGTCAGCGCATCCAGGAGGTCTTCCCCGGCAAGCAGCTCTCTTTCACCCTCAACCAGGATGAGGCCATCGCACGAGGTGCAACATTCGCGTGTGCGATGCTCTCCCCCGTCTTCCGTGTCCGCGACTTCCATGTCACGGATATCAACCACTTCCCTATCAAGACCCAATGGACCGCTCTGCCTTCCGATCCCGACGACGATACCGAGCTCCTCGTCTTCCCCAAAGGCAATTTACTGCCATCGACCAAAGTCCTATCGTTCTACCGCAAGGAGCCGTTTAACATTGAAGCTCGCTATGCGGAGCCGGCGTTGCTTCCAGGTGGCATCAACCCTTGGATCGGCAACTTCACGGCCAAAGATATCTCTCCAGCACCAAATGGTGACTCTGTCTGCGTCAAGCTAAGGACTAAGCTCAACATCCATGGTATCGTCTCGTTTGAAAGTGCTTACGTCGAGGAGATTGAAGAGAAAGAGGAACCAGCGCCGATGGATGTCGACACTCCGGAGGGCACCCCGGCGCCACAGCCAAAGAAGAGGCGAGTGATCAAGAAGGACGTTCCTTTCGTGGCCACGAACAGCTCGCTAGAGAAGGAGGTCGTTGAGAGCTACAGAGAAGAGGAGGCTTTGATGCACGCTGCTGATAAGCTCGTCATGGACACTGAGGTTCGTTTTACATCTGCAGCACTGCTTTCATTTCTCTAATCCCTTTAATGTTAACAGGACCGTAAGAACGCCCTCGAGGAGTATGTCTACGATATGCGCGGCAAGCTCGAGGACCGATATGCTTCATACGTTCAGCCCGAGGAGAAATCCAAGCTCTTGGCCGGTCTCCAAGAGGCCGAGGACTGGCTATACACCGAGGAGGGCGAGGAAGCCACAAAATCCGCCTACGTTCAGCGCCTCGACACTCTTAAGGCCATCGGCGACCCAATCGTCTTCCGCTACAAGGAAGTCGATGAGCGCAAGAAGTCGACTGCGAACCTCCGCGAGACCCTCAACAACTACATGTCCCAGGCAACTTCGACAGACGAGAAGTACGCGCACATCGACGAGAAAGACAAGCAGGCCGTCGTTGAGAAGGTGGCGACGATCCAGAAGTGGCTCGAGGATCAGACCGTCCGGCAGTCTGAGCGCCCGAAGAACGTCGATCCCATCTTGAAGAGCGCCGAGATCGAGAAGAAGAGGGACGAGTTGATCTACTTCGCCATCCCGATCTTGACCAAGCCGAAGCCGAAGCCAGTCGTCACCTCCACCCCCGCCTCTGGGACCCAGACACCCAAGGAAGAGCCAAAACAAGACAAGACTCCGCCACCGCCCCCCAAGGAGGAGGACAAGGGCCCCTCTGAGATGGATGTGGACTAGGTCTAATCCTTTCCTCTCAAATTCTGACTTCACGACCGTTTTGCCCATCCACGAACTCGAAGCATAAAATCCATCGTTGTACACATGTAATCCATTTATCCTGATACGCGTAGAGGGAAGGACGAAGAAGAAGAAGCATGCTTGCATTGTTTACAGATAATCGTACAGTACTCTTACCATTTTTTCACCTACAACCAATAGAGTGATCGAAACAGTGTTTATCGATTTGAAATCGCGTTGACTGCCTTTCTCGAAATATGTTTCAGTTGTGTGGCGCACGGGTTCTCGATCGTATGCTATCCAAGTGTCAAATTATTCCATTTGCTCCAATCGCGATAAAGGTACAGCTTCATCATCCTCGAACCTATGTAACTAAGTATGTTGCATCGAAATTTTCAAGAACAATCAACTAGGTATTACTTACATCACTATTCTTAGTACAACATCATGATACATTTACACTGTCCAGAACTCGTAAAAGGTCCAATCAGAAAGAAAAAAAACAATCAAAACGGTTCACCCATGCCAGCGTAACCTTGATAACCCGCCCCCCGCACCGCCCCCGGGAAGAGCATCACTGGGTCGCCTCTCGACGGCGTCACACTCCTTGCCGGCGGGTCTGGTGTCAAGTAGAAGCTCGAGGTGTCATCCGCGGATAGACCCCGACGATGCGCACTAGAGGGTGTGAACGGGTCCACATACATGGAGAGATCCGAGTCGTTGGACATTTTTCGTGAAATTTGGGAATGTGCGCTGGACCCGGAGCGATCGCGCGAGTGGAGGGTATCTTGAGGCAGCCGGAAACTCGTAACGTTGGGAGGCGGGGATGAGGGAAGAGGACGTGGATTTTCGGTCGATGGTTTCTTAGCGAGATGTTGCGTGCCATGGATGGGAGGGGTTGGTAGTGCTGCCCGTTCGTTCGACCCTCCTCTGCTATGAGAGAGGGGGGCTGAACTTGAAAACGATTGTTGAGGGGTATGTTGTTGGCTGCGCTGCACTGGGATCGCTCCTGAAGGCCACGGTTGCTCGTTCGATGGTATCCGTTGGAGGTTTAGAGCAGGCGAGGACCGCCCAAAATCGCTGCTTGGCGCCTGAATAGGTCTCAACGGCGCCGGGGGTGACGGCGTCCCTCTCATGCTGCGTCCAGAGTCGCTAAATTGCTCCTCAAGGATAATTCCCATGGCATGCTGAGCGGGGTTCATAGGTTGGCCGAACATGAAGTCTTCGCTGTCGCGTTCCCTCAGTGTCGGTTTTCGAGGCATAAAAGGCGCTGGAGGCGCTGGATGATTGGGAACAGGAGGGATGGGAGGGGGCGGCATAGATATATTGAAGGGCTAAGATAAACAGCATCGTTATTATTTCACCGACGAGACGCGAGCATAGAGGCATACCGTCTTAGAGCTTCCAATGAGAGTATGTCTTGGTGTATCTGAATCCGTCGTAACAGAAGGCGATATAATCTTGATATGCGAGTTTATTGACGTAGAATGAGTGTTGCTGCTCCTGTCTGCCAAAAAGCTTGTTCTGTCGGCGTGGAACTGCCTGGGAATGAGGCTCGAATCTTCGCCATCGTCCGAATGCCTATAGAGACTGCCTTCTTCCTCGTGCTCCTCGATCGTGGATACCCCACCCGTACTAAGTCTTGAACCATGACCGGCTCTTGTTCCGCTTTGAGTCGAAGCTGAATGCCGATTGGATGAGCCTTCGGTGCTGCTGCTATCGGGGCCGTCCACTCGCCACCTTCTCGTCGGTGGGACCTGCCGAACGGGAACAGGGCGGCGCTTCCACGGTACAGGGATGTGCATGTTCCTCAGCGATCCTGGAAGACGCCACGAGCCCGAACCGGATGAATTGCTCGAGTCTCCCGAGCTACTCCTCTCAGGCACTGGACGCACTGGTTGAGGGGCGAATAAAGTTTGTGCTTGAACCTGCTGCGCAGATGAAGGACCAAAGGGATACACTCGCCCTCCAGGGAGTGCATCTTGGCTCTGGGATGGCAGGGATCCCTGTTGTGCCTCCAAGGACCATGCGTGGGGTTCGGAGGAAATAACCGAACGGAACGCAGGTTCTGTATCTCCTGTGGTATCGGCGGGCGAGGGCATATCCACAACGACGAAAGATTCCCGCCCCATGGGTTGGGGAGGGCCTGAGGGCTCGATCTCCCAGGAATTGTCTAGTAGACCTTTGTCAACGGGTTTGACCTTGGGCACTGGTCGGAAGATATCTAAGAGGCGCCTCCACCTCCACCGAAATTGCGGAAGTCTTTGGCCGAACAGTTTCACAAAGACGATGGTGAGGACGGCAGTGGCCAGAGCCGTGGCGATGGGCAGGATGATTTGGATGATTGACCATGGCCTTGGGGCTTCGTGTACGACTGGAAGGGCGTTAGGCCGGGATTAATTTTGCGATCTCCTGAAAAAGTACTTACGGACGACGGCCTTCTGGAGGTCGATGGCTCCGTTCCCTGGTACATCCGCGCCCGCCCAGGCCGGTGTGGTGATGCCTATCGAGCCGCTCTCTGCTCGAGACGAGCTTTGGTCAAGGTTGATAGAGCTACTGCTGCATTGCGCTAGCCATGCATTAAGCAAGGGTAGCGTGTTATTCCCGCTGCTGTAAGAGCATGCAGACCAGATATTGAAAAAGATGACGTTGCTAGACAGGCGCAAAGGTGTCAGCTTTGACTTTCTCTCCAAGCAAACAGAACTGTAGCTTGCCAAGTGCAGGGCGTTGGTGTTTGGGGATCGGCTATATGACGGCCTTGCTTAGTTTTCACCACATATCGAAAGATGGAACGCACATAGAGACGGCGGAGTTGTATTACAAGCTTTGTAGATGGTGTCTTTCAGTTGACAAGAGCTTTCGCCGTTATTTCCGGTCAACTAAATGAGATGTGAGACGGGTGCGCTTTGAGGACCGACGCTACCCACAATATCAAGCCGTCCATTCTGCGCAGACCACCCAGTTAATTGGCTGTAGGGGAGAGAAAAACATGAACGCACCACCCCCTGCCCCGCAATTCGCTCGATCTTCACGGCCGCAATCAGCAGCCATATGATCAAGATTCGTCGACATATTGAGCGTTGAATAGATATCATCATAAAATATTGTGTCCCGCCGGAATTAAGAAGGAATAAGGTCGGAAAGTCGTGCCCGGATCGTCAAACAAGGCAAACGTCGTCCTGACTGGGTCGTTGTCGGGAGGAAAGGGTGGTCGTTGTGGCCAGCGATGATGATGAGCGCTGGGAGGAAGCAAAGCAAACAGGATTCCAATCGGTAGCTGGTATAGCAGCGCACAGCCCTGAGGATCGCTTCTCGTCTTCTACTACTATTCTCACCTTCATGGATCACCAGGTCAGCGGTCACCAAGAAACCACACACCTCTGATAAATGCGGTCCCTTGATCCCACGCTGACGTAGGGAAGTTATTTTGGGGCGTTGGACATTCAGTCGAGGCTGGAAGTTCACGAACTAGATGTTTCCTCGTACTGAAGAGAGATGAAAGTAAGAACTGAAAAAGATGCGACACGATGCAGACGAAGTGGCGGGAGCTGAAGCGGGAGAAGCGGGATCCAGCAGCCGAAGCCGTGCCAAGCCGTTTTTCCTGTGCCCCCACCCTGATGATTGATGGCCGAATGCCAGATATTCTCGAGATCGTTGACTCTTGAGGTCGGTGCAGAAAGTTTTCTTTGCTTTTGAAATATCATCTCTCTCCACCACGGGCCACGGCATCCAAATTCCCAAGGAGCTATAGAAGGCATATGCATATGCCACATGCCCCGTTCACGGAGATGCTAAGCTCCTAGATAGCCATTAGATCGGAAGCTTTCTGCCGTTCGGGGGCGAGATGCCATGTTGATATGGATCCACAACAATTTTTGAAGCCCCGGAAGACATTTGGAACCGCATCAGAAAATTCTTCCCAATGGAAAACATCCCGATGGGTGACGCCCTCGCAGGCAGTTGGGTCAGTTCTTAAAACCATGCGTAGTAGGCGTCGCACACTCATGTATTACTAGCCTTAGCTTTATTTTGAACTCCGAAGTCAGGATTGCGGCCCGAATCGATCGTGGCGCACGAGCCGCGCGCTTACCTCAGATGGTAAGCGCCGGGGCTATGCTGTGATCAACTCAGATGCTGCCTGTTCTCCGCAAGTGTCGCGTTCCTGCAATCACGCGGGGAGATGGAATCCGAGGCAAACGGTCATTGGTTATTAAAATACAACATGAGCGGGAATTTAAGCGCCGGCTTCACCGACGATGAGCAAGGATCAAATATGACACAAATGGACAGATTGGTGTCGTTAGAAACGCCGGCGAAAGGGTAAGGGCGTTCGGGGCTTAGTGGATATGGTGAGAGTCAATCTTCTCATCACTGGCAGTGCTACTCTTATCCGTTACGGGGGCATGCGTTATGCCAGCCTGCTCGGCGGCCTTGCCCGCGATCATCGCGACGGTGTCGTCGCCGTCGAACAGCGCGGCGGTCTCTTCGAGGCTGCGCTGTATGTCCGAGCAGTTAACGTTAAAGTACATATCGCCAATCAGTGGCAGCTCGAGAGGAGCGAGTAAGGCGAAAGACGCACGTTCTTGGTTTCGACGATGAAGAAATAGCAGAAGACGGTCTCGAACGCGAGCCAGGCGACGTACACGAGGTAGTATTTCCACCCGAGTGCATTCAGAGCGATTGGGTTGACGTATCTGTGGAAGGTGGACATCGACCAAGAGAAATTTCGGCAGGCATGGAAATGCTCACTGGTTGAAGATAAGGGAGAGGGAGATGGCAAAGTTGAAGACGGTGAAGCCCTTTGCACGAAGTGAGAAGGGAAGAATTTCGACCGTGTATCTGTCGTTGTATCATTTGTCGAGTACCCTAGGAATTTTGGAGCGCACTTACGATACAATCAAAGGCGTGAATGCAAGGTCATAAAATCCATAATAAAGGACTCAGTGAAAATCAGCAACAAACCCCAAAAATAATGAATAGAGACTCACAAATCATGGCAATGACGGTGTGCCCCGCCTTGATATCCTGATGCTGAGAATAAAGTGAGAAGCAGACGGTTTGGAGCGTCCAGAAGATGAGCATTCCGATCGTGGAGGTCATGAAGAGGCGCCGTCGACCGATTTTATCACACAGGAATCCGGCGATGATGGCGACGATGAAGTTGAAGATGTTGAGGAGGCCATTCTGGAGAAAGTGCAAACAGGGATATGAGATGGATAATGGGTGAAGTTTGGGGTGGAACTCACGATTAAGAGCTGAGTATCAGAGTCGGTGACTGAAGCAAGAGCGTTCATTCCCAGGCGTGAGCAAGAGAAACGAGTGACCTACTTCCGATAGCATTCATGACCTTGTTAAGATCTGAGGAATTGTTCAATTCATCTCACTCTGACCATTCGAAAGGTCTGCGCTTACAATAAGAGACGAGACCATTGCCGGACCATTGGGAGAAGAAGGCGAGCGCGATGATAATACGCATACGGCGGCGGTTTCCTGGGGACTTGAAGAGCGAGACCCATCCTACGTTCGCTGCAACCTCCTTATCAAACTTGATGGCAGCTTTGATTTCCTCAAACTCGTATTGAACAAGGGGATCATTTCTAGTGACCATGGTGTTAGTAACTGGAGTGTGCTTCGAACAAGAGATGTACAAACTCGTTTCCTCTTGCGTGATAGTATGCCAACGTCTTTAGTGCTTGTTCCTCACTGACGAGTCAATAGATTAGGAACGAATATGGAGGAATTCGAACAGAATATTTCTCACCGGCCTTTGCTCACGAGCGAACGAGGAGATTCTGGTACAAACCAGATCAAGAAGACCTGGATGACTGAGGGCAACGCCTGAAGAGCAGAGGGGATACGCCATGCCCAGCTCGACGGGATCCGGAAGGTACCAAATGTCTATATTTGACAATCAAACGCACGGAGAATAATGAGTACCGCGCAACGAGGGAGGGTCAACTGATCAAAACGCACCGTCCACGCCGCGCTGTACGCACCCACGAGAACGAGGTAGATCAACACCAAGAATACGAGCGTATCGTCAGCGTGAGCATCGCGAAGCCAAAGCGAGAGTGGCGTACATGATGCTACCGAGGTACCTATTTACAGTTAGAAGGAAGTCATAATTAGGACCCAAAGGATTGGAGCATGGAGGAAGTAGTAGGAGGGGGCACGAACCAGAGGGTGTTGTACATGGACGTCGCTTGGGCACGGTGCGTCGGGTAGGCGATCTCGGTGACGAGCAGTGGGGCGGCGGCAGCAGCGAAGGTTAGACCGAAACCGATCAGGAACCTAAGGAATGTATAACCATGATAACGGGATACAGGGAGGGCAGCAGACGGGGAAAATGGATTCCATGTTTATAATTAGTAGGTGTTGTCCCTCGTTGAGCGCGAGAACGGATGAGCCAGAAAGTCAGACGTACCGAGCGCCGATAAACATCCCGACGGTGTTGGACGCAGTCTGGAGGATGGTCGCTCCGATCATGATGAAGGCGCCAAAGCAAATTGCGGGACGTCGCCCGAGACCGTCGGTGAGGTAGGGAGAAAAGGGGTACGCTGCGAGAGATCCGATGTTCTGGAGAAGAAGTTGATGAGTATGGGTGGTTTTTCACAGAGTGTCTATCATTATCCAGCTCACCTGAATGGCGTTGAGGAGACCCAACTGAAGGTAGATAGTGAGTGAGCATCTCGGGGATGTCGATGATAACTCGAGGACAACGTACTTTACCACCAGTCGGGTAGTTAAAAGCCTTCTCCCACTCCTTGACGCTTTGCAGGCCGTCTGCGAACGATCGTCGGTATTTGTCGATACAGTGCGGAGGAGTTAGACGCTCACTCATCATACTCCCTGCGGCAGCGGATGAACATTATGACGCCATAACTTCGAAGTTCGTGTTGCTCACCATCGTAACCATTCGTGGAGGACGTTATCAACCTTGAATGGATGAGTTAGTTTGCATCCTTGGACGAAGTTCGGAGACTACATACAGGAGGCATACCCATAGGTTGAGGATTATAAGTCCTGTCAGCAAGAATTAGTTCTGATGCCTATGAAAGAGAGAAGAGGCAGATAATGTACTGGAGTTCTTATACCATGGTCTCGTCTCCGTGATGAGATGAAGGAACCCTTCACTGGGTTGTGCGACTGCTGGACCACCACCCATGGTTGTTCGATGAAACGGAGGAGACGTATGCTCGAGGAGAGAAAGGATACCCGACACCTTCTCTCCGTCGTTCTTTTAAATCGCTTTATTTTCTCCCGATGCGGCCATTTATCCTCCTGCTTCTTGGGGAAGTACTGTCCAGAGTACTAGAAGCGGTGGAGGCGAAGGGAATACCCCGGAGATTTGCATAGGTGATATTTTTAGCAGATGGCGCGGAACCAGCAATAGGCGACCCAGAAAACGTCGGTGGCTGATTGCAGTTTCTACGCAATCTGATAGCCAGCCTGAAGGTGGAGGCCCGAGAATGAGTTTACGAGCCCATCAGACACTGCACGCATGCGCATAGCTGCAGGTGAACACTCGAGGTATCGGTTGGGGCAATTATGGGGGTCCTAGGCGAATTATGAGAACGGCCACGTCGAACTAGGGATCCCAAAGGCCTTTAAAATTCGAGGCTGGAACGGGATTCGAGCGCTTTCGCCTCCCAGGAATAGATCCGGGGTTTCTCCACGGTACGGAGAGGACCTATGGAGAGTAGTGTGAAAATAGATTGAGATGTGTGGTTTGTCAATATGCTCACGCAGCCATGCAAGGCAGGATGGTGGAAGTTGAGGGAAAAGATATTATATAAAAACTCCGACAACGCGACTCCCATGTCCGAGGCGTGAGAACATCGTCGGGGCTGTCCGACGCGCCGAGGCGGGAGTCGCTTACGTACGCCGTAAATGGGCGCTTGTGGTCGGTGAAAACGTCATGGTCCAAGCTCCGACTCTCTGACCCGTACCACCATGTTCCAGACGTGAATCTGCAACACCGACCGATTCTTCCAACCTCTGCTGGACCATACTGCCGACGTACAGGTGAAATGCAGGCCTCATGAAGACCCGCAGCCGAATCGGAGAACTCGGGGCTCTTTAGGGGTAATTAGACTTCGTCTCCTTCTTTGATACTGGTTCCCGCAGCATCTTATCAGTATCTGCTGTGTTCTCAGGGAAATTCCTGGAAAGGGTGACCATTGCGGGCATCTCACTGTACGGTGTTTTTCTGTCTGTTCTGCGGGAAATACGATGGTCTGATATATGCACATGATTTCAGCCCACATGAGTGGATATATGCGTCGTGTCTGCGCATATACTCACTATTGAGCGCTGAATAATGGAATCCGCGGCCAGTTGACCAAGACTCACAAATCTCTCCGAAAGGAAGGACACCAACACGCTTTTTATCGTCGGTGGTGCTCTCTCTGCTTTCCTCTTCCGGAAAAATGGGCGCCTTTCTCGACCTTCGATCACATTCTAGGAGAGACGCGTACGACTCCTTATTGCGGCTTTTGCGAATTCACCGTGCGTCTACGGTTATATTTGGCACACGTTTGCGAAGCTTTTTGACCGACAAAATTCCTTGCACCGAGTTATGGAAGAATTCCAGGCTTTCTACCCTTATCCCTATCGCCTTTATCAAGTCCGACTTTCTCCCGGCGGTGGTGTCTCCAAATACCGTCATACTCGTTTGCCAAGTACGATGGTGATCGACGGAGAAGGCAGCCTGGTTATCATGGGCTTCCGATGAGGAGCTGCCTTCCGATAATTTGACTTCTATGGATTCGGCATGACCGATTGGATACGAGAGGCCTCTGCTGGCTCGTTCAAGATCCATGCCTGAAATTTTGGAAGGGTGGCCGCTCAACTAGGAAATGTCTCCCATATTCTGCAAATTACCTCTCGTCAAGAAGATATGGTCGAGAGCTTCTCACAACGAGGCCGAATGTGTTATTTTCTCAGTTGCTCCTACAGGACAGGGTATTGGATTGCATACTCCGAGAAGCCGATGCTGCGTCGAGAACTCATTCAGACCCTGGCGTGCTCCGCCCGGCTTCCTCGACTCAGGGCTCTCGACCCTTGCCGAGGAGTTTGCATTACTCACATGTTGATCGCTTCGAACATTCCTCGATACCCACATCGCCCACTGTTGTCCGGCGCTTCAATGTTTAATGCTTGCTACTTTGCACATTCCAGCAGCTGCAAGAAAATTAACTGCAAGAAGGTGAAGTGCATTCTAGAAGATCCTCGATTGTACACTGCATTATTGCACAGTTGACTCAGCCTCTGTCACTCGGAGATCAGGGATGGGACCTCGGAAATCTGAGCCGGCTTCCCGGAGTGTCCCACCCCACCGCCTCCTCCCCACGGCAAACCCTGGCGGAAACTCAATGGGTAGGCTTTCGAGACACGCTCTGGCTGACTCTATTCTACATTTATCGACGTGGGGAGGACGAATCAAGCATGGCCCGTCAACAAGACAGCCTTGGTGTCCTTCGGACGAGCTGATGAGCACTGATCGGCTTGATCTGGACGCCCAGGAAGTCCGAGCGAGGAAGGCATGCCGAGGCACGTGCCGAACCAGCCCAGCTGATGGACCCTGTTTTGCTGGTTGACGAGTCTCCTGCACCAGCTTGCACCCCCCGCTGGCCGTCGCCTCGTGGTGGTAACTTCACAGGAAATTACTAGGGGCTCGCGACCGCTTTCTCTCATCCCCACATCTTAAACAGCAACCACCATGGCCCCACCTCCTCCCCCGCCGCCTCCTCCGCCCATCTGCTTCCCGTTTTCAAACAAGAAGCCCAAACGTCGTCTCTCGTGGTCCTCGTCGGACAAGTCCCTCCCTCTCCCTCCCCATCCAGACACAAAAATTATCAGACATCCGTCGTTCTCCCCCACTACCACTCTTACCTCGAGAGCGGAAAGCCTGACCTTCCACTCCGACTCTGAGAAGTACGACGAGGTCCCCGACGCCCTCCCCGTGATAACCAAAGGCGACAAAGGTCGTCTAGCTCGGTCGAATACCATGACTGGCACCAAAAAGTCCACGGCTACTTCGAAGTGGGGCTACGGATGGGGTGTCGGGAAGAAAGACAAAGAGAAGGAGAGGGAGGCGGAGATGAGGGAGAAATCGACTTCGCAGGTGAACCTGCCGTTATATCAGCCGGTTGTGCGCCGGGATTCGCGGTCGACGCAGGCGAGTAGGTCGACCCAGCGGACGCAGGACACGCATCGGACACAAGACACGCAGCGCACGCATGTGAGCGGGCAAAGCAAGGAAACGTACAGGAGCAATAGCAGTCGATCCACCGCCCCTAAACCTCGCCCGCCGTTGGTGGGAGGGCATACCCTCCACCCTCAGGACTCGACATCTACCCTTGTAGGCTCGGCCTACGAGCGCAAGATCAACGATGACAACACTCCGCGGATACGACAGGACACGACAGAGAGATTGGATGAGATGCGGCGTCTGATGCTGAAAGATAACTTGGACTACTAGTGAGTACTACCTGCCTCGGATTTATGCCATGAGATGCTCATCCCTCCCAGTGTCGTCCCGAGTGAGGATGCTCATGGATCAGAATATGTTTCCGCTAGCGATAAACGGCGCGAGTTCATTTCTGGGTACGTCTCATACCGTTCTGTTGCAGAGTGCAGAACACTGACTCACTGCGACCCTATTCAGCTTCACTGGCTCTGCTGGTCAAGCCATCATCTCGAGGACGTCGGCGTATCTTTTCACAGACTCTCGGTATTGGCTTCAATCGCAGGAAGAGATTGACAACAACTGGACGTTGGTGAAGGTTGGGTCGGTGGGTGTGCATCAGGATTGGATCGAGTGGATCTTGGTACGTTGACATCCCCGTGATCCTCGACACATGCACTTACTGACGCGTCGTTGCAGCCTCGGGTTGTGAAGGGCACTCGGATTGGCATTGACGCACGCATGGTTTCGCACGAGAAGGCTACCTTGATCAACTCCAAAATCGCCCCTCTAGATGGAAAGCTCGTGTACCCCCCACAGAACCTTGTCGACCTCATCTGGAGAGACAAGCCCACCAAGTCTTTGGAGATGGTCTACATCCAGAGTGTAGAGTTCGCGGGCAGGGATGCACCGTCTAAGCTGGCGAAAGTCCGAGATTGGATACGCCAGCAACCGCCAGCTGTGTCGGCCTTCTCGAAGCAAGAGCCAGGTCCTTCACATATGCACGTCGCGACCCTGGTTACTTCTCTAGCATGCATTGGTAAGTGGTCTTATTCGGAATATTTGCACCCGAAATTCAGACGATTCTCCATGCAGCCTATGTCCTGAATCTCCGTGGCTCGGACATCCCATACAACCCTCTATTCCACGCCTACCTCTTCGTCGGGTTCGACACTGCCATTCTTTTCGTCGAACCCGCGAAGCTTCATCCAGACGTTATCCATTACCTTGACTCTATCGGCGTCCAGCATCGCGGGTACACCGACCTCTGGCCCTTCCTGAGACGCAGAGAATGGGGTGAAGGAAAAGTCCTCATTGCGCCGCAGACATCTTACGCCATCTCGCTCATGCTCACACACTTCCGCTACACCATCGCACCCTCGCACATCGAACATATGATGTCCATCAAGAATGAGATCGAGATCGACGGTATGCGCAGGGCCTATCTGCGCGATGGAGTTTCCTTCGTCCGGTTCCTTGCGTGGCTTGAGAGCAAGCTCGCGGAAGGCTACGAAATCACGGAATACGAAGCTGGGTTTAGGCTGACGGAATTCCGCCGCAAGAACAAGAACTTCATGGGTCTTGCCTACGAGAACATCTCTGCGAGTGGTCCGAACGCAGCTCTACCCCACTACTCTCCTCGTAAGGCCACCGCAGCGATGATAGCGAAAGATGCACCGTATCTCAAGTATGTCTTAAGTCTTCTGTCTTCATTTCCGCCCAAGATATTAATCTTCGACGACGACAGTGACTCAGGAGCGCAATACTACGATGGCACCTGCGATACAACCCGCACGGTGATTTTCGGAAGACCTACACCAGAGATGTGCGAAGCCTACACTCGGGTTCTCCAGGGCCATGTAAGTTCTCTTGTCATTCCGTCCGCTGTGTCCGTCATGTTACTCATCCGCGCCGTTCTTCCTCTCCTGCCCTGAATCCAGATTGCCATCGATAGTGCGATCTTCCCGGAAGGTACCTCAGGCCGTCAGCTGGACGTGCTCGCGCGCAAGGCTCTTTGGAAAGACGGCCTCAACTACATGGTAAGAGTCTATTTCGCACTCTAGGCCCGGGTTCTAAGTTTATACCTTGGAAAACCGGGTTTAACTTTTGACGTGGCTGCTGACTATGGGGTTTTCTTCTTTCGGACAGCACGGCACAGGGCACGGCTTTGGCGCGTTTTTGAGCGTGCACGAAGGCCCTCACAGCTTCTCGAGCAATGTTCCACTGGTTCCTGGTCATGTTATCACCAACGAGCCTGGTTTCTGTGCGTGCCCTTTCCCTTTCCTGCCCGTACGTTATCGCAACGCACGCAGCTGACCTGGTTCGTGTTCTCTTTCTCTCCAGATCTGGAAGGCAAGTGGGGCATGCGTATCGAGTCCGCCTTGGTCGTAAGGAAAGTTAAGGTAAGGTTCCATGTTTCTTCACTGCTCGGCTGGCGGCGCCTGTGCAGCCCACGTCAAGTGTCGAGTTCATGTCCAGAGGCTAACGCAATCCGCCTGGCAGACACGAGGCGAATTCAATGGAGACGTGTGGCTTGGCTTCGAACGGTTCACATGCGTGCCGATCCAGACGAAGATGGTCAAGGAGAGCATGCTTACCAAGGAAGAGAAGCAGTGGATCAAGGTATTGCGGTGTCTAAAGTTTGACCTGCGTTCGTACTTGACTCACATCGTGTGTGTGATACTTTCAGGATCACAACCAGAAGTGCTATGACAGGATTGCACCATTCCTCAAGGACGACAAGCGTGCGCTGAAGTGGCTCAAGCGAGAATCCGAGCGTGGTATCGGCCTTGCGCCTTCTGCTGCTGGCATATCCATCGACTGGGATTAAGCAGCCTACTTGCCCGAAACGACCACCTTTGCGATACCACCCCACTCAACCCTGCGATACGAACCTCCCATGAACGATGAACATCGACGTCGAACTTCTATCTATCCATATCACACATATCAGCAGCTCATTGCTTTTTAATTTAACTGCCTCCATCCACCTTGCTGGCACGTCGTAGGACACCGCCTCGTTGGTTCTATATCGTGCAGTGCTTTCACAAAAAACCCTTGCGACATTTCACTTGCACTTTTTTATTAGTAGTCTTTTGTTTGTAGTTACCGTTTCCCTCTTGTGCTTGCTTGGATTTCCTCTTCGTGCTTGGTCTGTCTAGATGATGGATTCTCTTGTCTTCGGGCTGGGTGGAGGCTGGGATACATGACACGATCTCGATGTATTTTTGAACGATTGTATGCAATGAAATCATGATTTATATCGGATAACAAGTGCAGAAAGATCGTAATGGAAGATGGCAAACGTGGAAGCATAGAACGGAGATGAAAGACTATCGTCTTTGCGTCTTTCCGCCCTTCCGTTTGCCAGAGAATAGATGTTTTGGCTGGGAAGATGAGGTTCAGAAACGGCACCTTCAATGAGGAGCAATGAAACACACCATTTTGACTTTGATAGCACGATCGCTCTCTCCAGCTTTCGCGAGCATGTTCCGCGGACGTTGACCGAGATTCCGCAGCTTGTTGGCTTTAGTGAATTGCTGAAAGAAGCCGTTTCGTCAGTGCCAAAACTTTCCCAGCATCGACCGGTACTCACCCCTTCGTCGCGCAGACCAGCCATCTGACGATTCGTCCTCGGTTCTCTCTTGTTGATGACCCTACCAGAGTTGGTCTTGACCCGCTTCTTCGGCGCACTCTCGTCCTCATCAACGTCCATCCATCCTTCAGCACCATGAGGATCATCGCTGCCTTCCGCATCATCCATGTCGACATCCTCATCCTCGTCCTCATCCCGCTTCCGTTTAGCACCCTGGATCTTGGCAATCATCTCTGCACGCTCCTGGATGCGGCTGGGGTCGAGGCCGGCCTTTGTCAGCTCGGATGTTAGCTCGGAGAGTGTCCGCAAGCCAGCTGTACGGGGCAGGCGAGACTGGTTCTTCTTCGACTTTTTGATGCTTTGTGAGCGAATCTTGTGCGCGAGGGCGATGGAGGCATCTTGGGCTTCGCGTTCGTCGTCCGAGTCGAATTCCTGTCATGCAGAGGTCAGATACCCAGCGGAAAGTCGAACCAGAAGTAATTCGCACGAGGGCTGAATCGGACTCGTAGAATCCTTCTGCCTGCAGCTTTTCCTCTTCGCGCTCGAGAGCCTCGAGTTTTTCCGCGATATCGGGGTCGATGAAGTCGGCGATGTTCTTGCCATCCATGATTTCGGGTATGGTGTCCATCTTCCATTCCGGGTTGGCGAGCAGGTAATTCTCTGTAAAGATGATGTGGGTCACTATCCCCATCGCCTCAACCATAAGCATACCTTTGAGATTGAGGTTGTACACTCCGGCACCGCCTTCTTCCAGCTCAACATCGCGGAGCAACTTGGGCCGTTCAGGATCGCTCTTGTCGTATTTCTTTTTGTTCTTCACCGCCTCAGGGATGAACGGGGTGCGAACAATTTCATCTCTCGGCTTAGGCTGCGAGACGTGTATCCGATTGATGATAGAATTAACCTTGCTTCCTTTCATCTTGTTGTCGACACGGTGGGCAAGGAGAGCATCGCAGGCCTTGTTTTTGAGGTCCATGACACCCTCTTCAGAGTGACATGATACTTGTATGCACTTGACGTCTTCTTGGTCGATGATCTCCTGGACCATTGCGCGGGTGTCGGGGTGGACATCTTCGAGACGCGTTACGTCGATTTTGTTGATGACAAGCATTGTCGGCTTTCCGGAGAAGAGAGGCTTTATGGAATGGAATAACTTGCACTGTGAACTGGATGAGATACAAATCGGAACGAAACAGTAGCGAGGAAGACGAACCTGGGCCTCTACTGAATAACCACACTGCTCGCTCAGATCCATGAAGTACAACACACAGCTCTTGAGATGAGCCAATGCCGTGATGCTCTGCATCTCGATCGTGTTCATCTCCTCCAAAGGGTGGTCCAGGATTCCAGGGGTATCAATCACTTGCCATCGCAGGTACTTGTAGTCCAAATGGCCGACGAAGAGGGATTTTGTGGTGAAGGCGTAGGGCTGGACGTCGACATCTGCACGGGTGACTTTGTTGATGAACGACGATTTGCCAACGTTGGGATAGCCGCATATAATGAGGGTGCGAGTATTGGGGTCGATATTGGGGAGACGGGAGATATGTTGGCGGACTTGTTCGAGGTAGGCAAGGGGATCTTTTTGGCGGCGCATGAGCGTGGCCATACTTCATTCCAATAAGTGTCAGCGTCGCTGCCCGAATTGGAGCTGATCGACGACATACCGACCAAGGGCAGCCTTCTTCAGCTGCTTGCACCGGTAAAGACTGTCTCCGAACTTCAACAGACGGACATAATCCTTCGCAATTTGGTCAATTAGATGTCTTGCAGTCCGGAGCTGACCCAACGCAAGCTTGTAGTGATTTTTGTCATAGAGAACGTTCAGGAGCGAAGATAGGAAAGGGTGGAGATCCTGAAATATTTCCATTAGCCCGATTTCGCAGATAAACGATGTTTGCGACGAACGTCGAGCATGGGGAATTCAGACAAAATGGCTCCGAGCTTTTCATCGAACGAATCTTGCGTGAACTTCACCTTTCGCATATAAAAGTTCCTAATGCGACTGATTTTGAAGTTCTTATGGATAACCTGCGGTATACATTGAGTTATTTGTTTCGATAGGCAGATCTTCCTAGACGAACCGTTGGTGTTTTCCGCTGCGTCTTGGACAGTACGATGTCCAAGAAGTCGGCAGCCGTCGGAACCGGCGCAATCGCCTTCAGGCCGCTCGTCGACATCGTTGAAGGCCTGAAAATGCGGGGATTTGGTAGGAGTAAAGTGCAAACCAGGACGATGGGGGAAAATTATCATGAGTTCCCACGATTCGAAGCCCACTATCCGGTCAGTCACAAGCAACCTTCAAACAAAGCTTGAAGCTTGAACCATCACCACGAAATTTAACCTCCCTTTTACGAACCAAATGACCAGATGATTCCACGTCCACGCTTCCAGCAGGACTAGAGCGAGATATTTTTGAACTAGTGCTCCGGACTGAGCCCCGTTCAAGCCCCCGGCTACTTAATGCTCGTTGCACAACGAGTTGACGAATGGTACAGTACTTTGTTTTTTTCAAAGAATAACTGCGATGTGACTCGTCTAAGCTAGGATTGGATATACCGTCTACCAAGATATCCATCTACCAAGTGGCCTCCGGCGAAAATGTCCCGCAATGCATGTGCACCTAGCGAGACCGAGTACGGACACTTTGTACGAGGCGACACGGCTATGGACGCTGTTCGAGGGATCTTGCAGAACTGTCCCAACGTGGTCGATCTCGCATTTGGTCGCGCCACCCCACGAACGAATTCCTCGAAACCGTCGCCAATAATGCAATTGAAACGTCTCTCCGCCATGTTGGGCTGTCCACTTCCAACACTCAGGTCAACAGTGAAGGTTGTGGATCACGAACCGAGTCTTCTACACCAATAGAGGAGACATATTTCTGCATATTCTCTTCCGCAGTCCCATCCCAGCTTGTGCCTTCCATCTGACAGGCCTTCCACGACGGCGAAGCCCACGTCGCCTCGAGAATTTGAGCAATGACATCTTCATTCAGCGCTAGAGTGTGTCCACCAGACGACTCGCTGCCCGTGTTCCCTGCAGACATCGTAGATTGAAGCTGAGGCAGTGGCTGCACATCGTCGACATCGTCTCCGGGCGGAAGGTCACGTCTAAAAGAATCTGAGACGCTATTGAGCACGCCGCCCGACAGAATCCAGTCTTGCCAGGAGATGATATCGGGCATGGTTGGCGCGGTCGGTTTGAAGGGGTGGAACCCACGGACACGCATTTCGTGGATGATGAACAGTGCTGGGAATGGCGCATAGCGATCCTTGAGGTCAAGGGCGACAGCTTTGCCGTGGAAAGGCTGAAAATATCCTTCCTCGGAGTAGTTAACGAATACAAACTTGCGACTCTATTTCCGGTGAGTGGTCGGTCCTTGTAGAACAAGAATCAACTCACATCGGGGAGAAAGCGGATAAAGAAATGGTATGAATTGAAAGAACTGTGACAGTTTCGGCACATGAGCATGCCGTCGCGGGGTTCATGTCTGGGACGATCTTTGGCCTGCGACGGCAGCCAACGTCGTCTCTTGAGGTCGCGCCACTATGCTTCCATTTGAGTCGACAGGAGTAGATAAAAACTTCAACTTGCAGTTTCGTCCTCCGATACCGGGATGATATGGCAGTGCTGTAGAATCGTCCGCACATCCATCCCACAGACGATGCATCGCGGCCGTCCGAGGAATACGTCCCGTTGATCTATTCCGGTGTCGAACGCAGTGGTCGTCGACAAGGCCGATACATCCCGTGCTTCCCAGCCATATCCAAGAGGGGGGTCTCTCGCCGGGAGAGGAAGTGAGAATGGAGGGAGAGGTGGCATCGTGAGCGTAGTGTTGGAGTGAGAGTGATTATAAGACCATGGGCCTTATGACAGAGGATCGGACTTCTAATAATTTAGATAAACACCAATTCATGTGTCCTCAATTGCAACGTTCAACCATCGCGATTTTCGAGGTGATACCGACAATTCAGGATCTCGGTATGGCTTTCGTGTCACCTAAAATCATGTAAGCTGAGCTCAATCGTGATATCAGAGTTCTGACTAGGTGTTGACTGTACTTGTCTTCTCGACTCAATTTCGACGATAGATCCCGCTGTTCAGGTTTTGCATGATTGAATGGCTGCAGAATCTTTCTAGATACATATACTGCAGTAGAGACAAAATTATCCCGCAGTAAGCTCGTATTCTCCCTCGTTTCCGGTGATAGCCCACCATCTTCTAGTCGGGGTCTTCACACCGACGACATTCGTGCCACGATGCTCCCAACTCTTGCAGCTTTTCGCGATTCACCCCCAGCCACCCGTCTAGATCTTGCACCTACGACTCACATCCCTTGATGCAATACCAACACGGTGGATGGGTCCTCCATAGCGACTCGCAAGCCGCCTGCTTCTTGGGCATGGAACTTCAGAATGAGCGCCTTCACCCACTCGGTCGAGTTCATCGCGTCTTCGTCGGTTCGCCCGACTCTCCTCTCCGGACATTCTTTCAGGAACAGGTATACCTCAAGCTCTTGAATCTTCTGCTGTGAGGATGTGACGATTCCTGAGGCGTATACTGTGTTGCTGGCCGGTGTGTCTTCTTTTCCATCACAGCGATGTTTAACAGGCTGATTCAAAAGTGTCGGGTGTCCGAGACAGCTGTAAACTGCAATTATTTTTTGTTGTGGAAGGTCCTTCCGTGTCGTGGAGCTGACTTTATTCTAACCTACCACACGCAGCCTCTCCGAGAACGAGATTCCATCACTGTGGCGAGACGAACTTGGAATTCTCAGGTATCCGTGTCGTAGCCTTAGTTGTTTGAAGAACTCCTGTCAATGAAATATTGCAACCTTCGATGTTGCCGGAAGAGCAACCTCCAATTCCTCTTTCAATCAATAAAGTTCCTGTAGGCTGTTGGAATCCATTTTGGTTCGATTGTTCTCCTTGACGATTCAATGTTCCACCTGCTCAGAACACCATCTCCCGTGATGAAAGCATTGGGAAGCATATAAATCATTTAATGCTTTTATGTACCAGAAAATCGAGACGGATGTGGAGGGTACGCGGACGATGGGCTGGGCTGAGAGTCGGAGGCGACTCCGGGGCGGGATGGAGGTGCGTGGAACAGCGTCATCGGAAAGTGCAAAAATAGGTTATCGTAGCCCAAGCTGCAATTCCATCTTCGAACCTGCTTGGTTGGCCCAACTCACTCGCGGAAAGAGTTAGAGAAGAGGAGTCTGGAGAGAAGTCAAATGTGTCCGAGCGAGAGCCTGCCGTCCTCTCGAGATCTGACGCCAACCGTCTTCGGACCTCTCTCTTCCGTAGGATACGACCGTGCAGTGACGAATCCACGCTCCAGGTCCGAAGATGGTGATCAAGGACATGTGCCAGTCTCCTGAACCGGGGTAGGTCGCGTTGATTGCGACCTTGTTGGAGGTGCAGCGATCGGAGGCGGAGAGAGACGAGATGGCACTGGGTGCACAGCACCATACTTGCAAGCTCAAAGACACTACAAATATGGTAAAAAGTAGACTGAAATTTTAGCCGAAGTAAGCAAACAAATCTAATGAAATTCGAGCCACCATACTTTTACACCATTTGCGAACCCGCGCATGGTCTGCAAGCACGGTGACCTTTGACCCCTTTGACTTACCCTGCTTTTATCTTTTTTTGCAAACTGTTTGTTATCGCTAAAAATGACCTCTTTCGTGAATTTACCCAAATTTGAAAACACAAAGAAACTAATTGTTCGGTGAACACAACAAAATACTTTGATCCAAATTTTAAGTACCTGTTTTGGGCTTGCAACTACGGTGCGGTGCACCCAGTGTGGGGTTTGTGGTTGTCGTCGGAGTGCTTGCCCTGTCAGTGCTGTGTTCAATTTCGTTGAGGACAGTCTTGATTATCGCAAGAGCAAACCTTGCGTGCCGACGTCGATGAAAAGAGGAAGATGACCCAGTCAATATACCGGGCATATCGTCGTCTACGTCGTCTGCAGGTGCCGGAAGTTTCTTCAGAGGCGAACCATTGACACTAGGCAGAGCGTTTTTCTTGAAATTGGCGAAGGATGGCGTCGACAGTAGTTGAGAAACAGGCTTCTGCGGTGTTGTGTTGCTCGTCTTCCACAATAGCCTGCCCGACTCCTTTTCTTCCTGCTGGGTTTCTAGATGGAGTAGGTCAGAATAAAAAGTAAAAGATGCCGTTGAAAGGACACATACCTCAGACTCATCGGATAGGAAACTTAAATTATCCCTAAGATCGTCATCCGGTCCTCCTTCCACGTTCTCAAGTCCAGGTGCATCTTCTGATGACCGCAGCCCCGCCACCGTACCGGTGTTGACACGAGAATCGACAGCGCTGTACCCGTCTCCCAGAGCACACTAAACATGTCTCCTACGACAGGATCCAGGACGCTGAAGGGTAGTCGTCGATCATGGTTTATGCCATTGATGAGTTTATGATCTTTTCTTGTTGTTCCTGTATTTGCAGGCCTCCGCGTCCCAAAGACCCTTTGCGGACGCAACGTACTTGTGAACCCATCGCCGGACCCACTCGGTCTACCCAGCCTACTCGCGGAAGGACGGCGGACCCTCGCTCAGATGCTTCTCCTCTGACTTCTCTTCGGCTTCCTCGTCTTCTCTGGGCCCTTCTGAGGCCCGACGCCAACCGTCTTTCGATCTCTCCCTTCCACAGAACACAACCGTTGAGGGCGATTGAGGACATGAGGTGGCCTCCTGAACCTGGCTGGATGGCATTAATTAAGATCTCGCTTGAAGGAGGTGGAGCGATCGGAGGCGGAGCAAAGAGATATGGGGCTTGGTTTTTGAAGGAGTGTTTGTGCGGTCGGTGGAGGTAGATGAAGGGCCATGAGGCGGTGTCGACGTTGGTGTGTATTCCTGCCCGAGATATTCGTATGGTCGTTGTCTGCATCGTCTGCACGTGTCGGAAGTCCCTTCAGCGGCAAACTATTGACACTCGGCAGGGCATTCTTCTTGAAATTGGCAAAGACAGCGGTGAAGAAACATGCTTCTGCGATGGATCAGATGCAGAGAAGTGGGTTCAGCGCGATCACTAGCGTTCCGAAGTGAGATTAAGGGACATCCAGAAAGTATGTGCAAGAACTCACGTTGTCAGAAATAAGTTATGCGAGCTGGATTGATGAAGGTGGAGGCTGGAGCACAAGAGGAATAAGCGAGAAGAATCATCGACTGAGTTCAGGAAGGGTACTTACGGATGGACGGAATCGCTGCAGGCAGTGGCCAGGATCGTTACCCGTGCATTTCTTGACGTTGGAAGGCCTGGAAGGGTCGCCGAAATTGCAGTACTCGGTGCCGCTGGATCGAAGGTCAGGCGAGGCTGAGGCGAGGAATGAAATTATCTCACAGATGACGGTAGCCGAGAGTCTTGAACGAGATCGTCGGGACACCATCTACAGCAAGCCGTCAAATAAATAAACGTGGAAGTTTGAGAACCTTCAAGAACTCACCATAAGCGAGTGGACAGCTCGAAAGATGTTAGCCATGCCGATCTTGCTCTCAACCTCTCTCATCTCTCAACATACTTAAGAGGGATGTAGCATTACGCCACGCGAGGCTGACTGAATGTGTACAGCTTGAGATTTGCGCAGTTCGGCAGCGCTGATTTAAGCAATCGAGACGACCGCGAGCGACACCTCTGACTCGGAGCGAGTGCCCAGTAGAGGTGATTGGTCTTTGGTTATCCTTAGGAGTTCGGAGGGCCGAACTTGCGACTTGAACGTTGTAGAGGCATGCAGGAACCCGGTATGGGTGGAGGAGCCGACACCTGTTAGACTGATTGAGATGAGAGGCCTTATGCCATTGCCGATGACCTGCAGGTCTACGAAAAGGGTAAGACGGAGACTAAAGAGGACACAATGTTTTCTTTCCGACTATCCATCCTGGATGACGGGTCCTTGAGGGGCTGACTTGACGTCGTCGAACTAGGATAAAAAATGCACATGAGCCCGGGGTAAAATTTAAAAGAGATGTGCACGATACCAACCTTGTCCAGTAACATAGTTGCGGGCATGGAAAAATAACATTGTTGTTGCGGCAGAAATCGTTCGAGGACTCCTGAGGGAAGAGTGTCAATCCCTCCGCATTCTCATCTGTTTAGCGAGCCATTGCCTTGCCTGGCATGGCGAACAAGTCTTGACTTATTTTCCGATCCTTCATCCTTCATGCGAAAGAAGGCATATTAAAAGAAGAAAATAGAAAACATCTGGGAGATGATGAATGTGAGAGGGTGCGAGCATTGAGATCGGGAAAATTAAGACACCTGCCTTCAAGTTGCCCAAGCTGCTCGTCCTGCTTATGGTGTCCCCACTTGTTATGCTCTTATGCCTCGTCGCCCCGCTGTCCTCGTCATTGCTGAATTGTCGCTGCTTGTGCCTTGTGCTCGCCGTCCTGCGCATTCCACATTGCCGTTTCTTGCCATCTCGCGGCCATTCACGCTTCCTGTGTCATTGTCTGGGTCATCGTTGCGTCGCTGTGATCCTCATGAAGGCCGTAGCTCTGTAATGAGGTCAGTACATAACAATCTTCGAAAATGTACCTCGCTGACGTAAGGTCTAGCACGGGTTTCGTCCGACCGGGTGACCTGCAGGTTGTGACCCGCGGGTTTGTCACGGGTCGGGTGGGATGGGTGACGGGTCACCCATCCCTTGAACCCGGATCGGGTACGGGTAGGCGCTAGGATTTTTGGCCATACCCGCAGGTAACCCGTAGGAGGTAGGCATTATTTTCTCTTTGATTTGAGATAGATGAATGCATTTCTGAGAGTATAGGCATATTTCTAGCCTTCAATATCTTGCTTTCGGAGGTAAGGTAGTACTTGCCGAAAAGGTTAATTGGGCTCCTATATCAGCCCGCGCGAAGTTCAAGCCTTCTCGCTGCTGCCTTATTTAAAAGGAGCAGAGAGATTTGAAAATCTGCAGTGTCCCTCTCGTTTCACTGCTCTAGGACACTTTCGTCTTTGGCAACCAGTGAGCTCCCATATGGTTTCATGCCCCTGACGCTCATGCGAAATTATTGCTAGTGCCGACGCACCGCCCAAAACTATGCGTTTACACACTTGCATCGCGAGCGACATCGTGGTTTCGTTTCCCGTTGAATTCTACGCCGGCTCCCAGATTCTCTGCTCTCCCTCGGAGTCCTGGTCCTCATTTACAGTAAGTTATTAATTTTACACTCTAGCGCGTATCTTCTATGTTAGTCTATACTCCTTTGACAGTATTAATTTGTTACATGTAGTCACATCTCTAAATTAGTGGGACGAGTCACGACCCGCGGTCACCCATGGGTACCTGCAGGTGTACCTGCGGGTGTACCTGTACCCAACGCACAATGACCCGGGCGGGTACGGTCACTCGAGAAAATTCTTTCCACCTGCGGGTTCTGACCCGGGGTCTACCCGGACCACCCATGCTAGACCCTACGCTGACGCACAGTCAGAATCAAAATGACTCTGCGTGGTACAAGACAACGCATTCGATTTGGACAAAAAGATTTCTATTGTGCGAAAGAAATAATATATGCCTGGCCATGGACGGCGGATGACGGACAACGAGAGCGAAGGTGTGGATCGGCGAGCGCGAGGGGCAAATAGACGACAACGGCAGCAGGAGATGTGGGTGAGATCAGGCGGGTAGGGACATGGGTGGAGACAAGGACAGCATGGGCGGGAGGAGGGACAGCGGCGAGGGGGCGAGCAGACAACGGGGGCGAGGGATATGAGGTGGGATGAGAGTAAGAATGATGGTGGGTAGAGACGCGGAGCGCAGTGAGTGGGTGTCTGCGGAAGGTGCCGGACTTGCTGTTTGATGACGCGTGGTGGGTGTAGCAGGTCGTGGAAGGGTGCCGGGAGGAGAGGCGACGAGAGTGGAGGTGGAGACGACGACGACGAATGAGGAAGGTAGGGGGGTGGGGTGAGAGAGGGCATGGCAGGGGTTAGAGAAGGGCACGGTGGAGATAGGAGACGGATTTGGGCGAGAAGAGCTGGTAATCGCGGCGGCAGAGGTTGCGGACGACGATGGCCTTGAGGCGCTGATCGTGGAAAGTAGGTTGACCGAAGGTTGCAAGTTGACGTCGAACGTTGACTTGGAAGTTTGAACAACCGACACCTCGGCATCAGTGCTGCTCCCGTGGACACCGTAACCTTTCCTCTACCCAAACACATCTCCGACAGGATGGCACTTGAGGACAATTATCCCAGAAGACACCTCTATCGGCGGCTTGGACTCGGAGGCAGCCAGCCATCGGCGAGAGGGAAGACGGCGGTGAACACGATGGGCAGCTTCGTCGATGTCGATTATGAGTGACCAAGGAAGTGGATTTCGAGGAGGTCCACCTGCCCGCTCAATATCCCTTCGGCGAAGACATGGCTATAACCCCTTAGTCAACGAAGAATCCGCTCACGGAGGCTTATACGTCGGCATATTCGCTCTGACAAGTCGAGAAATGGTGCAGATTTGAAGATGCGGCCCTTCAGGAAGTTGAAGCCTTCGATTGCGAACGTGAAGTTTACACGCGGGATTGTGATTGACTATTACATGTTACACGGAGGTCGAAACCATAGGTATATCATGCTACCCTTCTCGAAATTTGGCAATGAAGTATTCATCTACAGACCAGAAGCTGTTTTTTTTTGCCTTTGCTTATACCGTCGCCAGTCCAGCATACGATCCCGAGGAGCCTCGTAGATCAGATGAAACGCTCGTCAACGACTCTCTGCCTCAAGGAGGCGGGCCTCCATCTGGGCGCAGGAAGATACCCCAACTTCCTTGATCCATCTACACTCGCAGAGACCCCTGATCCTGGTCGTGACGACGTTAAACAGACTATTAACGTTCCAGAGAACCCCCGATCGATTCCCCATCAACTGGCGAATATATCACCATGCACATTCACATACCGTTTCTTCCTCCTCGTCTTGTTTGCAATTCGCCTTGCTATGCGAGGCCGAGAGTACTGCAAAGGATAATGGATCGCAGAGGCGTCGAAATACCTGGGAACGTGGGAGCAATGGGAGCTTGTGGAAGATGCACATCAGGCGGAATGGTATACAATAGTTAGGTTGACCACCGCTGGTGAGTTGACGATGGCTTCACCTTTTCGGTTTCTAATTCTTCTTTTTCAGGTGGGACTTTTGTTATCGAGTTCTTGGCTCGTCTTATGACTATCAGCCCTGATCCGGTCAGAGCTCTCGCAAAATTGAAAGCTCAGGAGGTACGACATTTCTGGATGCGACGGTCGATGCAGCAGCTACAACGATCGCGGGTGCTGTGGCTGGTTCAGTCATTATCGTCAGAGGCATAGCCAGGCGAACCGAGCAGGTTCGGACCCACGAAGACTTGGCACCGAACCAAGCGAGGGAATCGTTCTGACCTTGCCTGGGTACGTCCGTCAAACAAACTAGCTTTTCAAAAAGTGGTACTGACAACAAGAAACGACCGTAGGTTCATGAACGACATGAACGATGGTGTGTGACTGCCCTTCGTCAGAAGACGTGTTTAACGTGCTCTTGCAGCACAAGATAGAGGTCGATAACTGTTGACCCTCACGCCGACGTTGGCACGGTGGCGGGGCTGCCATCAGCAGAAGGTGTACCAGTCGTCCATCTTGGGATCGCTTGTGTTTCTTATTTTCTCTGATTACTGCGGTGAGCCATCGGTGAGTTTCCTTCTGACGACATTTTTGATTCTCTATTCAGACTTACTCTACCAAGGACTCACGATTCTACGGAAGATCGCATCGTCGTTCGCTAATAGGAAGAGGAGGAGATGGACTGGTTCCCGCGGAAGACGAATAACACAACGTCGCAGAAGCACGTTTCAACTGCCGCCGGCGTCAACCTTCGCTACTTTAAGAAGAGTGGCCTGACCAGTGCCAATGGCTCGCTTGTGAGGCAACCCCAGCTACAGCATCTACAGACGACGCGGACGATAACTTATCCATCGCCGAGAGTAACAGCCCTATCACTAACATGAGGGCCATCGGCACCATTCTAATGTCCCTTCATCGATCCTCCCTCTCTTTTCATCTACCTCTGAGCGCAAAGTTTGCTCTTGCGAAGTTAACCACAGCACCGATAGGGCGGGCACCCCTTCGACAACCAAACCCTTGTCTCGTCGTTCTCCGACTCCGATCGTACAACCTTCCAAGACTCAATCAATACTATCTAGCCAGGTTCAAGAGGCTTGCTCGCATCCTCGATCGTCATCTTCGACTTGGAACATTGATTTATCACCGCACCGTCGTATTCTGTGGAAGAGAGAGAGGTCTGAGGAGGCCGAAGAAGTCAGGGTGTCCTCTCGAGGCCCGGCGCCAACCGTCCTCATCTTCTCTGATTGCTTCCGTGAGTTGGGAAAGCTGAGGAGATCCGATAGTAGATCCATAGCTCGGGCTACGACAACTGAGTACTGAACCTCTGCACTTTCTGATGACGGTGTTCCATCTTGAGGCATCGCAGCTCCATCCCGCCCCCGAGTCGCCTCCCAAGCCCATCGTCCGCGTAGCCTCAGCATCCATCCCAATCTGGGTAGTTGCATCGATGCTCATCTTCGCTTCCATCACTGGAGAGTACCCCTCGAGTAGGTCGAACACCGGGTCGTTGCAGAGGACGATCGAACCAAAATTAATTCCAGCAGGAGCTTCAGTGATTGAAAAAGTGGTCGGAGGCTGTTCTTCTGCCAATATCGAACAAGGAGGAAGGTTACAATGTTTCACGAGTCGTAATGGCGTCTTCTACGACACTGATTATCAAGCTCCAACGGTCAATCATCTCCGAAAGCTTTCAGTTTGTCTCGCCAGGTGTGGCTCCCTGACAGCGAATTCTAGTTGTTGTCGGTACAAGAAAAGCATGTACGCACGATGTTTAGCAACAGACATTTGCTCTGCGACCAACCACACGTCCTCTTCTCCCTTGCACAGCGAACCCATTCTTGAATATCTTGAATGGTAAAGCGCCGGAATTTCAGTATGAAAAGACGTAGAATTTACGAGTCTTTACATCGCCTGCTGACCCCATGTGCGGCAATTGCCGCCGGACGCGGCATCGAACCCCATTGAACTCGCGCCCTTGAGCTTGAGCTAGGCCTCAGCACGCACCCCAATGCCATGTTTGCGACTGAAATAACCAGCCAATGGCCCTTTGGTTCGCACACATGTCAGATGTCTTGAGACCTCCGTGAGTATCGCCTCGTTGCCTCTCGCTCTCCCATCTCTTTGGCCAGTATGAATGAACCATCGTCCTCTGCAGCAAATAAATCGGAGAAGAAAGGCGGAAGCAAACGACAACGCTTTCTGCGTTGGCTCAAAAAGCGACTCAAATCAACCAAATCTTCTGCTAGTCATCCGAATTCAACTCGGGTTGCTGCCTCTTCAGCACCTGGCGCTCGTGAACCTGCCCCAAGCAATCAAGCAGAGAATGCAGAACCGCCAGTTTCAGGCAAGTGATGCTATCTCAGTGTTATCTTCGACGACCCAACCTCTCTCTAGGCAGCAATAATGCCCAAGATCAGGGTATGTACCGTCCTGCATTCCTACATCAAAGAATTGTCAGATCTAACGCATCTTCTCTAGATCATACTGCCTCATTGCTCTCAGCTAGGCCCCCTTCATCAAATACGCCGGTTCTGCCAGGTTCCAGCATGGATCAAGGTGAGATTACAACACACAGAGTCTTTGCATTTCAGAGATTGACCTCGGATATCTGTTGAAGGATACGACGGCGAAACCACTCATCCTTCGACTGCTACTGCCCAGCCAACCTTGACAAATCCTGAAATGCTGGCCCCAGATTGGAAAGAGACTACGAAAGAGCGTCTGGGAGTGGCTTCGCGGTTCACGCAGACGCTCCTTAAGAAGGTGGCAAGCTGTGTCGAATCCAATCCAGTAAAGGTGGCATTTTCCATTGCTAAGGTGATCATTGAGATAAAAGATGTGGGTCGTCTTTATCTGTACCTCCGGCACAGGCTGACTATTCTATCAGGCAATCGGCGACAACAAGGATGAGCTTGCACAACGTCTCGGAGACACGGCGAACAGGCTCCTCGCTGTGGAGAGGACAGTGGTTATCGGCATTCCGGAGGTCGCCAAACAGGCGGTGGAGAAATTGGAGAAGTACGTCTTCTTCCCTCCGCTCAAAGGGTATTCATGATTAAGATGTCGCCATTCAGGATCCTTGGGGAAGAGATGAAAAAGTTAGAGGTCCTCGCCGGTCAATCACTAACTAGGCGGGTACTAGACCACGAAGAAGATGAGAAGAAGATCCAGCGAATTTTTCAGTGTGTCGAGACAGCTACGACGATTTTCCAAGTGTGAACCCTTCCACTTGTCTAAAGTTCTGTACATGCTGACTGTTCGTTCTCAGGTCGAAATGGCCATCAGCATCCAGGAAACGGCGAGTCAGATACATGACGGCGTCAAGGTGAATGTCCAGATTTCCTGGCTTGTGACCCGCACTGAGCCATTGGACAGAAAGCAGCACTGGAACATTTGCGTCCCTCCGAGAAGGCTGATCACAGAACGGTTCTCGAGGAGCAGGCCTTGAAGCGTGAAGAATGCACGTCCGGAACGCGCGTCGAGATATTGGGCAAGATCACCAAATGGGCAAATGATTCCTCGTTGGAGAGCCCACGTGTCTTCTGGTTGAGCGGTCAAGCTGGCTCTGGCAAAACCACCATTGCTTACACAATAGCCAAATGGTTCGACAAGGATGACGACATCAACCAATACACCACATTCGGCGGCAACTTTCTCTGCTCTCGACAATTCGAAGAAACACGGCAACGGACCCGTATCATTCCAACCATTGCCTACCAGCTTGCTCGCAAATGCAGATCGTTTGCAGACGCCCTGTATATTGCCGATAAATTCAACACAATCAACCACGATGTTTCCAGCCAGCTGAAAGATCTTCTTGTTGGACCTTGGCAGCAGTCCGATCCCACTCGCGGTCAAGAAGTATCACCATACCTCATTGTCATTGATGCTCTCGATGAGATCGCAGATGGTGGAGGTTCGGCCTTTCTGCGGGACCTACTCATAGCAATCAATAAATACGACCTGACAGGTTTCAAGTTTCTCGTGACGAGCCGACCAGATCCCGAAGTCGTTACGCTCTGCAAGTCCTTCACATCAGAGGCCATCTGTTGGCTCCAAGATGTACCAATCGAGGACGCACAGCTGGACATCGGGACGTACTTGAAGACCAAGCTGCCATTGCTTGCCAGCAGTCAAGAGCTGGTTCAGCTTGTGCAGAGGTCACATGGTCTCTTCGTCTACGCTGCAACGGCAGTGAAGTATTTGACTCGAGATCACCGGATTGCAGTTGAAGAGCAGACCGAGATGCTTCGCGACCTCCTTTCCAATTCGTATGAACCGGCTTCTGCAAGCGACGTTACATTCTTGATTGATGAACTATATCGGCATGTTATGCATGATGCCTTCTCGAAGTACAAGGGAAAGTACTTAACGCGCCGTTTGTGTATCCTCTATACCTTCCTGTGTACGGCCGAACGCACATCCACCTCCGTTGTCGCCAACCTTGTTGCAGATGGACATGATGGTACTGCAAAGGCTGTTGTGGAGAGCCTCCATGCTGTGCTCTACACCCAAGGCGATCGGATCTTTTGGTATCACGCCTCCTTCCCCGACTTCATCTTTAACCCAACCCGGGCAATGTTCCGTCTCGGTGAGGACAACTTCAATTTTTGGTGCAACGAAGCTGCCCACCACAATATTCTCGGCAAGTCTTGCTTCCGTGTCATGAAGTCTAATCATGGTTTGCGGTTCAACATTGGTGACATTCCTTCATCCTTCTTGTTTGACAGTGACAATGCAGACAGACTGTCTAAGGTCAATCAAAACATCAGCCCTGTTCTCAGGTACTCATCATGCCATTGGGCTCACCACTTACCCTCACCCAAGTTAATCAATACCGACATTCTTTGTGACTGCATTAAGGACTTCCTTGAAATCCGTGTACTGTTCTGGATTGAGGCCATGAACCTTCTTGGGTTGAGGAATCAGTGTACTCCAATGCTTCAACGTGCGCGTGAGTGGGTGCTAAAGGTATGAATTGTATGGTTCGAGCTGTAACACAACAACTAACACTATTTGTCAGTGCGGGGAAAGTCATTCCAAATTGGCTCGTGACATTGGTGAAGCTGCCAACTTCGCGACCTATTTCACTGGTAGCCCAGCTGCTGAATCGACACCACACCTATATATCTCAGCATTGGCAACATGGTTGCAGGACACCAGTCTCTGTTGGAATTGGCAAAGGAAATTCTCTCGCATCCCTACCTTTACTCATACCAGAGGCAGTACTGACTTGCCATTGATGACAATAACTGCTGTTAGTGGAGTCAATGCTGTCGCATTTTCGAGTGATGGCATGCGGATCGTGTCTGGATCGCAGGACAGGTCTGTGCGGGTGTGGGATGCATCGACGGGTGCAGAACTGAAGGTGCTCAATGGCCACTGCAACCGGGTCTATTCAGTCGCGTTTTCGAGCGATGGCACGAGGGTGTCTGGGTCAAGCAACAACTCTGTGAGGGTGTGGGATGCCTCAACGGGAGCAGAGTTGAGGGTGCTCGATGGCCACAGCGACTGGGTCCGTTCGGTCGCATTTTCGAGTGATGGCACGAGGATCGTGTCTGGGTCGGAGGACAAGTCTGTGCGGATATGGGATGCCTCGACGGGAGCAGAGCTGAAGGTGCTCAATGGCCACAGCTACTGGGTCAGGTCAGTCGCGTTTTCGAGCGATGGCACGAGGATCGTGTCTGGGTCATCTGACAAGTCTGTGCGGGTATGGGATGCATCAATGGGGGCAGAGCTGAAGGTGCTCAATGGCCACACCAACTGGGTCGAGTCGGTCGCATTTTCGAGCGATGGCACACGGATTGTGTCTGGGTCGAGAGACAATTCTGTGCGGATATGGGATGCCTCGACGGGAGCAGAGCTGAAGGTGCTCAATGGCCACAGCGACTGGGTCAAGTCGGTCGCATTTTCGAGCGATGGCACGAAGATTGTGTCTGGGTCGGATGACAAGTCTGTGCGGATATGGGATGCCTCGATGGGAGCAGAGCTGAAGGTGCTCAATGGCCACAGCGACTGGGTCAGGTCAGTTGCGTTTTCGAGTGATGGCACACGGATCGTGTCTGGATCGGATGACATGTCTATGCGGATATGGGATGCCTCGATGGGAGCCGAACTGAAGGTGCTCAATGGCCACAGCAACGGGGTCACCTCAGTTGTGTTTTCGACCGATGGCACGCAGATTATGTCTGGGTCGAGAGACAAGTCTGTGCGGATATGGGATGCCTCGATGGGAGCAGAGCTGAAGGTGCTCAATGGCCACAGCGACTGGGTCAAGTCGGTCGCGTTTTCGAGCGATGGCACGAGGATCGTGTCTGGGTCATCTGACAAGTCTGTGCGGGTATGGGATGCCTCGACGGGAGCAGAGCTGAAGGTGCTCAATGGCCACAGCGACTGGGTCGAGTCGGTCGCATTTTCGAGCGATGGCACACGGATTGTGTCTGGGTCGAGAGACAATTCTGTGCGGATATGGGATGCCTCGACGGGAGCAGAGCTGAAGGTGCTCAATGGCCACAGCGACTGGGTCAAGTCGGTCGCATTTTCGAGCGATGGCACGAAGATTGTGTCTGGGTCGGAGACAATTCTGTGCGGATATGGGATGCCTCGATGGGAGCAGAGCTGAAGGTGCTCAATGGCCACAGCGACTGCGTCCGCTCAGTCACGTTTTCGAGTGATGGCACACGGATCGTGTCTGGATCGGATGACATGTCTATGCGGATATGGGATGCCTCGACAGGAGCACAGCTGAAGATGTTCGATGGCCACAACAAGCGGGTCAACTCAGTTGCGTTTTCGAGCGATGGCACGCGGATCGTGTCTGGGTCATGGGACAAGTCTGTGCGGGTGTGGGATGCCTCGACAGGGGCAGAGCTGAAGGTGTTCGATGACCACAACAACCAGGTCAACTCAGTCGCGTTCTCGAGCGATGGCACGCGGATCGTGTCTGGGTTGGAGGACGAGTCTGTGCGGGTCTGGGATGTGATGACAGGTCTTGGGCTAAACACCTTGCATGCCGCCCCCACCAGGTCACTAAACTCGGTCGGGTTTTCGAGTGCTGATACACAGGTTGTATCCCACTTGGATGAATTTCTTGTTCCCCCCACTGTTCCCCATAACCACTGTAATTGGAGCCTCGACAAGACAAATTGGCTTGTCTCTTCCCCATTGCACAACCGTCTTATGTGGGTGCCCCCAAATGCAAATGTGAAGCAACCGTCAAACACCGTCATCATCTCTCGCCATGGTTTTAGCACGGTCGATTTTCGACAATCGATGATAGGTGCTAAATGGGCTGGCTGCTATACGCCGTAGTATTCAAGAGTATTCCGCGGACAACAAGTTACAACAAGGGTAAGTTGTCGTGCATTATTCATGTTTCCGATTGTATTAATTCTTCTAATGGCATCCCAGGATTTGAGAGGTGCTATCCCGCTGCATGGAATATGTTTCCTTCTCCCCGCTGGCGTTCGTGCAGCCCTTACTATTAAGCACCATTCCAACATGACTCGGAGTACACAGTGTCCTCTATGGATATGCTAGCAGGATACAATTTTCTCGAACTACTAATCGTGTTCATCGGTATATAGATATCATATTATTATTGTTACATCGTGGTACGTAGGCAACTTCAGAAATACAACGCACTGCAAGGGTGAGAGCACCAGCCCGTTCCAACCACTGGAACCCACCCGGCCATCTTGCCTTGAACCTCCCATCCAAACCTGGGCAATAATAACAGCATTGGACATATGTGTACGACTATACTCTCGAAACTGGGACATTGTCGACCTTCCAGTATCCTTCTATGCCGTGAAAGGTCCATCGTCTGGGGATAGACACTTGTGAGGCAGGGAGCCAATGGCGCTCGAGCCGGATTCGAAGGATGAATGAAGACGGCACGAGAAGAGCTCTTCAACCACAAGATGAGGTGATCGGAAACCATCCTTCCTGTGTCGCTGTCGCTGCCACTGGGTCCCCACTGCACTCGCTCGTAGGAGTCGCCGTGCCGCTCATTCGTTTTCACAACTGTCAACATCTTCAGGGGTCAGTGTTAATCTTCGGAATTTTATTTCACTGACGCACAGTCGAATTCAAAATGACTCTGTGTTCGTATCTTTGTAAAAGCCCTCGCAAATGCAATGGATACACGAGATGGGGGGACAGAGAGTGGTGGAAGTGACAAAGGCGAGGGCGAGGCGACTAGACACCGGTGGCGAGGGATGTCAGTGGAGATGAGGCAGGGCGAGAGTACTATAGGGATGGTGGTGGGTGCAGACACGGAGCACCTGGGCCGATGCGGGCATCATAGATCGATGGTCGGAGGCTTCGGTAGGCATAGAGGGTGATGCACGTTTGCGGAAGGTGCTGGCATTGTTGTTTGACGATGCAAAGTGGGTGTAATATTACATAGCCGGATGCTGGCGGTGTTGTTAGACACCATGTGCCAGCACAGGTATTCTCCGAGAAGGCGAGGAGAGGCGAGGAGGGTGGGAGTAGAGACGGCGAGGACAAATGAGGAGGGTAGGGGATGGAGGCGGCGGAGGTGGGGTGAGAGAGGGCATGGCGGGAGTTAGAGAAGGGCACGGAACTGGGAGGTCTTGGGGATGAGATGTTGGGATTGGTAACCGCCCGAAAGGGCATTGCCGGGGCGCCGAGATAGGGGAGACAGGGGCTCTCCGATTTTATATATATTTCGGGCTCGTAGATACCGAACTCAGTCGCTTTCGTATCTCTACATGAGAGATGGAAACGGCGAGAGTGAAACATGTGGGAGCGAGAAGACAGATGGCGAGGGGGAGACGAGCGAGTAGTGGCGGTGGTGGAGGTTGCAGACGATGATGCTGCCAGGCAGCAAGTCGGACGAGCAGCATAGAGAAAATGCGAAAACGGGCTTTCTCTTGGCTTTCTCCATTTTGAGGTTAGTGTCAAAGTGGCGGTGCCGTCTTGCAACCTCTTGTCCTCAACATTCAACCATCGCGATTTTCGAGGTAATACCGACATTCAGGATGTTGTTATCAGGCTTTCAGGCCACCTAAATCGTGTAAGCTGAGCTCAATCGTGATATCAGAGTTCTGACTAGGTGGTCACACTGCAGTACTTGTCTTCTCCATTAGATTTCGATGATAGGCCCCGCTGTTCAGGTTTTTGCCATATTGCACAGTTGCAGAATCTTTCTAGATACGCTGCAGTAGAGGTAGAATATCCTGCAGTAAGCTCGTATTCTCACTCGTTTCTGGTGATAGCCCACCATCTTCTAGTCCAGGTCTTCACGCCGACGGCATTCGTGCCGATGTTCCCGACCCTTGCAGCTTTTCACGATTCACCCCAGCTACCCGTCTCGCACCAACGACTAACATCCTCTGATGCAACGCTGACGCGGTGGATGGGTCCTTCGTTGAGAATGCCTGCTTCTGGGCATAGAACTTCAGAATGGGCGCGTTGACCCACGAGTTCATCGCGTCTTCGTTGGTTTGCCCGACTCTCCTCTCTGGTCATTCTTTTAGGAACCGGAATCCCTCAAGCCCTTCTGCTGTGATTCCCGAGTTGTATACTATATTGCCGGTGTCTTCTCTATTACAGCGATGTTTCACAGGCTGATCCAAAGTGCCAGGTGTGAGAGAGACAGCTGTGAACTGCAATTATTTCCTGTTGTTGTGGACAGGTAGGTCGTTCCTCCGCGATGACTAACCATGGGAGCTTGACAATACGTGTTGTAGCCCAAGCTAATTTGAAGATGTCATTACAAATTCCTGAAATATGGTAACCTTCCTCCTTGTTCGATAGATATTGCCGGAAGGACAACCTCCAATTCCCTTTGTAAGCCAATAAAGCTCCTGTTGGAATTCATTCTGGTTCAATCATCCTCTGCAGCGATTAAACGCCCGACCTGCTCAGGAAACTCCAGTGACGGAAGTGGCGGCGAGCATTGATGCAATTACCGAGATTGGGATGAATGTGGGGGGGTATGCGGACGATGGGCTGGGACAAGAGTTGGAGGCGACTCGGCGGCAGGAGAGAGCAGTTGCGTGGAACTGCGTCATCGGAAAGTGCAGAAACGGGTTATCGTAGCCCGAGGTGTGGACCCATCGTTGGACCCATTCGGCCTATCCAACCCACTCTTCCGCACGGCGGCCGCTCGGACTCTTCTCCTCTGAGTTTTCTTCGGCTTCCTCGTCTTCTCTGGCCCCTTCCGGGGCCCGACACCGTCTTTGGATCTCTCTCTCTCTTCCACAGAAGACGAAGGTCCGGTGACGAATTCGCACTCCAGGTCGGATCCAAAGATGACCATCGAGGATATGAGTCACGCTTTTAAACCATGGTAGGTGGCATTGATTGAGGCTTCGTAGGAGGTGGTGCGATCGGAGGCTCGAAGACGAGACGGGATTTTTTGGTTGTCGATGGAGTGTGAAAGAGGAGGATGAACCCATTAGATGGTGTCGATGGTCGTGTGTGATCCTGGTACTGATAGGGATGTTACATTCGGCGATGGATGAGTAGGCTGTCATCTGTGTCGTCTGCAGGTGCTGGAAGTTTCGTCAGAGGTGAGGGCTATGGTCGTTCGTCTTCCGCAAGAACTAGCTCAGTTTCTTCTCTTCCTACTCGCGAACGACGATGCGACCTTCTGTAAGATCGGGGTCCTTGGTAGAGTAAGTCTGAATAGAGGTTAAAAGATGCTGTAGAAAGGACATACACCTCTGGCTCATCGCAGTAATCAGAGAACATAAGAAACATAAGCTATCCCAAGATGGACGTCCGGTACACCTTCTGCTGATCGCATCCCCGCCGCCGTGCCAACGTCGGCGTGAGGATCGACGCCGGACGGTTATCCACCTCTGCAAGAGCATGTTGAACACGTGTTCCGATGGAACCAAGCATGCTGAAGGGAAAAATTGGTGATTTCAAGGGTGTTCCGGAAGCAATTCTGTGCACTGTTTTGGCCAGGGTTTTCGTCCGAAACATCACCAAAATTCCTCGGCATCTGTCACACTTCGTCATCATTTCTGTAGTACACTTCGGCAGACGTAGTTCTTGGCATGCAAATTCGGCTATGTACATCACGTGACACCCATTCGGTCATTTCGGTCGTCGTTTGGTCCTGCTCCACAAAAGGAAACCCCTTGGGATGGCGAAGCTGCCTGCTGAAGGGCAGTCGCACACCATCAGTTCCCGTGTCGTTGACACTGCCACTGGGTCGTCGTTGCACTCGCTCATAGGAGTCACCGTGCCACTCATTCATTTTCATTCCTCTTGACATCTTGAAGACCGTAGCTCTGCAATGAGGTCAGTATTAATCTTCGAATGTTATCTCACTGACGTACAGAATTAAAATGACTCTGTCTTCGTATCTTGTGAACGCCCTCGCAAATGTAATGGGGACAAGATATGAGTGGACAGAGGGTGCAGGTGACGAGGGCGAAGGCGAGGCGAGTAGGACCGCACAACGGCAGCGAGGGATGTCAGTGGAGATGAGGCAGGCCGAGAGTAGGACTGGTGGTGGGTGCAGACACGGAGCGGGTGCCAGCACAGACACTGTCAGCAGGGCGAGGAGAGTGGGGATGGAGTTGGCGAGGGCGAGCTGGTAGCGGCGGCAGAGGACGACGACAGCGATGGTGTGTTCGTCAAGGGCCCGTCGCGGCCGACGGCACCTTCTCTGGGTTCGACACTGTCCAGAAAATCCCTGAAATAGATATTTCGGCGCCGGGCTACGGCACGACAGCGGCAACGCCAACCTGTCGGGCACACGTCCACTCGCGTCAGCGAGGCAGATCCCGATAGCGTCGTCCTAGACACCCATACCACCCCTAGAACGAATGCCATCTGCCTAGTCGACCGACTGCAGCGCCACCCAGTCCTAAGTTATAGGGATCATCGCCTTTTCTCGTCTTGTCGACCATCTCAAGCGCAACATCTTGCAGTCACCCATCGTGCGTTGTACTCTGACGCTCGGATTCACTCCGGCTAATGCACTCGTGCTAGAGCAACGAAGCCTCAACGTTAGTGGCCGCGTCCGCGAGACAGGTTCATGACGACTTACATTGATGATTGAACGTGAATGCCGACCCATGTTAAGAACACCACAGACTTGTCCTCGCATTGTTTACTGACCAACTCTCAAAACCCTCTTCGCCATTGGGGTGTACGGCAGCAGCGAAACGGTCGAGGCGAGTGTCTGGGCCTTGGAAATATAGGCTACGAAGTGGGAAGGAGGCGTGCTGGCATCTTGGTGTTCGTGGTGGACTTGGAGTCGAGGGCAAGCCGCCACTTGCCTCTCCTGGACATCTAGGTCAGCATACGGCCATATAGCACGGGCCAAGGTGCTTGCTTTCACTTTCACGGATTGGTCCCGTGATCAAAGCATTGGCGAGCATTAATCGTTCAATGCAATTATGTACCAAGATCGAGACGGATGTAGAGGGTACGCTGACGATGGGCTGGGACGAGGGTTGAAGGCGACTCGGCGGCAGGAGAGAAACTGCGTGGAACAGCGTCATCGGAAGGTGCAAAAATACGGTTGTCGTAAATCGAGCTATGAATCCATTGTCGAACCTCCTGGGCTTTCCCAACTCGCGGAAGCTGTCAGAGTAGAGGAGGCCAAAGAAGTCAGAGAAGGGGTGTCCGGGGTGTGCGAGTGAGGCCCGCCGTCCTCTCGAGGCCTAACGCCAACCGTCTTCGGAACTCATTCTTCCACAAAATACGACGATGCAGCGACAAATCCACGCTCCTGGTTCAAGGATGACAACCGAGGATGTGAGCTAGCCTCCTGAACCGGAGGTAGATCGCGTTGATTGAGACCTCGTAGAAGGTAGGGCGATCGGTGGCGGAGATATGGGGGCTTGGCTTTTGAAGGAGTGATTGTCCGGTGCTGTGCTCAACTTTGTCGATGACAGCCTTGTTAATCACTGGAAGAGTAAACCTTGCGCGCAGAGATAGATGAAAAGAGTGGGATGAAGGGTTATTAGATGGTCTCGATGGTCTCCTTGCTGCTGATAGCGTTGTTACTTTCGGTGATGGATAAGGAGGTTGTCGTCCGCGTCGTCTGTAGATGCTATAGCTGGAGGTTGCCTCAGAAGCGAGCCATTGGCACTAGGCAGGCTATTCTTCTTGAAATTAGTGAAAGCTAATGTCGACGGTAGTTGGGAAACATGCGTCAGCGATGTTGCGTTGCTCGTCTTCCACGAGAACCAGCTGACTCCTTCTTTTCTTCCTGGTGGCCAACGGCGATGCGATCTCCTGTAAAATCGGGTTTCTAGACAAAGTAAGTCAGAATAAAAAAGTAAAAGATGCCGTAGAAAGGACACATACCTTTGGCTCATCAAAGTAATCAGAGAACGCAGGAAACCCAAGCTATCGCAATATCAACGGCTTGAACGTCCCGTAGTTCACAAGGCCAGCAACTCTATCCATCACATCCACGTTCTCCAGTCCTGGTGCACCTTCTACCGATCGCAACCCTGCCACCGTGCCAAAGTTAACGTGAGGATCGACGCTGAACACCTCACGCAGAGCGATGGGATCTAGCATGCTGCTGGGCAGTCGTACATCATTTATGCTGTTGATGAGGCTATGATCTTTTCTTGTTGTTAGTTCCACAACTATAAGGCTTGACTTGATTGACGGACGCACCCAGGTACGAAAGAACAGCTTACTTGTTTATTGCGAAACGACAGGATTTCGAGAGCCCGACCCGAGTGAGCTGGGCTCACTCGATCATGCCACGCGCGACGATGCTCGAACCAACCGCCGGTCGTGGTAGCTACTGCATCGACCATCCCACCCAGAAATGCCGTACTTCCAGAGGCTCCGATAGTTACAAGAGTCGCAGCTGGATCTGCACCAATAACAGAAGTCATGAGCCAGCCAAGAGCTCGATAAGGACACCACTTAAAGTGAAGAATTAGGAACCGAAGAAGCAAAGCCTTCGTCAACTCACCAATGGAGGCCAAACTAAACAACACGTATCGGCCGGACCGTCCCACCTGACGTACTTCTTCCACCAGCTACTGTTCCTCCGGCGTTTCCATCTTCCTGTATTTGCAGGGCTCCGCATCCCAAAGACCCTTCTCGGACGCGGCCTACTAAATAGCACTCTCGACTTGCGTGCCTCTTTCCTCTTAGATGGAAACCCCCTTCCTTGTGGCAGAGGATGGTTGACGAGAGCGTTTGATCCTTGCCTGCTTTTCTACCTGCCTCCTCGAGATCAAATGCCGGAATGGGGACGTTTGAGTGGCCATCAGCCCCAGCACGAGAGAAAAAGCAAGAAATCCAGCATTTGCTCTGTAGATGGATGCTCCAGTGGCAAATTTCAAGAAGGCTAGTATTTCTCATATCTTCCCCGTCCAAGCCGCTGAGAGAGGTGTCCTCTCACAGATAGTTGACGTATCCCGGGAGGAGGAAATATTGTAACAGGTGGCGTTTGGCAGGGCTTTCACAGTGCACACGCACACAGCGACGAAATTGAACTTCAGAACTTTCGATTGAATATCATCGATGTCACATGATCAGTTTTCAAACCTCAGTGGGCGCTTATTGAAGACTAAGCTGAACTTGGTCCACTAACCTATGATGCCTGCAGCTCACCGAACGGACACCACACTAACACAAAGGGTAACTCAAACACTCAAAGCATCACCATCTAAAGTGTTTCGGTCCGCATATAATTGTGCAGCCCGCCTTTTCGTTCTCCACGCCTTCAAGAACGACCTACCTGCACCTCCATACCCTAATCTCTTACAATCCAACGTATCTCCGACAGACCTCGAAGCTGTTAAAATTCATGAAGTCATCCATCAAGCAAGTGTTCGAAAAGCACTGCTTGAACGCAAATTGTCCAACGCTGGAAATGCCGCCCTGCGCCAAGTCGCAATCCGCCAACGGGTGAAGCTAATCGACGAGTTCATTTGCAAGCACCGCAGGATTATATCTCCTCTTCTACACCTCCCAGTCGACATCTTCCTCTACATATTTTCTTATCTTCAGCCACCGCTCGGCGAGGAGCGTCATAATACCAACAACGGCAGAGCTCGATGGACGATTTCGCACGTCTGCCGCTCCTGGAGAAGAATTGCTTTGCTTATGCCGACGCTTTGGAATACCCCTCCACCTATCGTTATTCACAAGTCAACGTCCCAACGTGAGGTCAAAGTCCAAGCTCATATTCTTAACGAGATGATACGACGCTCTCAGTCTGTGCCCCTCCAACTCGACATCACTGTATCTTCCTTAACGAGAGGGAGCGAGAACCCCATATTGCGAACCCTCGTGGAGCATGCAGAGTCCTGGGGTGACGTTCGTCTGAGTATATATGCTCATATCCTCGAGGCTTTCCACGGCATCAAAGGCCGTCTAACTAATTTGGAGGTTCTCGATCTAACCATTGCAAATTTGACTCCAGGAGAGTTTTCGTTCGACCTTTTCGAAACCGCACCAAAGCTCCATCAAGTGTCACTCTCCTGCTGGGAGGGCAGTACTGTCCACCTGCCTTTCTCCCAAATAAAGTGTTATACTGATTTCAGCAGCACGATGCTTTTCACGATGCTTTCATCAGCTGAATCGTTGACACATCTCTACATCGATTCCAGAACAGATGTCACCTTCCCTGGTCCACTGGTGCTTCCCTATCTCATCGAACTCCGCATTGATTGCGATGACGACATCACTCAGGCCCTCGAGCAGCTTAGCGTGCCACGGATAGAGAAGATCACTGTCCGCACGAGCCAGACTCCTCATTCTGCCAGTTCGCTCACTACGATGCTCTCCAATGCGTCTGCACCTTCTCCACTCAAATCCCTCCACTACCGTAACGGCGGCACAGATCCGGGGGATCTCATCTCTTTCTTTCGGATGACCCCAGAACTTGTATCCCTCGATATTCCCCTCCCCGCACCTACTATGATCTTGGCGCTTGCTGACGCGGCTGTCCTTCCACACCTAGAAAAATATACCTTCTACCTCCGGAATGCGGCAGATGCCAATCAATGCGCTGCCCTGAATCACCTCGCCTTTTCCCGCCGCCAGTGTGATAGGCCAGTGTCAGCAACCTTTAACTCTGGCATAGCTTCAGGTGAACCCAGCTCTTGTTTCAAGACGCTTTCCATCGTCTTTGATCCGAATTTTTGTTACTACTATGGCAATTACATATTACAAGCATCGTTAAACTGGGTGGGAGTCTCATTCTTACCTTCCACTACGGCATTTCAAGCGATGGTTAGGTGGCTTCTTGTTCAATCCGTCCGAATATACTTCCCATGCCACGTTCACCTGGAGGAAGTGGAACAAGCCATGTCGGTAATCGAGAGCCTGTGCGAAGGCGAAATAACCTACAAGATGACCATCGTTTGTACCCACTTCGTTTGTCCTTGTGGTTCAACTGACATTGGTTTATTGCAGGCCTCTGGTGTTCATCTTGTCCTGCGCAGCATCGCGCATTTTCCGCTATCTGAAGAAGCTGAATCCCAATACCATTTTCGCGCCCGAGCTCAGAGTCTCCTGGACGAATGGGAACCTATATTTCGGGACAATCTCGCGGATATCCGCTGGGTATTTCGCGGACCCAAGATGCTAACTTATGTTCCAGCTTCCGATGGTAGGGCTATCCCTTTTTATTAGTGAAAATGCTGATGACCTACGTCAGCCATCCGCGAGTCTCCTTCTGCTCTTGACTCGATCGTGTACGGATTCAACGAGAAAAGCGAAATCGATCCGAATTAATCGTGATCTGAAAGGTGTTGCTCGTACGAAGGTGGAAAGGTCATGAAGATTGCGTTGGGACTATAGTGATACATTGAATCTCGTAAACTCTCGTATGGCTCGTTTTCGACTCCTCAAGGAAGTCTTCTTTGCCGTTAGTCGTTGTAAATAAATAATCAGATCAGATGCAGAGAAGTGGATTCAGTGCGATCACTAGTGTGCCGAAATGAGATTAGAGAACATCTAGTATGTGTAAGACTCACGTTGTCCGAAGTAAGTGATATGAGCTGGATTGATGAACGTCGAGGCTGGAGTGAGAGAGGAATAAGGAACGATATTGACCGAATTCGGGAAGAGTACTTACGGATGGAGTCGCTGCAGGTGGGATCATCACCACCAGTGCACTTCTTGACGTTGGCAGGCCTAGCTGGGTCATTGAAATGCCAGTACTCGGTGCCGCTGGATCGAAGGTCAGGGCGAGGTTAAGGCAAGGAACAAATCTATCTCACAAATGACGGTAGCCAAGAGCCTTGAACAGGATTGTCGGGACGCCATCTGCAGCGAGCCATTTAAATAACCGTGGAACTTTGAGAACACCAAGAACTCACCATAAGTGTGGACAGCCCGGAAGATGTTAGCGGTGCCGATCTTGCTCTCGACATAAGAGGCAAATGCGGCGTTACCCACGCGCGGCTGACCAAATGTGTACAGCCTGAGATTCGCGTTTGGCAGCGCTGATTTGATCGAGATGGCCGCGAGCGACGCCACGGCGCCTCCGAGCGAGTGTCCTGTGGAGATGATTGTATACGAGGGATACTTCGCCGCTTGGTCTTTGATGATCCTCAGGACGTCGGAAGCGACAACGTTGTACGCGTATAAGAAACCCGTGTGGACGTAGGAATCCCCGACACTTGTGAGACCGGTTGAAACGAGAGGCCTCATGATGATCTGCAGATCTACAGAAATGGTAAGATGGAGACTCAAGAGTTCAGCAGAACGAAATACTCACCAACGAAGGCGTCCTTCAGTTCGAATGTCCCCCGGAAGGAGACGATGATTTCTTTCCGACTATCATCTCGAATCACGAATCCTTGAGTGCCGGACTTGTCGAACTAGAATCGAAATTCCCATGAGCCCGGGGTAAAATCCGAAAGAGATGTTTGCGATGCCAACCTTGTCCACCAACGTATTTCCGAGAGGCCTAGGGCATATCCACTGGTAAACCGCAGACGAGTACTTCGTGTGTCGTAACAGGTTATCGTACGTCGTCTGATCAATGCCATTTTGCCTCGATTCGAGCAGCGGCGACGCCAGAGCCGTCAACGAGCTGAAAGCCAGAGCACAATACGCAAGCGAAAAGAAGCGCATGACAGGATATTCGAAGCGTAGAGGCAAAGACACAGCTCGAAGGACGTCGACTCGTCAGGAGGATTCGAGAGGAAGGGCCACCTGGGGAAAAGCCATCTCGTCTGATCGTTTTTATTGTGCACTCCCTGCTCTGCTAAGGCGTCGAGTACCTGAAGATAAAACGCCAAGACATGGGAATCTGGGACGCCATGTGGGACTGCGGGGAAAGTCAAATACTTTACCCCGGATTCCGGGGTCGCTTGTTGATTGTGAACTCGAGTTGATCAGCGGGTTGCGGGGAGGTTGGAGCAGGTTTCGAGAGCTGTATGTTGCTGTTGTTAAGCCCTGCGATTGTTCCATAAGTTTATTGTCTATGTTCTGCTATAAATAGGGAGAAGAAACGAAGAACGGATATCTCGCCTTGCGACATTACTGAACTGACGCAAATCATGTAAATAAGCGCCAATGCTTGGAAAAATGACGGCCGCGGACAATGAAGCAGGTACGGCGGGGCACGAGGCAAATTTAAGCGTTTTGGTCTCGCAAAACCTTGAGCACCTTCGTCATACGGCGAGACACCATATGGGCGAACTGGTCACGGGTACGATCTAGCTTGTCCAATGTCGGACTCCAAAGCTCGTGAAAGTGCCCAAACGGCCCTGCTGACACTGGTTCAAGGAAGAGGAATGAATTCCACTGAGAAAGAGAGCGGGGTTCCGCCTTGGAGGAAGGTTGTCTGGCGCTCTCGGACGAGGAGGATGCAAAAAGGCTTACGCGTACGTTCGATATCAAGTGAGATCGCCTGCCAGTGTCTTCTATCAAGATGCATTGTTTCCCTCGGTGCCATATGCTTCACAGGTTTTCTGGGCGGATATTACTCATGCTCTATTCCCGGACGGGCAACGGCACCGCTATCGTCAAGTTGACAATTTCCCAGCGAAGGAAAAGGTTCGTCTCTTAGCTGGACTTTGTCAGACTTTTTGTTCAAAAGAACAGGGTGCCCGAACACAAACCAGGATACCATTCGTGTGAGAGGCCTTCTAGGGGCTTCTGTGAGTTTAAGAGATGTGAGAGTGGTTCTTGCAATGATGATCATGAACTCGCCGTAAGCACAATCTAAGTCCAATCTGAAAGTTGACTCGCGATGGCTATAATTTTCTGGGTTAAAAGAAGTCAGTCAGATGCTGCATGACACGCCCGATGTAGACGGGATTCTAATTGTTAAGAGTAAGATACGACGAATAAAAAAACTCACCTGGCGTGTGGTGGAGGTGAGAGCGGCAACGACGGCGCTGGCCGAAATCTCGGTACGTAACATAAGACGGCCCGACGGTGACCGTAGCTCATACAGGAAGGCCCCAGGCGCTATTTTGGACGAATGAGACGATAGGTTTCTGGATACACCTCGACCCTCAATCGGTTCTAACAACCGAACAACTAACACAGAAGCTTGGAGTACATATTCCCGAACAGCGGTTGGTTGTGACCTGTAGCTAAGAGTCTGATTCGCGTTTGTTCAGATATTCGCCAGGCGCTTCTGCGTAGAGAAAAGGTTCGAATCATTCGATAAATGATGTCCTGTTTTCTTGTATAAGACATAGTCTTTCTGATTCGTTTTGTGTGTGTATCCCATTCTCTATTACTATGCATATAACCCATCACAGGGCAGCAAAGGCGTTTTACACAAGGCCACATAGGACACGGCGAAGTTTCTATTTTACCGAAAAGAAGTACATGTGTGTTTTATACAGTGAAAATTTCAATACGTAAGTACCAAAACCGAAAACGCCTACAAAACCGCGCGCTGGAGACCAGCCTCGACGCCATCCCTCACAGCAAGCCATCCCATCAAGTCGCTTGTCAAGAACTCGCTCGGCCATGCCTTCCTCACCTGTCCCTTCAAATACTCGACGGCAATTTCGACGTTCTCCTGCTTGAGGCCGGCGACAATCTTGCCTAGGCGGGGTGCGATCTCCTTGATGAGCTCGTCGACATACTCAGCCGTGATGGGGCGGCCAGTGTCCGCGACGCGCAGACCGTAGTGTACCCACTGCCAGAGCTGCACGCGCGTGATCTCCGCCGTCGCCGCGTCCTCCATGAGGTAGTTGAGGGGGATGCACCCGTTCCCGCCCACCCATGCGGCGGTGTACGCCAGGCACGTCTCCACATTCTCGCGCACGCCCTCTGCTGTAATCTTGCCTGGGACGCTCGTGCTCAGCAGGTCGGCGGCAGTCGTCCGGACCTCGGTGCGAAGTTTGTAGTACTGGTTGGGCCCAAGCATGTGCTCGTCGAACACCTCGCGGGCGATCTTGTTGATGAGTGGGTGAGCGATCCAGGTACCGTCGTGTCCGGCGGTGACCTCGCGAAGTTTGTCGGCGCGGACCTTGTTCATCGCCACCTCGTTGGCGGCAGGGTCGTCTTTGATGGGGATCTGGGCAGACATGCCACCCATAGCAGCGACCTTTCGCCTGTACGAGGGTTAGTCGTGTCTCGAGTTCAGAAACGCGGTAACTCACTTATGGCAAGTCTGGATGAGGAGACGAACATAGGCGTCCATGAACGGAACGGTCATCGTGACATCCTTGCGGTCTGGCAGGACAGCGCTGCGATCGGCCCGGCGCTTTTTGATGAAGGAGAAGATGTAGTCCCATCTAAAAATAGCCACACAAAATAAGCGCCTGTCGATCCTCCTGAAACAGCACTCACCGTCCACAGTTAAGCCCAGAAGAGTGATTCCTGAGCTCGAACAGTATCTCCTCCATTTGGAAAGCAGCAGGGAGTGTCTCGATGAGGACGGTGGCGCGGATGGTGTTGTGGGGCATTCCGATGTAGGATTGGGAGAAGACGAAGACGTCATTCCAGAGGCGCGCTTCCAGGTAGTGCTCCATCTTGGGGAGATAGAAGTAGGGTCCGGATCCACGCTTCACCAGTTCCTTGGCGTTGTGGAAGAAGTATAGGCCGAAATCGAACAGCGAGCCGGAGACTGGCTGGTTGTCGATGCTGACGCGGGGTTCGTCGAGATGCCATCCTCGCGGGCTGAGGACAAGGTCAGAAGCGGTTAAGACACTAGTGAGACACCACGCACCGAACAATGAGCGCCGCCGGGTTCTCAGAGAGCTTGTACTTCTTTCCTCCCGTCTCAAAGTCAATCTGCCTCCTATAGCGTCGCGGAGGTTGATCTGGCCGTTGACCATGTTGGCGAACGTGGGCGAGCTCGAATCTGAGACACAATGTCAGACCCTGCCAGCTTATCGGCCACAACCACAGCACATGCCTTCGAAATCAGCCATGAACGTCTTCGCACCGCTGTTCAGCGCGTTGATGACCATCTTCCTGTCGGTGGGGCCGGTGATCTCGACGCGACGGTCCTCGAGACCTGGGGCGGGCGGCGCACAGTGCCATGACGGCTCAGCACGGATGTGGGCGGTCTCCGGGGGGAAGTCGAGGGGAACGCCAGAGTCGAATCGGCGCTGGGCGTCCTCTCGGGCGACGAGGAGCGACTGGCGGGTCGCCTCGAACGTCCGGTGCAGCGCTGCGAGGAATTTGAGTGCCTCGTCGGTGAACAGCTCGGCCTGTGCCTGGGCTGCGACTTTTGAGTGGATCTTCACGCCTTGTACCATGTTTTGCGTCGACGTATGTGGTGAGGAGATGGGTGCTTGTGGGATGGATAAGGGGGCGACCAGCGGAGGATATTTATTGCAGCCCGAATTTGGTCGGCTCCCCGTGATATCCGTCCCCGTTTGCCGAGCGGATCGACGTCACACTCCGGGGAACTCATTTCACATGGCATGGAAATGGAACTTTAGCCGACGACGGAGAAGACGCCTGCGATGCCTGTTGGTCGCTGTCAGCGCCGACGTCCAGGAGAGCCGGTCAGATGCGCCATCCATTTAAGCATGTCTAAATGGCGCGAAGAAAGACTTCACGATCTCGTTCAAATGTTGCGGCGTCCGGTGTATAGATAGGGCTATAGGAGAGGCTTGGACTCTCGAGTTCCTCAGCTCCTTATGTCGAATGGTTTGAACTCTGAAGCCGACTCAATTTACAAGCACCAGGCGACCGCAGACCACCTGGTCTTTTATCTTCAACGCTATCGCTAGCCTCAATACAACCCAGATTCCCTCGCGATGATTCCTACATGTCTATAGGAATCTCTGGCAATTTTCTATACTACTTGCCGATTTCCTTGGCCAATGCAGTACTTGAGCGCAGTGGGAAGTCCGCTGTCTGTCTCCAAAATTACCCGCATACCGACTGAAGAAGACCCGGACCTTCATCTCCTCAATGACCCTATTTGTGTCAAGTGTCTTTTCGAACCCTCCTTGCTATCAGGTTCTGCACTTATCTTTGACCCACTCTGTCACCGGCACGAATAGACGACCGATGATGCGAGGCATGTTCGAACGATCTCGAGCTATCTCAGTGTCGAAGTCAATCAGAACGATTCAACCGTATGCCGTGCCTCTCGTCTTAGCATGATTCCCCAGGCTGAAAGATGAAGAAGCTGACCGCCTGATCCCCCCGAGCTCCTGACGGCCCAACGGTCATCCCACCCAGAGGAATATCAATAAATACCCTCTAATGGTATAACAGAAAAAGATCCTCTTCCTTTGACTCGGTGGATGGCTCGGTGAATCCAAGCGAGGCGGCCAATCATAGCGTCGGTCGGGCGACGGAGCGACGGATCCAATCCCGTCTCAGCCTCTGTCGCAGTGCAATCGGCCCCTACGGAGCTTGGCGAAAGTGGGATACCGGCGGGGCGGAACGCTGGGCACCCGTCAGCGTGGCTCGGAAAGGGTGCGCCACACTCCAAATTTGAGGACGGAACTGTAGGCGCTGACGCTCATATGATGAGGTTTTCAGCTACGTGCCGCTCGGTCCTCGAGAGGCAAGGTCATCTTGGCTTTCTCCCTGATATTCGTTGAGAAAAAGAGACCTGTTACTAATGTAAAAATAATTCCCACTTTGCTTCAGCTGCCGATGTCACTACTAATGCTCACAAAGGGAAAACTGCTTGTACTCGAACGCATAACCGTGCTTGACCTGAATTCGCTTTCTTTCTTCCATCAGTTCCTTCCTGAGCTCCTTTGCCTCCTCCAAGCTAATCGGGAACCCGCCCTGGACCTCCCCAAACACCTCATCCTTCAACTCCTGTGGCAACCTATCCAACCCCGTACCAACCTCATTCAAGCGCCCAGCCCACCAATCCCTCTGCTGCGGGGGCACGTTTGCCGTGCTCAACACCCGAATGTGCGGGTCGACCAGGAACAGTGCAAGGATCTTTCTATGGCCTGGCTTGGATGCATCCTTCAGCCCGAACGGCTGCACCTGGTGCTGCAGGATGTTCGGGAAGGTGAGTAGGCGCCCCTCACGCGTGTGTACTCCACCGACGATTTGCACGCCCGGGTCGCCGTTCCTGCATCCATAAACGATCTCTAGAAAGTCGTGCTCGTCCTGCGCGTAGTTCGTGTACGTTACCCCCACTGCATCAGATTGCTGCCGGAAGGCGAGTGTGCTGTTAGCGGTGTTCTCGTTGGAATAGTAGTAGAGCGCTGTAGCGCAGATGTGCTCGTTCTGGGTGTTAGTTAGTGCGATTCTACGTACAAGCCGGCGACGGGGGTGGCCTACCAGCTGCCCTTCGACGTGCCAGGTCCCGCCAGCGTAATGATTATTATCAGGGGTCAGATGAATATTTGCGAGCTTCACGATGACCTGGAGTCCTTTCTCTCTAAACTGCTCTCGTAGATCCAGCTGAGGCGGGTCTGTTGGCGCGACGAACGTTCCTGGTTCCGGTCGTTCAACTTCTTCGCCTTCGTCAAGACTCGCGGAGTAATGGATGCGTGTGCGACGATTCCATTTGACCTCGACAGTGGGCGCGAGGCTCGTGTTCCAGAGCGGAATGGTAGCATCTATGACCTGCTCTATGAGCCCATAGAGCGCCTTATGCTTCTCTGGGTGGAGGTTATTGATGTAGCTGGTTATTCTGTGAAGTTGCAGTATTAGTTTAGAGGCGACGTGAAAGGTTGAATCTTACTTGGCCTTGTCCGAGGAAATATCGACTTCACATGGGAGCCATTGGAACTTCCGACTATATGTCTCCCCCAGGATCCTATATGGGAGGCTATCGCAGTGCGGTGGGGGCGGATCTACCTTACTTTCCTCTTCTGTAGGAACCGGGACCTCAATGCCCTCCCCACACCGCGCGATGCAATCCTCCAACGTCACGCGTCCTCTCTCCAGGACCCTCGATCGGCCATAAACAAGCGGGAAGAGCGATGGGTGCACGAGGTCAAGCACCATCCCATTTGAGCCTGGGTGCCAGTCTTTATCTTTCTCCGGGACGTCTTCCAGGGCTTTGACGGCGGCTTGAAGCTGGTGTTTGAACGACTCTGGGAGGGCAGAGTCGGATTTGACAACATCCCCAGTGTAGACGGAGACCGCGCCGGTCTGAGAGAAGATTGACGCTTTGTAGCGCAGTTCGTCAATGACCCAGTTCATCATCGCCTCTGTGATATCCTCGTTGGTGAGAGCGAGGGCTTCGGACTTCCATTTCTCTGCTACCGCCTCGTCGAACACCTGGAATATTGAAGTTGCGATCAGGATCCCGCTTGACTCCCAATTGCTCGAAGGCGTACCTTGATATTCCAGTTGGGCTTGTCGGTGATCTGGTTCATGATCTGGAGCATCTTGAATTCGCGAAGCGTCGTGAGCTCCAGTCTGGACTCGTTTGAGTATCGTCGTGGCATGCAGCAAGAAGATGAAGAGCCTACATCGTCCGAGATTGGTTCATGTCTGTCGGGTTCAGCACACTAGGAAACGGACGATCCTTCCCCTTTCCATCCGGGTAGTAGTTCATCGGTTGCCCAAACCCAGGCAAGTAGGTCTTCTCTCCTGGCACTGTCTCTGGGGCTGGAAATATGTTCGTGGAGGGCGATAGCATAGTTATCGACAGAGTTGCGATTCAAAGATCAGGGTGATCTGAGAGTGCGTTTGCAGTAGATGTGGTAATTGGGGGAGTTGAATAGCTTGAGCCAGTATCAGCTCATCTGGGGTCTACATCTTATATGACAGGACGTTGCTAACAGTGCGATTCATTGATCGGATTTATCGCGTCCAGAAAAGGAAAAAGGGCGGGGGCGGCACTGATGCCAAGGGGTCGGTGGGTCAAACCGAGGGCGCAAAAGAGTGCAAATGACTTGAAGGACGAGTGAAACCTATAAAAATTCGACTCGAATGTGGGAACTTTTACTTTCGCTGCCCATTATGACTCCAAGGGAGAGAGCAGCTGCAAGGTTCATATGCAACAAACGTACGCATAGAGGGGGGGGGATAATTAGGCTATGCAGACACAGATTACCTATTTACAATACTTATTAAACAGTCCCTACAAACAAGAACAACAGGTTCGTCTCACAGTGAATCTTATCCTCGTGCGATGGCACTGGACACCAGCGCGACGTATGTACTCGTAAAGTGTGATGCTCCCAAACGCGTCTACGTCCCATCTCCAGACTTCTCACCAAACCACTTAACAGCTACTTCTCCTTCTCCTTTTTCGTGGCATTCCTAGGTGTGTTGTTCGGTGTAGGTGCCAACGACGGCACGGCAACCTTTTCTGGCTGCGAAGCGCCTGCGCCGTAGAAGTCCTTCACGACTCGCTCGCCGACGACAATGACGCGCTTGCACGCCATTTGCCAGACGCCCACGCTGACAGAGCCTGTAAACAGTGGAAGTGAGAAATCAGCCTCCGAACATGATGCGGTAGGTTACACGGAATTGACAACGAAAATAAGGGAAGGATGGAACGACAGCGGAACAGGAACGAAAAAATAGACGCTCGAGAAATAGATAGATAAGTGCGGAGGCATTTTATTCCGCTCCGTAATCCGATGCATACACGCACAGAGCACGCGTTCTTTGAATCGAGAACGGATGCCTTTCCGGATACCGGGTTAACTTCCGTTGGACCATCAAATGCAAGATAAATGTAGTGCACATAGATGAAAGCGAAAAGAGGGAAACGAGTGACGAGTCACGTACCAGCAGGGGCGAATGGCAAGGCCAGCCACCAGGTGAGAGGGCCGAACCAGCCTTCAGGGAGGAAGAACACGGGCTGCTTCCTGTACCACCACCCGACGACGAACTGCAGCCCTGTCGTAAGAAGCCACAGGAGTGTGTTGAATTTCATTGAGAAGCCAGACTTGGAAGCGGCCACTTCCGCGTCTTCAAGATTCGTAGGGTAACGATTCGAATGGGGAGACAATTGGAATCGAACCAGAAGAAGATGAGAAGGAGAAAAAAGGAACAAATATCGACGTCAGCTCGACCATTCACAATAAATGAGACTCAAATACGGAATACGCACTCAACTTCTCCAAATCCGCCAACCCCTTATCCACGCTCCTCCGCAGCTTCGCCCATTTGGCGAACTGGTCCTGTGCGCTCGTCTTGAGCAGCTCCGCTTTCGTGGAGAGAATTTCAGTCTTGAGAGCGCGCTGGCGTGCGGCCAGCGGGGAGCGGGTGATCCGCAGGTAAATGTCGTATGCCTATCAGCAAAGTGTCGTCAGTCCTGGAATTATTTGATATCGTGGGGTATTTAAGGAGTAGGCTGGTGTATTTCGCCTCCGGTGAAGCAGTCATATAGAGGCGCTCTCCGATGACGCAGCGCCGCGTCAGAAGAAAGTGCAAGAAAGCCACGCACAATGTCTAGCAGTACAGATTTTCCAATCCATGTAATGAGCTGTGCGACGAATACCAGCAGAAATATCGTCAATAGTAATGACATGTTGGCTCCGCTTCTTCTTGTCGCGTTCCGTAGCCTAGTAGCCTGACGGGTTCAGCGTGCCGGTGAGGTGATTCACGATGGCGTGGGTGACTTACGACGCCTGGAATTGGCCTATTTAACGAGAAATAAGGCCGTAAACCGTCCGTAACGATACGGCGGGGTGGTGGTCGAAAAGAAAGGGGGACACGTAGGATGGAACGTCGAGATCGTCGCCAAAGTTGGACATCGTGGCAGCTGCATGAGTTGGCGCGCACGTGCTCACTCCGGCCTAGCAGAATCTGAATTGCACTTCGCAAAATCTCTGCGGTCTGAAAGTTCATTTCACTCGAATTTCGGCTTGAATTCATGAAGGAGATAGGCTAGGACGCAAATTCACACAGTCAAATCGAGGGGTAGCACCAAACGGTCAAGGGCTCGCAAACACATAGCAAAATCTCACTTCGCCGAAGCCTCACACCATCTGAAGACAATCGCAAGAATGATCACGTTCCTTTCGCTCTGGATGACGGGCGGTTGAGGCGCTGAGGGCTTCGAGGGAACGTTAGGACGATGGGGCGGCTTTGAACAGAACAACCCGATCGACTCCAATAAGCCACATAAAGTCCAACACTGCCCATGTCCTTAGGTAGCAGAGCAGAGCGAGATAAATCATATTGTTGCATGTGCCATAGAAAATGCGTATACCATGGTGGTGAAGGCGTGGATGGATGGTAATCGGACTATGATGCCCTCCGCTTGCGATCATTTTCTTCTTCGTGCTGCTGCCGCCCTCTTCACTCTCGTGCTCTGACCTCGCACCACGTTCTCTTCCCTCTAAGCTGAATACAGAATCGACATGGAAGGGAAGATTTAGATGTTGAGCTTGGTCCTTCTCCAGTGACGGCGCTTGGCGTTGTACTGTTATTCGCGCAGGGCGTTCAGAATAGGTTCGAGATAATAGAACGTAAGAACGTACCTGGATCTTAGTGTCCGTCTTCAGACGGAACCACTGAGGAATGGGCCTGTGCACAGCGAACACCTTCATCAATACCCCTCCTTGTCTCCCAACCCTCAACAAACGCACCTGTTTTGCCGGCTAGCCTTGGCGAGGATGCGTTTTGTGCGGAAGGTCTTTTGAGAAGGCTAGAGGATCAAGAAACAGACGCTCAGCATGCATCCAAGACTACAAGGCCATCAGGGAGCTCACCATTGTTGTCGACGACGAACGGACGGGGTCGTTGCGGTGGGTGTTTGTGTCGTAGGAGAAATAAGGTTTGCGCCGTGTCTCAACTGTATAGCTATTCCCGATTTACGCTTTCTTCCGAATGCCGAAAATGTGCCGAGAGGCAAGGAGTCTGGGATCACGTGTCTCGACACGTCGAAAGCGTCGCGTGTCAATTTGAATTTCTCTACCTTAATCGAAACCACAACAACTACGACACCATGAAAGTTCTCAGCTGGATTTCCTACGCCCTCTTTGCCGCTGTTGCGGTTGTCGCTGAAGAGAAGGTCCCGCCCACGGAGCTCCAGATTGAGACCACTTTCTTACCGGAGGATTGCCCGAACAAGGCTCAGAAGGGGGATCATGTTGAGGTTCACTATGTGAGTACCGGAGATCATTTAATTCAGACTTACGCTGAGGGCTCTTGTATGTGTAGACTGGAACTCTGTTCTCGAACGGAAACAAGTTCGACTCAAGGTACTTAAATTCTTGACTAACTTTCCGAGAGAAAGAGCTTGACAAAATCCAGTCTTGACCGTGGCCAACCCCTTCCTTTGACGCGTAAGCCCTCCCCTTATTTGTCTTACATTTATATTCAATCCTCTTCTGCCAACAGTCGGTGTCGGTCAAGTCATCCAAGGATGGGACCAGGGTCTGCAGGGAATGTGCTTGAACGAGAAGCGGACGTTGACCATTCCTTCCAACATGGCTTACGGTGCGTATAATTCTCGCTTTCATGTGGTTCCTCTTGTTCATTTTTGTTGGTGCCAGGCTCTCGCGGTGCCGGTGGTGTCATTCCACCCAACGCCGCTCTCGTCTTCACCGTCGAGTTGGTCGGCCTCACACCCACTGCCCGCGACCGTGAAGAGCTGTAGTTGCCTGGTTCTACTTCAAGACCTACGATTAAATGTGATTATTACCTGCTCCGAGTGCAAACAAAGACGGCCAAAAAGATTTTGGTTACCGCCTGGCACAAGCCGGTATGGGAGACCTTTACCTCCCAGTAGAGAACCTTGTCGACATGCCAGAGTAATTTTGAACGTCGAACGTGGCTTGCATGAGGCTAGCAGTGGCCCTTTACATCAGGCTTCTCTTTCAGTTCCGACGCAGAAGGATCGACTAACTATAGCCGGGAATTTTCCGTGGACCTGATGCGCCACATCGACACGAACCACGACCATGAAAGTTCTGAGCTGGCTATCTTTCGCCCTCTTTTCCATAGTTTCTGTAAGCGCACACGAGGAGCCGCAGGAGCTCAAGGTCGAGACGACCTTTATGCCTTCAGAGTGTCTACACAAGGCACGAAAAGGGGACCAATTGAAGGTTCACTATGTGAGTCCATGCCGACCTGGTCTGGTTACTCCGAAGGCAGGGCTAAACAACGTCTAGACCGGGACTCTGTTCTCTAACGGGAACAAGTTTGACTCGAGGTACCATAAGCCGTGATTTTTACGCTGTGTGCAATGATTTAAATTTCTTTACAGCCTTGACCGTGGTCAACCATTCACCTTGACTCGTGAGTGTCTTGACATTTTCCCCAGGGATGTTAAACCTGATTTATGACAGTCGGCGCTGGGCAAGTCATCCAAGGATGGGACGAAGGCCTTCAAAGCATGTGCTTGAGCGAGCAACGCACTCTGACCATCCCCTCTCCCATGGGCTATGGTAAGGCGCCCCATTCGTAAACTTGCGCTGTCGGGCTTTTTCAAATATATTATTCTCCAGGACCATACGGCTTCGGTAACATTATCCCGCCGAATGCTGGCCTCGTTTTCACCGTTGAGCTCGTCGGCCTTGAACCATCAGCAGGAGCGGATGAACGGGAAGAGCTGTAATGTGCATTCAATGTATTCTACATGATTTAGCTACATACCAGTGCAGCCATTCGGACTCACATGGACACTTACAAGCATAGCAGTGTCTATGACGCTAAATTCTGAACAGCGTGGCTAATACGACGAAGGAACAAAATGACGCGGTGGTGAGCGCGCTGGTCAGCGCTGGGATAGGTGCCCTCCGAATCCGAGTCTTTGTGGGCGGAGCCATTGCCACATCGAAGGCAAACTTCACAGATGGTACCTCAAGGCCTTTCCATCCCTCGCCAAAAAACATTTGTAGAGAGTCCGGGGATTCTCGAAACGCTAATCGAATATTCATCAGTCCGATTATAAGAAATCGCTGAACACGGGATGAATATGAAAACGCACGGTCGTGTTTGGGAACGTAGACTAGCGAGTTGGAGTAGGCGAGCGAGTTGCCGGTTATGCGCCACCGACGGCGGGGAGCCTCAAGCAGGAGATCGGGGATCCACGACTCGAGGAGGGCGCGAGCCCGTTGGGGAAATTTGTGCTCGTTGACGGCGATGTTGACACCGTTCACAGTGGCAATACGGTACAAGTCGGTGGGAATACCACACGTCTGCAAGGATCTCGAAATTAGCAAAGAACGTAACTTGTTGACACTCCAGGAGCGAATGATGTACCAGGAAGTGCTTTACATAACCCTTGTTTGTTGTAGCGATGTGTTCCAAGTCGTCAAAGGCCTGACGAACCGCTTTCCAATCCCGCGGCTGCGCCACTTCTGAGAGCGGTGAGGTTTGTGCGTCTAGGATTTGTTCCCGCAGGATACTACCTATCCGCGGAAGAGTCCATATATCGCTCAGTGGGATGCCGGAAAAAGCTTCCATTCGCCCATGATTCAGAACTTCGAAGAAATGACATCTTCGAACACTCGTTTTCGGATGGTTCAAATGGAGTTCAAAGTGCTTTATCATCGGACTAGCCGGCGATGCGCTCGGCTCCCCATCGAGCTCGCAGCGGTGTTCTGCAAGCATGTAGATATATGTGATTCGATCTCGGATGGTTTCTGCATCGACATCCAGAACGATTTTCTCGAGGCGAGGAGCGAATGTGGTCCCTCGTTTATTCAACGTGATGAGATCGATTTCCGGAGGAAATGGTATACGCAATGATCTGAGACGGGACAATACGAACAGCAGGGAAGCAAGCTCCTCTGGTTGGAGTTTGCAGCTGTAAATAGACATTCGCTCCAGCTTGCTGTTGGGGAATAATCCGATATTCATCCTTGTGAAGGAGTCCAGAAGGCCAGCCGGAGGTTTGGTGAGCGACACTGATCTTAATGAGGGCAGTATTAGCCGGTCAAAAAGACAATTCGCGAAGGCTTGATCAGCAAAGGATATTTGAAGTGATTGGAGGGTAAACAACGTGCCCTGGGGCATCGTCTCCTTGAGATCCAGTGCGCGAAGGTCCAAGGAAACAAGGCGACTCGTAAGTGCAAGGACGTAGTGTGCTCGGGAGATCCCTGATTTGTCGTGTCTGAAGGAGAGTAGCTGCGACCAAGGAATAACTACTTTTGAGGATGGGGAGCTTTTCATAACGACTTCGGAAAGCTGAGGCGCGTTGTAGAAGGTGAGATCTGGAGAATGAGCATATACGACTGGCGGGATGGCTGGGAGAACATCGAGCTCGAGATATCGGAGAGATGATAATCGATTGGTCGCTTTGTTTAGGGCGTTGAGGAGAGAAGTGTTGCCCTTGATGGCTAGCATCCTCCAACGTTCTGAATGGGCGACAAGGGCACCAACGATGCGGCTCTCGTGGACTTGGTTGAAGAGGCTGTCAATGGAGATGTAGAGGGGGGGCTTCACGAGATCGATCGAGTAGGGTGTGGATCATTTGCTCAACCGACGCTGGATTTCGACGCTTCTTCCATAGACAGACGGATATCTGACCCCACAGGAAGGGTACGGAGAGTGCGATGTCATACCACCCTCGACAGACATGAGAAAGAGCCCATGCCTCGGGAGTCGTGGTTTCTGATCGAAGTATTTGCCGGGGCTGGACGACGATGTAAAATATTTCTTGCAGAAGTTCCACAGGAAGGCGAGAGATTCTGTTGTCGCTTTCAACGGGTTCCACCTCTGAAGACGCATGGTCGCCTTCAGCTCCCAGATGTTCCGAGCTGTCGTTGGATTGGGAGATGTCTTCGTCCTCCCCGTTGTCGCGTGTCCGAACTGGTTGCAACAGAGTTGTCGCCGTCTGGCGGGTTTGAAGGTTAATAGTCAGAGAACATGGCTATTCGAACACATACCGACAACATCCTACACGGCGTATGGCTCAAATTTAAGTCGATTCGATATCCCGCGGTTGATATTACCAGTGTGTAAGGAAGCAAGAGAGCACGATGATTCGAATCCTGGCGCTGGGCTCATGTCGATCAAGGTCCGGTCGGGCCGGGTCTGGTTTTCCACATAATTTGAGGTAAAGCACACGGCTCAAAAACCGACAATTGCCTTGAACGCTTCATAACACCTTAGAATTTCCTTCCTGGCATCTAAAGGTTCCATCCCCTCGCTCCAACGATGACCCGGCCGCGATACGGCAGGTCGATGCCTGGATACTCGGGCTCTCATGCAAGGATACAACCCATGACGGATGGAGTGTTCGAGTTCAGAGTTGACATAGATTTTGTAGAAAGTCGGAGTCGTTCCAGCTACGACAATCCCGGGGATAAAATGCTGCCAAATTACATAGTGAAGGTGATTCAGTGGAAAGATGTCACAAAACGGACCTTTGAATCACGCGAAGGGAGGCCGGCTTCAATTCGACGACGCTTATTCTGAGAGAAAGTCGCGATGGCTGCGCCGATGAGCTGTGCTTGCGGATCACTACTCGCACTTTCGCCCTGGCCGAACCGTCTGTCCTCCTGGACCAGCAGCATGATATCATCTTGGTCACCGCGATCCATAACGCAGACATCCGCTTTGGCGTGTCGCCATTCCCCGCAGATGAGCAAAGGAATGTTTTTGCGCGTCCGAGCAACACGATGCCGCTTCGCATATCCCAATGTCTTCAAGAGCTCGGTAGTAAAATCCACAACCGCAGAGTCCTCGGAAGATGGAACCATCACGAGGTCGAGTAGGTTGATTAGCTCTGCGTTGTTGTCGTTCACCATGTCTTCTGCTTTTTGATAGTCTAGGAGCTCCTGCTGCACATGAGGCTCTGGCAGGACGGCCTGACCGAAGAAGGTGGCTGCATCTTCTGAAACAACGACAATGTCATATGCATCGAGATCTGCTTCTGTCCAGTCGCTCCATGACTCTGCAGAGCGCCTGAGGTTCGCCATAATTTGTTTAACCTGCTTCATTGTAAGAGTCACTGCCACACCAGCCAATGAACGGCTACTACACCTGCGCGGCCCCTTCAGAGTGAGAGTGGAACTGGAGTGGTTGTGACTCGGAAGGAAGATAAGTACCACCGGAAGCTCCCGAGTTTACTCTCGCCCTGAGCGCTTGAGCCCCTGACCCGGACCGGAGCATGCCTGAAAAAGGTGGCGGACACGCAATTTCCTTGGAGGTGCGTAGCGGCGGCCATGCAATCTGGATCGCTGAAGGACGTCAACATTATACAAGATAGGGTCAGTATCGGCGAGAGTTGATCGTGCAGCCCTCGTAGCAAGTGTTGATCAAAAATGGATTTTTTGTTGCGCCAGCCCCCGCGGTGTCTGTGTTGGCCGACGTCAAGGTTGAGGCCAGAGGTTAAGCAACGGCAGAGCTTCTAACCAACGGCGTTTGAGTGTACGATGCGAATGCTCTGCAACCTTGAGGACACAGTGCTCGATGGATCCTGTCTTCGTCGCGGACAATAACAAGACCGGTATTGTTACGTGCGATCCTCTAGAGCTCTAGTACTTACAGTTGCCTAGGACTCGAGACGTTCAACAGATTGAGCACACACATTACCCAAGCACTCGGTGCTACCGAGGGTCACAGCGAATGAACTCTGACTGTTTTACGAACTCGTATACAGTGTGCCCAAGACTACGAATGAAGCAAACGCAATGGTCAGGATGTTGGGCCGCGGTAGTGAGAATTTAGAGCTTGACTCCGGGACGCCTGCCGCCTTCGGTGCTTCCTTATTACCTCTCCACTGATCGCCGAAGATCATCTGCAAGGCATCTGGGGACCTTCTGAATGCTAAAAAACCGAGAAACATCAGACCGAAAAGCAATAAAGGCGAAGGACAAGGAAGGAATGACGTACGATCATGTCGAGGGACATAGACGACCGAGTTTGCCTTCAAGCGCCACGAGCGGTTGGGCAGTTCGGCGGTGAACATTGGGATCCATGACTGAACGAGGGTGCGAGCTGTTCGTCTCACACGAAGCTCCTTTTCGACAGGGTGCTTCCTGTCTAACATGGAAAGGTAGTACAGCGGGTGATAAATACCAGATCTCTGCAAGGGATGCGTTATTTTAGGCGAGAACTGTCCTGGGGGAAGACGGCGCACCAGGACTAATTGGAAGTCAAACTCCTTCAAGGTGGATAGCACAGCAGAGCTCATGAGTGTCTTAAATTCGCGCTTCTTGTCCGGGTCCTTGCAGTTGACCAGGTAGTCTTCTGTGTGGTCTAGTAGGCACTTCCACCATTGGAGAACCTGAGCGTCGTCTGCGCTCTTCTCGGATTGCGTTTGGTGAGAGGGTGTTGGAACTTTGACTGCTTCCAGTACTTCCAGATTCTTGTAACGCGATTCTTCATTATGAAAGTGGACCTCGAAATTCTTCATGACACGGCAGTTCGTCTGCTCTGGTATTTCGCACCGAGACGTAGCGAGCCAGTTGATGAACGGCGCGGAGTTCTCAATGTCGTACCCACAGTCGAAGATTAGTTCCTCGAGGAGTGGCAGAAAAGTTAGCGGGGATTGCTCGAGGAATGAAATAAAGTCTGCTCGGGACGGGCATGGCACTCGCAAGGATAGAAGATGAGGTGTAGCTGTGATGAGAGCCATCAGCTCGTTGGGTTGGAATTGATACTCGACAATAGAGAGTTGCTGCAACCTGCACGGATGGGTAGACCGTATAGTATATGTCATGAAGGAGTGCAAGAAGTTGGGGGGAGGTTTGTCGACCGAAAATGATCTCAAGGCGGGTAATGATAGGTTCTCGAAAAGATCCCGTGTGATCGCTTCAGGTTTGAAAGAGAGGTGAAGTGACTGGAGAAGGGGAAGAAGGGTGCACCTGGGTATTGGATCCAAGCCCTGGAGGTCGAATGAACGGAGATCTAGGGAGACGAGTTGATCGGCGGAGTCGAGCAGATCGTGCAATGGATTAGGGCCTCCGCCATGTCTGAATGACACTATCTGGGTGAAAGGAAGAGTGAGTATCGGGCCGCTATGGATGATCACCTCACGCAACCGCGGCGCAATCTCAAACAGACAATATGGGGTCTTCGAGGCGGTGGGGGTCTGCGCATGGCGAATATCGATCTCGAGATACTGAAGAGAAGATAGATGATCGCTAATACTGTTCAGGGCGATAAGAAGAGGAGGTGAACCTTGTATGACAACCATCCTCCAACGGTCTGAATGAGCCACGAGTGCATCCAAGATGGGATGCTCGTACATTTGGTCAGAAGAGGTGTCGATGAGCAGATACAGGTCGGCATCCCGGGATCGCTTGAGCAACGTATGCACCATTTGCTCAAACAGCACCGGATTGCGGCGCTTCTGCCACAGATGAACTGTTATCTGGCCCCACAGAGGAGCAGAGCACAGAGCGATGTTCGCCCATTCCCGAGAAACGTGTGAGAGGGCCCATGCTTCGGAAACGACTTCTGTTCGAAGTATGCGGTGGGGTTGGACGACGATGGAGAATATTTCCTGCATCACTTCCACGGGAAGCCGAGAGATTCCGGCTGACTTCGGAGGGTGTCGTTCATTGCCAGGCGTTTGAGTCGTCTTTCTGGATGTCTTCACCTCCTGAGACGTCGACTTCCTCCTTTGAATCCTGTCTGGTCCTGTTTCTTGCAGAGATGACGGCATGGACGGAGGTCGCGCGAAAGTGAAGAGCTGATAGTTTAAACATCAGGGACAGCTATGAACATGAACACCTAGGGACGTACTGTGCGTAGCATTGTTAATGATAGTCTACGTGGCTACTGGCTTCGAGGCCGTGCCATTACATTTATGTAGTGGAAGGAGTTGAAATGTCGGACGGTACTGTTCGGAGTATGAGGCCAGCAGACGTACGTGAGAAACTTGTGAGAAACTCGAGAGAAAAGGAACATACTTAAGAAAACAACACTTAGCCTCGACTAAGAGAGGTGCAAATTCAAATAATGATACTGCGACTCGCGATGCGAAGCTTATACATTTATGACTCATGGTGGGCGTAGAAGAACCTGCAAAGAAGTAACATGGGCCGCCTTTGGCGTGCAGGGTCAAGTTGAACCGGCTCTTCCGCTGTTGTGAACGTCCCAAAAAGTGAAGCCGGGACAATCAAGTAGAACACCCCTTCCTGCCTCCACGAATCATGGCCAACCTCACAGCAGCCCTCCTGGGCGCCTTACAATCCCTCCTGTTTGATACGACTTGCTGGATTCTCTGGAGGACACACCTGCAATGCGCAGTGCAGGATGGGTTAGTGTTGTTGTCTGAGGCACTGCCGTGTCGTTTGGGTTATCTGGGGATGCCACATTGGGTCTACGCCCGACTGAACGCCATTCATCCACTCTTGTGCGCTGTGTTTGTCGGAGTGGGATTCTGAGAGCCGCTAGACTGTCCAGGTCTATATGGTCAAATCAGCGAGGTCTATACTGTGCGGAATTGGTGGGGGTAGGTCACACATTTGATGCTATCGACGGGGTAGATTGTTTCTAACGCACAAATTTTGATGCAGGAAATTCTGGCATCCAACTCTGCGAAGGATATGTTATTTCCAAATTTTGAAGAGGTACTACTCACCCTATCACGTCCACTCCCAGCTGCTCGTAGCACACGGCAAGTTTGTGGCACGAGTTCTGAAGGTCCCATCGAGGTTTGCCCCAACGCTGCACGTTGTTTTTCTGTTGAACGGTCTCATACATTATGCGGGCGGTTACAATGCACTAGGACATTGGGGCGGAGGGTATCTTCTTTTCGTGTCAAGGGTCTGTGATCGCTCTTGAAGACTTTGTCCTGTGTAGCGCCGGTGATATGGGTCTGAAGTCTTCAGCCTTTTGGAAAGTGATAGGATTCGTTTGGGTATTCGGGTGGTTCTTGGTTTCGTTTCCTTTGGCTGCTGAGCCATTGTTCAAACCTGGTGGGTTCGTGAATGTCATGGACAACACCGTGGTGCTCCGACACTTTCGATAAATCCTCGCTACCTAGTATACAAGCAGAATCTAGAAACGATTAGCGTCGTAGGTTCATCATAATAGAAGAAGAGCGCATACAATATCCAAAATATTACTTCGGTGGCGCCTGGCTCGAGCTCGCCTTCAACCTCTCGTTGACCAGCTCGCTGAATTCCTCCCTCAGAATCGCCTCTCGTCTCGCCTTCTCCTCCTTCTGCAGTTTGAGTATACCCCTCTTCTCCTCCGCGCTGATGACCTGGTTTTCCTTCCTCATACGCACCGCATTCATCCTCCTATGCCTGCTTCCACTCATAACATAACCAACATCCTCGAACTGGGCAATCTCATCCGACGTTAGGCCAATTTCACCACGGCGCGGAATACGCGTCTCTGTGCCGTCCTGCAAGAACGCCGCCATCGCACTGCCTTCTCCGCGGAGAAGGGCACCACCGTAGGCACGCTCGTCGATCTTCTTGGTGGTGTTTTTGACGACAATGGGCTTAGGGCCCACTTCGTCCCCTGAGTCGTCATCATCCACCTTCGATGAATGACGGGATTTCTTCGTGGAAGGGTGGGCATGCTTATCGACGACCATGCGAGCCGGGCTGGCACTGCGACTGGGGCTGGGGCTAGGGCTGAGAGAGACTGGAAGGGCACTCTTGCTTCGACTTTGACTGCGATGTCGATGATGCCTCTCGCGGTCATCCTCGCGGTCATCCTCCTCGTGATGACGACTGCGTTTCTTGTCTCTCCTCTCTTCCTTCTGCTTCCTCTGGGCACGTTTCCGTTCTTTCCGGTCTCGGCACCTCCTCTCCTCTTCCGAGTCATCTGATGAGCTTGGTGATGAAGACCTTTGCCGCTTTGACTTTCTGCTGGACTTTTTGCTTCTCTTCGGAGACCTGGTGAGAGTAAAACTTCAGAGTCTGAGCATAGGTAGAAGGAAGTCGTACAGTTCTCGAGCCGGTTCCTTCGGTGACGCTGGCCAAGGGTTGACTATTCGATTTTCTCGTTGAATACGCCGGCTAAGAAGAAATGTAAGTCTCAAAACATAGAAGCGGATAGAGAGACATACTCTTCTAAGAAATCGGCTCCGCCGCCCTGATAGTACGGGCGTATAGAGTAAGTATCAAGCGGCTTCCATGTTGCCGGTGCATCTCCTCCCGAGGGTGGAGGAGGCCGCCTGTAGTCATCGTATTCCGGACTCGCTCTGCGAGGTTCGGAGGCACGATGGTCGTCGCGGCCTCGTTCCCTGCTGTTTTCCCTCCCATTACGTCGGTTACGATCGTAGCCCGAGTCTCTCCCCCTTCCTCCATCCCTTCCTCCATCCATGTATCTTTCCCTGCTCCTATTCCGCCGAGGAGAAGGGCTGCGACGAGACCTCCGAGGTGATGGCGAGCGATTCCTTCTTCTGTCTCTGTCGTTCCGTGTTTCCCGCATATCTTGTGGGATAAGAGCCATACGTGACGGGTGCACGGTCGCCATTCTGGTAGATATAGGTTTCGGAGAATGAAGGGCTTATAGGCGGTTGGAGCTGGATTGAGGTCCTGTTGGTTATGTTACTCGAGAGGAGGATGCTGGTAGCCGTAACTTAAATCTCCGCCTTAAACTGCCATGAAGTCTTCTTGCCCAAAGGCTAGTCAGAAATGTGAGGCACTCTGGAATCACTACAGAAGTTATTGAAGTTACCTCTAGCGGAGCTTGAATTGTGCCTTCAACCACCATCGACCTTTCCATCACGACTCCAGACTGCTCAAGGACATGCTGCCCGGGAGTGAAAGCATCTGACTGTCGCCCCAGATGCTTGGAATACCCTTCGAGATGTTGGAATGTATTTCGCCACTGTTGAGACCACTACTGCTAGTTGATGGAGGATCTGTGCGACTTGGAAAGTGGCGGAGTGAAGTCCCGTTATGGGGGCATCTGGTATCGGGGATGAAGGACGAGGGTGTGGATTTTATCTAGGTGCGTATCATGAACCGCTCTTTGACCCCGTACAAATTCATTTTTCTGCTCAAGGTTATTTTTAGTGTTTATTGACCATATGGCAATTCAACGCGTGCTCGTTTGCACTATCAATGACAATAGCTCGTTCTTTCAGGAACTTATATTGGATCCCCGGACTTTGTTTGTCGCGCCGCCATACCCGACGACGACCAGGCTCCAGTCATCACTGGTATTGATACCAGGTACCTGCCGATACGTGTTTTTTTTGGACACTCACCTTCGGGCTCCTTCGAGCGCGGTGTGTCCCAACCTTATCCTCTTCTTACAATGGGGGGGGGGGGGGGGGGGGTTGGCACGTTTGTATACGAAAACGATGTACCATTCTCTCTTTTTAACCCTCGCACAGGGCAAGTTGCTGTCTCCCTTGTTTATACCCCCCCATCCCAACTGAACTTCTCTTCTGGCGTCCAGATGGGGTCCGCAAGACAGCCGATTTCTCCCGTTTGCTGTAGCCTGTCTAACTTTCGTTGTGCAGCTGGTGTACGTTCTCGCGCACCTGCGGAAAACATGCTTCAGAATCACCCGAACTATACAAGGGAGCGAAGGGAACAACCACAACGAACCTGACGCCATCCTGGCAGGGCCTTTCGGTGTTGACTCGAAGTTTGCGATTCTAGTAGCTTCGCATGGAGGGAAGACGAGGTTCGGGTTCATGGTGGCACGCTTTGTTGGGTGTATTGCCCTTCTATCCCTTTCAATTGTCACGCTGCAAGATTGTCAGTTCCAAGCAAACCCGTGGCGCGATGGTGGCAGTCTCGAGAGATGTCCTGAAGCATACATGACGGTTACATACGTAGGTGCATTCTCTCTTCAAGACGCTCAAATATGATGACTACTTCCGTTCTCGCAGTCGTATATCAGCTTTTTATCCTTCTTGGCTATTGTTTCCCGGCGTTGGTCTGTGTTATCAGCGCGGTGCAGCATCATCATCTTGCTTGCATCGTTCGGGGTGTACACCTATCGCGATATCTAGCCTCTTGCTACGGAAACACAACAACCCGAAGATCGTGCTGAAGGTTGGCTTCTCTGGGCCAAGTTTTCAGTTCTACTGACAACCGCTGTCATCGTTCCTCTCTTTATACCGCGCCAATATGTACCAATTGACCCTAGAGTGGGTTTTCCTGAAGGCTTTCTTAGTTAGATCACGTCTAATTTTCTGCAGGATCCGATGCCGGAGCCTAATCCAGAACAGACAACATCCATCTTTTCGTTGATGACATACATCTTCAAGGACGACATTATTCACAAAGGGTACATAGTACCTCATTTGACTGTCGAACAGCTGCCTCCTCTCACGGATTATGATCGAGCATCGGTCTTGACGGGTCGGGCCATTCCTGTATGTCATAATTGGCGAGGATTCTGGACGGCATCATGGTCCTGACATAAAACTGTGCTACAGCATATGGATGTTTTTATGGGAGCAAAGCGGCGGGATTTATTCTTTTCCTTGATGGGCGTCTTTCGTAAGTCAAGGCGGTATTGTATGTTTGTGTTTTCGTTACTTATGTTATTTACAGATAAGGCATACTCTCTTCTCGCATTAATGGTGGCCGTCCAGTCGCTATGCAGCTTTGCGTCACCTATAGGAATAAATCGAATTCTTCGGTGCGTCTCTGTCGCTCTGTTTTGAGGTTTTATCCTGGAACTCAGACCACACGCTGCAGATACCTAGAGACCGACGGCGCCGATGCAGAAATCCATCCATGGTTCTGGATATCAGGGTGCAGACCGTCAGTGAGGCGTCGAACGTTCTTCGTATGATCAAATTATTTGCATGGGAAGAAAAGGTCAAGGAACGTATCAACATGAAAAGGAGGAGGAGCTTGGTTGGCTCTGGAAGGTCAAGCTCTACGATGTTGTGACCAACTTGTTAAGGTAGTATTTTTCCCTTTCACGAAAGCTTCATCCATCACTGACATTAGATGATAGCTACTCCATCCCTGCGTTTACTATGGTGGCTACATATGGGACTTATACCCTTATCATGAAGCAAGAGCTCGCTCGTATGTCTTCATTATGATGATTCCCTCCGTTTCCTTAGACCTTGTTCGGTACAGCGTCTACGATCTTCTCCAGCATGGCTGTCTTTGGGATCATGCGAGAGCAATTTCAAAGGACTGTCTATCATGTATCAATCCTTATCCGAGGTCTGGCGGTTTTACGTGGTCTTGTGAGTTTCTACTCATTGACCTTCGTTGTCCAGGCAAGGTGTCTCTAGACCGCATGAGCGACTTTCTTCAGCATACCGAACTACTAGATGCTTTCAGCAAGAATGACCTGGCGTCGGATGTTCCAGCTGTTGCTCCGAGCAATGATCTGGTTGGCTTCAAGGATGCGATGTTCACTTGGTCGAAGGAGGGCAAAGAAGATTTGAGTGGCTCTGGTCGCCCGTATAAACTTCAAGTGAAAGGAGAACTTATCTTTAAAAAGGATTTATCAATCTGATCATCGGTCCAACGTGAGTACCCTTTTTCGGAGGAAAGGAATTATTGGTCTAAAAATTCTTCAGCGGCTCGGGAAAGACATCCATCTTGATGGCGCTGCTCGGTACCTAATCTCGTATTCGAATTGAGATTTGGAGTAACAAGGTTCTGCTTAGGGGAAATGCACTTCATCTGGATGGGAGCCGATTCGTGGTTCAGCCTTCCTCGGTGTGGTGGTGTAGCTTACGCTGCGCAAGAATCTTTGGTGCAGAATGACACTATCCGCAACAACATCCTTTTTGGCTCTCTGTACGACGAAGAGCGATACGAGAAAGGTACGACCTACACATTTCATATGGTAACAAATCTTGTAACAAATCACCCACCTGGTCTGTAGTGATCCAACAATGCGCTATTTGAAGCCGGTGAGAACACAGAGGTTGGCGAGAAGGGGCTCACATTGAGGTGATTTTTTATCACTGATGATTTGATCATAAAAATTGGACTGATATCTGGTTCTCCAGTGGCGGTCAGAAGGTGCTCTCCTCCCCATCACTTTACCTTACATCACCCGTTGAATGATTATCTAAGGCACGAGTCTAAGGCACGAGTCACGTTGGCGAGAGCAATCTATTCGCCAGCGGAGATTATCCTTCTAGATGATGTCCTTGCCGCATTGGATGTCCATACGTGAGCATTTTTCCACTTTCTGGCGGTTCATATGTACACGCATCTGATTTCTGAACTAAGTGCATCGTGGATTGTCGAGAAATGCTTCTGCGGAGACCTCGCTCGAGGAAGAATAATTCTCCTAACTACAGTAAGTAACTTGTTATTTCGCCAATCCGACCTCATGTCCCTCTAGACCCACAATATTGCCCTGGTTGGCTCCATTGCTAACCGGGTTGTCTCTATCGGCCTCGATGGGTCAATCCAAGTACAAGACACCGAAGTTGACGCTACCTTGTTGAATGAACCTACATTGATCGCAGAAGTAGGACCAGACCAAGCGACGAAAAACGAAGAGCTTCAAATCCCTACATCCAAGGCAGCCAATGGAAAACTCGTCATGGCAGAAGACGTTGCCATGGGCCACGTAACTCGGAGGTCGTTCCGTCTATTCCTTGAAAGTCTAGGAGGAAAGCATCCTATGCTCTTTTTCTTGACATTTGTTGGCGGATTTGTAGCAACAGAGTTCATTTCGACTTTCCAGACCTGGCTCCTGGGCTTCTGGGGCTCTCAGTATGAGGGGCACGATCCTTCTGAAGTCTATGTTCCTTTGTAAGTGGAAGCCTTGTATCTTGATGGTTGGAGTCTTACCTTCTATTTGAAAGCTACCTTATGCTATACTGTGTCCTCGTGCTCCTCATGATCATAACGCTTGCTCTTTCAAATATGATCTTCGTCACTGGGGCGATGCGAGCTGCCAAAGTAATCAACACTCGGCTAATGGATTCAATATCTAGCAGTACTTGGAGGTAAGTTGTTGTCGTTTCTTCTTCTCTGCCTTTCATCAAATTTTGCATGATAGATGGCTGGATGAGACACCAACAGGGCGGATCATTACTCGCTGCACTCAAGATGTTCGAATCGTTGCCGGAACAATCCCTCAGATGCTTTCTCTTGTCGTTGAATGTGTCCTTTCTATGCTCGTCAAGCTGGCTGCTGTGGTCCTCTTTACCCCGGTCTTCTTCTCTCCAGGAATTGCAATTGCGGCTTGTGGCGTATATCTCGGAAACCTGTACATGAAGGCTCAGTTATCTGTGAAACGCAACACAAGGTCCCCATTTCGCCTTTCAACCACCTCAGCCATTACTGATTATCATTTCTAGCAATGCAAAGGCTCCTGTGTTGTCGCATTTCAGTGCCTCTGTTGATGGCTTAGGTCAGTATTCTACAGTATCACAATTTCACACAGCAGAGTCCTAACAATGAGTAGTCTCCGTTCGAGCGTACGGCACCCGGGAAGCCTTCAAACGCGAATCACTCAATCACATCAACCATTACACCAGAGTCGCGAGCATATTTTGGAACCTCAATCGATGGGTAGCAACGCGTATTGATGCCCTCGGCGCTATATTCACGAGTGCACTCGTAGCCTATTTGGTCTATAGTCCGAGAGGAGTTGGGGCGTCTAATAGCGGCTTTTCCCTCGGAATGGCAGTTGAATTCGTAAAGAGTACTTTCTGGTTGGTTCGCGTTTTCAACGAGCTTGAGGTACAATCCAATAGGTGAGTCGTTGTTGCGTCTCGGTTCAGTCAACGGATTGCTGAAGGCTCGTGTAGCCTCGAACGGATCCAAGGCTATCTTGACATTAATCACGAACCCCAACCTAGTGCTTCTGGAAAGCGGCCTGCAGCTTGGCCGACAAGCGGAGACCTCCGTGTCGAAAAGTTATCTGCACGTTATTCAGCTGTAAATTCCGTGCTTTTCACCTGTGTTCCAGGAGAGTGATTTCCGCTTTTAGGCTGGTCCTAAAGTGTTGCATGATATTTCCTTCCACGTCAATTCTGGTCAACGAATTGGCGTAGGTCGGTCTCAGATCGTTCAGTTATTTGTGATGTTTCTGATGGTTGGAAGTACAGTTGGCAGGACCGGAAGTGGGAAGGTTGGCCTTCAACATTAGGTTTATTGATGAGGCTGACGCAAGCAATTTTTAGAGCTCCTTGACGTTAGCACTTCTGCGCTGCATCCTGACAGATGGTACCGTCTATTACGATGGTATTCCAACCAACGAGATCAACCTGGATACTCTGAGGTCAAACATAACGATTATTCCCCAAACAGTTCGCGTCTTCACCTCTGCTGCTAGGACATTCTACCACTGATGATCTTCAATCCAGCCCGAACTTCTCAGCGGCACACTGCGCGAGAATTTAGACCCCTTCGGAAGCCAAGATGATGCCACCTTAAACGATGCACTTCGCGCTGCTGGCTCATTCTCGCTTCAGGAGGAGGCCGGAGAGGCCCATATCAACTTGGACATGAAGATCGCAGGGGGTGGCGCCATTTTATCCGTTGGTCAGAGACAGATCCTCGCACTGGCCCGTGCCATCGTTCGTCAAAGCAAGCTTCTCATTTTGGACGAGGCTACGTCCGCCATTGGTCAGTGAGCCCCATTCAACTTCGATTGATGTGTTCTGACTATGTCAAGACTACAAAACGGACTCGATCATACAAAGGACGCTGCGAAATGAACTGAATAAAAACGCGACAGTCATTACCATTGCACACAGGCTGCAGACGATCATGGATGCCGATCGAATTTTATGTGCACATACTTGCTTTTTAACACCTGCAAGTTTCTCAAACCTTCTAAGATGGTTCTCGATGAAGGACGCCTTGTATGTTCATAGCTCACCCAGCAACAGTGTCTCATCCGGTTTTCAGGTCGAGTTTGGTCCTCCGAAGGACCTGCTGCAGAATGATAAAGGGGTACTCAGAGCGCTTGTCGATGGAAGCGGAGACAAGGACGCGCTGTATTCTGTTGTGGGACAGTAGACCAACCGTCGCGCGGTCGAAGTTTCTCAGGCCCTCAATTTTCAAATCAAGGGACGTGATTGCGATTTCCTTTCTACCTAACATGCATGGCAAGCTCTTCATTGTGCATAGTTCGGCAAGATCGATCCTTTATTGGCACTGCGAATTCGCGAAGGTCAGGCTCAATCAGCATAGACTCAAGGTTGGATCTTACCTGAGAGTACCAATTATTGAGGAAATTGCAGGTGAAGGGGCTTTGGCAGACTGTTGGTCCGGTGTAGCCGGTGCTGGAATAGCCTGCTGAGAGAAAGCTCGTAATGACTCGCAGGTGACTTACCCTCCACATTGACTCCACTGGGTCTGAAGTGGGCCGGTTGCGGTCGTCGTGGTTGATGGAATAGGAGGAGGAACCGTCGTAACCGGAGGAACAATCGTCACGGGGGGCGCGGTGGTGACTGGGGGTTGCGTCGTGCTTTGCCCAGGAAGAAGGCCGAACCATGAGAGAACATCGTTGGGCTGAACGGGTATGTTGTGTGGGACACCCTGAGCACTGATGGCCTGGAAGTTGGGTCCGAAGGTCGAGCGCGTCCAGCCGTTGAGCGGGCTGTTGCTCTGGGTGGTCTGTGCGGGTGTGCTGTACCCGAAGACGTTCGTCCATTGCTTGATAGCCTCGTTGTGGTTGTTGTAGTTGAGGGTTTCGTCGCTGAGATGCAAGATTGGGAATGTGATCAAGAGGGAAGTTTGGACGATGCTTACTTGGTTCCGTGCCAGATTTGCACCTTGGGTCGAGGGCCAGTGTAACCAGGGTATCCGCTCCTGACTTGGTCGCCCTAGAAGTCGGACAACATCAAGATATTATTTGTCTCCACTCAATAAGAAACTCACCCATGCCTGAGCGGTCTTTATCAATTGACCCTGAGCGCACTGGCTGTTCCACATTCCTGCGCCAGCGAAGCAGCCGTACGGGACACCACACCAGGCCGAGGCAGCTGTGAAGAGATCGGGATAGGCACCCGCCAACACCTGGGTCATCATTCCGCCAGACGAAGTGCCTGTGGCGAAAACGCGCGTGGGGTCGACGCCATAGTTGGCGATGGCATAGCGAACCATGGACGCGATACCAAGCGAGTCGCCTCCAGCATTGTGTGTGAGCGTCGCCGTCGTGTGTACGTCCCAGCATCCTCCGCCGTCAGGCGCGTCAGGGTAGATGACAAGGAAGTTCTTGTACTGGTCAGAGAGGTCGGCGTAGCGCGTGCCTGTGAAGTACGCCTGTGCGGTGCCCGTGCAGTAGTGCAGCGCGACGATCAAGCCTGGATTTGCAGCGAGGTTGTTGGGCCTGTACACCCACATCTCCACATTCGTCGGGTTGGTGCCGAAGTTGTTCACCCGCTGGAGCTGGTTCTCCGCCGCCCAGACGTGGACGGTCACGAGGAGTGCGAGGCTGATGAGCCTGAAGAACGAGAGGAACATCTCGGACGTGGACGGTTATTCGAGAGTCCACCAGGCTAAGGCCAACGTCTTTTAAACAACAGCGCGGGACGACCTGGAGAGTCTATCCCATGTGGCCTGCGCGTCAGAAACCGACGATACACCGCTTTGAAAATGGATTTGAACAGGAAAATCACCCGATCTCGAGGGTGAATGAACTTCCACTTGAAGTGTGGAGAAGCTTGCGGGCTTCGGAGCGATTCCCGTGGCCTGGTATGGTTGCCAAGCGTTGTTGAATGAACGATGACGGGATAAACCGATGCTGTCTGAGCTCTTCGAGGCTTTTAAGGTCGATCTGGTGACTTCTGTTGACCGTTAGATGCCAGTGCTCTGATAATTTGAACCAAAGAAGAGGAAGGCGGCCGCCATAGAAAAGCGAACATTTGTCGCCAGAAAGATCCGACACTCATCCACAGTGCATCCAACGGAGACCTGGGGGTACAAAGATTAACCCAACCTATGGAATAGATCGTAGAAGGGAACATTTTCACCTCATGATGGTAGAAGAAAGCGAGAGACCGATCAAACCTCGAGCATACTCCGGGAAGTCCGTGTGACTAGAACGCCAAGGAGAACTTGAAGGGCCCAAGAACACCAAGACTTGACCCACAAGTGAACACATATATCCCACTGGTATTCAAATTCTGATCCAAGTAAATACCGAACGCGAGGAATGGAGGATGATGCGCATAGCAGTGGTACGGAACCAAAACTATTCGCCTGCAAATTGCGCGATTCGGTTTTACAATCACCAACAAGCACATACAGCCACCCATACCTTGGACAGATACAATTCCTTTCGGAGACACAGTTGAACTTGAGTTAAGTACAACGATAAACAGCCGTTAGCCGGCGGGGGACTGAGGTCCGCCATGAATGCTGCAATCTCCGGACAAATTTTCCTCAATTTATCGGGCAGGAATCAAGCAGGACTTGGCCTGGTGGCATACGACGGCTCGCTGAGTACTGTCCTTTACGCGGGCTCTGGAGCTGTTAGGATAGGCTCTGCCTCGGTACCACCATGCCTTAGGCGCGTTCTGTGACATTTTTGTAGATCAAGTGCCATATTTGCCTGGTAGAGCCAACCTTCAATAATAATTCGATAATGACTACATCAGGTAAGGCTCTGCATCTCAAGCTTCGAGTGCGAATTGGGATAAGCTTTCCTACAATAAATTAAGCCTTGTCTAGAGCGATAGTGATACTTGCCCTCAGGAAGCCCTCAGCTGGGTAGCAAATTTATTTGTCAAAGTCATCCTTCCTATGTAAGCTTCTTAGACTCGGAGGGGAGCAACACCTGCATACTATTGGAGCGGCAATTGCCGGAATACCAGGAATCAAACATTGGGAGTACTTGGTATTCATTCTTCAAGAATTGCGGGCTTTAGTAGGCCCTGGGAAGCCCCCTATATTTGGTGTCCGCGAAAACTCCAAATTTCGGCCTCAAATCCGCAATTTCGGACAGAGATTTTCCGGATGTTCCGGGCTTGCAGCACCGCACGAGCAGTTTGGGGTCATTTCTGGGCGTTTTTGGGTGTAGACTGTCCCCTTCCGTTCGCAACAGCTGTCAGCAACTTCGAAATTTGGGCCCTGATGTCCGAAAGCTCGCCCAAATGGGCCTCAAATCCGCAAATTTGGGACAGAGGTTGGCCAAAATGTCCCCTCAAATCCGCAATTTGTGGACAGAGATTTGGCCCTCAAATCCGCTAATTTGCAGACACCAAATGCCAAGAGCTTCCCGGGGCTTGCTTTAGTGGGTATTGGGAACGAAAGACCGCCGGGTTAGCCCCTGAGAAGGAGATAAGATCAAAAATTTATCTAAGTAATCGCATGACTACGTAACCTATCTTCCTCCCTCGTCTGAAATGCATCACGCTCTTCATATACCAGAGATCCTCCTCGAAATTCTGCAGCTCTTTTCATGGAGGAGCACGCTCGAAACTGTTGAGAAAAGAACCCTATTCAACTCTGCGCTAGTTTGCCGCCAGTTTCAAAGGATGAGTCTGGATCAATTGTGGAAGCATATGGACGACTTGACGCCTCTTTTCCGATTGTTGTCGCATTTTAAGATGCCGCAAGACGAATCGAAGGTGCGCCTTTCAAGCGTTTTACACCTTTCTCTTCGCTGATGCTGGATAGATGGGGGAGATCTGTGGCCCAATTTCAGAGTCGGAGTGCGTCAAGTTTGGGGCTTACGCTCGAAGGATTCGGTCATACGCAAAACGCCGTTCGGAACGTATCGCACTCTCCGCCTACATCCATGTGCTACAAGCCACAAACCAGTTATGCTTGCTCCCAGAGCTGAAGACTCTCCGCGTGTCCACGAGGACCTCGGAAGACGAAATCCTTTTACTCATATCTCCCTCCCTTCAAAAGGCATATTTTCGCGATGGGCACAGTAGAAAATCCCATGTGGACGCCTCCGTTCATTCATTGCAAATGACAGCGCGAAGCCTCACTTGTCTTGACATTTGGGCATCATTTACTGCTGCCTCTTTAAGATCGATAGGCAGCATGCGTCGCCTGAAGAAACTCAATATCACTCATTGGGACACAGCAAATCCTTGTGGACTGGATCTTGATTTTCTCCTCGATCTGGCGTCCTCGGACACGCTCGAAAATCTAGACATCTATGGTTTCCAACTCAACTCGAGCAGGCCAAAGCCTCTTCATCAAGTCATCACGTTTCCTGCGCTCACTCTGTGCAAATGGACGGGGCTCGCATCCGTGGGGGTGTTCTTGGATTTCATCCAGAATGTCAATCTCCCAAAGCTCGTAGAGATAGACCTCAAATTCGAAGGTTCCAACCAGAGGGATAGAAGCGATTGGGCAAGCTTTTTTCACACCCTTCCCACCTTTGCTTCGCACCTCCGCAGCATCGAGTTGGGGTTTGCCCCCACATCCAGGAGTTCTCCTTGGGAAAGCCCCGAATTGCCGTTTCACAACTTCGAATGTCTATCCTCATGCGACTTAACTAGCCTCGTCATCGTAATTCCCATCTTCTCGGAATTCTCATCGGATCAAATTATCGCCATTTTATCGTGTTGGAGAAATCTAAAGACCTTGACCTTCAGGCCCAGGTTGCAGGCATTGCCTTTCCAGGTCCTCGTGTGGATCGGGCAGACCCTCTCGAAATTGCGCTATCTCTCACTAGATATCGACGCGAGCGTGTTACCCGCTGTTGATTCAGTCCCCATCCTTGATCATTCCCTTGTCCAGCTCAGCTTATGTGGCGACTTGGGGGAGCCATGGGACCTTGCTCGTCTCATTGACAGGATTTTCCCTCGACTCGACGATATCGAGTGTATGGCCCAGGACAGCGAAGATACGCAGGACTATTGCTACAAGATGCGTCAGTTGCTTGAGGTTTGTATCAGTGTCAGGAGTGATGAAAGGAAAAGATGCCAGGCTGCATAGGTGATGAGTGGAAGACAGATGTTCACTTCAAACTGGGTGCGTGCCTTCTTTTCCTTTGTGGAGGAGCGACTTTTATTTCGGTCATCGTGTACAGCAAAGAGGAAAATATGTTGCGTCATTGTTTCTTGCCCCAGTGTCCCATATTCCAAGGAGTTTTGGTTGGACAGGAGCGCATCGACGTTAGGGAGGTGCCAGATATATACTACCTCTTCTGAAGGAATCTGTCATGTTATGATTTATTTGAATTAACCACCTCTTCAGCTCTATAACACAATTGTTAGCTTCCTTAAAAAATTCAACCCCCCGTCGATCGCGACTATTACTATATACTATTCACTGGTGAATACCGTGAGGTTACTTAGGGTGGGTTTCTTTGATCGGGCAACGTTTGGGGTTGATATTAAAATCGTACGTGGCGTCTCTCCTGTACCACCTGATGTTGAGAAATTTCCCTAGTACTACTTAATTCCACCTGCGTCCTCCATGAACGAGAGACGGCGAAGCATCTGCTGGTTAGCTTCTACTCAAGCTTCTAAACCCATCGCTCCTTTATTTCTAGTGATTTATGACCTCGCGAGAGCCCTTTCAATCAAGTCGGAAAGCACATCTTTCTAAGTGCTTTATATTCTGCCACTCTTCCTTTTCTAGTCATTGGCGCGCTCGACGCCTGTGCGGCACGTGGGAGTTTGGTCATTGCAACAGCTAAATTCCCACGCGCCTACCTAAGCGCCCAGTCAATCACGCACGTTTGCTACATTCTACCTTTTGTCGCCCATTAAATAACACAAAAACACTAGGTGAAGTTATATATTGGGATTCGAAGAAGATTGGTTACGTTTCCTGCTCGTCATGTTGCTTCTTTCTCATTCCTTGCTTCGCCGTTTCTTCCATTTTGAATGCTTCTTATGTTCAAGCCTCTATCTTGCATCCCCACCAACGATCCGCCGTCTCGCACTTTAGGAACCCAAAGGATAACAAGCAGTGTACTCTAAGTTTGAAGAGAAGTGGCTGCAGACCGCTCCAGAGCAGTGATTTCTCATCCTCGAGCCGCTTCTCGCTCGTCTTAAGGCTCATTGATCGCTCAGCATAGTCTAGAACAGCTTCTTGGTAAGATACAGCCTCTCTCTAAAGTACCTCTATGTGCAACTCTTATTTTACAAAAATTCTTCCCTGTTGTTGTCTATACGCATCTAAAGGCTCACACCCCGCACTCGGAAACGGGGATATATTTAGAGAGAGAATCAATTTCTCCCTTCCAATTAACTCAAAGTTCAATCCTAGGTGAGGGAGCTAGAATATAATGAACAAGATGTTCTCTTGTCCTTCTTCTTTCTCCCACACGTACTCTTCTCCTGATTGGCATTTGCACACGTCCGACATATCATTGTAGGGGTCCTACTAGGCTGGTTCTATGGTTTTAGTCTGCTCGTTCTCCGATGTTTCATGTTACGAGCGGCCGCCTTGCTTACTCCCCTATCTCGCGCCGCGATGAGAGAATGTTGTCCTTTTTCGTCTCTTTTTACGGCACGTCGAAATCTTCGAAATCGGAAAGGCAGCACGGAGTATTCTTACCTCCTCATAGAACCCTCTCATTCAGTCGCTCATTCCCTGCTTGAAACGTCCAACTGCCAACCGCGGATCCCCAATATCATGTAGGGGGAAGCTCGTCGGATGGGGTCCATCCGCTCATCGGTGGCTGAGAGACGGCGACACCAATTTATCTCACACAACGCTATCTCTGATTGCGAACACTGGCCAATCAAAGTCTAATGGTTTGGTATTCTGGGGGCAGGGTAATCTGGACAGGGTGTGCCGCGAGTTGTTCCTTTGAGCTGAGATTAGAAACACATAAATAAGGACGAAAGCATGCAGATACCGCCTCTTCATATCCTCTCAAACAGCAAAATTCACAAGGCAACAGTCACATCCAACCGCACCTCGACTTTTCTATGGCGCTCCCAGACTTCCTCCTCGATGCAAATGCCGTCTTGAAAGATGGTAAGTCAGGCCCTCATCCCAACAAATCTTCGAACTCAATCGCTACGCCCCGCAGAGGCCAAGTGGCGCTACAAAACTAGCCCCGACTACAGCGCTTCCATCACCAACTTCGCGGCTACAAAGACCACCAACTGGACTCCACAGTCCCTCGAGTCGCTCGTTCAGAACCTCGTCAAGAACTGGGAGAAGGAAGCCACGCACAAGATCGACCCGACGGAGTGGCGCACGATCGCCCAGGGCAAATACTCGTTCCACTTGAATGGCGGCCCCGGCATGTCCGCGGACGATATGTTGCGCTTGGGTACGTACAATGCGCTCACTGGGGAGAAGGGCGTGAGCGGTGTGTACGAGCCAGCGGCTATGGATTTCGAGACATCGCATAAATTGTTCAAGGGCGCGTTGAGGACTTTCAATTGGGAGGTTGTGCAGGTTATTGGCACGCCGCCGAAAGTGAGCATCAAGTGGAGGCACTGGGGTGAGTGCCGATTTCTCTGCCTTCATTGTCCGTGTCCGGAATGTTGACCTCTTGGGCGCCGCAGGTACGATGACGGGCAACTACCGCGCAAAGCTTAACTCGGGGCGCACCGTCTTCGCAAAGGGCAACAAGAAGACAATTGAGATCTTTGGCGTGACAATTGCCGAGGTCGACGAAAAGTTCCAGATCGTCAGCATTGATACTTTCTGGGACCCTGACACAATGTTCAGGCAGCTCATCTCCGAAGGATTGGAGACGCTAGACGAGGGGGAGAAAGTCGAGGAGCTTGTGTCGGAAGGGGCGAGTTGCCCGGTTCCTCATTGAGTTATTGGGCGTGCCCATGCAGGCCGCAGAAGCCATCCACGAGATCCCCAGTAGGATTGTAACGCGAAGTCCAAGTCGAATGTGTTATTTCTAAATGTGTTTTTATGTCAGATCTTTATGAGGTGGAGATTAGGAGGTCAATGTGTACGTACCTCCGATAAAATCAGAATGTTAGGTGTCTAACGCACATGGGCTCTTCTAATTCGCCCCCACAAAGAGCGGAACGAGATCACGTTGAACGGCGTTTTGGACGACTGAAATAGCACTCTGAGAGGAACATTGATGACAGTACTAGTTCTGGTTACGATATGTTTTCATGAGTCTGACATGGCAGTGACGCGCCGTGGCATTGCTCTGCGCGACCATGTCACTAAGTATGGCATCAGTTCTTCAAATAAGCTCCAGAGAGGAACGGGGGTCCTCGAGGCGTCGACTTCAAGGACTTGGAACGTTGTGGTTCATGGCCAAGTGAAGATCGCCGAGGTCAGGAGACTGCGCGGCAAATCACGTCGGCGACTCGGCAAACACCGTTCAAGTTTAGGCGCCCGATAGGGGCTTTTATGCTCGAATTCAAGGCGCCTTCCCCAACTGGAATATTCTATAGCGCCAGTGCTATATAGAATCGGTATTTCTATTTGGTGGTTTTTGGTCTTATTCTGTGTAGTACGAAGAATATATTTAGTTCCGTGGGACAGCCTGAAGGGACGAACGAACAGGATCACGGCATTCTGATTGAGTTCGTGTCCTCTGGACAAAGAAGCAGCCGTAAAGACTTGGTATGATTGTTATCTTCTTACCACTACTATCCCATGGCTTCATCCCCTTCTGACACCCGGAGCACCTGCGCTTTTTGTCACAACGCCGGTGACGATCTGAAGAGGTGCGGAGGATGTCGAAGCGTGTACTATTGCGTGCGTCTCTGAAGTCGATTGTCGACTTACATTGTGCTGGCTGTCCGCCTAACTGACTCACACAGTCCAAGGAGTGCCAGCTGTCCCACTGGAAGAAACACAAGCCAGGATGCGTGCTTCCTTGGTCACTCCCCGATCCCAAGCCAGCCGTACACCAGAATCAGCTGGATGGCAAGGACATTCCAACAGGGTCTACTAGCTCTTTCCCTCGTGCACCAACCACGCCGTCGCATGCGCAAGATGTGGTAGTTGGCGTAAAGATACTTGACAGCGATTCAACGAAGGGCAACCGAGGGAGGCATTTTGTTGCCGAGATATTCAAGCCCGACCACCCCATCTTTACTCGGGGTGAACTGTGCCCGCTCACAGCTGTCTACGGGATTCCGATCTTACTATATCGCACTCAATTCCCGTACAGCGACAACCAGCCAGCGGTCTACCTGCGCATCGAGCCGTCAAGTGGTTTCGCACCCTTCCAGTAGGTGCTTTAAATTTATGTCTCTGAACGAATGTATTGATTCTATCTGACATTGCGTCTTCGACCTAGTTGGCAAACGGACTGGAATGGGATTGTAAGCGTCTATCTTTTTCTTACTACTTTAATAGAATTTAATTTGTTTTGTCGCTTGCCAGTGTTACGCCGTCAGAAAGGACAGACAACCATTGCACCCAGAACTCCTGGAGACGATGCACGAGTTCCACAGCTCGCTCCTAGGCAGCGGCTACTTCAAGGAGCCGGTGGGGCGCAGGCCATACCAGATAACCCCAAAGGCTTATCGCAAGTTCTCCGATGAATATTGGCGGAAACAAAAGCAGTTCGGTCGTGTCAGCATTCTGGCAAGTGATGGCATGGAGTAGCAGGGCAATCGGGAGAATTAGTGGCCTGGGCCTAATTGTAATAACTACATTTTCTTTCTCTGTATGAATGTGTAAGGAACTCGAAAATAACAAAGTGAGACCTTCGCATAGCTAAAATGGCGAGGGCCTACTGGCATGCTAATCTCAAACAGTTGAGGCCTACGCATTTTTTGTTGAATTGGAATAGCTTGCTATATGCTTTCGTGTCTCAAATGCTCAGACAGCGATGTTGGGACAGAATCAATGCATATTGCTGAGTACAATACATGAAAGGAAGGGGGGAAAAGAAATATTACCCCAAATCAACGGTGGTGTGGATATTGCAGGAAGGATACGAGTCTGATCCCTTGCGTCTCCAGCTAGTTTCAGGAGTTGAGGTACAACACTCTTGTTTGACCCAGCCGTCACAGCCCCAGTTGTGCCACTCCTCATTCTTCAGCGCCTTTTCCAGCTCACTGAGCATCCACTCGTGCGATTCCAGTTCCTCCAACCACTTGTCTGTGGCAACATGGTCCTCCTTCTTTGTGCGGAAGGTAGTGGTACCATACCGACCACCAAATTTGGACCAAAAATTGCAAAGCATGTTGGAAAGGAAACCATTGTCCAGCTTCATGTCCTCGATTGCTGCGTAGTCCGTCAGGATGTAGCCCCTCTTCGCCAATCCACCCTCTCCGTGAAAAGAGTAGTTGAAGGCGTCCAGAAACATCTCTCGTTCCGCGACGCTCATCTCATTTTGGGCATACCGAAGTGCAACCCAGACAAGAACCCAGAGGAAGGATTCAAGGTCGTCACCGACGTTGTGAATATGCTGATCAAGGCCTTTATGCAAGCGGATTGACATGAACTGCCAGGTTCCCTACAACGCGGTTAGAGTACGTAAGTGACAAACGCCAACAGATAATACCGTTCTCTCGAGAGCTCGTGGCCCAATCAAGGTTATCTTCTTGGAAAACTCCCAGTCAATGAGCAAACCTCCGGACTCGGTGATGATGATATTCCCAACAGAAATATCGCGATGAAGTATTCCCGCCTTCGTAACCGCCTCGAAGTGGGCTAGAACGGACATCAGAGATTGCTGACCTGCAAACGCGTTGACGTACCAATAAGTGCACAATGCACCGCTGTCACCATCTCGTGGGTCGAGTCGAAGTGGGTAAGGCTGATGCCGACCGTATCCAGTACAAGACGGTAATGGACGTGGACGTGATGCTTCGACGATGGCGAGATATCGTTTGTCTCGCCGCAGGTATTCGTCCTACCGCCCACATCCCCTGCTGTCGCGAGGCCTGGGATATACGATACACCATGCTTATACAGCTCTCGGTAGACATCACCCTCCTTCTCGTACCCCTCGATCCGCCATGTATCTTTGAGGAGAACGATAGCTTCGGTGCGGCAGTCAAAAGCTTTGAAACACCGTGTACAACGGCCGAGGGGGTGAACGTGGTTCTTCGTAAAGGGTTCACTGACAATGTAATAGCTGGTGTCCTTGGTCTGATCGTCGATAACCGACACCTTGAAGATCGGAGCGTCATCTGAGAGCTTCAGAGCATGGCGGGCACGTTGAATCTCCACAGAAACTGTACGCAGAGCAGTCACACTCGTGTCGAGGCCACGAGCAACGTCGCCGGCATGAGAGAGGCGCCAAAAGAACTTCGCAAGCCAATCTTCCGAGGTGTAGTCAAAGCCTTCCGTGACGATGGCGCAGCTTCGACTCCAGTGGATGAAACGGCAGCGATACCTATTAATAACAACTGAGAGGACGTGGGTTCGGAATTGGGTTGCCTGAATGGCGTTGGCGTAAGTCGCCAGTTGTCCTCGTGTGTCGCGTGCGTCCTTCGAGTCCAGCTCGATGGGATCGTCGATATCCACGCCAAACGGTTCGTCGGGCTCGCGATTCTTCAGTTCAATGTAGCTCAGCATATTACGGGCGCGGGTGATGCAAGGCGAAGGGACTTCATCAGATTTGTAACAGGAAATGTCGGGCTTGACGCTCCGGTGAAGCAAGGCTCCAGTCTCGGAATCTTCCACGCGAGACGTGTCCACCAAGGTGATGTCTTTACAGAACGGTATGAGAGCCTCTATCTAGCGGCACTCATTAAGATAATGGGACTGCTTGGAGTATAAGCAAGACGTACCAGAGGTGCGTACATATCTTGCTCGTTCTTCAGCTGCGCGATGGGAACGAACTTGTCGTGATTGACTGGTGGCATAGCAGGTGCATTCACCGATATTGGTAGAAAGCGGTCGAGAAAGTCGCCTGGCTTCATGAATCCAACGAATTTCCCCTTCATCTCGTTGGCGGCCGCGATGAACACATCATCCCTGATAAAAGCTGTAGACGTGAATGGATGGGTGGACGACATTTGACCGTGTCGGGGGGCGTCAGGAGGAGCTAAATTTCTGTTGGCGGTAGCATGGAATGCAGTGGGGACAGAACCAAGTTGTTGTTTGCACAACGCGCTGGAGCGTTGACAACTATTTAAATTCAGCGTGAGAATTTGTTTGAATCTCCGCCCGGCGCCTTCGAGTTGGCCCCATGCACGTGATGTCCTTGCATTATATAATCTGACGGAGACTCAAGCCGAACTCAAGCCGTCCACGGCCAGTCAGCCACAGGCCACAGGCCAAACGGCTCCCCAACATGAAGAAAAAAGGTCAAAGGTGTACAATTACAACATTAATAATGTGTTACAGACTCCAATCACAAATATCACAACTAAAGTACTTGAACACAAATAATTAATGTGCAGACAGCTCTCGTAGTCGCACCTTCAAGTTAACAGCCCGTAACCCGTTTGTTCCCCCTGCACTGGAATGATGATGAAAGGAAGAGTTCC